GTATTAACCACGACCAAATCAAAAGGGTATGTAAAAGTCGTGGTTTGAATTTTATTTTTCTTTGTTCCAAACTCGTCGTCATACATAACCACGCCCAAAACATTTGGAAAAAAATCTAAACCAAGGATAGAATTTCTTCACAACATAACATTTAAAGTCCCTGTAAGCCCCAAAATATAATTTATCATTAACATATAATTATCATAATCAATTTGATTAATAGACTATTCCCTCGAAACAGGAACTTGTCATATAAATAGCTCATAGAAAGATAACTTTAAAAAATTTTAATACTTTAATTTTAACAATAGCTAATTTTATTTGTACTATGATAAAGAAACAATGTCAATATGATGAGGCCTTCTATCATTTTTTATCTGGTTTCCCAAGTATCTTGCACCTTGTTCAGCCAGAACCACTTGTGTAACCATACGACTGATCTGCATCATGTTCGGTCCACCAGCGTCAGTAGCCGGTTACGTGAATCGTTACTCCGACCATAGATATGACAGATACTATGTTGATATTATGGTCACGTGAGGGGGAGGCAGATATAATTGCAGTGTTATACTTCTGTAGACTTCAGATAAGGCAGTCGGTCAAATTCAATATCTTCTGTACAGTCATCTTTACTTGTAACTGAAATTTTAAGAAAATGTACACAATAATTGTTACAGTTTGGATAAGGAATCTGTTATAAAACGAACGTCATTTCATACATACAAAGACGATAAACCTTTTAAAGCTTCATTGCCTAAAGAAAGGCTGAAGTGTGAAAATAACTGCTAGGTACTGTATAACCACAAATGGCCCGGACAATGCGCCAGAAGATAAACACGAATTGCATTCAAAGTTAACGTAACAGACTACCGTAAAATTCTGAAAATAAGCCCCTCCATGTATAAGCCCCCCAAACCGGTAACACAAAAAAGCCTCCGTTAAATCGCCACTCCAAATACAAGCCCCCCGGGGGCTTGTACTTGGAAAATTTCCCTAAAATACAAAGTAAAACTGGGGTATCTAAAAGATAGTAATGCTGCGAGACTTAAAAGAATCGAAAATGATATTGAATGTCCTATTTACATGTTGGAAAGTACTAGAATAATTACGATCAGTCTATAGAAAGAACTCGTGGGAAAGTTGTTTAGAAAATGATCAAGTGGTTATAACTCTGGTTTTCCCACAGTAAATTGTAGGAAATAATAGAAATTCAGATTGTTTATCCATATATTTAATATACGGTGCACGATATTTTCTCTGGAAACACAATACTTTTCTTGCTGTTTGTTGCACTTTATTAAGTAACAGTTATTTAGCTATATATTTATAGAAAACAACAACGCAAATAACGGAAGAAAAAAAAGAAAGAAGGAATTAAGAATTCGGTAGGACTCGAACCCTGCACCTTCGGCTCGACGCGACTACACCTAACCACTACACCACAGAGGCTGATTACGTAAACTTGAGGAAAAGTCTTGATTTATTCCTTTTCCATGAAACTTCCGCCGGCAAGATGATCGCCAGCCGCATTAACCGAGCTATTAACAGTGAAAAAACAATGTAAACGCATATTCCATGGCAATGAATGAATGAAAGAACATAATTATGCTTTTCAAAACGCCGATACACGTCCTCGTCTGCAAAGTAGGACACAAAACATATGTTTTGTTATCTCGATTTCCGCTGTTATTTTGAAGCGAATGGTCAAAATCACATCCATTTTCGGCTCATACAGTTTCTTAAGAATAGCACTGCATGACATTTTCTCACTCTCACATCACCTTCTAGCAAGCTGGAATTTGTATATCCCCCGTGTTGCGGAGTCGAAGAGCAAATGCTCATCTTCTGGTCAGGTTTAACACCTGGACGAGTCAAAGGCTCTTGAATTGAAATCCAATCCCCAAGTTAACCATCGTACTCATCTGAAAGACTCCTACGTGTCTTAAAATTTGGTAAGACCTCTAACCGTGCTGTAGAAAATTTGCCACAAAGAAAACTCTAAGTCTGAACAGCGAACGATGCACTCTCTCACCCACCGAACTTCCCCGTGTTTTTATTTGAGTTGTTCGTGGCGCAATGCACTCTGGTTAAATGCAATGCATTGTGGTTAAAAGTGTGGTTAAATGCAATGCATTGTGGTAAAAAGTGATGAATTCGAGAATTCGTCGCCCCTTATATATTTCCTTTAAATCCTGATTATGTTGCTGCTCGATCCCTTCGGTCGCTCCGCAGCAACAAAGCAAAAACGGTAAATTTACTTCCAGCTATAAGGCTAGCCCGATCGATTTTGAAACGCAAGTTTCCCTCCGTAGATAAGCCCCTCCGAATGTAAGCCCCTCAAAAGGGGCCTTTGAAAAATATAAGCCCCGGGGCTTATTTTCGGAATTTTACGGTATTCGAATTTAACTCATTTTGATGGAAATTGTAATGTATGATGGTCGGTTAACATGGGGCATTGTTTGTTTGTTTTTTTTTTTCAACTCGATAAATACGATATTTGTTTTGCCAGTTATTGCTTGCAGCTCATAATCTATCCAAATTTCTCAAAACTAACATAATCAACAGCTCATTCCAGGCAAAAAAAAAAAATTCAACTTCAAAAACATGATTCATAGCCTCATACCTGTCATTCGTCGTTTAGCATTTTTATTCGAAGCAGGGCGATATAACACCGCAACAACCAAAAACGCAAGTAAAGCCTCGACACCAGGAAAAACGGAGAAAGCACCCCTAAGGTACCGGGCACAAGGTTCACCACATGGTCTGAAACATTAAAAGAGGAATATCATTTCAAGCCCCTCAATGGCAAACTGTGAGCTTTTTGCGTCACAAATACCTTTATCGGTACTGTACAGTACCGCAAATGATTACTTACTTGTTGCCTTTTTCGCGATTGTAAAAAAATCGCGAAATTTAAGACCCGCGAGTAAAAATCCCCGCGAAATTTAAACACGCAAAATTTAGAAAATTCAAATTACAGAAAAAAAAATTACATGAAATTAACAACACCATGGTACGTATGGACAAATTCACAAATTATTAAGTGATTTTCCTGGTAAGTTTCATTATGTATCTTCAGTTGTGACATTATTAAATACCGTTAATTTGTAAAGATTTCACATGGAATAGAGAATCTAGCTATAATCTTCATCAATCTGATTCGTTTTGTTTGTTCCAGTTTATCTAGAAAACTATAAAAGTTCAGACCTCTTGAAAAATAAGTGAAGTTGAGAACGCCTGAATCGCGAAATTATACGCCTTTTTCATATTTGCCAATGAAATCGCAAAAATAAAACCTCGCGAAATATAGCCTCGCCAAAATCGCGAAATTAAGTACTGATAAGGTAGTTCATTTTGTTAACAATGCCAATTACACGTCCTTATTCGCTAAGAAACATGAAAAAAACAGTGATCCGCCAAAACCAAAGTCGTGCTTTTTGCGCATCATTATGAAACTCGGCTATTGACCAGAAGAAGGCAACGTCTAAGATCCCACAAAAAACAGCAAGCTTCTTGCACAACCATTTCAATGCGTTAGTTCTGTACAACTGGAAGACACGTTTTACTTACCCTGTTGTTGTGTCCTGCTGCGGGTAATTTTCTTGTAACGCTAAAACGATGAAGCCAAGCGACAATTTGTCCATCAAAGAACAAACACCGTAGACAAAACCACTAGATTTCTGCAAAAAGAAAAAAAAAAGTTATACCAATAAGAAAGAAAAGTGAGGTGATGATGGTGGTGCTGTTGGCTTTGTAACGACAAGTCGGTTTTCAATTCCAGTGATCAATAAAAAAACGGAAGAAACGCAGTCTACTCTGATCTCTCCCTTATAACTGCCGGATTGAAAACATTTCTCCTTAGCTGATTCACAACTTGCTTGTAAATACTACTTGTTTTTTGCTGCTTTTTGTTCGTTTAATGTGTTTTGTTTTGCTTGCTTTTTATCCCGTCTAAATATATTTCAACAAGATTTCGCCGCTTAATTATTTATTGTTTTTTTAATCTTAGGTTAGGGAGGGAACTCATGGTAATAAGCCCCTACGGTTTCAATTTGAGCTTCTTCACCCGAAAGATAACCTCTAATTCCCCTAATAAAGTAATTTTCGTCACTTTTAATCTTAACTATCATTTTTGTAATATTATATTAAATGACTGTTTATTTTTTTTCTGGCAATAAATAAACTAAAACTGAACCAGACTGTTCAGAGTCCCCTATTTTACTGTAAGATGTCCGGATCTAGCGCTTACTCTTACGGACGGCTATCGTGGTTTCAAGTTTTCCTTTGTTTGTGTCTAGTCTGGAGATGATTACGGGTTGGGAGAAGGAGCCTCTCTCCCGCGTCCGCACTGTCTTAACCCCGACGCCAGCCCCCTTGTTAAATTTGAAAACAAAATGGTCTCCCGTAACGGAAAGTGCGCGCTTCATCTGGACCTTCTAAAGGAAAAATAGGTGACTGTGACCAATCTAAAAGGAAAGCAATAGCGCTATCCATTACGTGTGCTATCTACACTATGGATACATCTAAGCCTTCCAATGGAGTCTAATCATCGCTTGATGCTTGCCTCGCAATTTTCCTGCACTCACTGAAGGTTAATAACCTCACAAGCATCAGCCTTGCAACCTACCTTGTCATTACCAATCAGGTCTGCTACCATAGCCAATGACGTCACTATCATTATAGAGTTACCACAGCCCATGATGATCGTGGGCGCATATATGACATTCCTATGGGATTGTGGCGTGAAGTAAAACCACGTGGAACAACCAATAACGATCACATTACCTACACAAAACAATACCTACAAGGAAAACGGCACAAGCGTAAATGTAGGTATTAGCGATCCTTAGCTTAGAGTACTGGTACGAGATTGAGTGCGAGTAAGAACTCTTACTCCTTATGGAGGTTAAGAGGTTGAAAACTTGTACTTAACTCAATCTTTTACCCGTAGTTTAATCTAAAGGTCACTCGGCCAAATAAGCAGAACAAAACGAAGCCGGGAAACTTTGTTTTTGCCTCATCTGTTAAAAATTTCCCGATAGTTCAACAACGTAGCTCGAAATTTCGTCCAAATTTGTTTTGTCATTCAGAGCATTTTACAAGCTATCTATCAGTCTGTCAGTTGAGAAATTTCCGAAATTCGATGGATATTTTCTCTTGCGTTGTAGCTGTTGGTTTTGAGTGAAATGAGAATTTTATTTTTACTGACTTCCCTAAGATTTTCCGAAGTTGTGAATTTCACATTTTACTCGACAGACTTTGCTAAAATTGTTAGAACCCCTAAAATGTTGGTTTCAAAAGTAGTAAAGGAAAAACGGTATCAAACTGAATCTCGCGTTATCGTAAACCGTTAAAATAGTATCCAAGGTTTTCGGGAAACTCAGAACGCTCTTAATAAATTGAAAAAGGCTATAGTTTGCCTAGGCTTAAGGTGGCTACCCTGAACTCAGAGTGATTATTTTTTTCTTTATCTAAGTAATGGAAAATCAGACGAAGCCTAAAACAGGTCTTAAAGAATACGTTTTTAAAGAATTCGAGAGAAGGCAGTGGTTGATTGTCCCTGCCTGATACATACCCTGTTTGAAAAGAATCTGTTAAGTCGTTTTATTCCTCCGCTCATAAGAATTCCACTGACGAGAATCATTAAAGGAAAATATGCAATAGCTTCCTGTAAGAAGTAAAAATGTAATGTAAACAAATTTGAAGGAAAATACCAGCCTGCGTGTAGACGTCTCCTAGTATTTTTAAATTGTCCCTTTTCTCTGTGCAACAAAAGGAATAAAGGAAATGTCTGCACGCAGGCTAGGGACATATGTTCTCTGCCTGCGTCCAAAGCATCAGTGCGACGTGATTCAAACGTTTCTTCCTGGATTGTTCAGACAAGCTATAAGTACCGACACTCACGTAAAAGATCGAGTCAGAAATAGTCCGAGCGATAGACACCAAAGGTGCTTTTCAAAGTAGTAATTATTTTTACTTGAAGTAGATGTATTTGAGCTGAGCAGTACTTCTGTTGTGCCATATATACACAAGCTACCTCGAATACTATTGAGCATCTCTCCCCCGTATGTAATGCTGTTTACTTTGCTTTAATGTATTTTTCGTTTCTCTTTCAGTATAGAAGGAAACTTACGGTGCTGGGTCTTCGGGGGGGGGGCACCTCTAACCCCCACTTGATAGCACTTAAAACTTCACCCGATCTTCTTTTACTTTCCCAATCAACGAGGGCAATGCAAGGTACAAAAAAAACCCACCTGCTCGCTCGCTGGACACAAAAAACCCTGACGTTAAGGCTACTAAAAGTGAGAGATATGTATTTCAAATAATGATATACCTTGTTGAAGTGAAGTGTCTCCGTCAAGTACATTGGAAAATACGACTGGTTTAGGTTTACTACATTTTGCGTCGCCATATAGACAAACACAACCTGAAATTAAAAACAAACATAGGTTTATTTAAAGAGGTTTTTTTTGTCATACCAAATGCGAAAGCATACATTCGGACATGTACTTCAAAACTGAAACAACTCATTCCTTGCTCCAGTAACCGACCAAGTTAACGGAGGGCCAAAAGTAATCTTGGGTGCTTACCAGGAAATCCGATGGTTTGCGCCCAAATTCCGTTTAGAGCGCTTCAGAAAAATAATAGAGGGGCGTTCCATAGACAGCAGACGTATAAAAGATAGAGGTGTTTATCCTCATATTCTTAAACTGTAATAAACTCCAGGGGCGGATCCAGGATTTTTTTTAGGAGGGGGTGCACTCGTCTCTTGCTCTACTTCAACACCAATAAACCACACAGTTTTTTTTTATGCAGAATACAAGTTGTATTAGAAAACCGTAAGTCATCTCGGGGGGGGGGTGCACCCCTGCACCCTCCCCCTAGGTCCGCCCCTGAACTCCACTTACAAAACTCTCCTTTCGTTAAATATATCACAACAGTCTGAAAAATACTCCAGACATTGATACTTCTAGGCCGTTTAGAGATCCAGATCGTTTTTTTAAAGCTCAACTTCAATATCAGAATCCTTACTTTGAACTAGACATGAACTAGAACAAGATGAAATGGGCAAACTCTTGTTTTATCAGACAGGAAACTTAATAAATTCAAAGGTTTTGCTCTATTTCACTATTTCCTAGACAAGTATTTTGGAGCAACCGCAATGTGAGGTGTCTCTTAGTCAGGGGGGCGTTTATTGGAGAGCCGGGGGCATCTAATACAAACTTAAAATCGTCAGGGGGCGTTTATTTAAGAGAGGATGTCTATAGAGCGGTTTTCATTTGAGTGTCGAAAGGTAATTGGTTTTGCGTTTACTACGCTACGTGATTGGCTTAAAAGATTCGCGCCACTTTTTTATCCAATCAGAAGGAAAACCAAAACCAATTGTGTCACGCTCGCATGCATTTTCCCGCGCTTTGCGTAGTTTTAATTGGTTCACTGTTTTGTCTGTGTCCTTTGTAATTGGCTAGAGTAATTACTTTGGTTTTGGTTTTACGATACTCAAATGAAAACCGCTCTAAGATCATTTACTATATTTAGAAATTGCAACTCGATTAGGGATGGTAGATTAACCGAAACACTATGTGGATGTGAGAACTGTGAATCATTATTTTACCTTGTAAAAGTCTGGAGTTTTAAACCACTCTTTCCACGTTCTCTTTTGTTCGTCTTGTTGCCGGTGTTTTTCTTGCCTCTGAAGTTCAAGTTCAAGCGCTTGTTTTTCTAGGTCTTTACATTCTGGTCCATTGGGCGACGCTTTAGACTTCAAATCTTTTTGTTTCTCTAGCTCTGAGGTGAAACAATAGGATACTACACCTGTCAGAGAATTTATGCAATTGCGATTTTGACGATGTTTAGATTCGATAATGTCTTTATGCAATCAACAGGCTGAAGTAGTTTTGCATGCTGTCAGTGCACTCGGTATAGCTGACGGTTTCATTTACGTGCGACCTGAGTTTGACAGCAGTTGCAAGAATAATCAGAGTCGCATCAACAACTCTCAGGTCCGAAATAATTTTGCCAGAAACGCAGGCTTAGTAATAAAAGAAGGAAACAGAAACAGAGACCGTGTTTTTACAAGTATCAATATCACTGAATCAAACTGAGACGAAAGTTGTGTAGCTCTTTTCCCAAATACCTCTTGAATATATGGAACAAATACGATTCCGTGACCAATCACATAAAACTTCTTCAGAGGCACTTAGTTATAATGGTTGTTTATTTTTCCTATGTGACAAAAGGAAATTTGAGGAATTTCAAAAATACTGTTTTTATGGCCAAGAGTAATAAGCAATGCACGTGATGCGAGGAAGGACAAGATGCATGCGCCCGCCACGTGGACTAGATTTTTGCCGAGGGCGGGTGGGGATGGGGTTCTTGGACGAATTTGAGCCTTATGATAAGATGATTGCATAAAGACGGAAATACCTCACTGCAAAGAGTTACGTGTATAAAAACCAATTAAATGCATACCTGAAGAGTCATCTTCGTCCTCAACTCCCAAGTGAAATATGATGGAGAAAAAACTTCCCGTAAGCATCACGATTATTGATTGATACTGCAAAAAGGCAATACATAATTATTGGTTAACACTACAATCACAATCCTTTTTCTCGTGGTGGGCGTCATTTACCGGGGCGCTTTCCATTTAGTCAAAATTTCCGGAATTTCCGGTTCGGCGGTAAATGGAACACGTTTCGTCGGTTCGTCCCACTGGAAAATTCCCAGAAAAAGTGGAAAATCTAAAAAGGTGGTCCCGTTTTCCCGGTTGGAATTTCCGAACGGAATGTCGTGTGCCATTTACGTTTCTCGTAGTTTGTACCAGTTCCAGGTCCACGGTCGGGCACCGCGCCACGTACCGGGGTTTACGACCAAATGGAACAACTTTTTACCAATCGGAAATTCCACTTTTGCTACCACCGAAATTTCCGGGTTTTTTTCGTAAATGGAAAGCGCCCCCGGTTTCTTTGTCTGACATCAACTGAACATTTTAAATTAAGAACAAAAGAGAATGGGTCACACCTATTTTTTTTCTCATTCAATGGTAATAGGACTGAGTGGAGTCCAACTCGGTCTTTAATCATGCGAGTGATTAACAAAATCGGATGACCACGTAGCGGAAGTCCGATTTGTTTAATTTTTTAAAATTAGAACTTAACGTTTTTTGAGGTACTGTCCTATAATAATGATGAAATTAGGGTAGCTGATAGCCAATCAGATTTGAGAATTTTGTCGAAGTCATAATTAATTTTGAAACCGTTGAGGGACAGATCATTAAAAACAACCAGAAAAGCGTAAAATTTTTCGGTGCAGGATTTTTTATATATACCGTATTTATTCGAATAACCGCCCAACGACGAATAAGCGCCCACCCCCAAAAAATAAAGTGCACCAGAGTAGTAAAATAAAATAAAACAAAAACAAAAACAACATTACGGTCCTTCCAGTACTTTTAATACTGGAGTTTAAGGGGGAAGGCAGTTGTATATCAGTACAGTGGAACCTCGATTTAACGAAGGACTAGCCTGTTGCAGGCGGTCAGATAGTAGAGCGCGGTGTTCGGATGGTGGGGAGCGAGCTAAAACGTACGCCGCCCTGGAAAAGGCTAACGAAGGACCAAGGGATTGGGTAGGTTTCGTTATATCAAGGTTATTTTCCATATATTTTACTAAAACTAGGGCAGAGAATATTGTTCCTTGTGTAGACGTTCGTTATATAGAGGTTTCACTTTAGAATCAACCGACTGGAGTTCTCTCGAGTCTCCTACCGTGAATTGTTTCTTGGCGGACTCGTCCACATTTTCTTCGCTATTTTGTCCTAAAAGAATCCATGTCACCACGTACACAAAAACTCCGCTCCCCAACTTCAGTGCAGATCTAAGGAAACAAAGAAAAGACAAACATTTTTAAGCATCAGTTTCACCAATACTCGTTTACAAAGTTCGTGTTTATGACCCGCGCTCAATATTGATGCGAGTCCTCTGCTTTTGGGTGAACTGCCTGAGAAAATATCGTTAACTTATCAGAACTTAACTCGAAGTACTGAGAACGCATTCTTCTTGCCTTCCTTCTGAAATTGGAAATAAGTTACAGTATTGGCAAAAAGATGGCGATGAACTGTAAGGTAGTCCAGGACTTTTCTAGAGGTGAGAACAATTTCCCAACGCCTTAACGACCTGCTATCTGAGCGCTATTTCCAGTTTTTTCTCTAATTATACTTTTCAAGTTTCGGTCCACCGATGAATCACATCGCTTCTAAGTATCGGATCCAACATTCGGGTGAGCAAAAAAAGAGAGAGAGGAAAAAAAAAAAGAAAAAAGGTCCGTCGTTTTCGAAAAAATATTTCAAAGAAACAGAGTCATCTTAACTGAGACAATTTTTTTATTGTTTGCTTTTTTCATTTTATTTATTATATGCCATTTTATGTTACTTTTTTTTAACTTTCGACCTTTCCAGGTGCGCACGTGCGTCCGCGCGTGCCGCGCGTGCACATAGCTACTCCCATGTACTCCCCTGGCTTGGTCAAGAACTAGTAACACAAATCGAAAATGAATTATACATCCTTTTCCTCTCATAAGAGGCCTTGAACAAAATTTTCATTTTGCAAACCTGAACTATACTTCGAAGACTACAGTTGAAAACGACGAAAACAAATTTGTGAGGGTAACTGTCCGCAAGACTTCTTACTTTACCTCCGACATTGACTCTAGGATCTACGATTATTACGCATCTGTAAAATAGATTTCCGGGCAGGTAAACTGTCAGGGTCTTTCATGTTCCATTCCTACATGTTCAGTGATACTACTGAGCCGGAAATGATTGAAAACCTAGAAACCTTCTCGGTATAATGTTACGTTGCTCTGTTATTTTTAACACGTATCTAACCAAGTCCCTTAAAAATAATGCCAGGCGATTTGAAGGCATGTGACAAAGACTACGGACAAACCGTACAGCACAAGAAACTTTTAAAAAAGCGTCCCTTTTGCACAATAATAAAAAAAACCCGGACTTGTTCAATCCAATTTCGAGTACGGCAAACGTTCTACCATGGTTTCCGGCAAATTTTTTCTGGGTGCACGTCAAAACATAGTCCAATAATCTTGCTCTCCAACTTGGCCTAGATTAACCTTTGATATGAAAACGATCTCAGTGCTATCTACCATCACCTTGTGTGGTATTTAATCGGTGAAAAGTTTGTCTGATTTCTTTCCGTTTATGTCCCCTCTAATCTTCGACGGATGTCCGATGATATCTTCGAAGAAAGAAGATGTCCTGCAGTTTAGCGAAGCCGAACACGTATCGACTCCCCCCCAAATCCCAAATTAATTATTTGACTACGTAATCAGTTGACAGTGCGCGCAAAATGAACGTGAGAGCAACCGTGCCAAAGGGGCACTGGCAGCGCAACGACTATCGCTTGGCATTTCCATGGTTCAACAAGACCCGGTAAAACTTCCAAATAAAAAGAAAATGTAAACGCCATAAACGTTTAAGTCATGAAGATAGCCGAATCAGAATTGGATCCGCGGCTTTTACTTTTCCGTTTACTTGCGCATAGATAGATATGCACCCAAACCTGGTGGGTGAGGGAGCCACAACATACTTAAAACTGCAAACCTTCTTTCTGCCTTAGCCAGTAGAGGACCCTGGCTCCAGAGGTCCGTTCTCAAAATAAACACCCACCCAAACCTTATCACCAAGATCATACCGAGGTTCTATGGCGTTACGATCATAGTAAGATTTCATGATTTTTTTTTCTCTTCTTTACCTCTCGAGGTCGAGCTTACTCGAAGAGGCGGAGTATATGTGACGATATATGTTTCAGTCTACTTTAATTATAGTTTTGGTCTAGCGCGAAATCAATAAGAAATACTGACGATCTTGGCTTGTTTATTGTCTCTTTCACTTTTGCTTTACGCGTGAAACACTTCACCTGCTTTCACCTGCTCTTTTTGTCGCCTTCTAGATTAACGGCTAGTAAACGCTGGTTGACGCGGCTTCACCGCGAACCACACAGGCTATTCTGCCTTTGATTTGCACCGGTCGGCTTCCGTTGCATATGGTAAGGTAGGGAGGACAGTGATTTAGTATAGCTCGCAATATTCCTACAAATTTTCGGGAAGAAACACCACCCAAAATGAACATGGTTTGGAACGTTTTCGTTCTAGCAATCATGGCGAGAAGTAGAATCAAGTCAAGATCATGGTGTTTGGAGCAACAATATTATTTCAAGAGTCTCAAGTTATTTTTAATACCACAACAGAGCCACAAGATTGGGTTACTGTATACAAGGTGCAAGGAAAATGGAAAACTGTAAAAAAAAAACGTTCAGGTGAAAGTTTAGAGGCAGTTCTCACGCGAGGTTTTTCTTCTTTCCTTTATAACTGGCTTTACAACAAAAGATGTTTTAATACACGCAGTCTGGATATTTATTATTGTTAGAAATGTTTCGTGTCTAAACTTACATGTTGCTTCAATTTATCTGCAATTTATAGTAGCAATATGGTTACCAGAGAAGAGCATTGCATGTTTTTAAAACAGATGGATGTGCAAGGTTTCACTCTATCATCATCACCGTGGGAAATGACGACTATATTTCAAAATTTCCGGATATCCTGTGGAAAACCGAAAGCGTATGCAAACTACTTACAGTTGGCTTTCTTCACGAATATCTCTCGAAACAAAAATCCATCTTGCTCAAAAATCTCACAGGAAAAAAAGCGGCGACAACTTGGACTGAGACACCGTTGTCTTGCGAATGCGCCCCAGGGGTAAAGAACTCGGCAGGGCAAAGTGGACTGCAAGTTATCAAAGAGCAGGAATTTTCTCTTACGCTTATAAAAAAAATGTGTAAATATTTTCAATATGCTTAACTTGCTGTCCAAAAGGGAATGTTTTATAAAATCCCTCACATCAAGCACACGGGAAGAACGAGCAGCAGGGTTACATAACAATATAATAATCCTTCCGTCAAAAAAACAAGGCGGGCGCTATTTGTGTAATTTAAAAAAAAATTACAATAGAAGTGAAATTGAAAAGGCAAGTTCTCCACAAAAGGTTAATTAAGAATTAAGTGTTAAATCATTATAAGTTTTAGACAAAGTCTGCATAAATTTGAAGTCAAACACATTCAAGTACTGGTAGAAACGGGAGGACGAATCGAAGAACTGATTTCCGATTAGGTTACTTCTTGTAAAAAAAGGTTTTTACCTTAACAAATTGTTGACAACGATGCGATAATCGCCATAATCCTATCCCAAAGCACCCTTTTTACATCGTAAAAAACAAAAGCTTTCTGCCAGAAGAAAAAAAAATTGTTCGCCGTTCACCTTTGGGCCCTAGAAGGGAGGAAAATGTCATAATTGCCCGCAGGGCAGGCTCTCGTTGGGTAAAGGCGATGGGTAACAACGTCTTGCTCTTTTAAGCTCACACCTTTACGAAAACCACATTTTCATTCCAGTAAAAATAAATTTCAACTGGCTTTAAACCCAACCAAAGAGACAGCAGATGTCGCGAAGGCTGATCAAAACTCGCAAGTGAAAACTTCCTTTGAACTATAAAAGATCTCAACGTGCAAGCGAGGAATATTTTTAAGGACTGGAATTTTCAATGATGACATCGTAAAATTTTCCGTAACCTTGATAGCATATTGATGAAGTTTCACTGTAAACAACCACATTTCTCACACTTCGGGTTCACGCGCTGATCTTCACAATCCTACGTTTGGTGTTGGCATAATTTTCTCAACTTTCGTAGAAAGATTTCAGAATTTTCTCTCCCAAACTTTTGTTTTTGCTAGCCGAAACCGGAACAGCATGTTTATTAGCTAGGCAGTTAAATCAAGCGATGTTTTGTTTTGCCGAATTATCATAAATACTGGCTTCGAGTCCAAGGTTCGTCGCCATTTGCACTTAAACAATTGATCAATTTCTTACAATTAACGTATGTCCTTACAATAACGGACTAGATAATTCCATCTATTTTTTTCATATTACAGATCATAAGACATCTGTGCAGGTCATATGACTGCATTGTTTCGCTTTCCGGCCTTGTGTCTGAATGCGCCGTACGTACAGGGAAACCCAGCTTGTCAAATAGATGATGCAATATGAATTTGACAAAAGCTTTTTTTTCTCCCCAAATTTTAACCGGTTAAATTTCAAAGCAGAACTCATAGTGCATTATCTCGACCTTACACAGTAGTATTTTATTGAAAATTTTTAATTCGACTTAAAATAGCATGGCTTTCCTTCGAGCGATTAACAATGACATACGCTTATAAAAATTATTTTGCGGCAGCAACAAGTAGCACCACACGAGTAGCGCCCAAAGTTTGCATCGGATGCTTGGAAATATGCCAACCAAACGCCTTGCGATAAATTTTCAAAACAATCTGGTTGTTTTTGTAAGTTCCTAACATTCTAGTTAAGTTTTCCTACCTTATTGCACTCAACTCCACCGCATCTTTCGGTCTTTTAGCGACATGAGGGATCAATGACAAATGGCTGATTTCCACCATGGGCCAAAAAACACTGAATAGAGCGGCAAGTACACCATAGTATGCTACCGGAACCCACTCCGCACTATCTTCATTGCAAATGAGACACGGGCTAAATACGAACGGCCAAACCAACAAGATACCAACGGTTCCGATGAAATGCCATATCTTTCTATTTCCAAATTTCTTTGTTATTGTCTTTGAGATTGATTTGTCGCATCCATAGCCGATGAACGGGGTGGAAATGGCATCGGCAACTTGTGAAGAGAGAAAAATATATCCAGTACCGGTCGCGGAAATTTTGACGATTTTGTTGAAAAAGATTATAAGATATGTAAACCAAGCTTGAATGCAGAGGTCGTTGAATACATGTCCCACACCGTGGCAAACCTTTTGCTTCACTGAAGTTCTTTCTTCTTTGTGAACAAGCGGTTTGTTCGATTTTCCGCGACCACAAATCCAGACCATTTTGAACTACGCTGGCGTCCTTCTTAACTAAAAAAATTTTGAAGCGAAACCTAAGCGAGCTCAGCTGGAAAAGAGATCGGATGTTAGTGGAAAGGCCGGCTTGGTAGAAATGTCAAGGAAAGCCCTTCATGTGAACAGACTATATTTGGAAGCAAACGTCATTAAAGCATTGTTCTCTTGGCACAAGAGTGACAGGTATGAGGCGCGTGCTCTTTCTTAGCCAATCAAAAGCTTGGAAGGCCTTGAATACAAGAAGATTCCCCAGATCTGCGAACAGGAGATGAAAGCAATATCCCGTGCTCGTTTCAGTGTCAAAAGGTAAAATCGAGAAAAGATTTCTCCTCTTTCTTTATTGGATTCTAAATATTACAAGAAAGTATTCTTTGAAATCTGTTCCGTTTCCCTTGGAGTCTTGTTTACGTCTTCAAAAATAACAAAAAATGGAAATATTGTATTTGTTTAGTTCAATGGTTAAGTTCAATGGGTCATGGCGGTGACGAACCTACGATTTGCATATGAAAGGCAAGTGAAGAACAGTTGCCGAGGTCTTCGTTATATGAAGCAAGCTGAGAAAAGCGTTTAATTCGTCATGTGGAAGAAGGTTAAAAATATGCTTTCCATAAATTTGAATTCAAATAAATGATGAATTTTCGTTTTGAAATGAAAAACAAGCGGAAATGACGCTTCTTAGTCACGTGAAGGATTTTTTAGAGATTGTTCGGGTCTGGTGAACATGAGGAAGTGGCATGATGAAGTCACAAAAATAGTACATTGCATGCAGTATTTTTACTCCGCAGACTCTCTTCCAATTGAGTTCCGCACGGCAGAAACGCGAAATTTGAAATCAAGTCGTGATATTACCTGCGATCAGGTCGTCATGCTTCCTTTTTTCTCTTTGCCCGTTCGCCGACTTTCGCGCTACACAAGGCTAGAGAAAAACGTATAGCAAGAACCCCTGATCGCCTCTCCCAAATCAGTCTTCGATCACCAGGTAGCATGCTACCTACCTGGTGATCGAAGACTGATTAGCAGGACGTTTCAAACGGACCTCACATTCTATTACGTAAGCAGGAGCTCCTGACATAAGTGAAACCCGCTATGGGGATACTCCCTATAATACAAGGAGGCTCCGCCCGAAAGGGGCTCCTTTTTCTGGCTTCAGGGTAGGGAGCCGGGGTAGGGATTCCACTAGTTAAAAGAAGGCGTGCGTGACCGGGCGGTCAACACGTTCTGAACAAAATGTGTGTACTACTGGGGGGGGGGAGGTAATTTACCCTGCGATGGACTTGCATCTCGTCCAGGGGGGAGTAGCAGTAGTCCTAGTCATACCTGATGTTAAAGAAACCGGGATAAGCTCTGGCCATTTGGGCCTTTGGCTCGTGTACGCCTTTAGCTTACCCCTAAAGTATATAATATATAGATTTAGCCAGGGCTAAAAGCGAGGCTCCCATTAGTAAATTTATAATTTAAATTAAACAATAAACTTGTATTCGAATTCCACAATTCAGTGAACTTTAGAGCACATTTATGTGACTTTTGAGGGAAAGGCTACCTGATTTTAGAGAAAAATAATTTGCAAACAGCCCAAGAGTGAACCAAATCTTACATCGAGTTGATAGCCTCATATGTACACTCAAAAACTGGTAATCATCTTTTATCACATTTAAGAGCCGTAATGGCTATTGATCACCGTAGATCAATTAGGCTTAGAAAAAAAACCAGGCCAACGTTTTGGCGTTCGACAAGTTTACTTTGCAAAATCTTGCCAACAAATCTGGGTGCGTGTAAACCAACCTTTTATACCATGGACAGAAAGCAGTATTTCACAATACAAATTGCTCTCATTCAATATTCATAAACTGTTAAAAAAAATTTTCCAAAATCCCCTATACGGCCATCCGGTTCTCACTTTTGTAGTGCGAGCTGTAGCGAGTGTTTGAATGAACATTAACAGAGTTACGCTCCAAGATAATAAAGAATTTATCATGTTTATTTTTTATTTGATGGTTTAACGCGCGGCATTTTGAGAACTCCTGCAAGCGATGTTCACTGAACGACTGAAAACAATCGGCATAGCGATTAAAATTGCAAGAGAGACTACTAACAATCAATAAAAGAAATATAATTCGGTGAAACATAAACAGAGACAACAATTTTCATTCAGGAAGACAAGTATTAAAGTGTCCCTAAATATCCTGAATTCTCAAGCTTCAAGCTTAAGTTTGCTGAAGTTTATGTTTTAAGCCAGCTTCCCGGTGTTTGTTTTTTCAAAGACGAACTCGAGGCAAGAAAATCGCTCAAAGCTTTCTTTTCCGGCTAGAATTATAACTAAAGATTCTTTGGAACATTTTCTTTCTATTTGCGGTGAGAAACTGTCTAAAGGCTTTTTAAAGTTCTGTAAGATTATATCAAACCAGATACTCGGTGAGATCGTTGTCTCAAATCTTACAAACGCGCATAAACTAAATTCCCGCATAAACTACGCTCCACTTCATTAAATTAGATACAAAAAACAAACATGAAATACAATAATTTCTCTGGCTTACCATTCGAGATGCAGCTCCTGAAAGTTATCAGGTAAAGCCAGTATCGCTTCAGACTTTGCAATCCTCTTACGCATCAAGCAAGGTGAAAACGAAAACGATGCCATCCGAAATCGGATTTCCGACTTTGACAAGCGACGTTTTCTCAACCAAAAACCCAATAAACAAACTAGCCATGAGTAACAGAAGACTCCTGATAGCAGCTGAATTTCATTTTGTACATCCAGTGGAAAAAGACAGTTAAAAACATCACAAGTTGACGCAAAACTCTGTCAGCTTCAGCTGTTAAAGTAAACAAGATTCAAGATGCTGCATAAATTTTGCGCATGAACTCACCTGTCAAATTTTGACCAATCAGAGCATAAAAATTGGACGTAGAGCGTGACCAACGCGTGACCATTGTGAGAACAAAAGCAACTGTCTTCCCTGCCTGTAACAGCTGGCTGAATTTTCACGTCCGAGGTCAGTTTGCAATCAAAATTTTAATTGTGCAGCACATAAACACAACATATTTCATATGAATTAAGAAAAAAAATTGAACTTGAGCCTGCGATCACTTGAAAACTAGTTTACTTGTCAGCGGATAACTTTAAAAAATACTTGACCTCCACGGGTCGACACCTGAGCCCGCGATACGGTCAAGTGATACTGGTCAGCGGGTACTCTGTTTTGACAGCTGTCAATTGATCAAAACATTGATGTCCAATATGTGTGCATTATCAGTTTTCCTGTGCTCCCAAACTTGTAAAAGTATGAGATTGAACGTTGTTCGCGATCTAGTAAAACAGTTAACTGGTCAGCGGACAGCTTCCAAATAAATCACGTCACCTCGATGAGTTGACACATGAGCCCGCAATATGGTCATGGGATACTGGTCAGTGGCTATCCTGTTTGGACAGCTGTCAATTGACCATATTGTTAATGTCCTATATTAAAGATGTGGACTTGCCAAGACACGCCTGAGACACCCATCCCTTCCTTTTGATAGTCTCCCCTACCCCACCCATACAATCTGTAGACGCGTACGTACGTACGTACGTACGTACGTACGTACGTACGTACGCTCGGTCAATCACGTGACAACCAAACGAAAAGAGGTTGACCATATTCCATGGGTATGGGGCTCTGTCCCACGCGCGCTTCGCGCGCGCGGGAGCCCCGCTAAAAGGCTACGGTAGAGAAATCTGTCATTTCGGTCTTAAGACCTAAAAGGGCCGGCTGCCCGGCTTCCAGAGGGATTTTATGGCTGTGAAAAAGTCGAGAAAATTTTCTGGTTTTGCGATTTATTATTATTGTAAGGACAGCGCATTTACGGCAGTTAAAAGTGATGCAAAGCTCTAAACCTATGTTTGTGGGATTGGTACTATTTGTCAATGGAAGGTATACGAACCGGGGTAACTTGATTTTCTATTAAACATGGTATATTAGCAGGAGTAATCACTCGGCTCCTGATGTAAGAGGGTGTAGGGGGCTGGACCTCGGGGCGGAGCCCCCCGTATAAACCCTTGCTGAGTGCCCTTCCCCCCCTCGCAATGGTAGGCTTTTTGTACATTGTGCTATTGTAGCCCGAGCGCTTCAGGCCCTGTTTATAAGGAGGGAGGGTAACCCTGGTGCTAACCCTAGCACTCGCATATTTCTTGTTCTCTCACACGACTTGTTTACAAGGGAGGTAGGGTTACCCTAGCAAGAGGGTAACCCTACCTGCCTTTAAACAGAGCCTAAAACGCTCGGCTAGGGATAACTCGCGTACCAGGGTCAGCTTTCCGCCGTTGTGCGTGACTAGTAATCGTGCCAATTTGAACAGTATTATCCAATTTCTGAGCTTAATTATAAACATCTGAAAAATACAAAGTATGATGATAATATTTTCCCTTTTTTCGTGAATTTAATGTGTTTTCCATAGAGAATTTCAAGGTTTTTTCAAATTTTGGAATGTGACGCATGACGAAACGCGTCAGCAAAGCTGGTTGACCCGGATGATAGGGCAACCCTACCCGGCCCTACCTGTGAAATTTGCTTGTAAACCGAGGCTAACTTCAACCCGCTTGCTGGGGTAACCCTAACAAAAGGGTAACCCTCTCTCCTTGTAAACGGGCCCTTAGTGAGGCAAAAGCATTAGGCATTATTCGAGGATTTTAGTGGCTTTTTTTTTTAGGAAATCCCTGCCACCCAGGGACGGGCTGTTCCAAGCTGTGGGTTAAGATAACCCAGGGTTAGTGCCAAATGTGTTTTCAGATATGAAAGCTTAAAAAGCAAATTCAGTTTAATTCTTCTTGTCTACAATGTGATGATTGGATGCTCTAAAATAATAGAGAGAATTGTTCGAGAAGTACTTAAAAAAAAGAAGAAGAAAGAAACACGGAATTAATTTAAATTAATTTAATCTCACTGAGCGCTAATCGGTGTAATCGGCCGTTTGCCTGCGTGCAGACGTCTCCTATTTCCTTTGTTGCACGCGTGCATTAAAAATGTTAACTTGTACGCGATACTGTTATACCATCTATACCACTTGCCCGTTTTTCTCAAGGCGTTATCCGAGCATTTTTGTGGCCATAATACGGGCGTTTAGAGGATTGCATTAAAAATGTTAACTTGTACGCGATACTGTTATACCATCTATACCACTTGCCCGTTTTTCTCAAGGCGTTATCCGAGCATTTTTGTGGCCATTTCTGTTTGTGGGGAGAGGGGAGGGTGGCTGATGAAGGTGGTGGAGCATTTAAGTGGGGAAACAATCGTATAAGCAGGGTGCATTAGAAAAGTGAAACGGGGTGGGTGGGGGAGTTTTGACTTTGCATGTACAGTTTAACCTCTCCACAACGGCCTCCTTGGGGACAGAAGAAAGTGGCCGTTGTAGAGAGGTGGCTGTGAGTCAACCTTCGACTGAAATTTTTTGGTGCCTTTTTTTCTTAGCTTGTACGTACTTTTTCCTCCATCCACGGCTTTATACATTTTCTCCGCCCACCAGAATTCTTGAATTGAGTTCTTTGTTGTTGTATGTTTTTCCACCAGGACAACTCCCCACTACACTTTTCTGATAGTCTGTCCAAAATATGTTTTCGTAGAATTTCAGGACTGAGCAGAAACCCTATAGGGCGTTACCCAAAGTTTTTCAGTGTCTGCAAAGTAATGTGTTCCGGCTGTCCCAGATAACTGTCCCAACCACTGAAGTTTAATATCCACTCAGAAGGATCACATGAAAAAAATCTGTTCACCGTGAAATTTCTCGCATAGACACAATCGGCAGAACTTAAACGTTTGTTGGCGCACAGGAGAAACTTGAATGGGCTCGCGGTGACACGGGTGTATTAAAGTTAGTAATATTCTTACACCGTCATGGGCTCCTGACACCGTACAAAATCTACGTAATGTTTTACGATAAATTTATATAATCACATGTTAACTCTGTGAAAATGAATAGTTAATGCAGCTTCAGTTTATTTTCATTCTGAGTGAGTTTTTAAAGTCTTGACAATCTAATCCTCAAAGGGTTCCTTAGGCAGCTACATTCTTTTGTAGAAAAGAAAGTAGTGTACTTGTCACCCCCTGCGTGTACATTTCATAGAATAGTCAAGTCATACACTCTGACCGCAATCACGTAACGCCGTGGAGCACGCATTTGTAAACAGTTAGGCTTTTGTACATTATGCTTTTGCTTCCCTACTAAAATGCTCCACCTTAATGCTCCATTTTTCCCACTAAAATGCTCGGTCTCCCCAAAAAAGTCACTAAAATGCTCGGATAATGCTCATTATACAAACGTTTTTTAAAAAACAAAGTTTTGTAACAAACAAGTTATGGCCAAAAAACGTTAAGTTTTTGTGAATTTTGAATTTTAGTCTTCATTTTGTTTAAAAAAAGCTCATGGGGCATGGGCTCCTGAAAAAAGGTCGGAAAAATTAATTTTCCGGGGAAAATGCCACTAAAATGCTCGAATAATGCTCAATGCTTTTGCCTCACTAAAATGCTCCAAAAAAGGCTAGCATAATGTACAAAAGCCTATAAACAGTTATGGAAAATGTTAGGGCGAAAACTGCAGGTCACGTGCATAGCGTGGAAGCGGGAGTTCCTGGAATCTTGATGAACAGGGAAAAGTCCGACAAGACAGTGAATATAGTGCTTTCACCGATTTAGTTTAGTTATACTGAAGGAAACCATTGATAATGGTCGCCATTAGCAGCACAATAATACACTTATAGCAACATGTCTTGGAACGAAAGACTTTGGCTTTAAGTTCCTAGACATGTGCGCATCATCACGTGCAGCTTCTTTTAGTTCTTTCTCAGATCGAGCACGCAGTCTCACGCAGATCTGTTAGCCGCGGAAAAACGTGCATCTTAACATCTTTTTATCAGGTAGCATCCTCCTTGGAAAACCGTAGAGTTAAAGGAGAGCAGACCTTGAAGGGGAAAACATTTTGCGAAACACAAGGACCGGTGTACTTTCTTGTGAAAAGATCCGAACAACTAACTTACGATTTGCACTCTTATTAGTATCAGTTAAAACACTAGAGAGCGATTTATCGGGTTGCAGGACGGGTAAGCAAAGCTACCCAGCTTTTGAACCACCGGAATCGGGTGAAAAGTTGAAATATCTCGGGGTCAGGGTTGTCCTGGCGGTTGGCGGGGAATCGGTAGCAACTGGACCACGTAATCGAAATAAACTTTCTGGCAAAACTGACTTAATTCGATATAACATTCAATTGACATTGTGTCCCATCTTCGGTCACCTCTCAGCCCACCAGCAGGCAAAATTTTTGTTTTAGTCTGAAATGAAAGCCAGGCATCCAAAACCGTCCTGTAACCAAGTAACCCGTCCCGGCCGACCAAGCAGAGGGGAATGCGGGGGGAACTGGGGAACAACGGTTGTAAGCACACAGTGTCGGTGTCATAAATCCCAGCATTTAATGACTCAAAACAACTTATTCCCTTAACTCTTCTACTAAAAGCATATGCAGTTTTAAACTTGACTATTATATGCTTTTAAACAATTATTTAATAGCTAGTCTGTAGCTTCACAAAATGTAATGAAGTATGCCTTTCCCATCAACATGTCCTTTCCGTACAATATAAATACGCAACTTATTAAAACGCAAACCCATGATAACCAAGCTAAATTAGTGATAATCTCACTTAAATATCACACAGATAAATAAAGGAATTTAAGGAGACACCAGGGCCAGTGGATTAGTATAAGAATGAATGGGTCCAAGTACACCCGGCTCTGTGGAAATGATCTATCACAAATTCGGCTACCATGCACAGTCCCAATGCTACACGCAATTTTGATTCCAGAATAATCATATTCAAAAATGAACTAATGTTTTTTCAGCAATTGCGATTACGCCGTGGAGGTCTTGATGGCATCTCAGGAGTTCGTTCTCTAGTCTTGCCAGGTAAATCTTATTTTTTGTTTCACCAAGCCTCTTCTCTGTCTCAAGCTACAAAATAAATAAATAAATAAATAAATAAATAAATAAATAAATAAAACTACATATTTAAAAATATGGCAATTGAATCTCCGTTGCCTCGAACATTCTCTAGCAATTGTTACAGACCTCAGAGATATACAATTTTCTTGTAAAACATGGAAACCGCAAAACCATATCATAAATACATTGTGAAAGGTTTCAACCCAGGAGTCATTTCACAAGTAGGTTGAGTATGATTGTCCGGGTGAACGTAGTCCTGAATAGGACTGTTGTTGACAGTGACTGACGTTTCGACAACTTGTACTGTAGTTACCTTGAGTCAAAGAGAGTTGTATCACGTAAGTTGATGGTATTTAACTCTGGCTATTAACCTGGTTGGTCAATTAAGTCGCGATTTATTGGTCGTCTGTCAGTTAAGTGATGTAATTGGATATCTGATCTGTCTGTTGGTACAGTTAAATAGTCGTTTATTGTTAGTCAAATTGTTGGCTGTCCAGTGATTCTCTAGTAGTTACTTTTGCTTAAGTCCGTCAATAAGTTGTTTGTACGATTGACGATTGAGTGGCGTTTGTTCTAAGTTAGTAAACCACCTTTCTAAAATGAGACGTTGATAGTGGTGTGTAGAATACGTAATACAGGTGAGAGAGTTCCAGTCGATTTGACGTTTTGTCTGTAAATGGTGTTCAGCAATGTGATCGTTGACGTCATTATTTCATGTCGCTCGTTTGTGTCCAGCCAGTGGCGTGCTAAGGTTTCTACCGGTTTTCACCAATGTAAGTGGCCTGGCAGTCGCAGCATTTGAAAGCTCCTTGTCTCTCACGAGTGAAACCGGAGAGATCAACAACAGTCCTATTCAGGACACCAGAACGATAAATTACGTGGCCGTATGCCCTGAAAGTATCTCTCGGATACTTTCAGCACGAGAAGATAAAATTCGTATGCCCAAGCGGCCACGTAATGTTCTGTTTATTTTATAGATACTGATGAAATTCCTACGTAAAACACAACTTTTTTTTTCATTTTCGAAACAGCAAAATAGTGCAATTCAGAAGTGGTCACCCATCGCAAAATGCCTATCATAAAAATGTTATGAAACTCGGACATAAAGTTATAAAGGAGAAATAAAGACAATAGTAGGGCGGGAAGCTCTCTTGTAATTGGCTTATCATGTTAGTAACCATACCAATATCCTAACACGTGAAAGATAAAAATAGTATCTTCACTGCGCGCGATGACGATATCATTTTTTAGTAAAAGGAAAAATCCTGGTATTTCATCAGTATCTATATAATAAATATAAATACATTCCTACGGTTCTCAGAGAAGAAGCGAGGTGGACATTTAGAGTCACTACAAACCTCTTTCTTTAGTTGCTGATCAAAAGCAGCTTCGAGTTTCTCTCTCTCATATAAAATCTCTTGTTCAGCTTTTCTGTAGAAAGAGGAAACAAACAGGTATAGCCCATTTAACTAATTTATGTTTGTCTTTGCAATTAGTTTTCTAACTGTAAAACGTTACTACAGTAGAAACGTTGGATTAAAACAGCTACTCGTATGAAGGTAGACTAAGGGTGCTTGCCAAAAGTCAAAATTGGCCGGCCGGACCATGGCCGGACCGGTCATTTTGACACTGAAATAGGCTTTTACCAAGAGTTTTTGGTTAAAAAAACCCCTGTCCTTCGTGCATTCTATGTAGGATTTGACTAATCTGGCTAGATAGCTTTGATTACAAGTGAAATTCTCATTACAACGGGAATGATCTGGCCGGTCAGTTCTGACAAATGGAAAGCACCCTAAGAGTCATGGGAAACGGGACAACAGGAGTTGCTTTCTTTACCCTTCCTGCTGGGTTTATATAATTTGTAATTTTTACAAACGACTTATCAAAAACGAGTTTATTTCTTCGACTACTTGACAAGTTCTCTTTTTCTTACTATCTAATTCAAATTCCGCTAAAAAGATTGGAGACTAATAACAACTTGGCTCTTATGAACTTTACGGAATAAGTGCACAACAAAAGAGGAACAATTATTTAGGCTTGACATTGGGCGATTTCTACAGTATGTTAGAGTAAAAGACAAAACGAAACAAAACATCAATGGACAGTTTAAAAGTGTCTATCACACCTAGCAATGATAATTTCTTTCTCCTTCTGAAGCTGCACTTCTTTATTGTGAATCTCGGCCCTCAAGGAGTCCCTGGAAAACACAGACAAAAACAAACTTAGCATAAACACACATGTAACAATTACCGACAGATGTAAAGGTGATGTGGCACGGGACGATTCGCAACGACGATTTTTAGTGCAACACAGCGTTGCAATGTTGGAACAATGTCGCAGCAATGCTGCAGATTTTTGCTGAGCTAAAAACCATTGTTGCGAATCGTCTCTGTAACATTACCTTTAGTTATCAGTGATGAAGTAAGGTGAGTTCTGACTTCTTTTTATCAACTCAGAGGTTTCACTTTCGAGCTGACTGAGTCTAACGTCAAGGGTTGCGAATTTTAAAGCTATCATCAACAAATTCTTAACTCAAATACTGGTTGTTGCAAAAACGACTTTACAAAAGCTCAGACTTTTAGACATAGAGTCCAATCTTTAACATACTAGTTGTAGCTAGAAAACAAGGAGTTTGTATCAAACAGCTCCTTGGATGTACCAGTAAAAGGCGGCGTGAAAACAATATAATGATTCAAGAGGTAATTCGAGTTTACCAAACCACGACGACGATGGCAACAAGAACGTCAAAAAACAATTTATATAGGAACGTAAAAAAATAAATACATTTGGGTGCTTAAGCAACGACGATGGCGACACAAAACACGAAGTAAGGCACTTTCACGCTGTAGTCGTGCAACGACGGCTAAGAAATGTCCAAAAAAGCGCGATGCAAGTGCAAGAGTTGTTGTTCTGCCAATCATGATCTAAACCTATTGCATTTTTGCTGTTCTCGTTGTCGTTGCTTAAGCTTCCTATAAACAAAAGGAAGGGGGCAATCACCTTTTCTCTTTAGCAATATCATAGGAAATCCCTCCTGAGTTATTCCAGTCTATACATTGCCTCAGCCTTTCATTTGCTTTGACAATTCGTTTTAATTCTGCTTTTTCCTCCTTGAGATGTATCTCACTCTGGGTCATCTTTGAAGGCGACGTGTCAAAAACGGAGCCTGGAGGTGAGTTGGCAGTATCTGACATTGGAGAAATTGCTTTAAATTTTTCGGCACTTGGACTTTTTTCTTGAGATTGTCTTGGAGCCACCAGTGCTTGTCCTGCTGACTCCACATGGGCTTTGGTATTGTATGGTGTGGTTGGCTGCTTTTCTGTCTTTTGGTGAATCAAACCACTGTCTTTTGGTGAATCACTTGCCGTATTTTTCTCTTTCTTACAGCCGTCTACGTCAAATTCACTTTTGACTTCAATCAAATTAGGGTCTACGCTTGCAAGTTTGTACATATCAGAAACGCTCTTCTCTGGTTCCGCAGCAGCTTTAACATTGGCTGTAACAGGATTTCGAAATCTTGGAGCAAAGTTTGATCCTCTGCCAACAGGAACCTGATGTCTTTGTCCTTGTCGTGACACTGGATTCCTTACTCCAAAGCCAAACCTGGGCCTTACTTGACGCTCTTCTCCATGGAAGGGTGATCCAAATGGCATCCGTGAAGCTGCCAAGCTGTTGCTGCAAAAGAGGATTTGGATTCCACCCTTGCAAGTTCCCTGGGTTAAATATACCAGGAGTGAAAAATGGGTGCCTTGGAAACCCAGGCTGATGCCATCCAGATGCCATCAAGTTTGCCAACTGCATGGCCTGAAGTTGTTGGCTCTGCCCTAGCAATTTAGCCAGAGGTGGAAAACCAAATAGTGAATGCTGGGCAAAGGGTTGGTTGACGTGTTGTTTAGGAACGTAGCTCTGTTGTGGCTCAGGTTTGTCAGGGGAATACTGTTCGTGTCTTGTTTGCCCTTTGTTATCTACGTCGCCGTTTTTAGCAGAAGGTTTACCTGATAATGAAAGGCCAACAAAGGGGTTCTTTTTGTCATTAACAACTTGCGCTTTCTCTTGATTTGGACGATGACTAGGCACAGGAGCTTGCTGAGGATGAGGAACCACTGCTACATTGGTACTCATTGGACCAACAGGGCATCTCATGTGTCCCTGCTGGGCAGAGGGTTTATTTACGTCGTTAACAACTCGTACTTGCTCCTGACTTGGGTGATGACTAGGCAGAGAAGCATGTTGTGACTGAGTGACAGCTGAGGAATATTGCATCCTTCTCTGAATCTCTTTGGAAACACTAGTGTTTTCATGACCCTGGACAACTTTCAGTTGTTCCTGTTGGGCAAACGGTGTATTTCCATTATCAACAACTTGCGCTTTATTCTGAATTAGGTGATGACTAGGCACACCTGCTTGTTGTTGCTCAGTCATTGCTGAGAAAACGTATGTCCTACTGGAACCTTCCCTGTCAACACCACTGTTCCCAGTCGGTGGACCCTTTTGAGTAATGGGTTTAATTGCTTCACTAACAATTTGCACTTTCTCCTGATTTAGGTGATGCCTAGGCACAGAGGCTTGTTGTGGCTGGATGACTGCTGAGGAATTCTGTGTCTTTCTTTGCCCTTCCTTACCAACAGAAGCATTCTCAGGGCAAAAAGGGGCACGTGGTAAACCATGTTGGACAACGGGTGGCCCTCTTATCTGCTCTGAACTGGGGTGTTGAGTTGATACCAATGGTGGTTTAGGGTCAACCATTCCTGATGAATTTGGTGCTAGTTTCTGGTTTACTACGTCTAAATTAGTGACCACAGGATAAGGAGGGTCGGTCATTAGGCCGTGGTGAACAGGGGATGAATTAGCGTGTCTGCCTTTATTCATCGGATCCTCAAGGCTGCCTTGTTGTGATTGGCTCTCCTGAGAGGTTACTGCTGAAAATTGTGCTTGTTTCTGTCCTCTGAAAAAACCGCTATTCACAGCAGCTTTAGGTTGCTGGTGTTCATGGTGATTGCCAAGTTGACTAGTTATACCGCTTGGCTTGGTACTACAATCTCTAGCGGAGTCAAAGGAACACAAGCCCATGTCACTGTAATGATTTCTGCTGGGTGGACCATGGCATCTGCTATCAGGATTATTTGTATATCCAGCACAAGTTTCCAGCCCATACTGACTATTATCCGTGCCTTGTTCAGCCACTGAGGGACAGTCATCTCGTTTTTTCGAGATTTCCTCTTCTTCGCGATAAATTGTACCAGGCGATAATGACAATTGCCGGGAGGGTGAAGAACTTGTGCTTTCTGACTGACTTGACTCGGAGGCATGTCCATGAGAGGGGCTCACACTGTGACGAAACTGACAATGCTGCCCGGTTGGTCTTTCTGGTGAAGTTGAACCAACACTGACAGAGTCGCTCAGTGAGCTGTTACATGCATCCTTTGGTGGAGAACCCGGGGAACCAGAGGTTAAGGAATCGTTATCTGGGCCCAATCCAATGCTTCTGGCAAGGTCAGGAGGAGAAAAGGGCAGAGAACTTGCTTCAGGAGAGCGTTCATGTCTCTGTGGAGTTTCTAAAAGCTCTTTCTTGTTAGCTCCATCGATTGCAGCTGAGCCAGTCACTTGAGGTTGAATACTGCCAAACCCTCTGTACTGCTCTTGGCAATTGTCTGTGAGATGTACTGCACTCAAGGACTGCGCTTTTTGTTCAGGCCCAGAATTTCTAGAAAAGTAAAGTTACTGACGTTAGTTTCGTTTACTTTCCTTTATTGGCAGAGCTTTAATTAAGGGCCATAACCCGTTATACCTGTTACGGCTGAGCTCAGCTGATGTTAAGGGTGATCAAAGTGGAAAGCTTAAGGTGGCACTATAAATTTTTGTGAGATGTTAAGGGTGAATCTTCACTTGCTGCGGCTGCTTCAAAACTTAATGACAGCCCTGATTGGCACATCCTTTTGCAAACTTGTTAGCCGGTCACCCTGTCCGCAGCAAATCAACCTAACTGTCAGCTTGTCATCATGTCAGTCTATCAAAAAGTCAGTATGTCAGCCTGACATTAATTTGTCTTCTGCATGCACATGGCATTATTAGGCCAAATTCGATTTTGCATTTTTATGGACTTAAACGGAGTTGCCGAATTCATTTTGTGTTTCTTGCCATTCTAGATCTTGAGCCGGAAATCCTTAGCAAGCCCGTCTTTCGCACTCAGGGAACCAATCAGAACACATAGGATTCCTTCTTTCTTACCCATTTGGAGCGACAACCATTTAATAAGCAGAGGGTGTTACCAGTCGAGGGAGGGGGCAACAAATCAAGAACACTTTAAAAGAGAATCAACATTAATAACCATTACAGTGGTAGCTCTCCTAACAGACACTCTCGAAAGCGGACAGCTCTGCTTACGTTCGCCTTCACAAAACCCAGTTTTTCTTAACTCCCATAAAATCTCTATATTTTTACATCCCTGGAAGTGGCCAGCTTTGGTAACAGACACCTTTTTCGTGTTCTGAGGATGTCCGCTCATGAGAGCTTTCACTGTAAATAATAATGATGAAGAGACGTGCAAAAGGAAACTCCTGGAAAACGTAATACCAAATGTGTAATAGACAGTACTAGAAAAGCAAGAAGAAACTAGAATGAACATCTCATTACCCATTTAACTCTCTGAGAATCCAAGGTGAGCATGGAGATCCCTCTGAACCAGATGGCAGTGTGTGTGTATCTGCAGAAAGACTGGCTACTTTCCTGACTATTTCCTGAATTTTATTCATAAGCTCTTCTTTGTTTTCTAGAAAAAAAACTTGAGAATTAGATAAATATAATGAAAAAACAACCTTCACATGGAAGTTACACATGACACCTACTGAGGCAAACTCGTTCTTAGCTAAAGCTTAAAAGGTAAAGAAACAATCTTAGAGATAGGACTGCAATGAAACATTTTCGCATCATACAAAAGTGATCGCAATCTAAGGGTCACAAAACAATACATCATATGATACATTCCAATGTGTGACAAGACTAGTTACCAACATAATTTATTACGAAGCTGTGCTGACAAATTAAGTGTTTTTGCATGTGAGGGGTGGAGCTGACAAGGTGCAAATACATGCATGGATTTGTACACCATGAAAAACATGCAAAGCAGGGCTGGTTACTGTTAGTCCTACAAAAGCTAAAATGCAGGGCAGGGGCAAGGAATAATTTAAGGCACTGATTTCACAATTTTTTCGATGTAGCATATTTCTCTTGCATCATACAGGGCTGTCATTAAGAGCCTGGGACCAGGGATTTCCCCTGGCTAAACTATGAACATGGTCCCCAGCTACTTTCATGGGAAAATAAAAAAAGAGAAAAATAAAACTAAACGAAATCCCTAGTTCTTTGATTCCCCGCCTACTTGTTGTACTTTAACCCACCAAACTGAAATCTTAGTGACATCCTTCATCATAACATGGGTGTGATAACTCGTTGAAATATCCATATTTATATCACAGGAAAAATGTGGTAGGTCATGGGTACATTTCAGGTGTACTGTTGCAGCTCTACTTATGATGTTCTTGAGGAATATAAATTTAAATTATTAAAGCGCTCTAGTTTCTGTTGATGACTTTTAGAAGAAAACAGTGACACAACATCAAAACATAACTTAGGCTACTGGGCTCTCTCTGGAGGAGTACTTGCCAAAGTTGACCAATACAACAGTAAAAAGATTACTGGAAAAGTTTTAACTAAAGATGCATGCACCGTTTGAATTTCCTTGTACCTTGTCCACTTATAGCTGTAGAGGATTTCAGTCTTGTTGCAGAGCAACGTAGCTTCCAAAGGATCATTTTCTCCTGGGACTCCTCAGTAGACATGGACCGATATAAATGCTCAACCCTTGGATAATCATTCCTCAAAAGTTTGTCCTTCTCTGTAGAAAGAGCAACACATGCAGTCAGGTCAACAACAGAGTTAACTTATTCTTGCTTGGTAAAATTCATAGCTCATCCTCAAACTTCAAAGTTAGCAATTTCATGTTACAGGTGTAAATATCAATAGAAATAATGAAACTCAGATGCCTCAAATTGAGACATTATTTTTTTTGTGCGATATTAACCATTTAAAATTTTGAAACAAATGTCAGGGATCGTGCATGACTTAGCTGTTTACCAACATTTTGTTGCAAATGATCCATTACTAGCAGAGACGAATATAATACTTTTGCTAGTATATTTTTTTTTTGGGGGGGGGAGGGGAGTGGGTGGAGGGGGATATTATAGTTTGGTTTTCGTGTAACCAAAATAAATATACAGCTGTGGATTTTAACCTTTCTAAATGGGGCAAGATGATCTAAAAGTTGCCCAAATAACTGGCAGAAAACAGTCTCAATGGTTTCAATAGTAAGGCCAAAGGACTTGTGAAAGAAATGCTTCTTTAAGCTCCTAAACTGAACAAATGTGGGCTCCTTTTCACAAACAAGACTACAAGATTCCTCACTTTCACATGAATATGTTGTGATTCAATTTTATTATTGGTTTAAATTTTAATTTCCTTTGTTTTTGGGTATAGTAATACAAGATAATGAGTTCGAACAAAAGAAAATAAAATTTAAACCAAGGATAACACATTGAAGCACAACAAATATAAAGGATCAGTTTAATATGAAGTCAAAACCCTAATCTGGTATCCAGATCTCTTGTTGATGAAGCCAAAGGCGAGATCTGGTCAAATCTAGTTTGTACACGTGATCCCCTGTCAGGAATGTGACTGGCGAAAAAATAGCACATGCTCAAAATAGAGCCGTGACGTTTTCTCTTAACAGAACGTGTTTATATGCATATCTTAAGTATGAAAAACTAATTTGTTGTTGCTTTTCTATGTAACATCAAATTCAAAGCCACAGCTAGTGAGTTAAAATTTAATTATCATAGTGTGTGCTCAAAGCAGTAAGTGTCATCTTCTAGGCAAGAATTATTTTACCCATTTCAAAGGTCTTAATTTTGATACCAAAAGAGAGAGTTTTAACAAGTCTTTAAAGATGAGATAAAAGCGGTTTTACAACTTATGTTGAGACAAAGACTACTTCATCAGTGAAAATATTTTGAACAGAACTACTGAAGACTTTGCAAAGAATGAATTGCACAGGAGCAGTAGTGCAGGAGACCACTCTCACGTCATTCACTCACAGTCTAGCCAATCAAAAAAATTGAATTTTTCTACTTGGCCAGATCTTGCCTTCAGCTTTGTAAACAAGAGATCTGGGTACGAGATTATCAAAACATGTAAATTGGTCACTATATGTTATGCCAACAGGTCATGCAAAAACACAAAAAAGGACACTACCTACATTCTTTTCAGGACTATGGTTTTTATGCTTACAAACCAACATATTACATTCTTTCACAAACATTCAGTACACTTTGAGAAAAATTCAGGGAGGCCCAAAGCTACAAGAACCTATGGAATACAGGGTGCCCAGCATTTAAGAGTCTGAGTGAGTGGAATAACTACAAATGGCTGGCCAGGCTCAGAAAATTGCCAATTCTGATAATTTACCACAAAAACCCCACAAGGTAACTATGTTTGAAAAACATATTTTAACTTTCTAAAAATGTACAGTTTTCAAGATAACAAGGGAAAAGAAAAAAGCAGTTTTTACCTATTTGAATGTGCAAAAATCACAGTAAACAACATGAAAAATAAAAAAAAAACTAGGTGCTCCTTACTTGCGTTTACTAAGTAATATAGTTTCATTCTCTGATCAAGCTATTAAAATAACATCTCTGCATAGATAGGTTAATCATCATGTTTACGTCAAATGGCAAACATTAATTTTCCCTTATGCCTGTCGCCCACTATTAATTATTTCTACACATAAATTAGTGGTTTCATGCAATCCATAAGAATTTTCTGGGTTGTTTATATCTGTTCATTTTTTATTTTGAGAAATTCTCAACTTGAAACTAATGTTTGCTCTTTGCCGTATATGTGAAGCTTAAACTCTTTGATATTAAAGGAGGAATTGCATAGCCACATTGGCTGAAAATTTGGACAAATTCTCTTTCAAGACCTCAAAAGTTCACACAAAATGTATGGCTCATTAAGGTTTTGCCATCCGGCAATTTTGCAGATTTTTATGGTTTATACAGCTAGCAAAGAGCTGAAAATTCCAAAAATTGCTCAAGTCAACCAGTTCTTTCAATTTCTGAGCTTAATCTGTTTATATGGTGATGCCCTCTATGTGTAAACTTGTAAGCCAATGAGTGAAAATGTAAGCAACAATGTCAGCAAAGTTTTGCTTTTTTAACTCACCAATATCCACCTGGCACTGGAACATGGATTGGTATATTTTCCCAGATCAATGCAGCCAAAACATCAAAGTTTCCTTTATGGATTTAACCTCTGAAGATCTAAGACCTGGGGACTCTCACTTCTACTTTAACCCCCTCCTTGCAAGATATCAACAGCCAACCCTTCCCCCCTGATAAACACAAATCGACCAAAGCCTTCAAATATTAATTGTAACACAGGTAAGGGTTAGGACATTTAGGTCTTACATCAGGTACAGACCATCAAAATTCACTTAAAAGAAAATATTATAACTATTTTAACAATAAAAAAACATTAAGCAAAAAATTTAATGCCCCAGAAACTGAACTATGAATATCGAAAATGATTCAAATTTTTGGTGGAAATGGGTTAAATTCCAAACTAAATTCCAAAAGTAGATCTTATCCAAGAGATTTGGCGACCTTAAGGGAGACCAGAAGATTGGTTCCGTATCTAGGAGCCAGATAAACCAGGAGGGTTGGCATTGAAGGTTTCAGTGCAAGAATGACACCTTGATTTTTTGGTCATTTTTGAAGGTTCTTCAAAATTACCGAATTTTTGCTTGTCACTTTAGTTTTACTACACAAACACGCCTCTGAACTTCTATTTTTTACTTTGTTTTAAAGAAATAACATATCATTTATTCATAAGCTGAAAGTGCACAGCCCTGCACTACGAGCCTCAGCGCTCCGGAAGTTAAAAAATTCGTACCGTCTGGTTGCTATGAAGTGACGCAATCATCCAGTTGAATATCCATCACCGTAACACTTTTGCGGTCAACTACTGCAGCGCTCGTAAAGTACTTTAATTAAAACCGTGTTCAAAACCCTGTAGGAAGTCTGTTTATTTTTGAGTCGATTAATGCACTGCTGACTTTCACGAGGTCAACTTTTGCATAAATTATCAAACATTAGATTAAGCGGGAAATCTACCTATGGTTCGCGGGAGAAGCAACTTCTATAGCGGCGCAAGACAAATGTTTCGAGAGTCGAGGATGTGCTCACAAACTATTCACTATGCGACGAAAGGAGAAATCACTGGCATGATAGCTGCATGTAATAGTAATTTTATCAATCCAGGTCGCGCCGTGTTCGCTCGAGAACGCTGTGACAACCTCGTTTGGCGCGCTTCTCAATACTTCCAAAACATGTTGTAATCGGTAAGTAGACTTAAGCACTTAGTATCGCCAAGCCATTCGAATCAGTGTATACCCAATTCTTTGTCTGAAGATTCTCGCAAACACATATACCAAGTAAACCTGGATGGAAGAGGAAATTGTCTCCCTAAACGCAGCCAGATTATATTTTGAAGGATGGTGGCACAATTCAACGTGTCTTCAAGGTCAGCCCTAATTTATAGTTGGTAAGAGTATAAATTGCGATCTTCCTATTAAGCTTTCTTTGATAAAGTAGAAACAAAACAACGCAGACATGACATTCTCCTGCATGAGACACAATCGGCTGAAGGAAATATCTGTTTACAAGTCGGGTAAATTATCCATTCTTGCGCACCGCAAAATCAGGTAAAATCAGTCGCTGGAAACCTGGCATATTATTAAGCCTGAGCGCTTCTAAGAATAACAAGTTTAGAACTTCGGACGCCAGAAAAAAAAAAAGGCAGTTGTTCTATATCCTTTCTGGTTCATCCAGGTAGAAGTCCTGGCATATTATTATGCCTGAGCGCTTCTAGGATATATAACACGTTTAGCATTTCAAACCGTAGCCATAAAAATAAAATTAGGCAGTTGTTCTATATCCTTTCTGGTTCACCCAGGTAGAAGTCCTGGCATAATGTTATTATGCCTGAGCGCTTCTGGGATATATAACACGTTTAGCATTTCGATCCGTAGTAAAAAAAAAAAAAATTTAGGTAGTTGTTCTATATCCTTTCTGGTTCACCCAGGTAGAAGTCCTGGCATGATGTTATTATGCCTGAGCGCTTCTAGGATATATAACAGGTTTAGCATTCGACCCGTGTAAAAAAAAAAAAAGTAGGCAGTTGTTCTATATCCTTTCTGGTTCACCCAGGTAGAAGTCCTGGCATGATGTTATTATGCCTGAGTGCTTCTAGGATATATAACACGTTTAGCATTTCGATCCGTAGCGAAAAAAAAAAAAAAAAAAAAATAGGCAGTTGTTCTATATCCTTTCTGGTTCACCCAGGTAGAAGTCCTGGCATGATGTTATTATGCCTGAGCGCTTCTGGGATATATAACACGTTTAGCATTTCGATCCGTAGCCGAAAAAAAATATTTAGGCAGTTGTTCTATATCCTTTCTGGTTCACCCAGGTAGAAGTCCTGGCATGATGTTCTTATGCCTGAGTGCTTCTGGGATATATAACACGTTTAGCATTTCGATCCGTGAAAAAGCCGAAAAAAAAAAATAGGCAGTTGTTCTATATCCTTTCTGGTTCACCCAGGTAGAAGTCCTGGCATGATGTTCTTATGCCTGAGCGCTTCTGGGATATATAACACGTTTAGCATTTCGATCCGTGAAAAAAAAAAAAAAAATAGGCAGTTGTTCTATATCCTTTCTGGTTCACCCAGGTAGAAGTCCTGGCATGATGTTATTATGCCTGGCGCTTCTGGGATATATAACACGTTTAGCATTTTCGATCCGTGAGCGAAAAAAAAAAAAAAATAGGCAGTTGTTCTATATCCTTTCTGGTTCACCCAGGTAGAAGTCCTGGCATGATGTTCTTATGCCTGGCGCTTCTGGGATATATAACACGTTTAGCATTTCGATCCGTAGCAAAAAAAAAAAAAAAAATTAGGCAGTTGTTCTATATCCTTTCTGGTTCACCCAGGTAGAAGTCCTGGCATGATGTTATTATGCCTGAGCGCTTCTGGGATATATAACACGTTTAGCATTTCAACCCGGAGCCGTAAAAATAAAATTAGGCAGTTGTTCTATATCCTTTCTGGTTCACCAAGGTAGAAGTCCTGGCATGATTTTATTATGCCTGAGCGCTTCTGGGATATATAACACGTTTAGCATTTCGATCCGTAGCCGAAAAAAAATATTTAGGCAGTTGTTCTATATCCTTTCTGGTTCACCCAGGTAGAAGTCCTAGCATGATGTTATTATGCCTGAGCGCTTCTAGGATATATAACACGTTTAGCATTTCGATCCGTAGCCGAAAAAAAAAAATAGGCAGTTGTTCTATATCCTTTCTGGTTCACCCAGGTAGAAGTCCTGGCATGATGTTCTTATGCCTGAGCGCTTCTAGGATATATAACACGTCTATTATTTTGATCCGTAGCCGAAAAAGAAACATGATTAGGCAGTTGTTCTATATCCTTTCTGGTTCACTCAGGTAGAAGTCCTGGCATGATGTTATTATGCCTGAGCGCTTCTGGGATATATAACACGTTTAGCGTTCGACCCGAAGCCGAAAAAAAAAAATTAGGCTGTTGTTCTATATCCTTTCTGGTTCATCCAGGTAGAAGTCCTGGCATGATGTTATTATGCCTGAGCGCTTCTGGGATATATAACACGTTTAGCGTTTCGATCCGTAGCGAAAAAAAAAAATTAGGCAGTTGTTCTATATCCTTTCTGGTTCACCCAGGTAGAAGTCCTAGCATGATGTTATTATGCCTGAGCGCTTCTGGGATATATAAGACGTTGGCAATGAAATCGACCGCAGACTTTAAAATGTTCTTTTTAGAAGGCACAGAATTATTTTTTCCGGACATTTTGTTTGATACCGCATTTTTAATTAATTTTATTTGTCGCCTCAGGATGATGACATGATTGCGTGAAAATTGACGCCTCTATCATATTAGATGCGAAATACGATCAGAGATTAAGGGAATAGGGAATGTTGCAAGCTACTGGGTATCCAGCTGAGATAGCTGACTTTTACTCAGCTATCTCAGCTGGATACTGAGGAGTTTTTTTGGTTGCTAAGACCGTGCAGCTCGTTATGGTTGGTGGTTCACGTGTAAAAATTTTACACACAGTTAATGTACTAAAGGTGTACTCACTGTCTTGAGGCAAATCACTTGGATCCTCTCCTTGTAATCTGTCTTTGGTCTCACAGGCATATTCCACAGTTATAGTCCGGTTACCAAGGAGACGGCCATGGAGCAAGGAAACTGCATCATGGCATTCTCCAAGGGTGCAAAATCTTATAAATCTGAAGGAAATAATATACAACTTTTATAACCATTGCTCATCAAAGTGGAGTGGAATTGGTGTAAGAAGTCTAGTTATACTAGGTTGTACCATTGCACAAACTGACCTAATGCACAGTCACACCAAAGCAAAGCTATAAAATTAATAACATTATAAAAACATTTTATAAAACCAAAACCAAAACCAAACCAAAAATTAATTAAAATAAAAAAAATTAAGGCAACATATATATCAATGATGAATTTTGCCAAAGTTGCAACACTTGTGGAAAGTCTAAATTCTTCTGTTGATAAAAAATTAAGACCACTGAAAAAAACCATCTACAATCAATCTTGCTTTGACAATAATTTGCAATACCGTACTTTTTAAACTTTGGTTACTTCACCTTATTTCAGAAATTTAAAGGCTTAATGGTATCATATTAGTGAGCCTCTACTACAATAAAAGAAACTAATGAGATCAGAAAACACTTTAAAAAGCTGGAAATTCTCTCTTTAAATCAATTGATAAGCTGTTTCACGTGACACCCAAGTATTTTCCACCCTCGTTTGTGCGCGTACCACGTGGGTCGCGCGGTACCTCAGCATGGTCACGCGGGTTTACTCGCGATTAACTTTTACGTGGACGCCGTTTCACTCGCGTTCCGGAGAAGAGACCCGGTTTTTAATATCTTAAAGGAACGCAAATAGTCCTTTAAACCTTTAAAACACAATACAGCTATTGAACCTCCAACTTCAGAAAGCAACAAAGCGTAAAGCATGGCTATGGATCCAAACGACTCCCTGAATCCAGACCGCTTCTCCGCCATATTGGAAAACCAACGCGCCATCATGGTGAATCAAGCGACCATTCTTCATAACCAAAACAAGATCATGCGAGGCATGGAGCAGCTATTCTCATTCTTCCCTACACTGCAAGGCTCTTTTCTAAGCCAGGGCACGACACCTACCTCAGTTAGCGTTACTCCGGTCGTTTCCATTCTTAACAGCAGTGAAAACTCGCGAGGCGAGCAGCCACCCTCCACCGCCACACAACTTCCAGCTGATCCGCCTTCTTGCGTTTCGCCTTCCCCGCGCGTGGAAACCACTACTCCCATCAACACTCCTACAAGGCCTCAAGCTCCTTTGAATACCAACACGCCATCGATGGTTACTAATTCGGTGAAAACTCTTGGTTCGAGCGAAGATTCTGACAATGAGAACGAAGGGCCGACTCCACCGCTCGTTACAAGGAAAGTCCTTCCCGAGTACATCACCCCGGAGGAACTAGCTCAAATCAAATGCAAGAGCTGCTCCATCGGAAATTTTGCAGTGCAGCTGCTGCGACATATTTTTGACCAAAGTGAACTGGAAAATAAGAATTGTACCGGTACAAGAGGGAAAGAAGCAGTTGACCCAGATCGACTTCGCTTCGTGAAGGACACGGTGTACGATGTCTACGCGATCTCTTCCGACGAAAAAATTAATACCTGGAAGCACTGCATCAGAGCAATTGATGAATTTCTGAGGCGACCAAAACGAATGTCTAAGGGAACTCCGAAAAAGGCAACGCTGTTTTAGAGTGAATGAACAGTGGCCCTGGATTTAACATTCTTTGGGTTTGTACTTTTCTTAGATCCTATTGTAGGCCAATCCACAAATTGAAGGGAGGGGTGCGAGGGGAACGTTGTTGGCACCGCATCTCAAATACTGGATTCCTTCATTAATTTTTGTGTGCGTTTATATCCACTTTATATAACAGTTAACAGATTAAGTGTGCCCGGAATTTTGGAAATTGTTTTTATGATGTTTGGAATAGTTATTGGCTTAATCCCCCACAATAAATTTTTGTATTTTAAAAAGTTGTCCTAAACTAAGATAAGTTAATTAACAGTACTATTATTGCAGGGCCCCTATACTTTTTACTTGAAGAATGATTGGACCTACAGTGTTTATCCTTCATCAGTGGCAGATCTAGGCAAAGGGTTGTACCCCAAGGCGAGAAAATTTTTGAGTCCCCCCTTCCCCTATAACTGCAACTGGCCATGAAGCGGACTGAGGTCTTTATTCATGTTTTTGTATTTTGTGATTTCAAATGTCATGATTTTTGCATGTATGTGTGAAATGGACAGTTGTTTTCACATTATTACTGATTTTGCAGAAGTGCAGGCTACCCCATAGTTTACCTGGAATTCAACCATTTGTTTTGAAAATTTGAAAGGCTTGTTCATCTTTGTCTCATGATGGTCACTTTGTTATTAATCATGATGTTTAGACTGCATACTGCTGGTCTGCTCTTCAGGAGATGGTATCAATTATTTATGGGGGGGAGTTAATAGCTTTACTATTGTTGACGCCAGTGCCTTATAAACGCCAGTAAACCATGGTTGAAATGATGCAATAATATTAATAACACCGTGACTGTCCTGTGAAAAGCCATCAATGGTCCTATCACTGATATAACATGATGAATAATATTGTTTCTTGTATTGGAATTTTTTGACATAAATTAAAGAAATTAGAATAAATTATTGTAGTTGATACATTCTCTGATCTGAATGGCTATCAGCAGCCCTGATTTCAGCATTGTTAAGTCATCACGTTGAGTGTATGACGCCAATTATTATTATTAGTATTTTGAAAATACAGTCGACTCCCGATAATTCGAACCTTCAAGGGAAATAAAAAACAGTTCGAGTTATCGGGAGTTCGAGTTATCGAGGGTAAAATTATATAGAAAACGATCCGAAGGGAAATGAAAATTGCTTCGAGTGAGCGGGAGGTTCGAGTTAGAGAGGGTTCGAGTTTCTGGGAGTCGACTGTATGTGCCATCAAGCACATGCCCTTCAATGTTTTTTTTAATGTTTTGCAAAAACTCATGGAAGATCTTAATAATTTTATTGATTAATATTTTTATTGCTAACTGAACTTGATCCAATTCAGTCTGTTATCATACTCATGATTAAATAAACAGCAAGTAACTTGATCCCAGTAAGTGTTTTCAATTTTCCTTTGAGCCTCAAGGAAAGACTTTGCTTAGAGGCTAAACGTCAACAAATAATTATTAGAAAGATACTTTCTTTTCTGATATTGCCTTGGTAGGGATTTCTGTTTGGTTATGGCCCCAACATGTATTTTGTTTCAGCTAGAAAAATCAAGAAAAGTCAACTCTTCAAGCAGTTGTTTTACATGTAACTGTCTTCTTATTTAAATTTCAAGTGACAGTTCTGTGCCAAGAAGATTGTAATTTTGAATAAATTTTCTATTATTGTTATGATTTGATTAATGATAAAGTAAAAAATGTGAGTAGTGTAAAATGTTGTACTTTGCTTCACCCTTTGAATAGTCTGGTCCCTGTAACAGTGAGAGTTCATCACAGCATGCGCATATGTCAACAGAGAAAAGAAAAATCTAATGGAGATTTTCTTTCAACACACTGTTTTATCTAGGCAATTTTACAAAACTAGTTTTGTTGTATGACCTCTTCAGTTGTATGCCACACAATATTTGAAATAACAGACATGTCACATATCAATGCAGGAAGAATAACAAAAGATAGCAAAAACATGAACAATCCTCCCTAATCACGTTATAGGGTTACAACAAAAATCTGGCAGAATTGTTCATCATATCAGGATCAGATCAACATTGTCCCAGCATGCTGTATAGGTGTCATGAAGGGGTGACAGAGATCAGTCCTTCCCTCCCAGGGTTCTTAATAAGAGCCAGCTATTTCTCATGAACTTGCCACCTACTTTTCTTTGGAAATGACCTCCACAAAAGCCAAAATTCAACGATGTCTGTGTTCTGTTCAAACACTCTAATTTTTGCTCCAGAGTGCTGGAAATACATTCTAAGAGGCCGAGATTTAAACACTTTTGCCACGGGCCATGCCCCCAGACCCCGCTAGTAACTTGCACTTTCAGCACTTGCAAGTTGCCCCTGTGGTGCAAGTTTTTTTTTTTCCTTCTCTGCTTACTCCAAAGCTTTTGCCACCTACTTAAAACCTTATTGACAACCCAGTTTTCAAACCTTTTGCCAGGGGGCATGTCCCCGGACCCCCCTAGTAACTTACACTTACACTTTCAGTGCTTGCAAGTTGCGCCTGTGGTGCAAGTTTTTTTTCCTTCACTGCCTACTCCAAAGCTTTTGCCACCTACCTAAAACCTTAATGACAACCCGGCATGTCCTTTTTAATACATCATTTCTTTGCCTTATGCCTGTCCTACTTGCAGTTTGTACATTCCCCACCTTCTTCTGCTTTCAAAATCAAAGATGAATACTGAAAGGGTTTTCAAGAAGCTTAAGCTATTAGTGAAAATTGCAAAAACAAGATATTAACCAAAAGTATCACTAAGATTAAGGACCACTTCAATATTACAATAAGGCGCTGGACCTGTACGATGTTGAGGAAATCAGAACCTGGAGAAAAATCTGTCCCAGGTGCAAAATAGCAAGGCCTCTCCTGTGCCTGCCAACATGCTGCTTCTAGCGATTTGAACTTCTCTTTTGTTTCCTTTTGATTTTCTTGTTTATATATCAGTAGCTCTAGTTTTTTTTTTTTTCAACGATTTTTTTTTTTTAAAATTATCGAGGGATCCACTGTAATTGGTTAGGCTGTAGTGGTCTCCCTGCCTAAGAATTTTTATGTATTCATGTATGAAGATTGTATTCTAGTTAGGCGAAGCTAAATAAATATATGAATGAAGGCCTTTCAGACATTGATAAGTGGATGTCCATCAACAGACTAAAACTAAACAAAGTCAAGACTGAGCTTCTCTACTTATTCTCAAAGTATAATCCACAACAATCTCTACCACCGCTTCGCTTTGGAACTGACGTAATCAAGCCCTCTTCAAATGCAAGAAATATTGGCGATATCTTCAATACCACTATCATGTCAATGCTTCCCCATGCCAACAATGTTTGTAAATCTGCCTTTTATCATCGTCGCACCATTTCCCGCATAAGGAAATACTTATCAACGCAAACTACTGATATTCTTATTCACGCCTTTGTAACTTCCAAACTCGATCACTGAAATTCTCTACTATATAATGTCCCTAAAAATGTCATCAAACAGCTTCAATTGGTTCAGAATGCAGCTGGTAGACAGATAACATGCGCCAGGAAGTGTGATTACATCACTCCCATCCTCTTCGATCTTCACTGGCTACCAGTTTCTGAACAAATTAATTTCAAGATTCTACTACTTACCTTCAAGGCTCTGCATCAGCAATCTCCAACCTACATTTAAGACCTAATCACCCGCTACTTACTGTCTAGATTGCTTCAGTCATCTTTTATGCTCAGTCTGAATCCTGTTAGCTTTAACCTTAAGACCTATGGATCTAGAGCATTCGCTGTCTCAACCCCCAAACTTTAGAACAAACTACCTGATGACATACGCTCATGCAAGAATCTATAAACTTAAAACCTACCCATTTAAGAACTATTATTTTAGTCATTAGGAAGATTTATTTCATTTTATATGTGTTTTATTTAAATTTAAATTTGTTTTACTCAATTTATTTTAATTCTAATTTTTTCACTTTGTTAAGCACCTAGATCATTACTGGATAGGCACTATAAAACTGTTATTATTATTATTATTACCTTTTTTCTTGTTTATTACTGAAACCAGCTCCCCACTCAAAAGTCAAATAATTGTCCCCATTGCAGGGGGAGGGGACACAACCCTTCTGTGTAATGCGTCCCCAACTTTGTCTTTTTTGTCCACTTTCCACTAAAAATTTGATTGGCTCTGCCACAGGCAGCCCAACAAAAACTTTATTGAACAAGGAAAAGCAACTAATACAGCTGAAGGTAAAAAAATAATATTATCAAAATGATCAAACATTGCAGTATCCCTCAATACTGACCCATATGTATAGCCACGGTCTCTCCCTGGTTGTAAATGGGCATCTTGAACACTTCCAACTTCACTGAAAAGCTGCACAAGCTCTTTCTGTCAAAAACCAACAACAAAACAAACAACAAGAAAAGAACATGACTCTTAAAAAAGGGAAGAAATGTTTTTTTCTTACTAACATTCTTACCAAAGGTTGCACAATTTGTTTACCACAGAATTCTTGAGATTCTAGGTTTAGAAAAAAGGATTTTTACAGCAACTCTGCCATTGAATAAAATTTTCAATTTTTTAAGTCAACCCTATCAATCAACAACTACATTGTGATTGACTGGTATATAATGTTGATCTTTATTTATTGCCGTCAATCATGTATGGAGAGTCATACAAAACAAAAGTAGTAATAAGAGAGAATCATTCATGTTTTGTTCACAAATCATTAATAGGTAGTAATAACAGAAATACCTTTGTAATGTCATAAGGCAAATGCCCTACATAAATAGAGTAAAGGCTCCTTCGCCAGTTGTGAAGTTCACGAGGTGACATGTTTCTAGTCGCTGTCGTCCAAGCAGAGTCTATACCCTCATCTTCAATTAGAAAGATCATTTAATTAAGTTAGATCAATTTAAACTGAAAAATAAGAACTGCAATTTGCCTCATAGAATGGTTGTCACACCAGAAGCTGTGGGTGTTTGGTCAGAACTGACTGGCCAGACCAGTCATCTTGAAGGCTTTTTAAGAGTTTTTTAAGAACCCAACACTGCTGTACATATATTATTTGTACCATGATGACAAAAACATATGAAATGTATCAGAGAAGGTTGGTTTTCAGTGGATTATAGCTGAATTATAAGTAAACAGACCCTTCCACTTGGTTTTTTCAACTTTTGATATGTACCAGTTAAGGAAAATCTGTTAACACCACTTGAAAGAGCGCCTTAATATTAGTAATCTTGCTAAGTTTGAAAGTGATATGTCTTACAAGAGCGAATTAAGATACAGCTCTGCAAAGTTGCGAAAATTTACAGACGTTTGTATTGTGAAGGGCAAGTTTGTATCCCCCCACCATACAAATGTCTCAGGTAAAACTGCGTGATTTTGGGGAGCTATATCATTGTAAATTTCCAACAAATCACTTTCAAACTTGACAATGTTACTAATTTAAGGGCACTCTTTCCAGCGGAGTTGAAAGATTTTCCCTAACTTGTCGATGAAAAAAGTTGAAAAAACTGGGGTTGCAAGGTCTATTTAAAAGATAACATACAAGTTCCAATTTTTTTTCTCACCGATGAGTTCTTAAATTTCTCTCTGTCTGTGCAAGAGGAGATGAAAAACCCTTGGTAAGGACACACACTGGTTCTATTTGGGTTTCACTCTTCATTTTATTCTATTTTTTTTTTGGAGAGAGAGGAAGGGCTCATATCCAGAGATATTAATTCTTTTACAAGAAAAATTTCCATTCTCACCACTGTCTGACAGTTGCCACTGATAACTTGCTCTTCCTGGTTGGTTCAGGTTATTTTCTTCTTCAGGGAAGCTAGACATCTTTGGGCTTCTCTGATCTCTCCTGGCACCTTCATCACCACTTCTTGGTGACTATAAGAAAGTATTCCTTATAAAATGTCTTTTATTAGCAAAAGATAAGGGCAAGACAACAGAGATCTTTGTAAACTAAAGTTCATTGTTATCATAAAGTAATTTTAAACAATATTTTTAGGACAATGTAGCTTTCCACTAGAATACACTTCAAATAAGATACTTACAGTTTCATTTGCATGACCTCCTTGTTGAGAAGCAGCTTGTTTCACTGAATTTAGAATATCCGGGTTCCCCTTCAGCAAGTTTAGCAACACCTGCTGCAGCTCCTGCTTGGTTTTATCGGTGGCCCCAGCCATGTCCTCAGTCACAGGCATCGTTGGTTTTTAATTCATTGATAATGTTATGAAAACATAATAATCCTGAAAGATATTCAAAAACAAGTGTGGGGGTTTTTATTGACTGTTATTTAACACCTCCATCACAAGCTAGATACCAAGAGAATGAAACAAAGCTTATGCTTGTGCTAGTCCCTTACTGGAGTTGTGTGTCGAAACACCCTTAAAAATCAACTAGAAACTGATGTGCTGGTTCTTCATTATAGAATCTTATCCGTAGACTTTGTTAGCAATTGAACAGTCCTATAAATGCAGCCCACATCCAAGCACAAATATATCAGTGTTTTCTTATTCTTGTCCAAAGTTTCAGCGCTAGCACATTTTTCAGGACCAATTGGGGGCTCGTTTTCAAGACAAACTTTCATCAGTTTGGTCATACATTTTCCTTATAAGATAGCCCAAACAAGAAACCAGGCCCCAGGTGTTCAAAAGCTGGATAGTGTTATCTGCCGGATAATTAATCACCACACAGTGGATGAGTATTAGGGAAACCAATTGCACTGTCCACTGGATAGAGATTTATTTATTAGACAGAATTGGACGACAGAAAGTTCTGTTACCAATATTATTAATCATAACCATAACACACTTTGTCGGACATTTTAGCCCTCTTGAAAATAAAAAACACAAGAAATTCCAGGTGTTTTCTTGCAAGCAAGGAAAAAAAGCTATTTAAGTGTACGTGATGGCGCATACTGTCCAATTACATAGGCTTGACGCGTACTGTCCTATTAGAGCTGAAATCAAATTTGAGAATTTTTTTATAGCTATGATTAATAATATTGTAATAATAAATGTAGTAATGTCATTTTATCAGATCAACTTTAAAAACAGTTTTTGATAAACAGAAATTTCATTAAAAAAATTTGCCATACAATGCTTCAGTATGTAATTCGAATTCCCCAAAAAAAAAAATTTGCTTGCCAATCAGGCAAATTAAAACCACAATTATTCATTTGCCTGATTGCCATATCCACTAGCCCTGGCTTATCAGACATGCCGATGACTGCATATCCAGGCAGTTACATTCGTTTAGGTAAATTAATATCAGTGTACAATGAAATAATAATTATTACTTGTCCATTTTATTCATTAATTTAATGTGTTTTCCAAAGGGATTTCAAGATTCCATCCAGAGCTTGGCCATTACAAATTAAAGATTGGACACATGTGATGGAACATAGTTCAGTCAAGCATGCATAGTTGACCCAGTAGTCAACAGGGTGACCATAATTATGACGTATTTCATGACAGTTTGAAAATTTCGAAATTTACAAGGATTTGTATGGAAAACCATTCAAGCGTGACTGGGTGGCAAAAGTTGTTTTTCCCATACAAATCTTTCTAATTTTTGGCCGCCGTTGCAATTGCTACTTTTGAGATATATGGCTGAAAATTTACAGGTTACCAAATTTTAATATGCACTTTCAGCTGGTGCTAACAAAATGTTCCAAAATCAAATTGTTTTCGTGTTTACGGAAAGTTGATCTCATGATCAACTGTTGCAAAGGGCCTATTGAACGAAGAACACTTAACTTTTCACCAACAATACAAATATTGTAGTACGTTTGCTAACTGTAAAAATGAACTGTCTTACCCTAAAAGTCAGAAAATGTGCGACCCCATCTAGCGGCACATTCCCATTAGGCTCTTATAATCAAGTAGCCCCCCCCCCCCGGCTTGCTTACCCGCCTCTGGAATAAACGGCCCTGAATGGTAGGTAGACAGTCAGATACATTTTGGTTAGGACATTGGCTACACACTCCATGCAGCTTCCACAATAAAGCTCAGTGCGTGTTTTGCCTAATAAACCCAAATAAACATTTTTCATTACCAGTACAGGGAGTTATCCATTCAAGGCACGCTTGAATTAGTAGCTAACCTTTTTAAAACAACGTGTTAGCCCGTTTGCTTTATAAAACAGCGCGCAAGGGCGCATGGGGTGATTAAGAAGTTGAATAGCTTTCAATAATTGCGACGCCATTTACTTAGCGACAGGCAACAAATACAAAAACTATGTTAAGCATAAGGTAGCGCAAATGACATTACTATAAGTAAGTCTTAGCAGTGGACGATTTACTAATGACTGCGTTGAATGAATATAGTTTGACGACTCGGTCAGAAGCCTGCACGCGCACATGGCTGCAAAACATACAGCTGCTTTTTAATAACGTTAGTTAGCCCTAAATTACAAGACGCCGTTTTCGAGAAAATTCTTTCTTTTTTAACTTACCTAGCCTGAATAAGCGCTAAGATACATCTTTATCCCTGAGGCCAACAGTCAAACACTTGCCTTTTCGCTTCGGTGCTGAAATCTACAGCACGAGTGTCATATGTCAAGTGCTGGCGCGCGAGAGAGAGTTGCGTGGACTGGACTTGGGTAAGTGGAAAAAGAATCGAAACTAGTGTCGTCACGCAACACTCCTACCCATTTGTGGGGAGGAGGGTTGCGTGACCACACTAAAAACGGCTGTGTAGCAGACTAATCTTCACACGCATGTCACTAATTTTCGAAATAATTTGAAAGTCTGTTTCTTACAATTTAAAAATCCCTTTCCTCGAGTCGCTTTGACGTGTTGGACCACACTCTCATTGCCCCACACCACATTTTGCACTGGTGGGACTGGACTCACTTCCTATCAAAAGGCTATCATAACAGCATAACATGCCCCGTGATTGATCTCGTAACGTTAGACTGCTTGCAGTCCGCCTTTTCTCTTAAAATCCATCTAGTTCTTAGCTAGCGCGATGCTAGCGCGATTGCAAACCACGACGTTATTGCAGTAAGGGACTAGGACCAGACGAGAAAAGACTTACACTTACGCCCTCGTTTATCGCGGCTCGCGTGCTTGTGTTTCTCTTGCAATAACTTTGTAAAGAAAAATAAAAGACTGCTCGCAGTCTACGGAACGTAGAACTTGATAAATTATAAGAAACTACAACAAACGGTTGACTAAGTACCGGATTGATAGTGGGGTTCCATTTTCAAAAGAGGGACTAGAAAGGGGTCGCACATTTTCGGATTTTTGGGGTAAGAAAGTTCTTCACATTTATTTAAGGTCAGCAAACGTACCGGAATGTATGTACTGTACGTGAAAAGTAATGTGCTCTTCATTCAATTTAAAAAATGGGTCAATTCATTTCAGGATCTATGCCGTGTGGCACGAAATTTTTGCGGGAGCTTCTTTTTGGGGATGGGCTTTTTTTGTGTTTTGCGGGAATTAAGTTTTGCGATTAGGACAGATCGTTTTTTTCTTGCTGGGAATTAATCAGTTGCGATTTTCTGAAATTTCCCAGTACTACGGTGAGCGTATCCTACCTAAAACCAGTATTTCATTGTATAGTCAACTCCCTCTAAGACGGACACCTTTGGGAAGTAAGTGTCCGTCCTAGAGAGATGTCCGTCTTTTCGAGAGTCAAATAAAGGAAGTAAAGAAAGGCAGGGACCAACTCTAGGTGTCCGTTTTACAGAGGTGTCCATCTTATAGAGAGTCAAATAATGGGAGCAAAGAAAGGCAGGGACCAACTCTAGGTGTCTGTTTTACAGAGGTGTCCATCTTATAGAGAGTCAAATAATGGGAGTAAAGAAAGGCAGGGACCAACTCTAGGTGTCTGTTTTACAGAGGTGTCCATCTTATAGAGAGTCAAATAATGGGAGCAAAGAAAGGCAGGGACCAACTCTAGGTGTCCGTTTTACAGAGGTGTCCGTCTTATAGAGGTGTCCGTTAAGAGAGAGTCGACTGTATACCGCTTTGTTTCTGAACGAAAGACACAAGTTGTAATTGAACAGACACGATTTCTTAATACTGTATTTTTGTATAGTGAATTTAATGCATCACCAGGGCTACTGCGGGCTACTGCAGGGCATCTGCCCGGGGGCCGAGGGCCAGGCATTTGCCAACCCCGAACTTTTGACACGCACTCGTTTCCGGTATCAGAATATAACTACACAGAGGATTTTACTGGAAAAACATGCAGATTGGCTCACCTCTCAAAGACAGGAAAAAATTGAAGAGGTTTGTAAAGGCATGTTCTCGATTTTATGCATGCATTTCTTCATGCATTGCTTATTAAGCCAGAATTACATAACTAAATCGGGGGTTATCGACGTGAATCAACGTGTTTTTGGTTATTGAATCAAATTGCTGTGGATATTATTTGAAGAACATCCTTTCATATTTATCAAACTAATCATAACAGTTAACTTTACAGCGCACTATTGATTTTAATGTCAATAATTCTAAAGCCATAAACTGGTGTCGTCACGGTGTGAAGTCTTAATAAAACAAAAACATCGCTCATTAAAATGCTTAAAATGGCACTACTCGACTGTGCGATCAATGAAAAATGTTGCAGTCTTGACGGAGGACGGGGCATTTGCCCTCTTTTTTCATCCCCACCGCGGGGGATTTGACAGCTCAAGAGTCCCCACCCCCGGGAATTTGCCATCCAAGGCAAAAAAAATGGTGATGCCCGGGGGTCAGCCCGGGGGGGACTGGTCGCAGTTGGAATTGACTGATCCATAATTTTGACTAAGATTACATTTTGACCAAAAGCCGTGACTGATACGGATGAGGCTCTGAGAGGCCAGCGGCAGATGCCCATCAAAAATTAACCCAAGTATCCCCCTCGGTCCTCGGGCGGACTCCACACTCACAGGAAATGACGTAAGAAAATTCGAAATCGATTTTATACGCGCGAAACGAGCGCTCGACTGCTAGAAATTGGAAGACGTAAAAGGGCGTCAAGAATGCTTTCAGGTGAGTCTATTTTCGCCTTCCTTAATACTATGACCGTTCCAGCTGAGCTTCTCTTGGTTATGTACTGATCTACGTCGGGTCAATAAAGCAAAAACTAAAAGGCTTGCAAAGGTCTGTCAAAGGCCTCCTCCAAATAGCGGCAGAGACATGGAATACTTAATAGTTATTTCACGCTGCATTAAAAACGACATAATACTCTAAGTCTGCGTTTGAAAAAGAAGTACAGTAGAAATATTTACATTTTTGATGAGGTTTGAGTAGTGTCGAGTAGTGAGACTGGCGGACTCACCGATAAGTGATTTGTGCTTCACAGCGCACGCATGGCGCGTTCTTCTCCGTTTGGTCGATCGATGTAAGCAAGAGAACGCAAAAATTTTGTTTCAAATCCTACCATGATCCGTTTGGACCACTGGAATGCTACTTACATCTTGATATTATATTTCCGAAATTTCAGATTTCTTGATACACTATTTAATTTCTTGGCCATTTATTCTATCGGACACGACCGCCAAGGGAACTGGAATTACAGACCTCTGACATTTCCTAAGCTCCTCGCTTAAATGCAACATGCATGTGTCTAACTGGGAAAAAGTAACTATGACAACTATAGCTGCATTTAAAACCTGAACTTTCGTGCATCTTTATTAAATCAGTTAAATGATGTTAAATGTTTATTCTTCAAATGTTCCATAAGGAGTTCCATTCAACACAGCTCAGTTCAAGCGCTGTAAACACCACTATTATGAATTCCATGTAAAATTGAAGGGAAAACGTTTGGATTTTTATACCTCGACTCTCACAACACAGTGTTTTGGTTGCCTGTCCGCCATGACAAAAAATTAAGGGATCAGTAGAAAAAGGAAAGACTTCGCATTGAAATGCCACATTTCAAAACATAGTCGGGGCTGTGACGTTGCGTGACACAGGTCCAACACGGGGGTAACTTAACAAAATGGCAAAATCATGGCGTTTAATATTGGCCAAGCTTTTCAACTCCATTATCATGTCTATTCAGGCAATATGTGACTGTTGCAGACGAGTTCAAGAGCTCTGTTCGAGGGCAGTGGGATATATAAATAATTTATTGGTGGAATGGTTTGTTTGGTGGAAATTATTAGCGGGGATCTTAGAATCAGTATCCCGGCCAGCGGGGCTCAGGCTAGCCTCATGTACCGTATTCCTTGGAATAATAGCCGTCCCTCGATTAATCGCCTTCCTCGAATAATCGTCCCCCCCCCCGCCCCTCTAGCCATTTTCTCTTCCTTTCATCCCCTCCCTGTCAAGTTGAAGTGCAATGTGATCCAGCAAAGCTGAGCAGTGACCAGTCATCAAATTAATCAAGGAACTAAATTTGGAGCACTTAAAAAGCCTATGTTCAATTACTTTTTGATTTAATGGAAAAATAAAGCAAAATGTTTAGGACACGACTTCCAGTGAGCAAAATCTGAAATAACCGCCTCCCTGTACAGCCCCCGAAATGATCCTGAATTGGGGAACATTTTGGGGGCTGTACATCCCTGGAATAATCGCCCCCTTTTTGTGCGAAAAAAGAAGCCTGAATTGCCCCCGGTTATTATTCGAGGTAATACGGTAATCATGAAGTTGATTCCCCATTTCAACAGTTCGTTTGTCTTGCAGGCCATTTTCAGGTGTTCAATATCTCATGATAACTGATTACTTTTAGGGCTGGGTTGGTGTTGCTTGTGATCTGAAATAAAAGATATTTAAGTTGTGTTGCATTTTCGTTAGAAGATGAGAGCAGTCACTGTCAGTTTGAATATTTTTCCTCTTCTTTGGACTATTTTTCGGCTAATTAGCATAAGGATGGCTTAAAGTGAGTTTTGCAACATAAAAGGCATATTTTCCGACTAATAGGACGTAATCAAAAAGCTTTTTTTTGTTTTTCACGCATGCGCACAGGCCAAAATTTGGACTTCTGTCGCGAATCTATTCTGATCTATCTCGCTCGCTCTTCTTTTGTCCTTTGCCTTTCTTCATTATTAGTAGTTTTGTTGCCCACTTTATCGTCTTTCTTTTGGATGGAATTTTGTCTGGCCAACTGTTTCAGGAAAGGGACAAATATAATCTTCAAAGAGTAGTAGGTAAACAGCGAAATTGGCGGTGTTTTTTCCCCCAAAAGTTACCTTTTTGTGAGTCTAACTCTGCTAGGATTGGTCAGAATATCCAAAAGAAGATATCGCTGGAAAGTTCTATCTTTGGTGACGTTGTTGCTCACCAATTTGTTGACTTACACTGAAAGCTTAATGGGTCCAGGAAGGAAGATATGCATCGTTCCACGTGGAAAGAAAACGACCAAAGCAGTCGTCGAAGGGCTAAAAGGTTTAGAAATTTCTTGTTCAGGATTTAACTGCAGAAAACGTAGCCTATGTCCCATTCACAACAACTAGACATGTTAATTAAACTTGTAGGTTTAAAAAATATGAAAAAAGTAACAGAAAACTGGAAGACAGGCTTTTACACAGAATTCAAAGGAACTTCAACACGTTACGTTAATGTACCAAATTTGCAATTGATAAAAGTGCAATAAGCTTATAAGCTCCAGTCTCCCTCGCAATCGTCACCCACGCGCGCACGTGTATAAAGGAGCGTCGGGCGACGACACCAAATTCTATAGCTTGCGCGTGTATTGACTGAGTTGCTGATAAAGCACTCAAGTCAATCCCTAACTCTAAATTAAACCAACTTTAGTTTATACATAGATAAATTAATAGATGACTGAATTTTCTTGCTTTTCGCCGCTACATCTTCTATCTCTGGTTAAATTTGATTGTGCGAAGATCGTTTGGAAATTACTGCATTGCAGCAAATGAAGTAATCTTTTCCACAGCAAATATTATTATTCAATACCTCTCGGAGCAAATTGGCTTCAAGCAGGATTTTTTGTTTATGATTTAGTGATGAGGTTGACAAATATAAGCAATATATATTGTTTCAAGCACTTAACTTGATTTTCGCTAAACAAAGCCAAGAAAAAGGTTTCAAAGCTGTGACTTCTCGCCGAGAAAACTGTTCTGTGATTGTTTTGCGTATGCTGGAATATGTAATGAGTTGAACTCATTGAACAATTGGTAGACAAACAATGCAATTGTCCTTCGACAATATTTCCCGAACAGGTGTTGGGTTATAAGTGATCCTTGAATATTTTAAAAACATACAAAACGATTTGTCATTCTGCTTTGCTGAAGCAATCGCCAGGGTGATCTATTGAACTAAAATTCCACTTTGACGACTTGTTGAGAAGTTGTAGAAAATTTATGATCTTTATGTTTTCCCTTTTTAATGCGTAGAGCCTGGCTGAGAAAATTACGAGAAGGAGAGAACGGGTAGACATTTTTTCCTAGCTTGAACCGCATGTTTCACCGAGGAATTCTTGGAATATTCTCAAGTCTTGAAGCATTTCAAACACACTGAAAGTGCGAGGTTCTGCGAAAGCATGGAGTTTTTACAGAAGTTAAAGATATCCGGTGGTGTAAATTTAAGCAACCTACGCCCTTCTCGCGATAATGAGCGAGCAACGAGCTTTGCTTCAACGGCGAGCTCGAAAACCGATTCCAAAGGAGACGTTAGTTTGCCTCCGAGAGGATCTCCAGCCGCCAAAAAGATGAAAATTCTTCTAGTAATTGATTCACCAGATACTGATTGGTAAGCATACTTTCAAAAATATTCGAAGTACCGTCACCTGAATTTCGCTTTATTTTACGTTTGGCATAAATTAGTAGTAGTTGTTGGCAGCTTCGATCAGTCAATCGTAAATCAAAGATTACATCTTTGATCCTACTTGTTTCAATTTAGCGGCCGTTTTTGTTTCAATTTTTTTTTCAGCCTTACTGAGATATTTTTATTGAATCGACATTTTATCCTTTAAAGCTTTTCCTGTAGATATACCAGCGTGATTAAAACAAATTCGATAATATTTTCCCGCGCGTAAATTCTTGCAATAATAGTCATAATTTTATCCAAACCCATTTTTTGTTACAAAATTTAGTCTTCCGTCAACAAAACAATTATTTACCGCGCATAGATTCATAACCCTTTTGCTTCTCTTAAAAATGATTAAAACCATGTATCTTGCGGAAGATTTCTGAAGATTTTTGTTTGACTGTGATCATACATCCCTCGCCCTCAAAATTTAGACAGCTATTTAGCTAATAGCTTTTTTGTTTTCATACAGGGCCAAGATTTTCAAGGGACGGCAGTTACACGGAGGCACTTATGACATACGAGTCGAGCAGGTATATGATCAGTTTGGTTCCGGTTGCCTCTGTATATTTATAAGAATATTTCCTCCCAGTATAGGCGAATATTTTTCAAGTTTCACACGTTGACATGCGGAGAAAATATTAAAGCAACCAGACAGAACATTGTTTTGTTTACCTTAGATATTTATGAATTGTGCCCTCACAAAATTTCTGATTTTATTTGTTATTAGTGACACTGACTCGCGTCAACATTTCTCGTTAATGATGGTAAATCTTATTTACGTTTTAAGCTCTACATCCACGATTACTCGCTTCCTTGCGGTTTTAATATTTTTTATTAGTTGAATTAGACGTGCGTGTGGTTTTGACGGTTCAACATCCCCATGAAGGAAATAAAAAAAGGGGGTACTTAGGTCAGCGTATAAAAACGATTTATGTCAACGATTTATGACGGTGGGGGGAAAAACAGTACATGTAGGAATTTAATCAAGAAAATTTACCCCAAGAATGTTTAACGAAGGAGAGAAGAGATTTTCGCTCTGACTGCCCTTTTCTGAAAAAAATGGAGAAGATAAAATGGACTTTGCCCATGTGCAAAACGTTTCTTCTAATCGCGTAAAAAGCACGAATGCGGGAGTAAACGTATTTCATCCCGTAAAAAATTTATAAGAAACGCAATTTGTGTCCATTTGCATTTTTTACCTAATAGGCAAATGCAGACAATACACGACTGAGTCAGCTAGAGAAAATGAAAATGTCACGTCGTTTCAAAGTATAATTAGTTTTGTTATTATATGCTTCTGAAAATTATTTTTCATTAAAGGTTTCTCTCAGGCGCTATAGGGACATCGTTTAAAATAAACTCGTCCGAACTAACTCCAAGCTACTCAAATGCATTCGTCACTGTGTTTCTATATCATGTATTTTTAAACTTCCCATCGCTACTTGTGTCTAATTTATAGAACGTGCGCCTGCATGATTTTTGCATTCGCAGAAAACTAACTTGATTATTACTCACTGATTAGCATTAGGTATTCTGTTTTGAAAAAAAAAAATAACAATAAATATTCAATCCCAACTGGTATATTTGCTGCTAAACGAGAGGGACAACAAAGTTATATTATGACTGGACGTTTGGGCTTATCCGAAACCCATTCACCTCCTACTGTTCCACTATACATTACGTGCCTTGTTTCCGCAATAATGACCAACCGGCTGACACTTTTCCCGCCAAAACACGGACCGCCCAATGAATTAACTCAGTTACGTCACAAACAGATTTTCCCTGGACATCTGTATTTGTAAGGCTGGAAAGCTGGGGTTGGACTTCCTGTGCAATCATATGGCTTACTCTCTAATTGAACAGTGGGTCTCGTATCGATCGATATAATTACTACTCCCAATCCACCGTATTTTTATATACCCGACTGGTTTTTGCGGGTCCTTGAAATTCGCATTTTTCGAGACTGTAAAAAAATCACGAAATTTAATACCCATATAGAAAATTCAAATAATAATTAACATTGTAACATAGAAACGATATATAGTGAAAAACACACATTGCTGACTGGTTTTTCTGGATAAAGAGGGGCGAAAAGCGAAGTGGAGAACGGGGCGAAATAAAATTAAAAAATATGAATAAATAAAAAGGAAAAAAAAGGAATAATAAAATTTCAAAAATAACTGAAGAAAGGGCGAGAAATTAAAATGAACCTTTGTCTTTTTTTCTTTGTTCCCTCGCCTTCTCTCTCTAGTTTCTTTGCTCTTTTTTCGTGGCCAGTTTTCCTGTCTTTCCTCGCTCTGTTTTCTTCTTCGTGCCATTTGAACGCCTCGAACCGATGTGGTTTTCCATAAAGAAAGGCGCATTTAAATTCTCCCATTTTTGTGTGTTTACAGGCCGAGTTTGGAGACTTGAATCTAGCTTCGTATTCGGATAGTGGAACAATGGTGGATATTCAGGTTTATCGCGAAGGGACTGTTGTTGTCAGGTAAGCATTTTCGCCCAACCATGAGTTCAGCAGCACAGGAGCCTTGTATTTTAAGCATGGCCGCAGTAGTTTTGTTTAAACTGATTCACGTTAAAAAACTGAACGCTGCTTAAGACTACTTCAGTCCTAATAAAATTTACTTTGTCAACCTGAAATTAAGCTCACTAAAGCACAAGTTGAGGTTTTAAATACTGTCCTTTCCTTGTTTGTTTCGCGTATAACCACCTTCACGCGAACAAAAATTCGTGTTGCTACAATAGAAACGTCATCCTTTTGTTCTAAGTACTTAGGCCGAACATGCAAACAATCCTCACTTGTAAAGTAACATTTGTACCACTTGACTAAGCCTTCCCTTAACTGGTGCCTTACTGTTCATTACTTTTATCCCCAACTTTGTAGCTTCACGTTAGTTTTGTCTATAACAATTGTTTTGGACTGTTTTTAGCTCCAGTTCTATTTTTGAGAAATTCTCAACTTGAATCTGACGATTGCCGTTTGCCGTAAACGTCACTTTAATTTTTATAAAATAACTAAGCTAGTACGCGTGCTCTGATTGGCCGAGAGGAGTGTTTGTATTTTGTGGCGTCAAGATGTTTTGCTTTTCGCGCGCTAATCACTCAAGCACGAATTTGAAAAAGTTTTCGAGTTCAAAACTCGACAAGTTTACTTTATTTACCAATTCCTCCGTCGGCTGAAACTTGGAAAATCGTTGCGAAGGTGTGTCAATTTTTTTTCGCTTAAGCGAGAAAAATCCGTATTTTGAATAGCATCTTTTTGCAAAACAAGAACTGATTACACGTGCAAGACGTCGTGTACAAGACTTTGCGACTGGTAACAATTTCTCTTTTAATCCGTGCCATAACAAAGAGTTTTGCGTTTTTTCTCTGGAAAATTTTTTTATAAAAGCAATAGAAAACTTTTTTCCTCTATTTGCATAGCCTGATATAAACACGAGAGGGGTTGGGAGAATTCGAGACAGTTATGCAAACCCGAGACGAAGTCGAGGGTTTGCACAACTGTCTCGAATTCTGCCAGTAACCGAGTATACGGGAAAAGGTTAACTCAAGGGTATAGCACATACGGGAGGCCCTGACTTTCATATTTTAAATACACTACGAAATCAACGATACGATCTTCGTGCGCGCTCGCTTGATCGTCGTTTTGACTTGTTAGTCTCCGTCTGAAATTCTTTATTGTCGATCGCTTTCCAGGTCATTTCGCCCCGACTTCGTTCTTATTCGACAGAGTGTGCGAGGGATTGGACCAAAAGAAGACTACCGTAACATTCTGCTTGGTTTACAGTTTGGAAATGTACCTTGCGTGAACTCCCTTACGTCCATTTACAATTTCGCCGAGAAACCGTGGGTGGTAAGTTATAAGTAGAGAGTAATCCGAAATGTTTATTTTAGGATAGTGTCTGGTTTGTTCTTGTTAACCCGAAACCGTTGAAGTGAACAACGAAGGTAGTAACTGAAGTCTGGTTTCCAAATAGAATCCATGTTGCCATGCGTCTGTTCAGTAATAGATCACAGAAGACGTGAAAATGTTGTAAGCCGCCGACGAGTGTGTCACTGATGTTCTTACCGCATTTTACTGTCTCCTTTGATCTATTAAGTTATCTGACTAATCGTTCTTGTTGCGCTTAAATGAGCGCAGGCTTATTACACTTCAACCCCCTTCTGAACCACGCCCGAATGTGCGAGATTTGGTCAAACAGGCCATGGACACACACAAGAGATCCCGTAACTTTGGCAGGTAAATTTGCGCAAAGTTTTCCTGGTACGCAATGAAGCCTGGTTAACGCCTCGCTAACTTGAAACTGCTTAAAAGGCGTTTATTTAAAACGAAATTTCAAGTGGGTGGGTGGGGGGGGGCAAGTTAACATTGCCCCTTTTCCAACACTTTGACTTTGCTTCCATTTCCCTCGTCTGAGACCAAATGCGTGTTTTCTCGTGTTCTCGATGGTGATGGGCTCACTCCGGTGATCGATTGTCTTGACACCTCTTGTTTGACCTCTAATAGTTCGCTCAACTGATTCAACTCCAGAAAAGACTGGGAAAGGATGCATTTCCATTAGTTGAACAGGCGTACTATCCGAATTATAAGGAAATGGTGAGTGTTTATAATACTCTAAATATAAATCTAAAGAAAAAATACACGTTTTGAGAATAAAGGCGTTCTTCTATTTTATCATTCTACAATTATAAAAATATAAAAAGATTAGATGGTTGAGATGTACAGTTTTAAAAAGGGTGAAGTTGATGATAAAGAGAATCAGACGTTCAAGAGACCTATCTAATCCTCGTTTGTTCCCAGGACATCTCTTCTTTAAGGGACGGAAGGAATAGAGGCCCTGGGAACAAGAGTTACCTGAACTGGGCTATCTCAGTACCTGAAAGCTTTACCCTTAAGACCGCTGACTCGCTTTAGGTATCTCGTCAATCACCTTCTTCAACGAAACAGCTACGTTAATAAGAATTGTAATATACAAACACCAAAAGTAATACTTTTTATTTATTTTCACACGCTGACTGAGCGCGCACGTTATGAAAGAAGTCTATAACACACAACGTAAAAGCCAAAAAAAAAATGCTTTTCACAGTGAACTTAAAAAAAAATTAAAAAAATTTAAAGAAGCTTAAATATAACGTACACATAATTTTTTTTTTTTTAAGAAAATGCTATTTTGTTTTTGTTTCTTTGTGGTTGAAAAGCGAGAGCTTATCAACATTTTCGCTTAAAGTCACTCCTAAGTTCGTTAGATAATGAAAGTCGCATTTATGAAATGCCTAGTTTTTGGACAAGCATTTTTTGAAAGCAGGCGATTTCTTCACCCAGCGGCAAGAATTGCCGCTCTTATTTTTCACACAAAAGGAGAATTTTTTCTTGCAAATGGTCACCTTCCCATCAGAATCCGGCACATTGCACCCGTCGATCATATCATCACATGTCTCGGGTTCCGGTTTCAAGCAGAATTTTTCGATTCGACAGTCGCAGTTTCGCCCGTACAGCCTCCTGAGCCCGCGGCGCTGTTGATGAGTGATATCTTCCCACAGCTGGTGCCATTGGCAGCGCCTTAAGCTTAACTTGTTTTCCCGGAGGTAACCAAGCAAAAGATAGGTTTTTGAGCGTTCGAGTTGTATACCACAAGCCGGGCCCTCCAGAGGAGTGTAGGCACGAACCATCCGTTTCCTAGACGCCCTTCGACTTCCTTTAGTGCGGCTTATTTCAGAAGCTCCCTTGAAAAATTTTAGGATTTTCAATTTGTAAACTCTGCTGCCAAATCGAGTGCTGTTATCCACGGTCTCTTTCAAAACCTCTGCTTTGATGGCTGTTCAGGGAAAACAGAAAACAGATTACGTTACAAAAATTCTACTGACATTTTGAGCGGGAAGTCGCGATTAGTGTCCCACTCGTTTAGCCAATCAGAACGCAGGATTCGCTTGCTGGCTCCTTTTGCTGAGCAAGCCATGTTGTAAGTCTTGCCAAGTCACTTTGGCTGGCGAAAATGTTTGCTTGTGGTTTTTACCGATTCAGTGTAACCTAGCAACAAGAGATAAACTTCCTCTTTCCGCGCGTAAAAGTAGAGCGCAAGACTGAATGGAAAGGATGCATAATACAGCCATCCTAATTCCCGGCCTAATTCACTCCGCGCACCTTGTAAAAGGGCGGAAGCTGAAGGTCTGGGAACCATGCAAACACCAGAATTTAACATTCCCAGCTGTCAGCACGCACGCTTGAGAGCTTTTTCACGCCGTTGTAGAATTATACTAAAAACTGTGACATTTTCCCTTATGTTTACCTTCGCTGCCCATAAGAAATTAAAGGTGTCTGTTATTGCTGACAACTATCATCAACAACACGCAGCAAGTAATACTTTTGTCATCACGAGACAGTGCATAGCACCGGCAAAAGTGGCGACAGCGTCTGTTTGTGACCATTTCTTTGCAACAAAGTCTCTTAGTAACTGAAAGAAACTTATAATAATATAATCTGATATGCGGAATCAATATTTGATAATCTCCGTTCTGATTACCTCTTTCCTGCCTTTTGTGGCTCTTGTTTCACCCACTGGTCACTGATCAGAAGCGCATTTGTTAATGAAATTTTTACCCAATTAACCAGTAGTTACGTAGTTTTCTCGTGATTTTTGCGCATATTTCCGCTACAGCTCATAAAGCTTTCCTACAATGATGATGGTATTTGAAAGCGACTGCTGCATGCTGACTTGTGTAAATCAAACTTAACCCGGTCATCTCTTAATCATTAGCCGGGTTTCTGCATACAGTCCATTTCTGTTTATTTTCAAACTGTTTTTCGCTACATTAAACAATTTGAAACCATTTCGTGGATCCGCTAAAGAATGCACCCTAGCCGTATGATTGCTAGGGAAATGGAGAACACACTTTTTCTCCTGAATCCTGTGTGGCTCTTAATCGTCTCTCTTTTCGCATACAACTGTGCTCAAAAAACGCATCAAAATAGGACAAATTCCACTTAACTTGAAGGTATTTCCTGTGGTGCTGTTTCTGGCTGTAAAAGGTGTTTCTTTCTCGCTCTTTTTTTCCCGGAATGAAAGCTACTGAGCATTAATTTCCTAATGTGGCATTCTCTTTATTATGCTGTGAAAGGTGGTTCTAATTCAGAGTTTGACAATAAAGGTCCCTAAAACTGAGGATTCAAATTCAAGGTGATGTTAATTATCTGTTCTGCTCTACAAGGTAGTCAATTTGAAACATTTGGCGGTTGCCCAACTTAAGCAACTTATCATATTAAAGTAGTGCTCAGTTTCTCATCCCAGAAAGTAGCACTTTAGTATTCCGTTGCTTTCTTTCATTAGATAAGTACTCGGCTTGGGTAACCGACAAAGTAAATAAAACCGCGACGGAACTGATCAATCTGGGGACCGGAAAAATAACGTTTCCCTCTTGAAGACTGTTGACAGAGGAAATTTTAACCCTTTTAGAGCTAATTACGAAATTATAATTAAGAAAAATACTATGCCAATTCTGTAGGGTACAATGCGGGCACTCAACAGTTTTCTTTGACCTCATCATAAAAGATTGTAATAGACAAGTGTAAAATACTTCACCGAGCATTCTGAAAAGGCTTGGAGAAGTTTTTACATCATAGAATATTTTTCCGTAGGCTCCAACGAGGCTGTCTCCAAAGCCGACTCTGATCTTTAAGTGAAAGATATTAGGCTAGAATAAATGAAGCACATCCGTTCGGAAGAATTGTGCCAGTTTCCTCATTTATGCAGTGCATGATGTCACGCGCCTTGGGAAACGGTTAGCATCGCCCGAAATTTTAGAAGAAGACAGCTTGTTCACACAAATCGGCGAAGTTGTTATGGGTTTTTTTCGGAATTCGTCATTGAAGGAAACAAGCCATTCGTGCCGAACAATGTACCGGCAATGTACCGACAAGACAGAAAACAAATTTCCTCGTTTGATGCTCGTACTACTGTAGCTGCGTCTTTTTTCATGCGCTTGAGTATATAGTTCGCATTCCTACCTTGAGACATCTGGTGCCTCACTTGTACAACGCAGTCACAGTCCAATTTCATACAATACAGTATTTCATTCACATTTCCAAACATGCTAAAAAGTTACTTTAAAATATACTTCGTTAGAGAATTCGGTAATGTACTTATAGAGTTTCAGACAAAATCAGACTGCTTAGAAGGAATTAAGAAATGCTTAGTGTCTAAAATAACTATAGGGTTTTTGAGTTAAAGACCTTACACCCGCCCCTCGATATCAGTTCAATGCCGCCTTTTACAAATTATTCGACCTCACTGGTAAAGTTTTCTCGTTATTTTGTTCGCGGAGTCTTTCTAAAGCGGATCTTTTAATCACAAATGATCATGATAGTAGCGAACTTTGGAATGTATCCATTCCAGGTTAACTCATGATGGAAAACTGACTGATACGATCGCGCGCTGTCGAGTCAGCATGATGAAACTGTAGATTATACTCACCAAAGTCTGCTGTGCAGAAGCTCGTCTGTGGGTGGACCACGGCACATTTGCACGCCTCGCTTACGGTAATCATAAATAACATGCCTGCGATATAGGACAGAACCCCAGCCATCTCCAACACTAGCTTTCCTCAGCTGCGGACAAAGACTGAGACCAGAATTGTAAAGCGGGGCTTTTATTTGGTTCGAACCTACCGAACGAGTAAAACCGGAAATACTGGTTTGTTAGCTTACTTATATGACTACGTTCGGTAACTTCAGTCTTTACTGACAAACAAATGTTGGAATTATCAATAGGTCATCAAAATTGACCCAAGTATTATCAATCAGAATTGTTCGGTATGTTTTGACTTCAGTAGCGGCTTGAACAAGTTACGTGATCGAACAACTGTTGTTGTATTTAGGAGAATAAAGTCGAATCCAGCACCCTCGAGAAAGCTAGGGACAAGTGGCGGTGTCGTGTAAAGTAAATAATGAAGGTTGGCCGTAAATAGAATTTCGACTGTTATTTCAGCAATGAAGTTTTATTAGTCCTTCTTAGAGTGCGTCCGTAGGACATATAGAACACATTAATAACATAAATCTCTTTTACTTACACTTTTATCCGAAATGGTCACGTATCTTCATATTCTTTATGACCACCGATCGAAGAGGCGTCAATTAAATAGCGACAATTGCGATCTATAAAATACTGTATAGCAGAGATTTCGGTTTACACGTTACCCTTTATGGGATCACGTGTGAAGGGACGAAGAGGAGGTGACCACGTGAACTGTGGAAAACGACAGCAAAAGACCTAAAGCCGAGAGAGGCGGTGACAAATGGGGGTTTTGAAACGTGAGTATTGAAAAACAGTGAGTTTGCAGCCCAGGTCTAACTAGTTTTCCACTAAAAGAGATAGAAGATAAAATTAATAATTTTACCGCAACCGCCTTTGGTTGCTTACGTTTTACTCTCTTTTAGTATCCACAATAAATAAGTAACGCATATGAAACTTAACTGATCTATGTTATACAATGCAGTGCGTGGGAGGGGGAACTACTCATGAAACTACAGATCAAGTGGAAATTTCGCGAATTTTAGGTAACGAGTAATATTTGGAAAAATTTATTAAGAAACCTGAGCTTTCAAAAACGTTTTAATTCTATTACCGCTGATCATCTTGACGCTTCAGTGCAATCAGCGGATTCTGCTTCACCGGAAAGCGAGAATTGAATTCATATCTACAAGCTTACAGTCCAGTTAGAGAAGAAAGGAACAGTGCGTCTCGTTACTGGAACGTTTGACACTGCCTGAAACAAACTGATACCAATGATCTGTCGAGAATTTTCGTGAGTTCTGGAAAACTGATTTCAAGATTTTTAGCTTCTCCAGCCTTATACTTACTACGGTTTTGAAGGGTCCTTTTCTCGAACGTCCGGTGACTTTTCGGGTCCGAAGCCAAATATTAAAATCAGAATCTAAAGAAAAAAGCGCGAGTCCTTGCGCTCGTCTACAACTCAGTCCATTTTGTTTCCCTGTTAACTGATGGGTTTATCATTAAAACCTCGATATTGTATGTGAACAAAACAGCTCTCAAATTCTGGTAATTCCTGGAACTTTCGAGAGACAGGTCGAAACAGGCCCCTGGTCACGCGTTTAGTCTACTTTCGACATATTAAGGGTCTGTTCAAATGTTGGTGGGGGAAACCAGCTAGCTGAGGTAACCCGCCTATTCGTATAATCTCTCATATTGTCACCCCACCACCTATCATGTAAACGTGATCAAATTTAAATGAGAGACTATACGTATAGACAGGTGGGCTACCTCACCTTCCTGGGGTCCCCCACCTCCTTGTCAACAGGCCCTAAGATTCAGCAGTCCCGGGAGTATAGAACCGTGACCATGTGCTCGTATGGTGGATTCCTAGTCCCCCTGCACCACGCTGCTGGTGTCGTTAATTGGTCAGGGAAAGTTGTCATATTTAAGGCATTTTTCCGTCAAATTCTTCTGGCAGACGCCGTTTGAGGCTGGGGGAACTGCATTCATCATGAATTCAAAGATACATTTGAGGAAAATCAGCTCGATCGCGTATTTCAGAGCTTTTCTGCAGTTTGTAGACTGCACCTCTTAAGTAATGCACTTGAAATAGAAGAAAAACGAGTCAGCAAGTCTTACGAAAAAGAAAGCTTCAGATTTATTGAAAGATCTAAACGAAAAACACTTTTTTACGTTAACTTTAACCTTTTTAGGACAGTTAACTAGTTACATTTCACCAAATCCACTTCGATTTTAAAATCATGCAAAGGGTGTGTGGTTTTTTTCCTATGAAACTAGCAGTCCTAATGACTGAATTTCATCTCGTCAAACTAGTTAAATTGAAAAACTATTACGTCGAGCAACCGAACAAAAGCAGCTAATATCATGTATAGGTTATTACATGCACTGTCCTTAACTCTTTTTACGTCGTCATAAACGTACGATAAGTTTAAACTCTTGAAATATTGGTAGTAACACTACTCATTGATGTAATATAGTACGACCATTCCTAAACTCAAAGACTTTCTAGATGTACTAAGAAAGTAATTCATGATTCTTTCCCAGCATGAAATCCAGCCCTGCTCCACATAGTGTTCCACTGTTAATACTCAGTGTTATAGAAATTGCTTCCGCGTTGTCGTCTGTGTATGTAGAAGACTCTAATCTGTTTTGAAATTTTTTGTCCCTTGAAAAAGTCATACTTTAGTAGGAAGTTCCTGGACATAGTTTTATAAATGCTTAAAACTACTTTTTTCCTTAAGTGCTTCGCCATATATAAAAAAAACAAAAACGCTCCCGCAAAGTAAAAGTAGTGAAGAGATATTGTAAGTCTCTGTGGGTCGCTATCTAATCTACACACTTTGTAAACAGAATCATTCAGTGCAATCTAATTTTTCTGTCAACAAAATATGTTTCGTTCCAAGGTAGAACATACTCGTTGTCATCTTTTGTCTAAAAGGTCAGATACGTATACTGGTTTCTTTTTGAAGGTTCGATCCATGTTCTATTCCTAAGGGATCACTAATTCATTCATGCATTTGTTGTACTCTTCTGTTTCACGCCATGCGCATGCGCTTTTGTCGGCGTTTACAAGACAATAGGAATGTCTCCATTCACAGTCACTGTCATAGAAATTGCCTGACTTGCGACATCCCTGTAGCTTCTTACAGCTTTCTGCGTAACACGGTGAGATCTGACAGTCGCAATTATCACCATAAAAGCGTCGTATTCCCATACGCTGCCGTGGGGTAACATCAGCCCATCTTTGGACCCACTTGCATTTACCAATCCGGAGTTTTTGTCCCGAAATGGTACCGGTCAACAGGTAGACAGTGTCGTTTGCCAGCTTAATCCCACACTCTTTTTCGCCAACAGAAGTGTAAGCCTTGGTAAACAAGGTACGTTGCTTGGATCCATGAGGGCGAATGTCCTTTGTTTGATTCAGGCCAACTGCACCTTTATACGTTTTTAGGATCCTTAGATTGTACACACGTTTGTCATAGTACTCCCCTGGTACCACTTCCTGGGACAACACTTTGGCGCGAATCACTAAACATGAGAAAAAGTAGACAAAAGCAAGAGTCTTTTAACTTCTCTTGAAACTGCAGTTAAATACTAGTAGGGCCTCAAACGTGATCAAAAAGAGTATTGTAGTTCTCCAAGGTAACTGTTATTGCGGGAAGCTATTGCTTATTAAGTTGTGGTGCGAGCTATGACTTTAATAACTAACAATACTAATGCCATTGTACTTTCTAACGTTTGAAAATGATGGACCCGTTCAAGTTCCTTTTGTGACCCGGCCCGGCACACTCTAGAGGGAAGGAGTCCGGGGACTAAAATTAGACGAGTCCGGAGAGAGCGAAGTTCCTGAGCAGACAATTCCCACTCCCCGTTTCTAAGAGAGAAAGATAATAATAGTCAGAAGGCCTTGCTGTAGCGTGCTTTTCGAAGGTATTCTGGACATTATAATGGTACACAAATAACGTAGTCTCATTTCAGGGAGAAATCAGCACGGCTCAGGGACGTTTCTAAAAATAAGACTTTAATATTTCCGAGGTATGATATACGGACCGACACGTGCAAAAATGAACGATTTCCTTTAAGCTTTCATCCCGATTTCCCGGGCGATTTTCCAGTGACCTTTGCATGCTTAAAGAATTCAAATTATGGAGATCAGAAGAAATACAGAGAGGTCACCCGCGGCAATATAAAACTGAATTTATGTGGGGAGGAGCGTTGCGTGACGACACTAAAAACGGCTGCGTAGCAGACTAATAAACTGTATAAAGGTACAGAAAAATGTTGAAGGTAGGCGGTGTACACGTAAAAGCTGGCGATTTTCTTCTCCCCAGTTCTCTTGCGACTCTGCTCGCTCGTTTTTGTGGCTTCCCGCGCTCAAACGGAACTACCATGTTCTTAAAAGGCACTTGAGGACTTGCGGTTAGAGAAATCTTTGACTGGAAGGCAACAAGGCTCCGCGACGGACGAAGGAATTTAAAAACGGTAAATCAAAAACATGGCCCACATATTTGAGTCAAGCGGTAGATAAAGAAAACAAAACTATAACAGTTTCAAAACGTGTTTTAAACTGCCGAGCAGGATGAAAAAGGAAAAGCGTTTATAAGAGCTTGTTTCCGGGGCGTAAATGCCGTAATTGCGACATCAAGATAACAGCTGTTTTTTCAATGGACGAGCTTCAACAGCGTTATTAAGCTTAAATGGCCGATAAATTGTGTAAACAAACAAACGATATATCTGGAACATTTCCGTGGTTTTCCGTGACTGAAAAATGAGAAAATCTCACCTTTTGATAACATTTAAGATACAGGCTTCGATCAAAATCTAACCCCTAAGACTTGCTTGATAGAATAATGGACTCAGTATTGAAAAATATGTTCAACTGACACGTTTTGACCTGGAAACCAAGCAGAGGTGAAAATAAAGAATGTGTTTACGATGACAAATTGTTTGTTTTGTGTTATCTTTGGCTGGCAGCCCTTCCACACAGCACACTCGCACACATGTGGTCTTGACATATCACGAAGGGCGCATGAAAACTAAGGAAGACCAATAAATTTTACTAACCGCAGTGAAAACCTTATAAGTAACGGCAAAAACTTATTAACTATTTCCCTACAATGGGATAAGTTTTAATTTTTCTTCAGTTGTAAACATCTTCAATTCTGGGTACCCCTAAGAGCCTGGCTTAGATGATCGGAGATACCTTTACTACTACAGAATCATTATAAACGTTTAAATTAAAGTGGCCCGGAGGTTAAAAAAAAAGATTTTTTGGCAAGAATTTTTCATTTTAACTTATCACTTGCTCTGGGTTTGTGAGGTAATCTCTTGCCTGGTCTTCTTCTAATCCTGCTATTAAAAGCTGCTGCGGTTCATTTCCAGCTTATATATTAGCTCCCTACTGTGTCGCAATAAATAAAGGAAATCCTCAGTGAATCCTGTCGATTTGCGGCGAATATAATGCAATAGGTCTACCTAAATCTGGAGAAACTGCACGGGAAACTATCATCTGTGACACCGTTTGGTTTTCCTGGCAGTGATTTAGATCATCGGCACTGAGTCATACACTATGAATATATAGCTATCACGTGAGTTTGTTGAGAAGAAGCAAACTGATATCTTCGCCGTGATGCTTTCTGCATTTTTTTTCTCGGCAGCGGATAAATTCTCCTAAATACACGGCATAACCTGTTTTCAATTCATGGCCACTTTCCTCTGTCATCTTCACGCACTTTGATTTCACGATAATCTTAAATAGTTTCCTATATATTTAAATTGCAATTGGTGATGTTATGTTCAACTGAATTTTAAACATATCAATGTTTTAAAGCAGGAGATGAGAGGTTAATATTGACAATGTGATATCCTAATACTACAAGGCACTGTTAAAAGTCTGGATAGTTTTGACATAAAATTTCCAAAGAAGTTGCTTCGTACCCTCTTTCGATGAACCTAAATTAAAATTTTGCAACTGAAAGTGAACTATAGGAATGATATTGTCTCAGCTAAATTTCACAAAAGCTTCTCTCTGCACTGTACTGCAATGGGCAAAACTTGGGTGCTGGAGGTCTTCCAGAGGTCTTTCGCGTTTCTTTCTACAAAGGGCGTCTTTTAAGTAAGTGCACTTGCCAATCGGTGAGAATACTTATAATAGCACTTCAATATTGGTAGCTTGCTTCAAAGATGACCATTTGCTGAAACGTGATAAGTATCAGAACTTAATAGTGAATGAACTCACCAAAATGCGCATCACAAAAATTTTCTTGGGGATGACCTGGCTGGCATGAACACGCGTTGCAAGTAGCCAAAGTACTCAGGATCAGCGTGGCGTACATTAGTAGCGGCATCTTGGTTTGCTGACAGTGTACGGAAGAATAAACTGAAAACTACTGAGCTAAGAGAGTTCGCTTCTTCCTTTTGTAGGAACTGATGAAACGTGATATCAGAATTTTTTAAAGGCGTCACGATATTCTTTACGTAATATTTCCGAGAGTGCTGAGCACGATAAACGATCATGCAGAGGATAGCTCATGATCATTGGGGGCGTTACGGCGCGGCGCGGCGCGGCGCGGCGTGCGTATCAGAACCAATTATCATATCTATCCGTTGAGAAACAATTTCAAAGTCAACATTGCACACATAACTGCTGAAGATTCAATGCTAAATTCTTCTTTGATAAGAAGTTGTACGTGCAGGCGGGAAACATTTTTTGCTATAAATATCTATTTTTCTGGCTGGGATATGTTTAACTCTACGTTTGCCAAGCTTTATCTTATCTTTTACGGTCTTTTAATTTTGGTTTACTTGTCGGCCCTTTGTGTGTCTTTGTTTTTAATACCAGCTTTTTCTACATTTTGGAAAATACCACGTGGAAAAACGATAAGGCACAGGCACGTTTTGCATGCAGATCAGAAAAATATCTGCTCCTGATTACAGTTTAGACGACGGCATTTAAAACGAAATACACCAGTTTCCATAAACAATTGAAATGTTTTTAATCGCAAGAAACATCAGATGGTAATTTGGGCCAGCGGAAGAGAATTCATGTCATTGGGTGATGCAGGGTCAATTTTCAGTGTACGCTTATATGGCGCGTTTTGCTTGATTAAAAGTGAATAGCTTGAGAATTTTATAAGGTGTTTCGATACAGTTTTTGGGAGACGATACTGATGTTTTTCAATCGCCTTAGAAGTGATTTTATCCTTGTCCGATCACCACAAAATTTTCAACAGTGATTGACTATGAATTGAAGTTTGTCAAAATGCAGTTTTTAGTAAAATCGATATCACTATGACAACAATAAACAAAAAACCTTGAAGCCGATTTAATCCGAATTTCGCTCGATCTAGACCTGCTACTGAGAATCCGACACCAGGAACTTAAAATGTGGTGTTAGCAAATAACCTCTGTGAGAAGTAAAAAATCCTGTGTGTTTGAATTCAAATAAAACGTAAATATATTTCAAACCTTATATTTTCGACAGCCGTGATGAATTGTTCAATGAAAACGTTCTAAATAACTCAAATTAATCTCAATTAGCATCAGAAGGCTGCTTAATGTAATATTCGTTGCATGGAAATTTTGGTGCATTTTCTTTATTATGATCCTGAAAACTAACATGTTTTCCCACCACCTGTCTGAGTGCAACTAACTTCTAAATTTTGACTTTTAGCGCTTCATTGTATATTTCTCAAACGGCTCGACAGAATTCTTTTTAAACCTTATCACTGGGAATATTTTGGTGTTTTTTATAAGTGGTTGCTTAGTAGAGGTGGTCGCACCATGAGATTCAATTACAATAGGGGTATAAATACCACTGTATTGATTTTGCTTATTTTACGACAAAACATCGCAAGTTAGCTTTTATTAGTCACAGTCAAAATGAGGATACAATTAATAAAATAGCAGACATCGAGTCACAATTTTTTTGAACGCCTACATCAAATACGCATCCAATAATCAACTGCATACTTGGTGGAACTTGAAAACTATGACAATATGACGACAACTGTGTTGTTCACCTAGGTTTTTAAATTATGACAACCTTGAATCACTTCTTTATAACTAGGATGAAAAACAATAATTACATATGATGTAAATAATATCAACCTCGTCCCTAGGGCTTTTTTTTTAATGTATAAAAATTAAGGGGGGGGGGGAATTGGAAAATATTGGATGTGGGGGTTGTTAAAATTGAATAATTAGTAGACAAATACCAGATAGTCCAACACCACAACAAGATGTCTCTGATCCCATTACCAGACTAACTGGTTTATATGTATACCTTTTCTACCCTAATTTATTTGTCCCAAATCAACATCATTTCCCTCAAAAAACAATCAGAATGCCCACTAAGGCAGCTGGTTAATGCATTCAATATAATCAGCAGGTTCACTCCAGTAACATTTGTTTCTTTCTGTGTTCTTCACACATTGAGAATGGAGCCATTCACAGCCCCTATAAAAATACCCCAGCCCTTGTGGCGTAACATCACATCCTTTAAGGGGCCTGTTGCATCCTGGTCTTCCAAAGCACGGAGTAATATGACACTCGCAGTTTTGCCCGTAGATTCCGCTGATTCCTAGTTTGTACGCGGGCGTAACATTGGTCCATTCTTCAATCCAGCTACCTTCGTTCAGGTGAAATTTTCCATTTTTAATTCGTCCTGACAGGAGGTATTCCGTCTTGGCGTCGCTTCTTAACACTTTCCTATCAACGTAAACTTCCACGGTCAAATTGGTTTTCCCACAACTGTTGCCTTCAACATTTTTCGTCTGATTTTCGAGAAGGTCTTCTCCTTTGTAAATTTCTAGGATTTTAAGATCATAAACGCGAATCTTATGTTTTCCGCCGTCTTCTGAGTGGTTTTTGGGTAACACCTTGGCGTGGACAACTGAATAAAGGAAAAGAAGAGTGAATTGTAATAAGATAAAGTTGCAGTGACAACGTTTACAATATTTCAGCCCATGCTGCGAACTTCGGAAAAAGGAAATCGCTGTTTCCATATGTTGCAATATATTATATAAATAGAACATAAATCAAGAGAAGTCTTTTCTTTGTAGCCTGCGAAAGCAGCCGTATTTCCGGCCTCCGCTTCTCTCCAGCCGTAAACAGACGTCGCTCTCTAATTTTCTCGGCGTGTGGAAAAAACGCCGAAAACGGCGTCTGCTGACGCAGTCTATTTTCTTTGGTGATCAAATCGTTTCTTCTTATAACCTTATTGTATGATTGAGAAGTGATATTTTAAGGAGAAATGAGAGGCTGGCCAGATAAATTTTCACTTTTTGATATGCCTGGAGTTGAAGAAGAATATTTGCAAAATAGAACGTATCCATATAAGGAAGTAAGGTTGACGCCTGATATTTCATCAAATTTCTGATGGTTCTTCCGTTCAGCGAAGTTTCACACCACCAACACAAATTTAGTTCTTGCCAAACCTTTGCGCGCTGTAGGGGGTGCCAAACGTCATATTGTCATATTAGTACGTGATTCACCAACAAGCCGCCCCATCACACTGGACACGATTTAGTACAAACTGGTTAAGGTACATTTGACAGGACATTGCTTTTCAACTTTCACACAGCTCAAATGGAGAGGTTCATCACCATAGTGTGTTTGTTCTGCCATGGGCAAGTACAATTAAAAAAATACGGGGGAAGAGGGTGGTACTTCCAGATAAAAGTGGTCGGGATGCTCGTCAACTCGCTTTATACGAGGGGTGGAAATTGCAGATTTTGGTCTCACTTAGGATCTGAAGCCAACATTTTTTTGCCGTAAAGGTATCGCTTAGGGTGGTACGTAAGGAAGTATCCATACTTAAAAGGGCAAATGTCGTCAAAGTTTTGTAGATCACGACTTCCTTTAGGGTCAAATAAAACCTAAGCCACACCCAGATTGGTCACCTTTAGGAGCATACCCCCGTTACTCTTATATGGGAGGTTTTCCCGGGGAGTAAGCTACACCCTAGAGATACAAAGAAGCAGTCGGAGTAGGGCCAAGATTGCCAGCCTTGCGAGTCGTCAGTTGAAAAAAAAATGTTTTACTAGAATTAGTTGTTTTCCTGGTTGTTTTACATTATGTTTTTTAAAGATTCGTTGAAATTTCATGAAACGTTGTCTTCCTTTTCTAAGCTTTATGAAAAATTGTCCCGAAAATTTTGGACGACAGTGGGGTTCGAAGCACGAGTTAGTCCAGCGTGTGACGGGGGGCGTGTGTGATTCAGCTTCCGCTAGGACGAGATCACGAGATATCCTTTTTGAACTCACGCTGTGAAGGAATACGTGTTCCGCAGGAACTTCTCGTGTATTCTTTTTAAAGTTTTCTTTCGTTTTTTACCTAATAGAAAATAATGGCTCGCTGTTACTGGCCTCCGGAAAAAGAAACTCTTCGGTTCCAGGCCGAGAAAAGGGACGATCAACAAAAATCTTCCAATAGTTCTCCGATCCTAAATAAAAGGATTATCATCCATGTTATGACCTGTTATTGCGTGCAAGAGAAAAAAAAACTTAATCCATTTTAATGCGTACAAGAGAAAAAACAGTCGGCAAACTATCCGGGAATTTTTCTTATTAACGGTACAAAGACGATGCTTTCAGTGTATTGTCCGCATCAGTCATTCGTGCCCATTTGCTTTATTTTTCATTTCCTGACATTTGTGACATTTTTCTTTGATTTTCTCCGTCTTTCGAGTCCTTGACCATTGACCCTGTCATGGGTATTTTAAAATAACGTGACAAGCCGCTTACTTCAGTCCCGGGTTCAGTTCAAAACATTGCCTCGGACACAAGAAGGTTAACAAAGACACTCACCAAAATCTGCCGAACAGAACTGTTCTTGAGGATGCTTCATGTAAAGAGTGACTGGTTGGCTTTTACCGTACACACAATCTCCAAAGCTCATCAGCAGTAGAGCCAAAAGAATCAAAGACATTCTTTCTTCCTCTGGAATTCCCACAACAACGTTGAACTGGCTTGGCTAACTTTTAACTAATCTACGGTCTTGTCGGTTGCTTTTATTTTAAAGCACTGGTGATTTGCGTACTTCCTGTACACAGCAAGGCCACAATCCTGCTATCGAAACATTTGCGCAACAGCCTCACCTCAAGGTACTAGGTGGAGTAATTATCTAATGACGTGACATGACGTCATAAGAACGATTAACCGACGATAGGAGCATGTACTTAGCCATTCCTCGAATGTCTAACATCTGATTTTTTTCCTTTCATTTTCGAGCCCAAGAACAATCATTCAAATCTAGAGCTAAAGAATATAAGCTAATAAACCAGTCCATTTTATTTTGTCAACATGTTTTCTTGAAATCCCGATCTTGAAATTTAAACAACAGCTTTCCGGGCCCTTAAGTTATCAGGAATTTGGCGAGAAACGAGCGCGGGCTGCTGTATCTTTTATGAGAACGGTATTTTATTAAACCCGAATAAAGCAGTTTTAGATAGCACGAGTGGCCAGACTGCTGTGACAGAAAATAGAAAAAAATTGATACTTTGAAGGAAAAAACAAAACGAAGCCCAAATATATCGGAACAAATGAAAATCTCCAGAGGTCTATTAACTACCGGGCTCCTGAGTAGAGTGGATAGTAGCTTGTAGAATTAAAGGGCCGGGGAAAGATGAAAATTGCCGTGGAGAGAGGGGAAGGTCACTGTTTTTACTCCATTCCCTCCCTCCTAGCCCACCCTACGTGTTTTTCACCTTTCCCCTCCCGTGACGGGAGCCCACAATGCAGGCCAGCTCTCTATACAGCGGTCTATTCTGACTGCGTTATACCTTACAGTTCATCGTAGTTATTAATGCCTGGAGGCTCAAGATTCTTAGCCTTCTGAATAAGGTGTGCCTCGCACGTAGTGTCAATTAAGATTAGTAGTATGTATGGTTTTACAGCGGGAGGGGGGGGGAGAGGAGGCGAAGGAATCTATAAAAAATGCTGTGTTAAAAAATTGCAGTATTTCACAAAGAGGGAGACTAATAACCCTGTGCCACCCTTGCTTATTGAGTGCTTAACAGTCCTCCCAAATGCAACCATACCTCAGTAGGCACGCTGAGCTGTTACAATTTTTTTTTCGATAATTTAGATACAGCGTGACTAATCCATACTCGCCTTCCATTGTTCCTTTTGACATTTAGTCGTACGTTTTTATTCCAACTACTTACATTTGCTACAACAATGACAAATGTCATAAAATACCAATTTGACTACACATGTACAGTTACTTATTTGGTGTTCGTGAACTGAACACATAGTCTAGGGGCACCCAACGAGGATATAGTTCAAAATCACTTAACATAGCATTGTTGAACGTATTTTAGTATTTAAACGGTAGATATAGGCATATTTTTATCCCCTAAAACTTTTATCTGTTATTTGAAAGTGTGATCCGTGAACTGAAAACATAGTATCTTTTTAGGTAAATATCCGTTTAAAATGGGTAATTATAAGATGTTTGAGAGGCAGGCAAGCAAGAAATTTTACAACAAAGGTTCCGAAAATTCTAGTTCTCAAATCGTCTTCCGAACAGATATTTTCCCGAAAATTGCCGTTGGGTGCCCCTGATAGTATCAACTATGTATAACATGTTGTTTAAAGCACATACAATAACTATTTTTACTTAAACACCTCATTCTCGATCTTGGTTTGGTGGACTCGGCGTTTATTGCAACCGGCAGTTTATTTGAACATCAATCGAGAATATATTTTTCAATGTAAGGACTTAAAAAGATGTAGGGACACATAAACGTTAAAAAGCATCCTGACTTCTCACGCCACTTATCGTGCAATGATGACACGCTTGAGGTTAAGATTGTTTGATACGCGTATTATAACCTACTCGTCCAGCAAATGTTACTCTTACTGTCATCTGGTTACTGTGTATACAGCTTTTTTCTGAAAGCGCGCGCTCTAATTGGCTTTTTCGAGGTCACATGACAATAAACAAAGTTTTTTTTTTTCCGTCAAAAATATCTAAGCGCCCCCCTCAAGCTTGCAAATTTTAGCTAGACGGGTTGTTATTGAGATTGAGCGAGCAACTTCCATGCGCTCGTGTCACGGCGTTTGTACGGACCAGTTTATTTTTAGAACGGTTTTGGCGCGAATTTTGAATATCTTCTAAACTCCACAAACCAGTCAGCAAATTCTGCAGACCTAAAAATGATATTTTTTGCCTTTTAATAACGTTTAGTTTTCCCTTTTGATATCTAATACTTTGAATACGCTAATAGACATGGTGGAGATTCTATTTTTCCGGGAAAAAGTGCCCTAAAATGCGGTTAAAAATAAACTGGTCTGTAAAAACGCCTTGACATAGGCCTAGTATGGGAGTTGCTCGCTCCGTGTTGTGGGTTCCTGGATACCAGCAATAAGGTGACCCTTGGAAGTCCTTTCATGTGTGCTTTTACTATTGCTTTTATGAGATTTAGACATTCGATTTCGCGGTAGAGTTCTTTAACGTACTGTTGGATTACTCTCACCACTTACAATTACCAAGCGTACTACTGTAGCTAGCTTTTTGTCTCGAAACCATCTTTGTTTATTTCAAGTGGAATTAAAACCATTTCGCAAGAATATTATGTGAAAAAGCATGTCCTACCGCGTGTTTTGTACAGTGAAAAAACGCAGTGTTAATGCAAGTTCAAAAATCAATACAATCTCAGTAGCTCACGGGATTCTTTTCAAACACTTCTTGTACTCGCTGGTTATCCGCCAAGCGCATGCGTTTCCTCCCCAGTCCCTAACGCAGTAGGAGTTCTTGCTCTTACAAGTTTCCTTCATCGGCGCACGCCAATCCACCTTGTGACAGCCCTGTAACATTTTGCTGCAGTTACTACCAAAACACAAACCGACCTGGCACATGCAGTTTTCACCGTAAAAACGTCGGATTCCCGCACGTTGCTTGCGTGTGATTTCTGACCATTCTGTCCGCCAATTACAACTGCCAGTCCTCAGCTTTTTGTTGAGTATTTGACCCGTCAGAAGGTACACGGTGTTGTTACGCAGGGGAACGTTGCATGAAGAAGCGTTTGGCGTGGTGTAGAGCTTAGCAAGCCACGTCCGTCTTCTTGATCCGTAAACTTGAGCACCGTTCGTCTCTTTGACGTCCATGGCTCCTTTGTAAATTTTGAGTATTCTTAATGTGTATACTTGTTCTTGAATAAACTCAACTGGGATTTTTTCTAAGACGGCTGTCTCTGGTGACTCTGTGAGTAATGGCTCCTCAGTTGACTTAGAAAGAACTTTGGCCCGTATGACTGTTAAAACAATGGTAAAATTGCTATTAACCTTTCAAATCCAAGGAGGTACCATCATATATTTTCTACTAACAACATCAGTACATTATAAAGGGAAAAGGTTATAAGAATTAATAAAATGATCACTTAAGAGAACAGTTCTCTCAGCTAATGTTGTAAAAGTAGGCATGGGGATCATGGGGAATCTGCCCATCTACCCTCCCCTAAGCCAACACTAGCCCTAGACTGCAAAACAGTTTTTTTTTTTCAAAATCAGTACAGAAACCGGTAAAGCGTGGCGTAAGAGTCTTACGCGCGCGAAACGCGCTAGGCTCCATCACACGCTTTTAGCGTCTCTTCCCAGTCTCGTTCTTTGTTTTCAGCCTCGTTCCGGACCTTTTGTTTGACTGCTCGCGCGTACTTGAATACGGAAAAATACGGACTGCCGTCTACATTAGCACGTACTTCTCACTTAGGGCAAAATGTTGGCCTAGGGAAGGGGTAGGTGGGCAGATTCCCAGAAACATATAATAATCCGAGATGATCAGGGTTAATGAAAGGGAAGTAAGGTAGACAAAATAAGGACTCCTTTAACTAAGGAAGGACAAAAATCGGTTCATTAATTTTCAGCTTGTGTAGCTATCATCTTACTACATGTCGTATTTACTAACACCTATCGAAGTTTGCAGAAAGGTCTCTTGGTTAGCGTGCTATGTTTCTCTCGCCTAAAGAACTTCGATCTATTTTAAGGACATCAAACGCTGCGGTGTTTACTTAATAACATTTAAAAACTCATTAATAATTCATAAAGAAAAACAAAAAAATTTAAGTTTACTGAGTGTCTTTATATCTGACAAAGACATGGTTAAACTTTACGTTCAATTTTTTAGACCAAAATAAGCCAAAATCTTAATATTAGTGCAAGAATGAGTTGATCTATGACAGAGATTCTGAAGCCGTTCAAAAAACTCGCAGTCTTGTATTATCAGGTTTAAAATCGCTCGGCTTCTCATCGAGTTTCTGGCTCATTTTTTAAACAGTACATATTAACTCCGAGGCAAAGACCCATTATTTATGCATCCTGGAAACAAGTTTCATCTTGATTCTCGATTTCCAAATTTATCGTCCTTTTTAATTACAATTCTCTGTTCATAGCCTCCGCTGGGTTTTTCCTGCCCTATCTGTTTTGGATTTCGTCTTCAGGACGTCTGGCTGACGGACGAACGTAGAGCTTAAGCAAAATTATAGCAAAAGATAGCCTTTTACTTGCATTTTTTGTTACTACATAAGTATAAAACACAAACCGAAGCTGACTCAAGTGCCAGAGTAAACGTCTAACTTGATTGTGATTGAGGGATGTCTCTTAAAAAAAACAATTAAGGAGAAAATTACGGACCACATCACTGTGATTGGGATAACAACTACTACGATAGTGACGGTGATGATGATGATGATGATGTGTAATCTGTTCGGATTCTTGTTGAAACAATACATGGTCAGGCTCGGAGTAGTATAGAGGCATCCGAAATTTTTTGTGTGTGTGCTTCTCGAAAATGTATGTCTCCACTCGGAAATTTAATAACAGTGGTCTGCTATTATAAAGGTAAATTTCGAGGAAACTGAGGGTAGCGCAAATGCCAAAGTTTCTTTTCTGTATGTGCCTTTCGAAAATGTATGCCTTCGCCAGGAGTTTTCCTATGGCTACAGGCAGCCCTGATTTTTCGGTGGTAGTGATCTGTTATTATAAAGTCGAATTTCTCTTTGGGAAGCAAGGGTGGCGCAGAGTTGTGTACTCTCCTCCGACCATTGTGGCCGGCCCAGGGTCAACGCCATATGTGGGTTGAGTTTGTTGTTGGTTCTCTGCTTTGCTCCGAGAGGGTTTTCTCCGGGTACTCCGGTTTTCCCCTCTCCTCAAAAACCAACACTTCCAGAACGAACGGACACATTTTAACGAGTCCTTAAGAACTATTATAAAAGTTTCGTGGGAAAAAAAATTACAATATTACAATCGCTCCCTTTGTCTGATGGTCATTATTGTTTGAAATTATAAAATACGCGTGGACAGTCACAGTTGTCTTTGCGTTTGTTCTAGAAACAGTAGTGTACTGTGAACTGAATAATGTCGACCTGTGACATCCCAGGAAGCAGTCTGAAATTCGATAAATTGTTTACTAAATTGATAATCTAAGCCTTAAAATCTTTAGTATCAAAGTAAAAAAATGATACGTTGTTATTTATGTTAAGCCGTCTGAAATTCCAGTTATTTTGAATCCTCTCTGTTAAAAGATGTCTTCTTTAAAAAAGGAAACTTCTGTCCTCTTTGTTTTTAATTGCGGCCTGATTTTGTTTGCTTAATCGTCTGATCCCATGGACTGTTTGGAATTCAATGCTTTGCCAGTGTACATTTCAATTTGAAATAAAAGGATATAGGAAACAGTTTTAATAGTGGATGACATGGCGATCAAGGCTGTGACTAATACCATTCGTGAAACTTTCAAGCGTAACTTATACTACGCTGAAATTCTGAAAGGGACCACAGAATAAAGGATAATAATGAACAGAAAGAATGGCATGATTAATAAATTTTCTACCAACTTTGAACTTTGAACTTCTAAAATTGCCGATCATATGCCGATTCGATCGCGAAGCCGTACGTCAAACACGAGAATGGATGTTTTACCTGATTTCCAGATACCTTGTACTCGGTTAACTTTCAACTTATGACTCAAAAACAGATCCTGACGCTCTTACGAAAAGATAGGGGACTGTGAACAGCCTAGCTTGCACTTTGAACCTTGACCAAATTTTGCACAAAGTTGTTTTTTCAAAAAATATATTGGAGATAGTTAATCCTTTCTACTCGATTCCTTGTTCGATAAATATCTGTTAGTTACAGTCAGATAACGTTAGACTGGCACACTCAATTTGCCTGTGAGTTACACTGAGCGCCGGTTATACCACGATAGCTCATAACGGCCTGTATGCTGTAGCCATGCGTACTTTGTTTTATTACGAGGAGACTTATAAGACCGATTGGAGTCTAATTCGGTCTGTAGTCATAAGAGTGATTAACAAAATCGGACGACCAGGTTGCGGGAGTCCGATTTGTTTTATCACGAGTAGGGTTAAAGATCGAAACAGACGATACGAAATGATGTTACCTATCAATCATATCCACAACAAAATTTGTAATAATTTTAGATTGTCTTTTGAATTAAATCACGTGGTCTTACAAGAGTTGTTTGTTAGAAGTGTCAAAAACAAACAACGTTCAAGTGGGCGTGCGATGACGCGTACTGTCAAATAACTCCATGACGCTAACTGTTCTATACACCACGCTGTCTTACTACCACTGAAATCATGCGGGGCTACTAACAGCCAATCAGATTAGAGAATTTTGTTATAGTTATGATAGTTTTTTTTAATTCTGAGACAATAATAGTAATAATACCAAATTATATAGAGCTCAAGTCATGTCGCATTAGCTTAAAGCGCTTTATCACTGTCAAAAATGGTAAAATTTACAAAACATACCAAAAATAGAAATAACTTCATTAAATAAAAAGAGACTTGCTGCCTGTCTGTTGGTCGATACAGAGGCGTATTTACGACTACAAAAGGCAAGTAACTTCATACTGAGTTTAGTCGCGATTGGGCCGAGGTAAATAACGAAGGCTCATGTCTGGTGAAAACAATATTTCTAGGACCAACGCCTCTTAGACTTCCTGTGAGATCATTAATTAGGCGATTCTATATTTGCCGCTTTTTATCTGTTACTTAGACGGTATGGACACTAAAATAAACTGCAGAATTATTTTTATTATTAATATTTTTCCAAAAAAAAACAATCACAATTTTCAGACTGCGAGATTCTTTAAATATTTTCTTCATACTGAAAAGCCCCAGGAACTGGGACTCCGCAATAGTCACTCCTAGAATCTAATCTTATCTACATACACTCTCAAACGAAGGACTACCTCCCGTAATAATCAGAGCTACTGACTGACGTCTCAGTGGTAATCAATGAATTGGTAGTATTCGTGGATTAACTACAATGGCTAGAGCCTAGAGCCAAACGTTAGATCCTCTTCAGTTAATCCTTCTACAACAGGAAGCTGAGCGAATCTGTACAATTGTTTGATGAAATAAGTTAGGATTTCCCTGGATTTCCACCTAATCAATAATAGCTTACATTGAATTTACGTGTCGAGGTAAACGCCGACCCTAACTGCCCCGCGATAGCATTTAAAAGTTGAGCCATAAATAATAACTGAATATCCCTCGAGACGGAAAGGATGAAGATATGTCTTCCAAAGCTGAATCGCATCTGCTTGGTGTGACTTATTCGCTTCGCGTGACTAATGGGACAAATGGTGACAAGAAAATTGTTTCAAGTGGCGAAATGTTACTGATCACGTTTTTTTCTATCTCTCACGGAAAAGTCACGAACGTTTTACTCCACTTGTGATGAAGAGACCCACCAAGAAAAAGCCCTTCAAAAAGGTAAAAAAAATCATCGGAGTGATCTGTATAGACGCGATTTCAACACCCAACTAGCGAGGAATTTCCGCTGAGTTTCTAGAGAGTGGCGCTTATGCAATGAGGGCAAAAGGTCTCTTGTCATGCTGATATATTTATCGTCACAATAAACCATGATCTTCAAGATTGTTATGTCTAACGTCTAGGATTATCCGTTTAAAGAAACATCTCATCTAGCTACCATCTCCATTCCTTGTGTGATAAATGCCATAGAAGCTATTCCACCCTGTCGGATTAGTTTGTCACTTCACATATTTTGGTCTTTTGCTATTATCTTGGGATTTAATCCAGCTTTAAGTAAGGAACTTATTTGTTATCGTTTATTTGGGAATCGAAAATATAACTGCTCGATAAATGTCTCGGTGTGTTGTGAAACGTTCCCGTTGATCAGCGAATCATGCCGCGCAGGTACAGCAAAAAATATCGGTAGAATCAGACACCGGTAGAATCAACCAAAAAGATGTCTAGCGTGTAAATTCTTTAACTTTCTCATCAAATCGTCTTAAGAATATTAGACAACTTAAAACGGCTAATAAAATTACCAAATCTTGTTTCTAACCGATTGCCTTGCCTAATACCCCCGCCGGAGAAAAACAGCTTTATAGCATGTCTATGAAATGCGTACAACCCAAAGGCCAAAAGCCATACGTTCGTTTTCCGCACGCAATCAAATGCATAGGTTTCAAATATAGAAAACGATAAACACCTTTGAGTGATATAGTGTCACTTTTCAGCACATTGATCTTTCAGTTGTCTTTCCTCTCGGGTTTCATTGGTGAAATAAATTTGGATTTTCTGATAAAATCTGGGTGGTTGACTTGTCGAAGGGACAAGTCAAACGATTTGTCAAATTCACGGACATAAAATGGCGATGAGCATGTTTCAATGAAAACTTGGCACTTTGGGATAAATTTAGCTTGGGTAATCGAATAGAAAAACAAAATTGATGTTTTGTTTTGCGATTGAATGCAAATATTCTGTTTTATATATTGAATGAATAATCGCAATGTGTGGGATGGTCTATCAAGTCAACATCTAGATCGAGAGCCGTCTTTATTTTTGTCTACATTTGTACGCTGCTGTTACTGCTGCGGTTTATAATGCCAGATTACATTATTACTGAGAACATTGTCCAAAGACACGGTCTCCCTTTTTCGTGTTCATTTGTTCGTATTCGCTGTGAATGAAAAAAGTTAAAAAAAAACGACAACATTTACAGTAAATATTCAGATTGGGTAGAAATTCTTAGCTGTCATTTTCGATTCCATAGCCATGATGCCATAATATGTACCTGTTGAAGGCAAAATATAAAACAAAACCTTTTACTTACCAAATGCCGAATTGCAATAGTCATTTTGAGGGTGCCTTGGAAGACATGAACACGTACGGCAAAACCCCGTTGTGAAAAGAGCATTGCCGAGGAGAAACGCAAAAATGTAACTTTCCATCTTAGCTTACACCGAAATCTTGCCCTTTGCAGTGGGAAGAACTCCAGTGTCAGTTACCGCGTTAGCTGAATCAGTGTTTTCTTGTTTCCGCTAGCGGCCAAACCAGTCCAAGTGAAAAGGCGTTTTAGTTTACAGTTTTTCACCTTGTAATCGGATACGTGGGCGTCTTCTTTCGGGAAAAATGCGACCCTTATTTTTCATGCCCTCGTGATGACACCAGGTTTAAAAAAATTAGCAGCGAATTCAAAGAGGGTATAGTCACGCTTCAGGGACCACACAGGGCCTCTTATATAGGGTTGACAACTTTAATAGAATGTTCGTTTTCCGGCCAACTGAATCATCAAGACTTCAAAATCACGCCGAGTTGTACAATATAAAAGCAGTTATTTAAAAATCTTTTGGAATAGAATATTTGTCGCGACAATGTGTTTATTTTAGACTTAAGTGATTCAAATTAAGAGAAAAAATCAAGTCTTCGATGTCTTATTTTAAAGGTAGAAAAATGTTCTTATCTACTTGATGCTTTGCTCATGGAATTTTAAGGAAGTTAACGCTGGCTTCTCAGTGAAGTAAGGATGTCTTTAGCTATAATCACCCCAGAGAATTGAAAGAATTTATCCCTTCACAACAGATATCATTTCTTCCAGGCGGTTTCTATCGAGTTACGTGAGTCGCTTTCTAGTACTCAGTTTTAGACAAACACTAGACCTTGTAACGTTTTGTCAATCCTTTTTTAAAGAGTACAAGAATACATCAATTGTTATTTTGCATATTTAAATTATTTACCTTATCGGAACTTTCAGGAAGTTATTAAGGACCAATTTACCGCCAACAAATTTCTCACTTACAAAACACGTGCCTTTTTGTGTTACTTAACAAAATTTCGTTCTGTCGTCAGCAACAAAAAATGTTTTCCGTATAACTCATTCTCTCTTGGTATAAAGCGGTGACCATTTTTGTCTGTTTCAATATAAGGCCGGATGGTTACGGGATTTTGCTGTAGTACTAAAATCAAGTTAAATCTGACCCTTGGAGAAAGTTTCTTGCCTTTGCGTGTGGTAGATTATATCCTTATAAAAGGTGGGGTGATCTCTAGTGAGATATTTTTTATGACTTCAAAAGTGATTCTTTGGAATGTTTTTGTATGAACTGTTAGCTGTTATTTGATATAAGGAGACAGCGGAAATCTCAAGAAACTTAGGCGGGAAAATACTTTGAATATTAAACTCTTACTAACCATTTTTCCAAATATTTTTCTATTATTGAAATTGTCAATGAGTACTGGTCTTCTGTAAACACAGTTACATCGCTGCCACTTATCGGACCACTAAACATACCATCTGCATTGTCACCGTCGCTGGCAATCTTTGGTCACCGAGTCACTTTAACTGCAAAGATTGAGACAACGTGAACTTCACCGAGGGCTACGGTTCTCGCTTAAATTGTTTTTTTGCCTTTAGACATTCTTGTGGTTCCGCTGGTTCGGGAATATTGGCTTGAAAAGGTGATCGGCTTGCTGCCAAACTATCATAGTTCTATTTTATTCGCGGTAAACTCTACTTGATGGAATTAAGAGGGATGAGAGGGTATTAAAACGAACCGTTGTCAGGTTTCGAAGATAACCGAAAAGACGTCGAAACTATGGCCAGGAAAAACAACGGATCGTCGGATCGTGACTTCTCGTATTTTGTTCGCAATATTGGTTCAAAGTCTCCATTTGTGTCTTTGTGTCGCAAGAGCCGATATTGAACAGATCTTGCTCGCGGTACAAAATCAAATATCGACATCTACTATTTTTAAATATATATTTTCGACTAAATTCTCTGAAAAAGAAAAGGAGAAAATACTTTAAAATAAATGAAGATAGAGGGAGATTTTTGAGGTTGTTCAACACACAAATTTACAGCAAGAGATAACGAGCTCACTCTACCTTTGTTAGCTTGTTTACAATTGTTGAACCTGCTCGTCACTTTAAAACTTGGTTATAAAACAGTTCTTAAGTCGTAAACAGTACAAAACTAAACGGACGTCACGTGTTAGCGAAATGAAAATGCATTTTTGAGTATATCTGTAAAAGCTTTGCAAATGCTTCCAGATTAAAGATTTAAATTAAGCTGTGCAAATTTAAAAGTTCCGGTGTGTTTTCCTCCTCAATTATGTATCCGGCCCACAACCTGGCTTGAAAACACTGAACAGTTTAAATGTCTTTATTTGTATTTTATTTGTAATCTTCGCGATTTTAGGGGGAAAAATCGGTTGTCGATGTATGTTGTAATGTATGCTGTCAATGCATTACAGCGCATCTCTTAATTCAGTGGATTACAGGCAGTTGAATATATCGTTGTAGGATTTTATCCAGTTGGGAAGATTAAACCCTCCCTTTTAAAAGTCCGCAACCTCGCATTTTTCGGTGCTTGCGTTCATTGCCGCGTGTAAGGTGTTTGCGGTAACGTTCCGCTTATTCCGACATATTTTATTTGCTGTTTGTAGTTTTAGAGGTGTTTAAATTACAGCAAGCCGTAAGAAACAACTTTCTTTCGGCCTGATATCACTTCTGCTAACTAAGACCATCTTGTTCGGCAGTCATACGTTGCACTCCGTTCAAAAATTGGCCTATTTAACATGATGGGCCCAGTAAGACCCATTTCGTATGTCGTGCTTCTTCCCGGTCCAGAAGCACGGAACCAAGAGCACGGCAGAACACGACGTCTGAATCAGAGTTTTGAACGAAAAGGTCTGCCGTTACGACTCTGGAACGGCAGTGATTCAAACGTTGTGCTTATGCCGTGTCGAACTAAATTCATAAATTTCTGAGATGTGTTTTTCGAAATGCATATATATATATTTGACCTCTTCCGTCAAGAAGACTATTTTTTTATCAAAACCTATCTCCAAAGTAGCAAATATAAAACCTAAGAGTGCAACCATTGCTTTTTTTTCCTCCATTCTTCCTCCTTGCTGTTTCTTTTTCTCCGCTTTTCCTTTTCCTTCGCTAAGTGTGATTTCGAACTTATTGAGCGCAAAAAACCTGCCTTTTAGCCCTTTGTTATTCAAATCGCTGCACATTTCGTTAGGTTCGTTTTCAAGAAGTCGGCTAGGTATAAATTGTTAGTTTTCAGTTCTATTTTAACTCATGAATTCAGTACATATTTTGAAGAATTTTCTTCATGCCTTCCAAAATCTCCACTGCTGTTAAAACGCACCTTTGGAGCCAGCACTTTGTCATCAATTCCCAGCAGGCATCGCTGGAGTCTTTAGGACGTTCGAGAATATTTATGCCGTGTCGAACTAAATTCATAAATTTCTGAAATGTGTTTTCCGAAATGCATATGCATATTTTTTGTTTCATTGACTGCTGACTTGATACTACGTTCAGAATGATTAAGTTCGACTCTGGCACGACGTCTGAATTGATGTCGCGCTTCTGCCGTACTTCGTTTAAACCCAGTGAGGGACAACTTGATCCAATTCGGCACAGCAGAAGCACGCCCTATGAACTGGGCCTCAGTGTCCAAATCTTCCCAGTTTTACATGTTTTTCTTTTATAATTAAGTCTATCTTAATTTTTTTAAAATTCTTTTTTAAATGAATTTACTTTCTCATAGAAATAGAAATCTGCAATAACCTTATGACGAACAAACTCTGGTTTTGAAAGCTCAGTCGTGGTGCTTTCTTTCTGCGCATGCGTTATATGATTAAGATTTTTGGGCCACGCCTTTTTTTTTCTACTCCCTCGCCTTGTACATAACAAAATAAGGTTTAACTAGTAGGGAATGTTTTAAACACTTTATCGAATGGCATTTCTGGCATGGGGTGTTAGCATTGAATTTTTAACAATCTGTATTAATAATTATGCCTGTTATTCTTTAGACTTAAACCAAACGCTTGTGCAAAGCAGCGTGTCTTTGTGCAGCATAGAATTTTGACCGCTCCTGATTTTGATAATTCAAAAGTAGCCCATTGGTATGGGATTTCAGAACTAGAATTAGAGGCCAAACCACAGTATTTAGAATTGCAGGCATTTTAGATGTCCTACTGTTGACCAGTTACAACAGTTAGATATATGTAAGAGGATCTTTTGAAACGTTACCGCCAAATGAAGCCATTATGAAAACTAAGAGTGCAACCATTGCTTTTTTCTCTTCTCCTCCTTTCTTCCTTCTCGCTCTTTCTTTTTCTTCTTTCCTTTTCCTTTGTTAGTGTGATTTTGGAGCTTCTCGGGCCCAAAAAGCCTGCCCGTTTTGACGCCTTTTCGCTCAAATGACTGCGAATCTCGTGAGGTTGGTTTTCATAAAATCGACTAGATATAAATAGTGATATTTGCAAGAGCTTTCCAATTACTAAGAGTCTTTCAGTCATAAAGTATGATATATATACAGGTGACTTTGCTTTCAGCACTCTAATTGTAATCCTAGGGATATAATCTGAAACCAAACGAGGCTCATCATGACTCTTGGTTAAACAGGGGGTGTTTTTGTTAGTTTTATCTCTCTACATTCTCAGAGCAGCACTGATTTACCTTGCACTACAAACATCTCATTGCCAACTACACTTTATTACATTATGTCCGAAATAAACTGACAAATTCTTGTCAAAGAATAAATGATGTTTTTTTTTCCAAGTTGCGCGATGGGTTCTAGCTTATCACACTGAGTGCGCAGAGTCAGTTGATTTAATGAATCTAAAAAAATGTTCGCGTACCCTTAAGAGGAGTTGTTCTGCTTATAGTTATGGGGTCCTGGAATGACGCCCTCAGGGATGTCCCTGTTTGAGTTGATAGAAGTTCCAATAGAAACCTGATGCGTTGAAACGATCAATTTGAAGATAAAGTTTTTACAAAAGTCAAAGTAAATGCTAATTGTTTGTCTAGATTTAGAATCTTAGAAGGGGTTCACCTAATCTTTAAATCAAGACAATTTTAAATTCTGAACACCCCCTTGAACCTTATGACTTTCTATAAAACTATATAAATGCTTAGTTCATAGTGGCTGATGCTGTTGGTTGCTCAGTAAAGCTAGTTTACAGGCACCGCATAAAGAATTAGTATCAACCCATCCAAATCAAGAACTTATTTATCTATTATGTACAAAGGATTAAAAAACCCAACTGGCCTGAGCAACCAGTTGACTCCATATTTAAAATCGTGGTGTGGGGACGGCCCGAGAAGCAAATAAGAGCGGGATTTAAACCTGGGTTGTGGTCCACATTTCGAGACTTGCATTCTCAGTCCCCTGATCACACTGCCCCGTTCCCTTCTTGCAGGATGTGAATTGTGCTATTGGACGCCTTTTCCTACGTAAGAACTTGCTATTAAATATTTGCGTCATTTCACAGCTACAGGCTTGTTTTCGCAGTGTGTAATAACTACGACACATTATTGCGAGGAGATATATCCAACCAGATTTTTGAAAACGTTGCCACCGAACAGACTTCTTCCGTCAAGAAGTCTTTTTTTTATCAAAAACTATCTCTAAAGTAGCCAATATAAAACCTAAGAGTGCAACCATTACTTTTTGCCTTTTTTCTTCCATTCTTCCTCCTTTCTGTTTCTTTTTCTCTTTTTCTTTTCCTTTTCCTTCGCTAAGTGTGATTTTCAAACTTATTGAGAGCAAAAAGTCTGCCTTTTAGCCCTTTGTTATTCAAATCGCTGCACATTTCGTTAGTTTCGTTTTCAAAAAATCGGCTAGGTATAAATTGTTAGTTTACAGTTCTATTTTAACTCATGAATTCAGTACATATTTTGAAGAATTTTCTTCATGCCTTCCAAAATCTCCACTGCTGTTAAAACGCACCTTTGGCGCCAGCACTTTGTCATCAATTCCCAGCAGGCATCGCTGGAGTCTTTAGGACGTTCGGGATATATTTCCTTTTCAGCTGCCACCTCCATTGCCGCAATAGTGTTGTATCTCTCATAGGCCTTGGGACGATGGTTCCCAGACCCCTCGCAAAGCACCCACAGCAAGGTTCCAAAGGCATAGATGTCGTACGAGCGATCGCTTTCCAGGCTTTTATGGTTTCTGTACATCTCTAAGGAGATGTGAAAGGGCGTTCCCTGCTGTGTTTGCTCGAAAGGCTTCTTAGTTTTGGCCATGTTAATCTTAGCTGTGCCATTTCGGGTTAACTGCCGAAATCAACAGGATAACAAATATCAGGTAGCGTTAATTATTCGCAATTCTTTTCTTTTTGTGATATTATCTTGAAATTCCAGCATGCGTTTTATTTATCTAAACGTCAATGCGTGTATGCATAAAAAAGCCTCTTAAATGTACTATTTTCTTGTGGTTCCGTACCTTGTCTGAATCTAGGTTTTGGCCAGTGGGTAAATCGTTAAGGTGGCGTTATTCGAAAAAGGGTATGCACCTGTCCCTGTATACTTCCATAGCTGATAACCGTCGTTACATTTGAATTTAGCAGTCTTTTATTATATATCTTTGCCTTCATTTTTGCAGTTCGAAAACGTTACTTTAGGATGTTGGCTAATTGTTTCGCATATTTTCAGAGGCTCGCTTTCTTCAGCAGTGATCGTTCATGACTTTCAATTGTTCTTTCTTTCTCTCTTTCTTTGTCTTGTCTGTTGTTTACACATGCAAGTCCTTAGATTATACAGAGTAGCAGTGGCAAACACTGTAAGTTACGAAAGGATTGTATAGTAATAAGCTGGAATTGATTTATTCTTTCTTGAATGTTTATCGTTCGTTAGTAGCCCGTGCCAAATCCCCGATGCCCTTGATACTTACCAGAATGGAATCGACTTTAATGTCTTGATAGATATATCTCGCTTCGTGAAGAGTCACCAATCCGTTTGCCACGTCCTCTGCAATCTTTAGGCGTGTCTTCAAAGAAAGCCCCTGTTTAAGGGCGGTGGTGACATCTGAATCCGCCCTTTCCATTATTACGTTAATAACTCCAGGTTCAGGGAAGAGCCAACCATGCAGATAGAGAAGGTTACTGTGAGGTTCTTTTAACCTTGCCTGGACTTCCCTACATCGCGAAATAAACAGAACGAAAGGTTGTCAGTATTATTTTTGTGGAGCGTTCAGTTGTACAAATTATATGTCGCTTTACTTGAAAAGAAAACGGGCAAAAGCGCTTTGCAGTCATAATCGCAGTAGGGATTAACCGGCCGTTGTTCGTCACTTCACGACCTCATACACAGACCTATAGCTTTTTGTTTGCGACTAAAACTGCGTAGGTTCGGTAGCAAATTTGCCACTTTTTTGTTTCGAGAATGCCTCTCGAAAAGAAGTTTATGGCTAGCCTAAAAGATTGATCAGGGCTGGGTTTGTGGCTGGAAGGTAATTCTCAGATCGGAGCTGAAGGATCAACTCCAGCCTGAGCCAAACTGAACGAGGAACGTACACTGCACCACACCAAGCTTGTGCCAATCCTACTTACATGGTGTCGAAAAGGTCCACTGAGGTCTGAGACCAGATCTCCGGCTTCACCTTTCCGCGTTCGATAACCTTCGCAACGCTTGCTTCTGGGTGTGTCATATTCGCCCAGCCACAGCAGTCATGAAGTTGGCCGTGTTTTGTGGGTTTTAGAACCGGACCAAGTTTAATTGGACCTATGGCTACCCGAAAGTTGAGGGCGAAGGTTTCAACTGTTAGGAGACTCATTTTGGGAATGTACAGAGCCGCTATTTCCTTCAGTTTTTGGGAGACGTCGGCTAAAAAACATCATTTGTGACGCGGTTGTTCTTGATGACATTAAGCAAGTCACTATGAATCATTTCGAGGCAATCTGCACAGGCTTTGCATAGTGACTCAGTAATTAGCTGGCGATTGAATTTGGAAAGAATTAGCTCGATGATTTTTCTTCTGGTTTGCTCATCCCCTAATCTGAAGTTGGCTTCGGAGGATTTCCATTTCATTGCGTGAAATAATCCTTCAATGAGAAGCTTTGTGACGGCTTCTCTTAACTTCTTGCTGGCAAACGTGTAGATGAAATCAACCCCACTGAGTAAACTGTTCCTTTTTGGCCAATGCCCAGTTCCATAATGTAAATGAAATGCTTGGCGAATGACCAGATTATCGATCATTTTTGTGTGCATCTCAACAGGGACCTTTGCCTCCCTCATGAACTTGTTAAGAGAGCATCGTAAAACATTGAAAGTCCAGTCCTGTATCCCTCCATAAATGGTTATTAAGAATCGAAGAAAAGGAATGTCTTCTTTGTTTGGACTGAATGGGAGCTGGTGCTTGCAGTGATTCATCTTGACCAGATTTTTGAAGAAGAAAGTGCGTGCCTTTAATTCCTTTTCTGTGTTCTGCTTCTTAGAACAAAGCTGATATTGATCTGCAACTGACATAAATCTTTCACGAAGACTCTGTAGGCTGCCATTTACAAGCTTTCCCATCGGGTCTTTGTTTGCAATAGTTGACATCATTTCGTCATGCAAAGATTTTCCGATACTTGTGGCCTTGTCTAATTCCAAAGAGATTGCAGATAAGGTTCCTGGAAGATTGTTTCTTGTTCTTCTCCTCATAGCCTGGAAAATGCTTATCTGCAAGACAAGGAGCTTCTCCACGGCATGTACACTCTGGCTCCTGATATTTTCGTTTAGAAAAGCCAACAGCCCGTCTTCAAATTTTGCAAAGGCCTTTCTCGCCTTGCTGTCATTAATGTGTTCTCTTCTGTCTATTCGAGTGTTCTTCGCTGAAATTCCGAAAAAGCGGGATCCTTTGTCACTGTCAACTAGGAGACCGTGTTCCTTCAGCTGGGAAAAGACCTTGGTTTCCTTGGTTTCGCTGGTTTCTTCATCCGTTGTCATTCGTGTTTCTTCGTCGTCGGAATCGAGGTCGTCTCCGCTTCTGCTGTCGAACGTTTGTGTCTCGGCAGACGTGTCTACCTTGTTGCAGACGAACATAAATGACAAATGCGGATATTTATCTTGCAAGAAACGGATTGTGTCAAGATCCTGAAAGAAATAAATTGTGTAGACCCGTTTAGTCGTAAACGTGGAAAAAGGTATGAAGAGATATTATACCGGGGGCTAGTACAACGATTGTATCAGGCGTACCCACAAGTCGAACTCCTATCCCCGAGTGGGGGATGCAAGGTAGTCTTCGTGTCGTTCAGGTGTGTATATTGGTATCGCTTAGTATTTTTAGAATTGACAAAACATTAATAGTACTACCTAGGGCGCGGGCTGTGCGTTAAGAAATAAAAGAAGCGAAGCAAAAAAAAGCATTCGATGACAACTTCATCATTGTAACTAAAACTACTATAAATGTTCTTTATTAGCTGTTTGATGATTACGATGGCATTTTTCAGAGGTCAGACAAAGCTTGAGCCAGGACCAGATTGGTTTCCTCTATGGGTTTGATTCAATTCCAATTATCCGAATTGCATCCTGCGTTCTTGGAGTAATATCCAGGGCTTAAACCCTTCTCCATTTTCAAATTATCAAGCATTAGTTCAAAATTAAAATTTTGCCAGCCCCATTACGAACACAAGTTTCGTCTTAAACATTTCTAACCCTGGCTGCCTGGCTCCTCGGGGAGCACCTAAATCTTGTTAAATACTCCCTTTATGACTGTCAATATATACCACAGTGGTCACTGCTTCGAGGCATTTTTCATTACTGAATAATGAAAAGAATAATGAGAAGAATGAGTCACAGATGAGAACGTCAACTGTGGTAAGAACATCGCCACGTATTTTTTTTCTTCAGTATCCAGATGTGACCAGGCAAGTACCATAAAGCATCCGGAAGTCACGATTTTCTTGAAGTTTGCTTTTTGAGATAACCGCGTCACTTAGCCGTGTTATTGATGAATTAATTTCTTGTTTTTTAGACAACTCAGATCAGTTGTTTGAAACAACCTAAAAAACAGAATTGACAGCTTCTCGGCCATCTTATTGTACATTCCGCCTGGGCCTAATATGATAATTACTTCGACCTCGACATATCGTCAATTGCATACTTACTTCACTCAAGATTAACGGGCATATAAATTTGATTTATTGACTCAACAGCGAAGCTTATACTTACTGATGACCTCAAGTGCTCGTTTCCATCGATGATATACACTACAAATGGAGTGGCTTCTTTCTCAAAGAAGTCATCTACCACTTCATCTAATGCGTCATTTTCATTCCTGCCCGGTGAGTCGATTAATTCTATGCCACTTTCTAGAAATGGATGATTCAAAGCAATTTCGACAGTGCACTTTAGCTGATCTGACTTCTCCCTGCCCTCATCGCAAACCACTACATAATCTTGAGGAACTCTCTTGCGGATCGTAATCGAAGATTTAGCTATTTGCCCACTTTTGTCGACAACTCTGACTGTGCTTTTGCCCGGTGTGTAGCTGATCTTGACCATACGCGAAGTGCACGGTGTTTCGTGCACGGGAAGGTAAGATCCACCCAAAATCTCATTCAAAACAGCACTTTTTCCGCAGTTTCGATTTCCAATAAAAACTACGGTGGGTCTTTTGTTCAAGGCGCGTTTTATCTCTTCCGCAGTCGTTGACGTATTTATACTTGCAATTGCTTCTTCACTCATTATTTCTCGATCTTTCATTTCTTCTAAGTACTGTTTGGTCTCGTTGAGTACTGTGGTTGCTGTTTCAGAACACAGTTTTAACTCCTCGATGGCTTCCAATTTTTTCTGCATTTTATGTCTTTTTGTGAAACAAGGAAGCTCGCTTCTTACATACCGACAATCTGTTAAGTGTGATAGAGTGAGCGAAATTGAAAGGGCATCTGACCGTGGAAACATTCACGATAAAAGGTACTTAAAATTGAATAGAAAGGAATCATGATTATTCATTTCCGTGAAAGCTTGAAATAGAAAATTAAGTTACAGTCTAGTGATTATCATCTCGCTGGCAGGTTTTTGCTCTTTGCATTTATAATTCAAGAAAGCCAAAAGTCAAGAATGAATGCAAATCAGTGTAACTACCCATACACTCTTCGCAAAATTTTGGATTTTCAAAGCAACAGTACCGATTCCGGCAGTGCAGGCAGCATACAGTACGGTCACGAGTAAATTGAACATTAAGGAACCGTGGGGTTGCTACCTCCTAGTACATTTTCACAACTGGTTTGACTATAATGGGGTTGCATTTTCAATAGAATTACTAGAATGGGATCGCACATTTTCGGGGCTTTGAGGGTGAGAAAATTCATGTTGGTAGGGATTCAAAACTGGGAAGCCGTTTTTACTACATTAGGTTTCACAAATGTGTCAAGTCATTTCAGAATGACCTAGTTTAAAGGCTTTATAAGGTAAATGCCTAAACAAAAAATGGCTAATATAAGTTGGGATCGCGAAAATTACAATATGGGGTCTATAACTGGCCACAGAATAGACTATAATTGGATAGGGGTGCTAAGTAAGCCAGCGGCACATACCCAGCAAAAATCAACGCAAGTAGCCCCCTGGGATTAAGTATATCACCTTATCAATATGAGACAAATATTGTAAATAAGGACTCGCTGATAAGCTTTCTCTTAAGGCTAAGGCAAGACTATACTAAATACCCTCGTGGGTAATCGTCAGGTTTTCGGCCAGGTAAGCTTGCTATTTTAGTAAAGACTGTCATTGTTCAAACGGTATACCATCTGAATGGGGTCCCGAAGGGCAAATTCCGCGCTCACTGAGTCGTTGTATTTGATCCTCTGAAATTTGTACCTCAAGTAAACAGAACGTTGTAACTGTCTAACGATTATCTAGGTAAAGAATAAAAAACTTGACTAACTTCTTCGGTTCTTGACTTATTTTTTTGAGCTCCCGCACACAAAGTTTCAAAGTTTTCTGATCCAGGTTTTTTCCCATCGGATGGATGAATGGGAACCGAAAGAAATAATGGAATGAAAGAATGAAAAATGAAGTGATGATTACAAGAGAGAGGCGCCTCATAAAACCTCTGTTGACGTATATCTAATGTAATAAATCCCCAGAACGCCTTCATTCTCAGAACGCCCTTATTCTCGATGTTTCTTTAAAAACAGAAATGTCGTTACTGTTCGTTCTAAACATTTCTCCGTTTCTGTTTGGCTTACGGGCTGATTCTTTAATTTACTTTAATTTGTAAATAAATCACTGAGAATTGGATGGGGTTGCCGAGGCCGGGGGATCACCTCTTCTCCCGATTCAAGCCAATCGTTTCATGGGGCAATCGGAAATATATCGACAACCTTGAATAAAAGACAAGTATAACAAAATAAAATGAGAAGGGAAACTATCTGCCTCAACTGACGGAAAAACAACGTCTCGTATTCAGCGTATTGCATGGTTACGCCGTGCCCCTGGAAAGGCTATGGAAAGCATTTTTTCAATGGGGAAGTGTTGAGACAAAACAATTGCATCTTGAACTACATTTTGTCGCTATGATAACGTGAAAATAAATCGTATTCGATGTACTGATGAAACAAATAAATGTTGATGTGACCTTGGCGGTTTAATAGTCAACCTAAGTGGCTGAAAAATTACACGAAAAAGTTTTTTTCGTTCATCAATTTTCGCCTTCTTTTTCAGTCTCCTAGTATGTTGAAAATAAAACTGCAAAGATCACATTCAAATTCATTGAGGTATGTTTTTTGACCACTCTTTTGTGTAATTTCTCGCAGTTGATCACACCGAAATTTCCTGTCGTTGTTAAAGTCGGACATGCAAATGGAGGCTACGGAAAGGTATGAAATTAATGTGGTTTAAATTCGAATTTGATTAGAGGTCTTGGAAATAGTTGAATGTCTAATCTTATTATAATATTGATTAAATAATTATTCAACAAATCTGAGACATCGCGCTCAAATCTTCAAACCATGCAGCCATAATCACAGGTGATGCGTCGGGATGGAAATTGTGCGTACAGTAACAAGCCCGCGACTGAATACCGACAGTCGCTTCTCCTTGTCCCTCGCCAGTAGGGACGTTTCACGGAAGAGACTCGTGAATAGCGGCATGCAACTGTACCGTTCATGGGTTCGATTTTTTTAAAGCAAAACTATTTCAGAAGCAAGCTTATGTTTATTTTCCGTTTTCTAAATCAAGAGAGATCTCGTCTCAAAACCACAATTGCATGCTATGGCCTGCGGTGCAGCCAGCCCACGTATCGCATATAGTGTGGATATAGTCCGAAACAAGGTTTAAAGTGTCCGCGCGCAGGCTAGCCCTGCCAATCTTTTTACCATGTTATTTTGCATTATAGGGAAATTCACTAATTTATTAATAATTACGACATCTCTTAGAGAATTCTCGAGTCCATAGACAAGACCTCACTTTCGTTCCACAACAATATGTTTGCCGTTTGTGTGTTTATATTCACTGAATATTTCAAGACAAAACATTTGAGCTTCCTGTTAAGAATTGCCTGCTACTTAGAGGCGGAAAGACCCCTAAGCAAGTTTTAATTTATACTTTCCGAAAATGTGATAATTCAGTGGTAGGCCATGGTCATATTTACTAGATTTACGGAATTAAGGTTCCTTCCTCTTTTCAACTTACAAGATAAAAATAACCAATTGAATTAACAATTTCACAACTTACCGAAAATGTGATAATTCATTAAGTATGTCTGGAATTCCACTTTCAGAAGTCGGCCACAAAAATGTTCTTTCCTGTTACCTAGCTTAGAGGCACAGTAATTCAAGTTCCTTTCTAAAAAGCAGATAGAGTATTTTTCGCCCCTTTTAGTTTAAATACCTTTCAGACCCACTGTAGATAGTAGACAACACATCCACTCTACAACATGAAACGTACAACGCATCGCATAAGCCCTGTTTGAATGTTTGTATAGTATATGACCACGCAACCAGACCCTGACTAGCTGTCCTTGACGAATTTCACGAATCGGAAATAAACCCACTCAATTAAAACACTTTTACGAGTGTCTAAAGAATGTGTCTGAAAATGCATCTCTGCGACGAATAGTCTTACTTTTTTAGGTACTCCTATGTGGGTTTACCGCTAAGGCAAGACAAAGAATAATACTAAGACGTAAAATCGTCATTCCTCTTACGGTTGTGTTTGTTGTTGTTGTGTTCGTTTTTAGCGCAATTGACTTGTCATTCAGACCAGTAAAGCCGGGAATCACGAATGTATTCTACATAGTATGGGTAAAACAAAAATGGTAATCGTTTTGCTAATCACGGTAGCCAATCCGGAAGCCCAGAGCTTTACTGTCTGTCATTATTCTTCACGGTTGTCTTTTTAGGTTTGTGTTCACAATCATCGCAGTTTCCAGGATATCGCGAGTATTGTTGCTCTGTCAGATACTTACGCCACGACGGAGCCCTTCATTCCTGGCAAATGTGATGTAAGGATTCAAAAGATTGGCACTCATTATAGGGCCTTCAAGTAAGTTCTTGATCGGTTAGAGTAGGATGTGGTGTTGCTTGGTAAGGGTCTGGGCACGGGCTAGGGACCACATGTGATGTCAACCAAACACTAAAATGAGGCTTTCCCTTCCCCATCCCCTGTACGCAATATTGTGCTACTCACTATTCGACTGAGTTACCTGTGGGAAACAACAAACACCCCAAATTTGAATTGAGGGGTGGGGAGGGGTGTAGATTGTTTTGTTCTTCGAAGTTACTCCATTTGATGACAGTGTCTCAACAATTTTGTCGCCGATTCGTGAACGATTCTTAGTAATCACCCAATGGTTTTTCAAACCCTGTGGCGATACATTTTTTGTAAAAAAAAAAAAACTTTCACCTCTGTTTTAAGTTGGTTTTATCGACTACACTGAGCTTACCTTGCCAATCAAAATTGTAAAATGCACGTATGATACATTTACTAATCAATGTGTATATTTTCTATTGTATGCGTAGGAGAACTTCAATTTCCGACAACTGGAAAACAAATACTGGGTCAGCGGTATTGGAGGAAATTGAAATTACAGATAGGTAGCGATAAAATCCATTTTTTAAGCTGTTTCTTACTCCTTTTTTTTATCTTAATGTTTACTCATTTAAAGAAGCCTTCCGTTATTCTCACGTTTTCTTTACCCCTGTTATGCTTCACTTATACCCAAGTGTTTTATTTCCAATGCGACGTCAACTTATTTTCCCGCGCTTTTGGCACCGGCCACGTTTTGCAAGTTTTTCTCCGTCTGCAACATTCTTTCCATGCAAACTGTACATTCAAGTCACCAGTTTCTCCAAGCACGCCGCCATCAACAACATTGCTTTCCCGAACCTGGAAACTCGTAGATGTCAGTGGACAAGAGAGAATAAATTAGAATAGATTGTCTTCTCTTCAGCAAAGTAGTGATGCTGACTGCAGCTAGAATTGCTTGATATTTCATTGCAGTTTGGTCACTTTTATAACCGCTGCTTTTTAATATATTTTTTTTTTACCAAATTCCCTTGCAGGTATAAAATGTGGGTTGATGAATGCAGTCAGTTATTTGGAGGTGGTCTTGATATTATGTGTGTAGAGGCCATCGTAGGAAAAGACAACAAAGAATACATCATCGAGGTAAAATGTTCATAACATTCCGTTGGTTTTACCAGAATCCGTAAAAAAAACGTCACAGGAAACGAAAAATGCTTGACAAAGGAACTGCTTTTTTCGATTTCGTACCTATACTTAAGCGCGGATAATGAATTTAGATTTCAATGTATGACATGAAGAATTCATTTGGGGTGTCAAAAATCTGGGACAGCAGAATGGAAATTATTCTATTTTCTTGGGCCCATGCGCCTTTACGATTGCGTCTTTGTGTCGTAGGTGTAAAACGTGGATAACGCAAACGCAGACACAGCTGCTTGACATAAGCTTGTTGGCTCTGGTCAGGAAACCCCTCTTTTCCCGTTTTCTTGGTTTCATGTTTGACTCCTTGAAATAATCACGAAATCACGCCAAATTTTATACTTTTGCGCCTGCGTACCTTATGCTTATCACACGTGTAATCATGGTTGCTCTTTTTTTATTTTGCGTCATGCATGTAAAGCTGTAACCTTCACGCCCTCACCTGGGTGGATGAACGACATGACCTTATCTAAAAATGATCGAGGCTTATTAACGTTCTTCCTTATTTTGCATCTAGGTGAACGACACTGCCATGCGTCTTTTCAGTGACACACAGGATGAAGATCAGAGGAGAATTGCTGACCTGATAGTGGAAAAAATGGAAAAGCAGTATCCCCCAAAACTTGAGCCTAGCACTGCCACAGGAGCTGCACTCACGGGTAACTGTTATAAATCACTCCAGAGTTTTCATTGTCGATGTCCAGAACAAAAAATAATCTCTGAAATCAGCAAGCCTAAAAAAGAAAACCCTTCTGAAAACACTACATATAAATAGTTGGGAATTTAAGGTTTCGGGACAGATGAACCTGTCTGGAACATGGAAAAGCTAACCGTGAAGAGAGGGTTTCAGAGTGTGGCCAGAGGTATACCACCGATTTTTCCCTGGCAGAGGGTTGAATTATCTTTATCAAACTGTTTTTTACTAAGTCAGTAAGAGACGTGAGATTTAAACTTCATCTTCGTTAGAAACCTTCTTCAACCTTTCCTACGTATCGTGCTCTTAGCCGCTGTAGCTTTACTCGACTGAATGAAGCTTTGTGGTTCCTTGATTTCAAGTTTTATAAAGTAGGCGTTTATTTTGATTTCTTTCCACACTAGCAGTCTTTTTATGCGAAGAGATAAAAAAAACCTCCGAGTAAGGATTATGGCTTCCTCGTTCCGAGTTTCTTTATCACGCGGAAAACAGAGAACGCAGGGTGATATGGGAAGGATAACGACGTGAATTGTTGCTATGCATCGTTCCCGCGATAAAACGCTCGATGCGTAAGTAGGGGAAATCTTGGAATGAGGTAGTTTCGCAGTAATCTCCTAATCTCCTCAGTTTATTAAAATTAAAACTCCTCCTGTGTTTTCTTAAAAGCTTGTTAAATTAATCTTATCTGTCTGACTATTAAAATGTCTCTTTCTTCCTTTTTCTGGTGTTTCTTCCACTGTACTGTTCTGTGCGGCAGATAATCAGTCCAGTGAGGGTAGCGGTAAGTGTTGTGAACTTTGTCTTCTTCTTTCAACTCACGCACTTACGCAGAGCTGGCACATCATGGGTGCCCTTTATATTAATGTCGGCGAGATAGCTACATACTGTTGTGTTTTGTCTGGGTTGATTTCAAAGGGGATGAATGGTCATGTATCCGGAAAGGACATATTGATCTGGTTTATCCTCATTCCATATTATATGAGTTACTCCGTATACTCAAAGTCTTTTCATCTCCAAGAAACTCAGAAACTCATATTTCGAACTCTCAATCAAGGTTCATTCCATTGGGCTTCATTAGCTCAACTGGGGCCGTAGTGCTTTGAAACGGGTCGTTCCAAAGGGCTGGCATCGGGAAGGTTCGAATTAAAGTAACTTAGACTGAATTCTTTGTCACTGATCGCGTTAGGTTGGTCATACAACTGCGAGGATCGTTTCCCGGCCACCTTTCATCTGTTGTTCTTTATCTGTTTCACCTGTAGTGCACATTATATACATTCTGTATCCAGATTTACCTTAGGGATAATGTTTACTAAGGAACGTAAACGAAATATGTGATGTTGCGTCAGTGTTAGTATACGATGCGATCCTTTTGTAAGGGTATTGTAATTTCATTCAGTAAAAAGATGGACATTTAGCCAAATGGATCGACAAATTTTCTTTGAGCAGTTAAAGACATAAGAATAAACGATATATATGTGTCAAACGACACCAGCGTCAGAGTAGCCTATTACACAAAGACTGACAAGATTTCAAATTTGGGAAGGTGGAGGACTTATGTAAGTCCCTGAAGAAAAGGTCGTTTGCAGTTTGTTTGCTGAAATTCGGTGTGCAAACACTTTTGTTTGGCTTTTGTAATAGTTTTCCAATACTAACAGGCGCTTTACTTTAAAAAGTATGGTCACTAACTTTGGATATTTCCATCAATTTGCAGGTGCTTTCAAAGTCCTTGGCGGATCCAGCACACCATCTGCATCAGAGGGAGCCACGAAGACAGAAAAGAAGAAAAATGGCGGACTATTCAGTGGACTTATTGAATAAACGCGAGACATTCCACATCGATAGGAGTGTGTGTGTGTTCATGTGAATTAGATCCACTATGACAGTGCTTCAAATTTAATAGGTCTTGTTCTATTTATAATAGCTTGTACCAAGTGAACTACTCTTGAGTAATGAAAGCCGGTATAATTTCAAGGTATATTTATTCAACGCCTTGAACGCTGGACGTTTTAACTTGCGATTCAGATTGAATTTCGATGTTACATAAGTTGTTTTAATTTGTTTTAAAATAGTTTTCAAAGGAAATTTTTGTATCACAATCAAGCTGACATTTTTTAGTCGTGTAGCTTGTTTTGTTCATCTTAGCTAAGTGTTCTACACTAATTCACCTTCAGTTTTAAAGGGAACCCGATGTGTATATGGTACGAGAGAAACAGAGTGGTGAAGTCAATTTTTTCCAAGTTAAAAAACAAAACCATACAACCTCTGCCAAGCGCGGGTAACATGTAAACAGCACTAAGCGCGAGAAAAAATAAAGCCCCGACCGCACAAACTCGGGTAACATGCAGTCGCTACAAGTGTAATAGAACATTCAGTTGGCACTCAGCGGGAAAACGTAGGGTACCCAGGGGCGCAGCCAGGATTTTTCAAAGGGGGGTCACCATCCGGGGATCGCCCACTATATATGGTTTATACCGCTGCTCTCCCTCGTGTATCAGCGGGCTCAGTCGTATTATCGCGGCATGAAGGCTCATATTAACTTAAGACAAGAGCCGTTGACGAAAATACTGTACAAAAAAAACCAAATTTTAAAAAAGTGGGCTTTTCAACAATGGCTTTTACGGCCAAGATATTGTCATGGCGTTTTCGCTACCTGAATATTTTAGGTTGTTTGCTCAAAAAAAAAAAGGCCCCCCCCCCCCTAGCTACGCCCCTGGACTACCAAACGTGGAGTGGAGGACGGCGTGTAAGAGTCGGACTGACTGTTAAATTTGCTTTTGTATGGCTGACGAAAAACCTGAGGAGTTGTGCGCGTTTGATAGGCTTATACTGGAAACTTTTCAATTGATTGGTGCCAGACTAAGGCATTCTAGGCTTCTGTTGCCAGGTGCAAAATATGAAGAATAACCCACAAGTAAACATATCAAATAGTAGGGGAATGTCGTGAGTGTTTTCATCTCAGATGCGCCTTATGGCCTGCGCAAATGGTTCTTTGCATAGTCTTTTTCCTTTTTAAACAAATCTTTTCACTGAATAAGTAGTTTTCCGTCCCAATCTGGATTACTTGATATTGCGCAAATTAACATAAATACGTGATAAAATGTGCATTGCAATAATCCTTAACTACAGAAGCTGACAAAAAAAATATATGAATACAGTATATCTAATATATCTAATAATTGCATGAAGTAAATAAAAAGTGAAAAGTGAACCCCTTGTTTACTTTTTTACACCAAGTCGGCTGAAAAAAAGTACAATGAAAAAAAATTCGCCGTCGAGTCACATTTTTCAGTTGTCCAAAATCTGTTTCCCTTAACTTGGGTAAGTTCCCGTGTGGCAAAATTATTTTAGGCTGAATAAAATTGAATTTTATTTTATAGACACCGATGAAATACCAGGATTTTTCCAGTGACGAAAATTTGTTATCCAGTGAAGATACAATTTGTATCCTTCACATGGGAAGGTATCTCGGTTATCATGGCTCCTTCAGTCTCATCCAACAGGGAAAGAGCCGTCACAGCATCTCGCCATCGGTGTCTATATAATAAACAGAATATTACATGCCGGCGCGTGGATACGAATTTTATCCTCGAGTGTTCAACTCGATATCCCACGAGTGAGCGCAGCGAACGCCAGTGAGATATCTAGTTGAACACTCAAAGATAAAATTTGTAGCCCCGCGCGGGCATGTAATATCCTCTATATCATTTCATTTTCTCCCAAAACTTCATGCGGGTCTATTGTATTAAAAAGTCAGCCTTAACGGGAGCGTGCATTAAATATTCTTAGCATGACATAAAAGTGGACCCTGCAAAGCGATTTTAGAACTGTAGGGAAACCCAATTTCTTTTAATATGCGGAACTTCAATCTATGAGTTTTCCTTTGCTCTACTGTTCAACAATATCAGCAATTGGATAGGTCCCATGTATTTACACTTTTAGTGATATTTCACTATATATCTTCTTCGTAGGTATTTACATAAGGAAAAAACTTCAAAATCTCGAACATATGTCCGACACAGTTATAAGTAGAAAGATAGTTGTAACCTCGAAAAAACACTGACAAGCAGGCAGAAACACTGTACCAATTTTTAAGTAAGTTTCTCGAATTTATTACGACGGACTGTGCATAAGTATAGAGTTGACATGTTTTTTAGCAGTCGCCTAACAATGCTTTCGTGCTTGAGTTGTATGAACGGATTTACAAACAACTGTAGCAGCACGAGCCTTCGAGAATCACGATTATTGACGGATTATAGAAATAGAAATAGATAAATAAAATAAAGATTAGGTTCCCCTTCTTCGGCACGCAAGTAACGGAATATTTTATGCCTTTGTCCGCATTTTGCCAGATACGTCGAACCTTAAGTACGCATGTTTTTGGCCGAACCATTTCGATATAGAGTCGATTATCACTTAGGAAGACTATTTTTTTGCATTAAGCAGCCTATCATGGTTTTAAATAACAAAGGTATTTCCAAGAAGACAGGTGTGTAAAAACGAGCTCAAGGCAACAAAATGATTAAACAGTATTGGCGCCTCGGCAGAATCATGCTAAGTGAATCATGGCGTTGTGATTGTTCCGAACTGCATACTGCGAACACCGTTCAAGAGACGAATTTAACCAAACGTCCACCCTTTAATGTTTCTGGTAACGGACTAAAGGTAAGACTTTTTCAAAAGAAATATTTTATTTGATCGAGCAAAGAACGAGGAACAAAGGTTATAGTAGTTTTTGTCTTAAACTACTCTAAAGCAGAAAAGAGCTATAAAACGGATGTTTATAGAATGAGCTATGAAATTTTTCATGATGTTGTGATGATGTTGGTAATATGATGATATTTAATGTAACAAATCATCACAATAGTAGATGGTAACTTTATAAAAAGTTATAAAATGAAATTCACAGCCTGCCTCGTAGTATAACAAGTAAACACAGATTTGTGTCAAACATAATTGAATGTTGATGAAAACAATACAGTTTGAAATGAAGGTCCCGACAGTAAAAAAGATATCAGCATTTTACAGTACAGTCACTTTTATGATAAGCTCCTCTTAATCTGTTTTCTTTTACTATGTGATGTGGTATAATTGCGAAGGACGCATTTTGGGATGGGATCGCTAACAAATCTATAGTGAGATTAAATGAAAATCATAACCGGCCACAGTCAGTGTTTTATGTTATTACGACAATGTTTTAGATACACTAGGTAAGGACAGCAAATTAAGGGAAAATTACCCTTGATCTAATACGGTAAGTTTCGATATTCATGTTTGCGATAATTCTAATACCTGAGACCGGATCAGAGGCGTGAATGATGGTAACTTTTGACACCATGGCAACAAATAAGAGATCATAAAAAAACTGATACAAAAAACTGTTTGTTTGAAGTATTTTTTCCCAGTGTGTATTTTGAACCTAGCCGCTTTGGAACGGATGTCATGTTACTGCAAACTAAAACCACTCATAATGGAATATAAATCCGATTCGATAAGCTAATGAACAGTGCCTTTCGAAAATCTTCTCTTCCCCTCTGATCTTGAACAAAAAATCTAAGTAAAAGATCCACAACATCTCAAAGTGTGTCATTACAATACATCAGCCCAAAACAATGTTTTATTATGCAAACGTTTTTTTGTTGCGATACAACCACGAAATGCAAATTTGGAAATGATAAACTCATTTCAAATTCGTTGACATGAGAAAGGAAGTTTACCTTTGAAGGCCAAAAACATAATTCCAGCGTTGCTGAAGTGGTTTAGTTCATAAGTTAAGTGCCATAAAGTTTTAATCGAGCAGAAAATTTAATTGGAAGTGATTAGTCAGGGAGCAAGAAGGAAGAAACATTTTCCAGCTAGTATCGTTCATCTTTGGGAGCAGGTACTAAATATGACAAACATTTGAGACATTTCTGCTGAATAAACGTTTCAAACATATACTGTTAACAGTAGGTTAGTAAGATTGTGTTATAGAATTTTCAAGCTCTGTTTATCTTTTTTTTTACCCAAATTAAATTTGTAGGCTAAATAGAGCGTAGGAGAAAGCTGAATAGGATAAGGGAAATTTTGATATTTTAAGTGTAAGACCTAACAAAGCTTTCAAGGTAACCTGAGAAAGCAGCCTAACTTAAGAGGCGCCACTACCGATTCATTCAGTCTACCTCGGTGAATTACACCAGAAGTATAACAGCCGCCGCCCCGAAACTTCAGCTGCCTTCTCAGGCTACTTTCAACGATGTTTGCAACTTTTATATATTCCTTTTTCCCAGATGTCTCTACAGGAGGTAAATGACCTCTTAGTCAAACCCTATTATGAGTATACGTAATTAGAAATTTTTATTTTCCCGCCAGCGTCAAATGAATTTTAGTTAATGGCCCTCATGTTGTTTTTTAACATGTAAAATGCCGTGTGTAACTAAAACAGTTGGTTGCGTAGGCTTGGAGGTTAGATTTTCCATTAAAAAAAGTGTCAGAGTCCAGAGATTTGCCGCTAAATACAACATTTCTTTATTTTTCAGAGAGAAAGTTTACATAGCTGCCATTCATTCATTTTTACGGATGTTTATCCCGTTCTGGTGTAGGATTTTGTTGAATTAATTAATTTGTTGAAAGCATGCCGGATCAAACATTCTTGCCTTCTTTAACGGATAACAAAGGACCAGATGATAAACAAAGCGCAAAAATGGGCGCTAAAAAGAAGAGTTTGCGTCAAAGAAAGGTGAACGGCGATCGTATGTTTGTTAGCTTTCCTGAAGTCGCGAAGACCATCCGAGTGGCAAAAAAAACCGTGAAATCCTTCGCTGTGAATTCTTCTTCGTCGAAAACATCGTCCTTAAAAACCGAAGACATGTCGAATAGGAAGAAAACTGGCGAAAATCTTTCGGATCTGAATAAAGACCAACTCAGGAAACAGTTGCGACTGCCTTCACTTGTGTTGACGCCAACCTCGGAAAGAAGAATGTCCGAAGAGCGATGGAGCAACGCATTGGGTTTAAGAGATCGCTACGAAATACCACGCGGTGTTTTAAACAAACTAACAAACGAAATCTTCAAAATTGACCAACAATTAAGAGAAGAGGCAAAAATACGTCAAATTAGAGAACAACGAATGGCTTTTGACGTTAAAAAGCCGAAACTTTTATCATCTGAACTGAATGATTTCGAACGGACTTCTCGTCCAGGATTTTCGTATTTTCCATGTATCGGCAAGTCTGTAGTAGACCTTCCAGCGTCCAATGAACTTTTCTGGATAGAAGACAGAGAACAAGAGAGATTGTTAAGGGAGGAAAAGATGATCCAAAGAAAAATGAGAGAATTTAAAAACCGTCATTCGCATTTTAACCCCAGGGTCTAACTCCTAATATGCAAGGTTATACAGGTGTTTTGTGAATCATCATTTCTAAAATATTGCATCGCGTAATCTCCATTGTCACAGCAGTAACTAATATAGCCGGTAAAAAAGCTACAGGAAGTTCTCATAAAAAGGAACAGAAAGGAACATTACGAAACATGATATGAATGTAATTGTCATCGATGTAGCTTCTCTTGGAGTTTTAAACGGCAACTTTTTTTTTTTCATTGAAAAGGCTCCATTGGAAGAGTCAGGTTAAAAGATTATTTCAGCATTTTACATAGTCAAATAGATGACAAGTAACTGTCAAGTTGGTTAGGAGATTGTTACATATGACAAGCTTTTGGTGTGAGAATTAAATGAAAGTTATCGTCAGGTCAGGGGGTTTACGAATAAAGGATATCACCTGTAATTCCAACTCCGTAATGACAACCCCGCTAACCAATGAGATTATGCATACATGTTGCTTGGCAATATCGTGTTCAATTTGACAGTCGTTCAATTTGGGGAGGGAACGGTAGGGGGGGGGTTGAAGAGAGGGAACGGAAACCAGGGCCAGTGAATAATTTAACAAAGGAAACTGGCTCTCCGTAATATGAAGGTCTGAATGAGGTTTTTGTTTTTCATGTCATTTGCCAGATTTTAGTGTTGAACTTGCTGAGAACTTGAATTTTAGTGGAAAGAAATTAATGCGTCAAAATAAGTATTACAGACACAAGTTAAAATGCTTGTTTTAAGTAAGTTTTATGCAAGTAACTCAATCTGAAACCCCCAATATAAAAGACAAATGAAGTTCAAAAGAGAAAAAAAATGATTAGCATCAAGAAAAAAATGGCGAATCGGAGCCAGTGCGGCAGAAGAGTTTATGCTTCTTCACAAAATTTCTCTCGGCAGTTTTTAGCGAAAGAAATATCTTTAAGTATTCCTCCTTCGTCCTTAGACTTCCTGGATGAATTGGTTCGTCGCGCTTCTTGGGTTTTCTCTCTTCCATCTCCTTCTTTAGTTTTTCTCTCTTGTTCAATGGCTTTGGAGAAGGAAATCGCGGAAAATAAGAATATTTTGCTCGCGAGATTTTTTGAGTGCACCTTGTGTACCTCATCTCTCGTTGGTATTGGTAGTTTTTCAACAACAGAGGGCAAGTTTCCACCGTGTGACCGACACCATTGCGGTTTATACCTTCAAGGCCTTTATCAAGCTCAAAATTATTACTGTAAATTTTCACATTCTCCTCAATGCGTTTTTCTTCCAAAGACTCACAGCCATACGGTTTCTGGATGTCTGGTAGCCTTAGAATGATGGCTTTTTCGTTGTCCGCGTCTAATGTCTTGTCGTTTTGAAATCTCATCATCTTTTCTCTTCGTTGAGGACCAACAGAACCAATTTCTGGAAGACTTTCTTCATAACTCTGGGCTTCAAATTGATTTGATGTTACAAAACCACCTTCTAGTAAACCATTCTTATGTGTTCCACACGTAGACTTTTGTTTGGTTAATGCTGGAAGCTGGAGCGCAACGGTGCTTTCCTCAAACTCTTGTACATCATCGGCACTAACGTTACTTTCTCCATACATGATTTTCAGAGTAATTCAGCGACTTCTAACTATCTTTTCCAAAGACTTGGTTGACTTTACCGCGGGTAGAGCGTGGCAAACAATTTCATTAGTGATACCAGTTTGACGTCAATTCTTAAATGCCTCACACTTCAGTTTTATTCGACATTTCAGATACTTAGTTGAATGACCAATTATGTGCATTCATCTGAAAAAAGTACACGAAAGTGTTAATGTATTTGCGCGTTTATATAATTTGTCGGTGCTGACGATCGACTCCATAACGACTGTAAACTAAACAACAAAACCATCGGCAAAACTATTGTAGCCACACAAACTCATTTCAAGTGCCGCGAGAAGTTAAAGGCCGGTTCTTGCATCACGGAATGACGTCTTTGAAAATTATACTTGGATTGCTTACGAGTTGTTACAAATTCAACTTCAAATTAGAGAGACGCTGGTTAAGAGCTCCCCGCGATCTATCGAGACGTTTTGTCACGTGATTTACAGTATAAATCACTTGACAAAACGTCCAGGTCCATCACTTGATAAAGATTCCGCGATAGAATCAAAAGTTTGTGTGTAAAAAGTTTTTTTCTATCCTTTAAATTGAATCGTCGTTTATTATAAACCTCAAATTAGTTTTACAAGCTCTGAAACGGTTTTGTGTGACCCGGTAAAAGCGTTTCAGAAACTTGGCATCCTGGACAGTAACTGGACACCTTTCATGTAAACAAAACGCACCTGCCGCCATTAAAACTTTCTAATTATCACCTGTAATCAGACTGCATTGTTAGACTTAAAAGACCAATTTATAACTATTATAGGAGAGAAATTGTTGATGAGAACCATCATAAATATGGTATGTATTTGAAACTCTTATAATTTTAATTTATAAATCTTCGTTCTGAAACCGTTTTTCGTTCAAAAAGTGCTTCTCTGATACAACGGGTGGTGATACAATGGCTTTTTGGGTTTAAAAGGGAATGCTTAGGTAAGCTTCCATTCAAGTTAATTTGCTGTCGGTAGAATTGTGTCACCTTAGTGACAAGTTTTTCTCAATTTTCAGTTTCTCCCAGATGATGGCCATTGACCGGTAATTCGAAAGAACTCCCTGACACGAACAGAAAATCTCTAGTTTTGTATCAAAATAATCCGAAAAATTGACCATCGTCCAGTTTTCGAACCTTTCTGGTTCCAAATGGGAATAATAAAGGCAAAAAATATCTATTCTTGACAGCGCATTCGCGTACCAGGCCAACTGGTCAAATTCTCTCTTTCAACTGCCAATAAACACGTGCACGTGCAGGTGGAAGCACAAGTAAAACGACTTTTCCCAAAATTTAATAGTTCTGATTTACCTGAATTTTTACAGGGCTCCAATCGATAGGCTGATTTGGTGCTGTTTTTACTATTTATGGGTTCTGTTACTATGGCATTGGCCAAAATGGCCGATGTGGAGTGGGTACGGAAGGTATGCATTTTGTGCCAGGTTTGTCAAAAAGGCTGGGGTTTTTTGCGCGCTTTCTAGTAATTTTCACAACACACGTTAAACAAAAATAATTTTAAAAAAACGGTATGTTTTTCTGCCTATTTGGTATATGCTGATCTTTGTATATCTGTCAACACTAGCCGGGCAACTTAGCGACAAAGGCTGTGAAGGCAGTTGAATCTTCACTTATGAATTGTATTAAATCGCGTTCATTGTGGCGATGATTTCAACAAACTTACAATTTGGCAAATTTTAGACTGAAAAACAGTCGGGTTTTTTTTTCTCAAAATCGGTTTAGTGTAGCGTAACCGTAGCCTCGCTCCAGCCCTTTTGTTTGAATGTTCTCCCGTACATGAATACGCAAAAATACGGTCGGACTTTTAGGCAGTCTTGTCAAATTTAGGCCAGTCTATCAAATTGACTTCTTAAAGATCGTATCGACCTTGATTCAGAAAAAGAAAGAAAGAATAAATTGTTGTCTGTTTATGTCCTCCCTGAAAAGTCACAGGGGCAATGTCGTGGTCATGCAGTGAGAGCATCGAAATGTACAAAAATTACTATACAAGTGTTTTCCTGATTAAACCTTTTGCGGTTTTGATCCCTCTCTCCTCAAATACATAAAAAAGAAGCAGTTGAAGAGAAAGAAGACCGTGGAATCAGGTGTCCAACTAATACAGCTTCTCAAATCGCCATTTCCTGAAGCGAACTCTCTATTTGCACAATTCACACTCTCGTGAGGTAATTCACAGGTCAAGTCGAATTTGTTCAGTCCTCTCTTAGTGTGCGACGTAAATGGGTAGCCTGTGCACAGCCCAACCTCGTCTGCGGTAGTCTCCCTTGCAGCCGTTTTATGGATGGCATCCAAAAAACGGCTGCTTACGTCTCCAGGGTCCGCTTGCATAAAACGCCCGTAACATCTTACGGGTATACGTACGTGTACTTGTAACTTAAGTGAGTTGCATTAATTCACTAAAGTGGCCCACTTAGGGAATTCACTTAAGTGGTTGCACTTACGATTTTCGTAAGTGTTTACTTAAGTGTCGTTTATTCAACAGAAATTGCGGGTATTGCATAGAACTTTTTTTAAGGGAAAAATAGCACGTAAATTTTACGGGACCTATGAAGCTCCCGTATCCTTACTATTCGGTGTACTAAAGTTAACGAGATATTTTACTGAGACGTGAAAAAAAGTTCTTTACGTAATTCGTTCTAATGCGCTTTGCTAACCTCTGATGTACACTTTAAAGTCGACTTCGAGAAAAAAGAAGAACAACTATCATTTTCAGTCAGTAGTATATTGAAGTAAAATAACAATTGCATGCAAATTTTGTTTCAATGAGAGGCTTAAAGTGCTCGAAACGAATAGACACTTCCTTTACACTCCCCAATGGTTAGCTTAAAAAAATAGAGTGAATCATTCGTTAATAATGTACAATATCAAAGTTACTTGTGTCCTTAAGTGAGGCCCCGTAAGTTACCACGTAAAACAGAAACTTACGAGAGTGCTAAGTGCGTTCCACGCAACACCCGTAAGCCGGTACCCATAACGGATTCGTAAGTGACCTATACCTACTTAAGTGAGCACTTAAGTGTAGGTTTTATGCAACCGGGAGCGTCCAGGGCTTTTCTTTCTTTCTATTTTCTTAGGGGAAAGCCCTGGAGACGAGGTTCTGTGCAGCCCCTCCCCCCCTCCCCTCAACCAAAGTAAACTGTATACAGGCTATAAGTTGAAGAATAGAGAGGAAGGTATTGGACAGAAAAAATGAAATGAAGCAGTGGTAGAAAGAAATAAAATGAAGTGAACATTCATTACTGCTATATTACCATTCTGCACTTCTTAATGGACTTACTTGGGGGGAAATAAGAGCAGTATACTGCCCACCAGACTGCCCACGTTAATCGTGAAAAGAAAAATGGATTTATATGATATTTAATTCTACGCCTTTATGATATTTGAGCTGAATGAAATATTCTAGTGATAAAATGTGAAGTTCTTAATAATCATACAACAATTCAGAGGAAAAAAATACGTATGTACGATAGTTTTATTTCAGATTCCTCACTTGCGTTCACTTCATAGGTGATTGCCTGTGGTACCGGACACAATAAGATATAATTTTCTTTCCGTCAACTTGACTGCTCAAATTAGTACTGACTGAACCTGTTGCTAGTACAGACATGAAAACAACGAAAAGTCAATGAATGACGCTTTTACATTAGATGGTAGTCGTTAAACGACATGCTTAGATTGAAAAATAAACATGCAGTTTTTGACAGTTGAGTTTGATTTTTGAATGTTTGTCGTGCAGCTAAAAACATATATGCCCGGGATAGGCGCAGATCTAAAATTTTGATGTGGGAGTTGGCGTTTCTATGTCGACAAGATTGATTCTTTGGGCAAATCAGGAGTTCCTGGCACATGGGTACCCCGGGAAAGTCCCTGGATTGTCCCCCTCGGACTAGGAACGGACTTCGTGGTCCATGATAAGACAATACATTGCTCATTTAAATATTACGATTTTTTTACAAAGGGCGATGGGAATATTATACGCACACCTATGCACGTTTTTAAAGCCAAGAATTATTTCATGTTCAGTGAATAAGCATTGATATATACATGTATGTACCTACTCGCTTAGCAGCAGGTATCAAATGGGGATCTCTTATTAACATTTGAATGGCAGGTACCTGTTAAAAAGTTAAACCGCAAAAAAAATAGAAGAAAGAAAGCCGAAGTTGTATTTTATTAAATAATAAATAACTTAATACCTTAAAGCAAATATAATTTTTTGAAAGCACCCCGTCTTGTTATACTGGGAGGTTTTGAGGAAATTTTCTTTGCTATATAATAAGGCGTATCATGTAATCACGGGGCACAAAACAGTCTTACCACACAAGATGTAAGATGAAACATGGCCTCTACTGAGAATCTTCTTCAATATTCTGACATAACTACAAATACGTTAGAATCTGGCTATCATTCAGACAGCCACGAACTAGACAACGGCTCTTGGCAGAAACGGGCCAACAAGAAAAAGAATTATCAGCGACGTTTAGGTTTGGAAAACGAAGGTTTCGAACCTGACAGGGAGCATGTTGATACAGGCGCAAAACACCGGGTGCAAGTTCATCGAGCTCTGAGCGAAAAAGCAAGTACAGTGCCAGAGGCTAAAACAAATACAGTGCAAAGAAAAGATAAACGTAGGCATAGTTATGCAGAGGGGACAACTGTCGATAGAGCGAATATAACCGATGGTGTAATACAACGTGTAAGAACTCCAAGACGCCGTACAAGTAGCACGGAGATTGATTTAAGGCGAAGAGCTTGTTTAAACAGCTTGCGCCTTCGCCGAGTTTCAAGTTCGAGTCAGCAGCCTCTTTCAGAAATCGACAATAGTGCTGACGATGATGTCTTTTATATCGATGATTTCAGGAAAGAGACTCGCGGAAATACATCGAGAGAAGCATTTAGCTACGATGGCGATGGGAGAGACAAAACCAGAGAGGAACGTAAGGAAATTGCTATGGATAGAGTTTGCCGTGCTTTGGAATTAGAAAACGTGACATTGGACAAGTATTCGAGGCGTTTATCCTCCGCTTTGGAAAATAGAGCTGCGCTGAAGGAAGAACTTAATGTCTTGCGAAGAGCTGTCACAGTTCCTAGTTTGACTGCCGAAGAAAAATTGAAAAAGGGACCAAAAATCCACTTTCAAAACGAAAAACTGAATTCTCTAAGGAGACAAAACATTGAGAAAGGTAACAAAAACTATTTGTTTGAACACCTGAGGAGATCGCAAATGGAGGAACGTAGGAAACTGCCCGACGTTCCGCGAGCTTCTCGCGTTGATAACAATGAATTTTTTGACGAATCACTAGATGGAATTGCATGGAAAGCTGGAAAATTGCATCAACGCAGAGATACTGAAGACTCGCTGTCTTTAAGCAGTGATGAGTATGAATTGTTTGACGAAACCGCCAACGTGATATCCGAAGGATTGCCTCAGCGAACGGGTAGTGAAGCCGATCCGCTGGCTTTCAGCAGTGGCGAATATGAAATGCTAAACGACACGCCCAATGTTACCGGCCAGACGACCGCGGTCGAAAGGTTGACTCAGCAAAAAGTTACCGAAGAACCGCTACCTTTTAGCAGCAGCGAGTATGAAGGATTGCCTCCTCGAAAAGTAATTCCTCAGCATTTGGAACAAACGGGTGGAATTGATGGATCTCACAGAGAAACATCGTTGAAAACTAAAAAGAAAGGTGAAAGTTCGTTTGGCCGCAGTTTCAGTAAAGAATCCCCCCTTTATTTAACAGGAAAAGGTGGAAATGATAATTATTTTCTCAGTGAAGTTGAAAAGAAGAGAAGGGAAAAGAACATCGCTGATTTGGCTGCTGATTTATGGCAGAAACTAGTACAAGGAGAAAAATTTCACGGTGACGAAAGCAGAACCCGTGAAACATCATTACCAGATGAAATAGTTAAAAATAAAGCAACTGAAGAAGGAGAAAATTCGAGTAAGAGTAAGGAGGATCCATTGTATACAAAACCAAGAATAAGGAAAAAGACAGAGAAAGATCACATGGGAGACTTAATAGCGCACCGGAATCAGGAATCACGGACAATGGCCACAAGTGAAGGGACAGCGCATAGGCGATCAGAATCTGCATCAGATTTTGTAGGTACGAGTACATTCAAGAGAAATCAGAGGCGCCCGATTCGTTACAGACGCAGCTCTAGCACTACAGAATCATTGAGTGCGAGCAAAAAGGGAAGCTTTTCACGACCAGGATTGAGTTATGCCGAGCAAGAGGGGACGCCGCAAGTTCAACAAGAAGAAACTGGCATGCCTACTACAATGAACCCGCAGGAGAAATCAGAAAGGCTACCACCAGCGCAAGTGAGAAACTTTTTATTTCAGGGTTCTACTGAGGCTGTGAGTCAAAACCATAGTAAATGGTTTGATTACATGTTGCCACCCGGAAAGCGGGGATTTAAAAAAGAACGTTCTGGCTCTTTACCTGATCATTCCGCAGACTCATATTCACCATCAACTTCATTGTGTTTGACAGAAAAGCTGCGTTATTATCACGATCTGCAAGAAAAGAGAACTCGAGAAGAGGATTCGTTTGGTTTGGCTGACGCATATATGGCTTCCCAAGACCCCGAAGGACAGAAAGAATTGCGCAGTCAAGCCGCAGGTCGAGCAGCCATTTTAAGACGAGAAGCCTCGCACCTGCTTTGGGAAGCGATGAATTTGGAGCGAATTTGTGATCCTAATGCGAGAGTGAGGCACATTTTCACGCCATACTGATGAAAATGGTCTCTCTGTCAAGTTACTTGTAATTAACACATGAAAGCTTCAGCCTCTAATACAAATTTTTGCCATTTCGAAAAACTGTAATAATCAGAATGATGTTGTACGTCGAATATTTAAGTAACACGTTACGGTAACCAAATGGAATCTTACCACGTTGTTGTAATCACAAAAGATTGCTTAATCTTTCCCAGCAAATAACACTTTTCTTTGAAACAGGGCTTCTTAGCCGTTTTTAGATTCGCAGAAAGTTTCGACGTAAAAAAATGGAAACCTTGGTGCAAATTAAAAATGTAGGTGAAATGATGTAAATATACTATAAAACGAGTGTTTTAAGTTGAAAAACTTGGAGTCTGTCTTGTTCTTCAGCCAAACGCACAACTGGCCTAAAAATGAATTTTCTGATCATCATGTCTTTATTGAGGGGAAGGAGTATAATTTTTTGAAATACAAACTACGATGGGTTAGCAGTTGCTGTTACAGGCTATTCATTGCCTGGTTCTCTCCTTAGTCATTTTCTATTTTTTTCAATTTCCCTTAAGGAACCTGTTGTTCAAGCTAACAAATCAGAAAATCGTCAGTGATTAAGGGTAAGTTAAAAAATATCGATGCAAGTACAAGTCTGCGAACATCCTATCCTGTATTCTCTTGCCTGCCAATATGTTGGAAGCGTTATGTACTCTCTCTTCATTGACGCTTTGATGTATACAACTTATACACGTATCGGCGGTAAGCTGGCGGTAAACGAAGTAATCTTCTTTGTCAGTGGCAATTTTTACTCTAGAGATTCTATATTAAAATTTTGTGAATCCTAAAACAGTCAGGACTCTTTTAGCGAACACCTCGGTAAATTTCCACTATCGCGTAAATTTTCATGTGGACCGAACACCAAGTCAGTCTTTCTTAGGGAGATGTCTGAGTTAAACACTTTTCGCGGTTTTTTTTTTCGATCCGTTGTCCCCACTATCTTGGAGCCTGGAACAGGTTAAACTGACGAATGAAAAAGTTGTAATTTTAAATTGTAAAATTGTACATTTGTTTACCCACGGAGCACTTAGGAGTTCATAAGAACTCGTTGAAACGTGTCCGTGCGTTCCAGAACGAATAGGCCATTTGCACTAAGGGGTCACGTGACATCGTTTTAATGAAAATAAAAGTTATATGATTTTGCCTTCGAAAAACGATTATTAGGTCATATCTTAAACAAAATAATAGTGATTTGGCTTTTCAAGCCCGCACCATTTTCCTGAAATGAGAAAGTTCGTAGCTCGTCACGTGACCAAAATGTGATTTTTAAAATTATGAATTACCTCTTTCTGAACACAAATTTTGCACTTAAACTTCAAGGAAAATGTTGAAAAGATGATATGGTAACGCTTAAAGGACATCTGAGCGTAACTATCAAACGTTAAACAAGATTTAAGCAAAAAGTAGTTTTGGCCGCCATGTTGGAGGGCAAGAGTATGCCCTCCAACATGGCGGCCAATACAAATCATACTACTTTGTTGAAAAATCAAAGTGCCATAAAATATCTCCCTTAAATGCGTTTCCTCTCAAATTTCGGGTGTAAGATAATTTTTATGTGCCCTATCAATTTTTAGCATCAGCAAGATTCCAACTCATTGTTTAAATGAAGCATTGGTCACGTGACCTCTTCGTGCAAGTGGCCTATTGGAATTTGAAAGTGTTGGTTTTTAAGGAGAAGGGAAAACCTGAGTACCAGGAGAAAAACCTCTCGGAGCAAGGAAGAGAACCAACAACAAACTCAATCCACATATGGCGTCGACGCCAGGATTCGAAACCGGGCCACATTGGTGGCAGGCGAGTGCTCTCACCACAGCGCCATCCCTTGCTCCCCTAATCCCCTAAGGGATCAACTCTAGTAATTGACCAGGTTAGGGGCTCCGTGTCTGTTTTTTAAGTCATAATTAAAGGGAGAAGAAGGGCCAAATTTTTATGACCTCAACAAAGTCTGGCGAACGGACGGTCGTCACAGAAGGGCAACCAAACAATTGAAAAAAAGGGAGCTAGCTCAACGCAGAACAACGTAAGGACTATGAATAATGGAATAACCACTGAAAAAGGTCTTTTTTCCTTCTTCTTGTAAAACCTTCGTCAATCTTTTGACGTCTTTGGACCTCTGTAAGTCTGTTGGACTAAGCTGGACGAAAAGATAAATAAATAAAAAATATAAACAAAAAATAAAAAAAATTGAAGCGCCATTGGATAATACAGTTGGCCAGCGGGATCTCTTATTACAAATCAGATCACGTGCCTGGAGCGAGTTTTTCCAAGATGGCGGCTTCGTCCTCCTTCTTTTTGTGGGTCAGTTTTATTTCTCTTTTACTGTGTTGCTGTTCCTATAAAGCCTTTCCAGTTCCTGTTTTTATATGGTCTAAAGATAGGTAAGTATTATTATCGCCCTTTCGTTGAAATAAATCATCATTTTACGGTAAATTCGTTCGATGGAATTTGTTGCGGGTTTTGACATTCTCTGCTGTAAGTTTATAAATCTTGACAAGACAGCTGTTTTTCACGCAAGACAGGTGATTCTGAAACATTTTCTGAAAAAACTAGTTATAAAATACTGCTGTTCAATATCGTATTCTTTAATCAGCTATCAAAGTTACCACTTATTTGGTAAGTCTTTACTTTTGATAGTGGACGTCTAGAGCTAAATCGTGTATAAAAATTCAATCAATGTTTATGTATGCCTTTTGTTTAATATTAGCAGAACTCTGTAAAACAGAAAGTGAACATCGATTCGTTTAGTTTTTCTTCAAATTTTTGCTCTCTTTTTCCTAGTGAATTGAGCAGTTCTACTCCAGTATTGGCAGGCCATACATTAAAAGAATGGGATTTCCGAGAGAAATATCTAAATAAATTATTCCAAACTCCTCAAGTCGTTAGTGTTTTTCTGCAAGACAGGGTAAGTAAGAGAGTTAACGGCTTTGAGTGCAGACTGTAAAAGTTTCTGTGTAATCCTTTCTCAATACAAACCCAGCAGTCTGGTAACAAACTTTTTAAGTTGGTTGCCCTTCTGGAAACAAAGCCTCACAATCCAGTTTCCCGAGGAAGAATATGAGTTGCCCAAAATATTTTGGTGTAAACAAATTAATTAATGCTATATCTGCAAAACAGGATCCTTTTTATTAACTTTATTATATTCGTGTTCCAAGTTATCAGAGAATAAATAAGGATGATACTTTCTCCTTGTAAAGCCAAATTGCAATAGGTTTGAACTTAAAATAATTTTTTTCATTCATGATTGAAATCCTCATGGTAAGAAAATTTTTTTTAAAATAATGCACATGTAGAATCATTTCCTGTTACAACTTGTCTAGCCACATCTAGACAAACTGACACACGTCACCCTTGCAGAACAGAAAATGGTTGGAGTTCAGTACTACATTTAATCACATTTTTTGTGTTTTACTCAATGAATATCACCAAATATTTTGTAGAATAAAATATTAAGCAGAATTTTAATCTAAACAATGCACAAAATCTAACATTTTGAAGGTGCTAACACAAACTGACCTACGTGGCAAATGCAACAGTTTCTCTAGAAGATTTGTCTAACTGAAAAAGAATGTGAAACTCAGGTTTTCACTTGTAGGAGGAGGGTTATTCAGGGCTGTCAAAAAGCTCTAAAATAGAAGGCTTATAATGAGTAGTAGGCAGCTTTGGAACTTGTGCCGAACAAGTTTGCCAGGGCCAGAGGCTGGAGATTCTAAGGGGGTCTGGGGGCATTACCCCTGGAAAATTTGGAAAGTTAAAGTCTTCTCAGAAATGGCATTTCCAGGGGTTTTAAACGCATATTTTCCTCTGAACAAATGTGCTCAGTAACGCTTGCTTCTTCGCTCCAGAGACCATGTTGATTTTTCAGATTACATGCAATCCTGGAAACTAATGTCCCAGACATTCCATGACATTTGTATGCTTCAAACTTGAGTTTTACAGACCTAAACCTGTTAAAATATGCATTAAGTACCACTCAAAACTAGGAAATGTATGCTCTACAAATTCATTCGATAGTACTTTACTTTTTCTTTATAGCTCTTATGGTAGAAGGATATGAAAGTAGCTGGCTAAAGATGGCTAACTATGTAGCTGGCGGTTTTGGCCGGCTACTGGCCCTTAATGACAGCCCTGCTTATTTTGCCTATAAAGATTCTTCTTTTTTTGCAGCTCAGTATTGATGATATAACTCATTATGGTGATGCATACAGTGCTGGAAATCATGGGGCAGCTTTCTCTAACCTTAAGGCTGCTATGGAGACTGCCAATTCATCTGCCGTTCTCCCTTCAGTAGAACTGTCATCTTCTGGAGGAAATTCTGATGAGTTAGTTTACTTGATCAGAAAAATGGCTACTGGCAATGTCCAAGAGTTTACACAAGAAGGTAACTTAGTGTGTATGTGCCATCAGAAGGGGAGGAATTGGACAGCTAGAAAGTCCTTTTGGTTCTATTTTTCTTTTGTTTTTATGTAAGTAGCCAGGGGTTATGCCTATGTTCACCAGGGAAAATACCTGACGCCAGCCTCTTAGCCTCTTGCATGTGCTTGTATATATTCTGTTGACTGGTTACTGTGTTTTCCTTAATTTTAGAGGCTGGAAACTTTAATATTGGGGAATTTTCTTTGGATCATGAAAAGACCAATGTTTTTATCTTCCATTTACGTCCTGCTTCATTGAGGTTTGTGTGTGTTTAAAAGTAAGATTAATATTTAATGCATAAATAGAAAACAAATCAATTTTTTACAAAAGCTGCTTGAGTTTAACTGACAATCTATTATATTTTTTTCCAATCTTATAGTGCCCCAGAGGAAATTTTTGCCCTGAACGGTAAGTTACTTGAGGAAGGGGTTTCTAAGATCATAGATTATTCTTTATTGCTGATCACCTACGTGCATGAAATAGCCTTATTTCAAAAAAAATAAATATAAATAATGGACAAGGAAAGCAGAAATGTAAAGAAAAGTAGTGACAAACAAGACAATAGTTGAGGGCTACTTGTGTAGAGCAAACAATAAATAAATTATGAAATTATTATTAATATGAAGAAAGACAAAATTATTGGTCACAAGTGTTTGCAGCCAAGTGCAAAGTGTATTTTAGTTTACACGTACACTTCAGTTTATGCATGTATTACAGTCTGCAACTCTACAGCATTGGTAACCAACTTTTTTTTCACAGTTAATATTATTAACTTTAAATGTGCTCATACATGTACATGTGTCTAGATATTCCTACTTTTTCTTGGTCTGTCCCTCATTTTTCTTTTTTCAAGGATTATTAAGCCTCATTTACATGCAACTTATTTTTTTCTGAAATTGGTGTATTCTTATAGGCATAAAAACAGAACTTGAAACACCCCTGAATTAAAAACAGTGCATCCATCTTAATGGCTTTGGCTATCTGTTGAGAATATTCAGTGTACTGTATATTATCCGTTCCAACAAGAGCGGGAACCATGAAAAAGGCTACTTGTTTTCTGCTTCGAGCACAACAAAGTGAACTACAACAACATTTCTACATGTAAATGTAAAATCTGCCTGTTTGATGCAATAAGTATTACAATGTTAGTAGTGTAAACAGTTTCTGAAAACTGTGTATCTTATATGAACATGTTGTATCTAATTCAAAATTTTTCATCAGATAAACTCATTGGGTCAGTTACCAAGCAGCTCTCTTCTTCTGGTTTGCCATATTCATGCATTTTGACAGCAGCAGCCCCAAGTCAGGTGAGAATATATGTATAATACTTAAACATTCTCAAAATACATTCATTCCTGTTCCTTCTGTCTATGATAGTGTGAGTTAAAAATGTCAAACAACAACAACAACAAAAAAAAATGAAACTTTCATGTGTAAGACTTTGTTTTGTGAAATTTGATATTTATTTCTCAGGCTCTCATAAGAATTAATTTTCTTTGGTGTTATTACATATAACTAATTACATCTATAGCCCTTGAAAAATGTAAAAAGGAATGCAATATTGTTATTATTCTGGTATAAGGTTTTTGTCCGCTGAAAATTAAAATTACTCAGTTTCCTGATGGATTCTGTCTTAATCCCTTGCTTTCTAACCAACTTCCTTATAACAAAATCTCGTCTGAGTTTAAGTAACACAGAAATCCTATGTGAGGAACATTTAAAGTTTTAAACTTTTCTTGGCTATTATTTGCAAGTCTTGTGATAGGTCAAAATCTTTTAACACAAAAAAAAAACTCCCCTTTTAAAGGAGTTAAACTATATTTTATTTTGTAGACTGCCTTTCTGTAGGTTAATGTATTCTATGTGTGAAAATGAAACATTCCTATGGGAGGAAAGCGTATTACGCCATAACAAAAGAAATTGCTTCCCTTCTTACCCGGATTATTACTTAAGCCATTACCTTTGAATTGAACATTCTGAGGGCATTTATTTCGTTTTCGTAATTAAATAATTAAGTAACTAGAAATCACCGGTAGTGAGCTACAGTTGAACCTCTCGTCAGTGGCCACCTTGGGGACAGAAAGGAAAGAAAGTGGCCATTGCAGTGTGGTGACTGTTGTAGAGAGGTTTAAACAAGAGTCAATGTATGGACTGTCCGCCAAAAAAGTGGCCATTGTAGAGAGGTTTAAACAAGAGTCTATGTATGGATTGTCCGCTGGAAGAAAGTAGCAATTGTAGAGAGGTTTAAACAAGAGTCATTGTGTGGACTTTCTGCTAAAAAAAAGTGGCCATTGTAGAGAGGTTTAAACAAGAGTCAATGTACCCATGTATGGACTGTCCACCCTAAGAAGTGACCATTGTAGAGAGGTGGCCGTTAGTGGTGGTTCGACTCTCAATTAACTGCAATGAAAACAGCAGTATAAATATCTCTAATAAAGTGAATTTGGTTTTTTCAGTGTTCACTACAAAAAATATTAGTCTAACTTGCTCCATTTATCACATGTGGGCAAATTTCCCTGGATTCTTATAATTTGGTAAGAAAGGGAAACTAACTGTCATGCAGTCTTGTCCTCCATAAAAATAATGTCAAAAGATTTTTAAATGGCCCTTACTAGTTACTAATTAAAACTGTAAAAAGTTACATCAAACAGTTCTTCATGTTATGTTATCTTTTTAGGCTGTTCAGGAAAGGCAGCTGTTAGAGGAGAGGTCTACTATTGCCCATGATCGACTACGGAGGGCTGTAGAGTCTGTAACTTATGAATCTTCAAAGCTCGTAAATAGAAGCCTGTTTGTTAACGCGGATTGTATTCTATTGTACTCAAAAGGACTTACGTTTAAACATGCAAATGGAACGTATGATATCTTCAACATGACAAATCAGTACACCGCATCTTCAAATTGCAAAGAAAAAAATTCTACTGATAGGTAGGATTAATAATAATAATTATTAATGTTGATAATCATTGGGTACTAATACTTCAGATGCTGGGCCTTTCTATGGGTAATTCCAACGAAATCAAAGTCGCAATATTGCTGTTGAATGATGATGACCTTAGACATTTATACAATGATTAACTTGTGAACAAACTATGTGGTGGATCTAACGGTGGTTCTTTAAATTTGTGTTGAAGTAGATTTTAGTTTTGTTTTAGAAGCACAGATTTTTATATTTTTTAAAACAGACAGCAGTTTGAACATTTTAATTTTTTAATTACTGTAAATCAGTTTTGTTAAAAACTGATTTCTCACTGTTTCAAAATATAGATATTTCTTTTTCATTTTTGAGCTTACTGGCTCATAGCCAGTTGAGGCTCAATGCTATTGTGGGCATAAGAATGAATGAATGAATGATGTTAAGATCATTTCTATTGTTCTGGGGTATGTGTAGTAACGCTGACCTTCAGAGCCGAAGGGAAAAGGGCTCAATACCTGTTATCACCTTTTTTTTACTCTGTTTTATAAAGCGTTTTTTTTGACGAGGAGGAATTTGATACTGATCATTCTTAGGGCTTTTTAAAAAGTTTAAATCAGATAAAATCAGCATGCAAAGAAAGTCGTGTCCAATAGCCTGGGGCTAGTGGATTTTGCTATCGGGTGATATTTGTTTTTAACTTGCCTGACAGGCAAGTGCTGTTTTTTGGGGAAATTCAAATTACAGACGGATTGTAATCAATCTTGCTAATCAAAAAGGGTTTTGGAATGACTTGTGGGCTAGTACATGCTAGCTACAGCTTGCCCGAATGGCATGCTGTAAAACTGACTTTCTTTACACCCTGTAAAATGCCCCATTATATTTAAAACATAAGCTGTTTGTGTTCGTGAGGAATGGTCTTTCAAATATCATATTACAGGAAAGTGTTCTGTTTTGACTCATGATAAGTCTCAAATTGGTTTAACCAAAATTAATTTCTTTGCTATTTCTATCCATTTGTAATAACTGCTTTATGTGTTGATTGACTTTTACTAGTAATGAATATTTTTTAATTGTTGGTATTGTTAACAATTGAAAATCTTAATGTCGGAGAGTGCAAACATGAATCTGTCACTGTTAGTATGCAAACATTCATTTTAAATGTCACAAATTTGCATAATTTCTAAACAAATGACATTTTAAAAATTTTATCTTATGGTAATTTCATTACAACATTTGCGTGCCTAATCTTGGCAAAAAATTACAATAGTTCCAGAACCATATCTTTGAAAGTTTTAACAGCTACTTTGCCTGTGGCTGCCCAACCAACCTTAATTGCTATAAAGCACTTATAGCATGTAACAGATAGTGAAAGAAAGTGAACATGTCGATTAGAAGTCGCTACACAATGTGACTGCCTCGAAGAACGATTTTGTTTTGCAAGCACGTGATTTTTGTACAGACTATTCAATGCCAGTAAGCTCATGTCCTCTCTGACGACTATTGTTTCTAAATCTCGGTGAAGTTTCCTCAAATTGACTCCCTACGGATTGTGTCCAAGCTCGGAAAAACATGCGATGAAAGCAGCATCTGTGGCAACCCATGGAGAGGCTTGATGCTCTTATAAGCTACTGCTTTAAATAGCACTCCCCAACCCAATGGTGCTCAAATAAAGTGATTATACAAAATTGAGGTTGATTAGAAGAAGCAATAACAGGACATTAGAAGCAAATGCAAATTTGTGCAACTTAAATTACCTATGCTTCTAAAGCACTGATAATACTTTGTTTTTGCTATTTGATGTTACAAAATAATGTGGTCATGTCAAGTAAAGGCAATATCAAAAAAAAGTCAATTTCGAAGTCATTGCTTACGCACGTAGACATAATATGACAACAGTAATCTAATATTGCGTTCTGCATAGAGGAAGAAGATGGCCTTAGGCATTAGAAGTCTTAATTAATGCTTATTACTGATAATATTTAGCTATAGTAAATTGTCTGGTGATAGTGTCAGGCTTGTCTTTTCCCCCCTTCTCTTTCTGGTACTTTTTTTCTTGTTTTAAGGTAAAGTGATTTGAGCCAGTAGATTTCAAAAAATGGATTGTATTTTAATAAAACAAAATTACTGTTACTCTAAGCTCCTTTCGAAACAAAGATCAAGTCTTTGAGCAAGAAATGGTATCAGGTAGGGAAATGCGCAAAACAGAAGTTATGGAGAGAAGTAATTATTGCTCCAGCTGAAGGAGTGAGAAACAAATAATGAAAGAGAATTTAAAATTTTATGTAATGAAATAAATGCATGTCCATTCTTTGCAGCATTGAAGTGAAATTTATAATGGACAATGCCACTTTTGACCTGAGGTAAGAACCTTTCCTCTTTGGATACGGTAAAATTCTGAAAATAAGCCCCGGGGCTTATATGTTGCAAAGGCCCTCTTTGAGGGGGTTATTTTTGGAGAGCCTTATATTCGGAGGGGCTTACCTGCGAAGGGAAATTTGCATTTCCAAATTGACTGGGCTAGCCTTATAGTTGGAAGTAAATTTTATGTTTTTGCTTTGTTTTACTTTGTTATGTGAGGGCAATTTTCCAAGTACAAGCCCCCAGGGGGGCGTATATTTGGAGGGGTGATTTAACGGAGGGTTTTTTGCGTTACCAGTTTGGGGGGCTTACATTTGGACGGGCTTATTTTCGGAATTTTACAGTATTCATTACAATCTAAACCCCTGGAGAAGAATTCATGAAAATTCAATTCACTGTGATGCTGAATTGGATGTCTGATCCTATTCAATTCCACCATTATTTGTTTTGGACAACCTTCACTTTGTCCGTCTGTAGAGTTAGTGGTGGTTTTAGAACCATTCGTGAACTACTGTTATCATTGGTTGGTTAGAAGTTTACTCTCTCATTATTCTTCAAAATAATATTATTGTGATGAAACATTGTCACAGTTTACTTTTCAGAGAGTATATGTTGTAGTTCAATTTTATCCTTGGTTTAAATTTTCTTTTCGTTTGTTTCAAACTCATTATCATACATTTCCTTACCCAAAAAAAAAGAAAATAAAATTTAAACCAAGGACAAAATTGAACCACAACATAATTAATTATACATTATGTCTGTATCTTTTTTCTTTCATTAGCTTTAAGAATTGTGAACAAGAAGCTCCCAAAAATAATAATTTTGTTTATGAACTGCTAACTTGCATGCAATTATGAATAGTGGACTTCCAAACAGAGTGCTGACTGACTTAATGCTCATTCTAGGATGCACTTTTGCTTTATTCATGCACTTATTGGCTGTGAAACAAAAACAAGTTATTCTCAGTAGTGGGTCAAATTGTCGCATGCACAAAATGTACTCTAAAGGGGGCAAGGAGGTTCTGTTTCGTTTTGTTTTGTTTTGTTTTTCAAAAGACATTTTAAATACATGCCTCAATGTGCAGCAGTTCTAAATTTCTAGAGTGAACATTGTTGACTTATTGTTTATGTTTTCTCCCAATTTTTTAGCTTTACTTTCCTCACTAATGGATCAAGTGGACAATGGGCATGCTCTGATGCCACCTTAGATGTGAATGGTAAATTTGATGGTGATGATGTGAAAGAAACATTGTCATTCAACTGTAGTGATATTCTGATGGGTCCAACTATATATTCATATAGTTGTGTGAACGTTACATTAAGCTCAGGGACCAGTTCACTAATTTTCAGTCAGTTTCAGGTAAGGCTAATCAGTGTGATTCTCTTGGGTTGCTTGCTTAATAAGAGTTGTAGGAGCTCAAATCTTATGATTAATATAATTATTCACCGAAGTGGAGGTGGCTAGTGGTGGTTATATGTACCAAAGCCGCGAAGCGGTGAGATAAATATCAACCACTTGCCACCGACACTTCGGTGAATAATTTTAGTATATATACTAAAACAGTGAGATAATTGAGCACAAAAATGATGATCTTTAACTCATTTACTGTTGCCAATGATTACAATTTTGGTGCGCAATGACCAAACGGCTATGGTCGTCGCTTTTCTTGCTGACAAATAAAACTTTTGAAGGCATTTGTTTAGCTCTTGCGGGGAAATTTCTTCAAAAGGAGTTGTGAATTCTTTTTGTGTTTAAAATCATTCTGTAAAAAAGATCAGTAAGTTTAGTTTTAAGCTTATTTATGAACAAGTCAACTAAATAAAGTAACGCAAGACTTAAGCTTAATTTGCATTTGTAAACAAAAAACTTTTTCACCAGTTTTAGCTATAAATTCAAGTCCAAAAGTCAAAGCTTTACCTGTTAAAACTTCCAAACCGAACTTTGTCACCTTCTTCGTGTACTTCAGGAACAGCTTGTCTGATTAGTTGTGAAATTTCTTTGTTTGTTACGGCAGCAAACCGGGAAGGCATTTTGCTCGCAACTTAAGTGAGTCTCGTGTTGCTCACTTAGAGGAACTGGAGGTGAATCAGTGAATAGTGCAGGATATTCACTGATTGAGTAGCCAATCAGAGCGTGCAAAAAACACTATCCACTGTTTTAGTATATACTAAATAGATTTAGCCAGGGCTGAAAGCGAAGCTCCTGTTAATATAATTATAGTAAATATTCAAACAAAAAATAAAATAATTATTGTGTAATGCTGAATGGCAACGGACTTGTAGCACGATACACATGTACATTAGTGGTTGCTCCAATATATTTTCCTATATCTTTGCAAGCTAATGACGGATTTCGTTTAAACTTTATACCTTACTTCAACAAGGATTGTAGTTAAGTGATATGTTAAAAAAATATCATTTGGAGGAACCTAGGAATAAAAAAATCTTGAAGATGAAAGAAAATAGTTACAAAATCAGCGTGTAACGCGTAACAGCTTTTTCGCATGAAATAGTTAAAAAGTAAAATTTCACCCTTAACACTATCTCATCAAGAAAATTCAACACAGCAGAAATATTAAATAGGAAAAAACGACACCATACGCAAAATTACAGTTCTCTTCATTTATTTTTGAAATAACGAGAATTATAATTCTAGGGACGGTTGCCATTAAATGCCTGTGTAACGCTCGAGGTCCAACAGCGCTCCATGCCTTACAAATATAAGGCTAGCGACTTCCAAACGCACCTACAAAAGAAGATAATTCGTCTGAGTAAAGTTCATAACATTGTTTACCATCAAGTAAGAAAGGTTTTTAAAGATTACTCACGGCGATGAAGAAATAAAGAATTTTCGTGTTCGGAAACTAAACTGTTGTGTACTTTTGATGTGTGAAATTAAATATTACTTACCCAAAAGAAAACTTGTATCTCAGCCTCTAGTTAACAACGGTCGCTGATACACAGCTGCAACACAGTTCAGTTACTGGTCTTCAAATCCTGGTTATGTTTTTAGTCTTCAATAGGCTTAAAACGAAGAAATTCTACAAATGGTGAATCGGAAACATATTTCCAGTTGAATGCCATGTTTGTCTAAGCGTTACGATCGAATTACCACCACACTCGCAGCAGAAAACTTCCCAAATGAAACTTGAATTCAAGCCATTTTCCAGCCGAAATCCACAAGAAACATCGAAGGAGTCCTGTGTAACCTCTCCTTAGTATCTGGGGGGTGTTTTTATAACAAATCAGGGGCAAAAAGCGGGAAAACGTGAGGTAAAAATAGAGTGGACGTCACGATTGCGTTACACAAATACAGAGATGAATACCGAGAAGAAAAGCCTTTCAAATAAATGTAGAGGGAATAAAAGATCAAGAAAAAGAAAGAGGCAGACAAAAAGCGCTTCGAGCTTAATAAATTTGTTGTATTTTAGCGATAATAGTCATGCTAAGCAAGCCAAAAAGTCAGATGCCACGCCCACAAAGGATTCTGGGTAATTTCTAAAATAAGCTGTAGACAAGAATTATACCATGAAAATTTTCCAAAAATGTTTCTTTGATGTTAATTACTTAATATCTGGCAAGTAATGATGGTTTGGGAATATTTTACTCATTTTCATAAAGGTGCCCTATGTTACACTGATGTACATGTGTATCGTGCTACAAGTCACGGCAATGAGTCAGTGGCAAAAAAATCAATAGGTCTAAATAGCAAAAAAAAAAACAACTGTGAAACAACTGCTATGTGAAACTTCCTAGTTATATGTTTTATGGAGGAAATGTCATATGTGTTCGTGTTCGCTCTTTTTCACTGTCCCTCATTTTCACCTTGGTGGCCGCCAGCATTTCTCATTTTCTCAGTACCGCTCTAAAGTTTCATGTTTTTGTTTCATCGAAATTCATCTCTTTTGTTTTCAATCTCTTGCTAAGCGTAGCTCTTTCTCTGCTATCCTCGCCAGTTTAGACATAGAAATTTAGTCAGAAAAAAGACCAGATTAAAATGTGATGCTCCATAGTGTAGCGGCATCAGCTCCGGTGTTGGAGAGATCCATGAAACTAAGAAAAACTAAGCGACTCACAGGTTCCACAAGGCTGGGGTTTATTGTGCCAACTTTTACAGTGATCCCGTTGTAGGACGTGTTGGGGCGAACGCTCTAGTAGGTTCTGAGTTCAACAGTAATAAAGCTTGAAATGGTTACCCGTCAAATTTCTGTGAGCCTTAGAGAAAACTACGCACGTCTAGCAGTATTTAAGCTAAGGTCATGTGACGGCTGGCGGAAAATCATTGTGACGTAAAATGCGGTTACAATAAAGAAAATGGCTAAAAATACAACAAAACTAAACTAAGGCACACGGGTGCCGTTACACATAGCATTACTAGTTACCGTGAAATTATGAAATTAAGGCCCACAGCCTTTGATCTGAAGTTCCCTTGGTATTAGAATAAAGAACAAGAACTTTCTAAGTGCAGTGCTGACCAGATGACTTGTGATAGTTGAGTTTCCAAATACATGTGGTAGAACAATAAATTATTTTAGGTCAAGCAAAATGCACACTTTTCTTAAATGCTGTCATTGTTTTAAGACAGAAGAATCACCTGGACTGACTAGGTTTTTGCCTTTGACATTAAAAGTCCTTCATCATTGTTGTTTGGAATAAACAAGCTTCATAAATTTATGTCCATTTTTGTCAGTTGCTCTCCCCTTATGGTAATTCTCTTATCCCGTCAGTTCTCATACATGTGTAAAGATCATGGAATCTCCTGAAATAAAGCTGTGCTGGATCTAAAACTTGAGAGAAAGTGGACCTGTTCTTGAAAATAATTTTTCTTGGCAGGTTGGCTGAACCCTTCCCCTTCCAGCATACATAGACAGTCAGGCTTAAGGATTTTGCTATTGGGCTAGTGAATTCTGTTCTTAACTTGTCCAACGGGCCAGTGGATTCATTAGGGGCGATTTAGACTGCGAGCTGTCTCTTTTTCTTCAGATTTAGTGAGGGGAGCGCATAAGCTTTTGCTCGATGGGCCAAGAAAAAAAGGGAGACTGCTTGTAGTCTGAAGAGAATTCAAATTACAGAAGAACTTCAATCAATCCTGCTCTTCAAAAAGTTTTTCTGGCCAGTGGAAATGGCTTTTGGGGCTAGCACATGCCAGCTATTATTTATGCTTGCAAATGAGAATTTGATCTTGACCTTGAGGTTTAAAAGGTTGACAAAATTTGCTGAAGTGTGCTTTTTGATTGCAGGTGCAGCCTTTTAATGTCAAGAATGGCACCTTTGCATATGCATACGATTGTACTGGCTTCTTCACCATCCCAATTTTCATGGGTTTGATTGTTGTGGGAGTTTTGCTTATCATTCTTTTTGTTGGCATTTTAGCCATGTTCAGCCTGACTACGATGGACAGATTTGATGATCCTAAGGGTCCAACAATTCATGTTCCAACTGGTTAAATAACAGTGAATACACAACGTGAAGGCCTTCTCATTATTTGTCATTTGATAGGAATTTTCTTAACTTCAATTAACAGTGTTGTGGCGTAATTTGTGATGTTACCAGTTGTGTTTGCACTTGTGTAATCTTGCAGGCATTGACAACTGCTGTCATGTTGCGGCCAGCTGTAATGAGAATTTATACTAATAATAGTTATTATTATTCTTGAAGAGCTGCGTGAAAGATGTCTTCTCATCTTCTGGTAATGACTTCTGATCAGTAGTCATGTGGACATTTCTTTCATGCAACTCTAAGATCAATAATTGCCTTGGATTGAAAAGCAAAACAAAAATCAATGGAGACTTGCGCATCACATTCTGAGTCACTGCGACCCTTATTCTGTGCTCCTTAAGTCAACTGTAGTTGATTACACTTCACAAAAGCTGAAAGATGTAGCCATGTTTAAGACTTAAATGCTGCATGCTTGTAAAAAAAAATCAGTTATCTGGATGGTTCCAACATGCAAGAGAGAAATAGTCAGTTTAATTTGTTATGTTATTTGATAGTTATTGAGAATGGAAAAGTTCTTTGAGTTCTTTGAAGTACAGAACTGTATGTCTTGCTTTCCATTTTATGAACACTCATTAAAGAGTAACACAACCATGACAGACAGAAACTAGGAAGGTTTCAGGAAAATATTGAATTTAGGTTCTAGTAAATACATATTAAATGTATCGTATGACTGATTTTTAATATGTCGTAATGGTATTTAATTTCTCTTTATTGCAGTCAACCCCTACAGATTAGCTTTCTTGGCATTTAATTTTGTGCCAGGTTGCAAAATTGATTTAATTATTACATTTGAAAGATGGCTTCTCTATTTGTTGCGGAGATGAAAATTTAAAAAATGGCAGCCATTTTCTCTGACACACAAATTTGCCTCATTTTCACGCAAGCTACTTGCCTCATATTAATGTCAATGCCATATGACATCACAAACATTCTTCATTGTCAAAATCATGTGATGTATTACACACGTTCTCCGTTGCCTCAAAACCATGTGACGTCATTCACAAATTGGAATCTTGACCACACTGTGATTACTACTGGTTATCAGCCTTCGTAACGGGTGGGATTAGCGGGTAATTGCTGTTGCTGTTTGCTTTGCTTAGTGGCTTTTCCAACAAGAAAGTACCCCAGGCATAACAATCTCGTCTACTACGCAGGCTACTAGTTATTGCCTTAGTTGGCTTAAATCCCCTCAAAATGGTACCATAGTTACTGCTGATTAAAACAAACATCCTCCACCCTGTTCATCACAAAATGTCTTCTTTTCTTATAGTACATTTGAGGAGAGTCATTATTTGTTTGAGGATCAATATCTTTTTTTGATTTTCTTTCCTTTATTTTCATTACTTTTGTGAGAAGTCATTCTAAGGAGAAATTAGATTCCAATCGCTGTTGAGGCTTAGGATAAGCTGACAAATTGTTTGTGTTGATTTAAATCTGTGGGATATTATAATGATAGCAAGTTGTTTAATGAATTATTATAAAGTGCATTATTTTTGGAAATTGTTCAGTTTTTATCCTATTACGAAAACTAGTTTTAAGTCCTAACAGGTCAACCCAGTATATTTTGAATCCAAAGAAATCAATATGCCTAATAAATTCCTTTACAAGTAGGAGATTTTCTATGCTTATGTTTCATTTGACTTGTTAGTTGGATAAGCAATTTTTGTTACCACTATTTTGCTGTAGAACTCACCATCCAGCTGAACAAGTGAATTGTCTTCGAAAAGTTAGTTGTATTTATGATCTGACGAAGCTATGAGAGTTAGCAATTGTTAAGAAAATTAATTTACTCCATCTTTTGAAGACAATGGTATTTTATCCAATAGCATGCAGAGTGTACTTATTCAAATAAGGGCTGCAATAAAAAAGGCATGCAGTGCTTAACATGTTGATGTCCAGTGGTCCTTACTTTTTATACATTCAGTGGGGATTTTTTGCAAGAGCCTGAACTTGAGGAAAACGGGTAAATCGTAACTGATAATGTCCTTGCAGAGAACTGAAGTACCTTTGCGAACGTTTTGCGACGCTGAGCAACTTGCCAATTGGTCAGCCTATTCGACACCCCCACCCCTTTGGGCGTTGTCCGGCATTTGTCAAGTCAGGTATTCCCGTGGTTGAGCATTTGTTCCCATGGGTTTGCCTGGGGTTGGGGAATTTGTCACTGTTGAATTTCATATTTTGTCTATTGCTTATGTTACCGTTCGACTTCTTGAACCGGGGCACTTAGATGAAGATTATCCAATCACAACGTTATTTGAAAAGAAAGGATTCTCAAGTTTTTTTTTGCAAACAGACCAATGAAAATCGATGTTCAACCATGCAACCGTTAAAAACTTTAAAACCATTTAACTTACCTGACCTCTCAGGAAACAGCCCTCAAATTCATTAATGTTATTGGTCCGTTTGTAAAAAACTATAGAATCTTTTGTTTTGAAAAACCCTTGTGATTGAATAATCTTCTTCCAAGAGCCCGGGTTCGAGCGGTCGCACTGTAAAAAAAATCTATGGCGTAGGAAGATAAATGCAGCTGGAAGGCGCAAGCATGCGACTTCAAAAGATTTTAGAAAAAACAAGTTATAGGCCATTTCCATGCTGTTCCAAGCCTCTGTTTCAAAGCGAGGCTGAGTGTGAAGCTATTGATATGAAAACTATTTTTTATTCTCATGCAAATAAAACTCGTTTTCACAAGAAAAGTTTCGCATTTTGCCTCGTTTTGAAGTGAGAGTTTTTAGAACTCGGAAATGGCCTATCCATATTGTGGTAAAAAGGCCATGGAGACTAGTTTGGGAAAACTTTGAAGAGAAATTGCCTCTGTTTGCAAGATGGCCTAGGCAAGCCATTTATTTGATAAAGTGACACTTGAAATGATCGAAATATCGGGTAAACTGTCAAGTCGCCGTGGTTCTGTATTTTAGCACGTTTATTTTCTGGCACTAACCTGCTACAAGTGATACTCCTTTATATACCACAGGTAGACCAAACGCGAAAAATGAGCATCGGCATCGTTGCGTAACATTTCGAAATATAAAGATTTGTATGGGGAAACAACTATCAGATCATTTCTGTAACCTACGAATATGTAAGGATTTCAATAAAGACGGACTGACCTCACCACATCAACTCTCATATCCCTTGTGAAACTTTTAATGTTATCTATTTGATTCAATGTCGCCTGTGTAATCTACAATATATTGCAGAAACTAAACTTCGCCTCAAAGACCGTTTTAATGAACACAGACGACCTATGCTCAAACCTACTGGTAATTACACCTATACTGCAGAACACTTTCTTACCAGTAATCATTCCGACAATCATATGCTTTTGATTCCTATTGAAAAACTTAAAAAATGGGCGTGATTCTTTCAGGAAAGCACGTGAAGCCCACCTTATCCATAAAGCTAAGACAATTGAGCCTCTGGGCATCAATAAACGTGATGAACTGTAACTATATATAGAATATCTTTTATTTTTTTGTTATCTGGTCTTTTTAAGGGACGGACCATTAGAAAAGTTATGGGGGGGGAGGGGAATTTTCGAGCTGCAAGAATTTTTTTTCGTTATCAGATTCTTGCCATTGCATTCATTTAATTTTCCCTTGCGCGAATTTTTTTTTTTTTTGTTATCATAAGTTTTTAATGGTCCGTACGGCCACACCATACCACGTCATATTGTGTAATTTCCGGTCATTATTTTACTTCATATCTATTTCTGTGAAGACTGGTATTGGCCAGTCGAAATATCGCAACTTAACTCTATTTCACGTTGTTTGATCAGTCCGAGCAAAAATCTTCTTGACTGTAACGTTTTCACCTTGTCATGACAAGCAGGAAAGACGTAACACACACGTAAGGTAAGCTGTTTTTTTTATTGAAATCCTTCGTACGTTACAGGAACAATGGGTTTTTTCCCATACAAATCCTTATATTTTGGATGTTACGCAAGAATGCCGATGCTCATATTTCTAGCTTGGGTTACCTGTGGTTATACTACGTGTTACTGCGGTGTTAACTTCTCTCAAAGAAATATAATCTTTGCTCTTCTTTTTGCTCTGTTCACTGGGTAGGGCATGCCAGTTCCCAACCAGGATGGGTTCTTGGCCCAAAAAGGGGTTTCCCCACTTTGGGCAGGATAATGTTGTGGTTCGGTTTTGTCCTTGGTTTAAATTTTATTTTCTTTTGTTTTTAGGTATAACAACGTATGATAATGAGTTTGAAACAAAAGAAAATACAATTTAAAGCAAAGATAAAATTGAACAACAACATGCTGGCAAAGCAACTGGCATCCTGGCAAGCTCAGCCAAGGAAAAAACGATGTCGAGGCTATGTGGAGTCCAGTCCCCTAACGGATGTAAATGAAATGGCGGCCAGGATAGAGGTGGGAATTTCACAGATCTTTCGTCGTTCTTGTAACTGATAATTAAGTAGCTAGCAATTAACAGAGGGTAAAATGAAGAATGTTTTTAAACATTTAGAAGGTAGGCTTAGAACCATTAATTCTTATTCTTTCCCTTTCTCAAAGCGTGCCATGCTGTTTCTAGAAATTGATCGCAAGTGGAGAGTCATAACGTCTTGTGCCCGGAATGAAAAACAAGAAAGAGAGATGGCTCGGTAAAGTAGTTTCAGAAAATTTTCCTCGTCTTTTCTACTGAGGATGACAGAGAGGTAAGTGTGCCTCAATTCTAACCAGGTATTCAGTAGTATAAGTTAATGAATTGTGTGGGAAAATCCGTCATTTTGGTCGGTTAAAAAGGCACAAAAGCGCTAACAAATGCATTTTATGGCTGTGAGAAAAACATTCTGGATTTGTGATTTATCGGTACAGTAGACAGTACAGTGCCTCCCCATATAAAACTTTGTTGAGTACCTCCCATCCCACTTGCGGCCTCGGGCCATATCATTATCATCATCAATCTCATCATGAACCTTAAACCATGTGTAAAACTAAAAAAATGAAAAAATGGACTATTAATGTTTTGAAATTACCTCTCTTATAAAATTCTTCATTGTCTACATGGTTAAAACAAAAGTTTTTGAAAGGCCAGTTATTTAAAGAAAATATTACTCAAACATGGCCAATATAGATTATGTTCCAAAAATTCTGGCCATGATGAAAATAGCTTTGAAGAACAGTATTCCTTTTATGAAGGAAATTTTGGCAAGAATTTAGGATCAAGCGGTAGCTCACGATAAAAAATGAGATTTAAATTAACAGTTAAGGATTTTTTCAATGTTGCACTGATGGTCCGATTGGTGGATATCCTTTTATACAGCTATTTCGAGAAAGGTTGTCGGAAAAAGTGCATGCGACAATCCCAAAAGGTATTGTGGGTGGTTTTGAGTTCACTGCTCTTCAAAGAAGTTTGAAAGAATGGCACGAGAGGTCATGGACGTATGTTTGCGACTGCTAAAGGAAAGCAACAAAGGTAGATTCGAAAGCTACAGTGTCAGGAACAGGGTATTGATCATATCCCATATTACCTTTCGGGATTGTCACGTGCACATTTTTTCTGACAACCTTTCTCGAAATAGCTGTATACACAATAGACAGAGTAATAAACAGGTCTTTTTCTCGTTGGAATTTGTGAATATATTACTTCAGATTGAGGCTAATAAGGCTGTAAAAAATGCGTCTTCACTTCTTTAATTCAGTGGGCATAGCGAACTCGAAAATGGACTATTTTTGTACATTTCGGTGATCTCACTGCGTGACCGCGACATTTCCCCTGTGACTTTTCAGGGAGGACAGCTACATTGTCAGGAACGGGGTATATCCCATATTACCTTTCGGGATTGTCACGTGCCCATTTTTCCGACAACCTTTGTCGAAATAGCTGTATACCTGAGGCTTAAAAAAGGCACCCTTCTCTGGTGGTGCCTCCCTGTGTAGTGTAGGCCATTATAAGGAGTGCCTCCTGGGTGAAGTGGATGGTAAAGGCTGTGGTGATGGTCAGTAATGGTGGTGATGATGAAGATGATGATGATGATGGTAGTTAGAGCAAAGAATATTGTGGTGCAAAATGTTTCGACTTTATATCAGCACTATCCTATCAACTCCATGGTATTGACAGTACCTTACATACACACACAGTGACACAGTCATATTACCCGGGCAATGGCGGCCATGAGGCTATGCCATGCTACTGAGTCCTAATGAGGACAAAACAGTTGTCCATGGCTGCTGCTACCCCGGTGATATAGCTGTGTGCATGTGTAACCAGGGTTTTTGTTAGACCCGGGACGCCGGGACCTTTACGTGGCTATTTCAGTTTTCGCCCTGGCTATTTTATCAGGCTGTGCTTATAAATATTTATAATTTTATTCCTTGTTGTTAAAACTGAAACCGAATAATAAGAATTATTTTCCACATTACAGTTTATACGCGTTGTTTTGCGCCATTGCAATATGGGAGGGGGTTGTAGGGGGACACCCCCCTCCCACACCTACATGTACCCCGACTTAGAACTGTGTGCCAAGATCGTGGCTCCGCCACCATCTTTGGTCCCTGTTATTGCTATATTTGTCCCTCCTACTTCAAATCTTAACAAAAACCCTGGTGTAACATACTGGTCATGCTGGAGAGTTTGCCGGGAGTGTGTTCTTCCTTGCTAAATTTGGTCCTGCTCAGTGGTAGGTAATCAGCTCCTGTTGGGCATCATCTGCATTATTAGTCGTGTGATCATTTTTAAGTGCCTGTATAGATCTTATCCGTGTGCAATGTTGAACCTAGTTTCTTGATGAGCAGTTCATCTTTAACCTGGCATTTGTCCCTGTGATGCTCAGTTTTTGTTAAATTGAGTGTCTTCAAAGGATTAAGACTACTTTCAGAAGTAACACAGGGCTTGGTCCACGGACCTCTGTCTGCTCCTACACCATATTAATTTTGTGACCTTCCTGAGACATCAACCACATGTTAGACTCTTTGTGGATGACATCACTGCATATGTCATAATTATTAATTCATAATTCTCAGTTGAATCTATGAATAGGGGAATCTTTCTTTACACTTTTTGCCTCGTTAACATATGCTTATCACTATCTGATAATGCTAATAAAATAAAAACTCTGAATTTTGAAAGGGCATAACAGTTTCAGTTATCTCTGAAAATTTGAGCCCAATACACCGAATAGTTTCGGAGAAATTCTCCTCTAAAAACTCTAAGTTTTACAGAGAATGTATGGCTCATTAACTTTTTTGCCACACAGCAATTTTGCAGTTTTTTATGGCTGATATTTCCTTCAATGTTGCTTGCAAAGAGCTGAAAATTGCACAAATTGCTCAACTTAATCAGCTCTTTCAACTTCTGCATTTAGTTTGTGTATACGGCCAAGGCTTCCGTGAGTTAAGCCGTATGGTAATGAGGAAAACTGTAAACAATGACGTCAGCAAAGATTTGCCTATAGAGGACTGTGGTGTTGCAGTGGTGGGATAGTGAAAAGCAAAAAATTTAGTCTTATCTTTGGTGGGCAATATACTTTTCATTTAAGTTAATAAAACCAGATTTGGATTCAGACATGTTATAAAATATTCTCAATAAAATAGCTACTTTACATACTCAGGGTATGTTAATTCTGCTGGATATGCTTTTCTAAAGCTTGATTGTTTTGATTTTGACATACCGGTAAACCATATGGAAGTCTGGAGATGTCTATCCTGTGATAAGTATCTCAGCCAAGTTCATGATAGGCTGTGTGCCAGGGCATGTAAGGCTGGTTTTGTGTTAATTTGTTCAGCATTAGGGGCTTATAAAGTGCTAGGATCACCCTTGATCACATACTACGGTCAGATTTGTTACCACGACAGAAGTCATGGTGATTAAGGAACAGAGGACATCTATGCATTTTACCTAATGTTCGTACTAAGGGTTAAGATGGTAGTTATTTTAACTTTTTGATGGCTGTAGATGCAATATGTCACGTTTGTTGATGTATTTTTCTTATCTAATCAGATTGTAATAATATATTATTATCATCATATATAAGGCTGTCAACGGACTTTCACCATGCAAGTTATATATCCAGTTTGCTCAGTTTTTGTAGCAGCTCCTTCTGTTTGCGTTCTTGCTCGAATAAGTTACTTCAAGTCCCGAGATCTAAGCTAAAGTCTTACGGTATTCGAAGATTTTCTATCGCAGGAGCTAAACTATGGAATAGCTTACCCGCATCTTTAAGAAATGCCGATTCCTTGAATTCTTTCAAGGCATATTTATTTCACCAAGCTTTTTCTTATTTATAAATAAATTTTTATTCATTTTTCATACTTATATATGTAGTTGTTAGATTTTTTAGAGTTTTAATACATTTTTTGTAAAGCGCCTAGATCAGTTAATGATATAGACGCTATATAAATGAAGTTTATTATTGTTATCATCATCATCATCGTCGTTATTAATATTATTATTATTATTATTATTATTATTATTATTATTATTATTAGCTAAGTGAGAAACAATATGGGACCTGAATTGAAATGAGTTGGATGACAAGAAGGACCACACCGACTAAAACGTTTAGAGAACGTCGTTCTCCGAGTCCGTATTTTTATCAAAACTGATTATGTTTTGGAGCAAGAAAAAATTTAGCGTACGTGTAGCCGCACCCGCCTGATAATTTTGCAAGGTCAACGTTTTATTATCACTCGATAGCGTAAGTCGATTTCACTGTCGGTGTGGCTTAGATAAATTTGGTTATTTCATTTCAGTTTAGCAATGACGGATGTCACTGTTTGAAATATTATAATTGAGACTTCTGCTCACATAACTTTTACGTTTATTCAAATGTTCAAATAACATTAAAATTTTCCCCACACTATTTTTGAGCCACATTCTTTTCCGTTTTCCAGTCACGCGTTTCTTTTATACGTCTCGACAACCATCAATTGTTTAGCGACATCTCTGTCATATGTGTCTTTAAAAAATTACCAGTTGCCAAGATATTGAAAGTTAGGTGGAGAACCTCATTTTTGCTTTCTTTCTTTTACAGTAAAATATATAATTTATGGCAGAAAATGCTTGGGACCGCAGCTGGCCTAAACCTCAAAAATTTTGTAATTCGTGTGCAAAGATCAATTCACGTCCTTGGGAATACCTTTTTATATATATACATATTTTTCAAGTCATAAGTTTATAGTATAAGAATAAGTATTATGAGGCGGTTGGTCTAAACAGCTTTATTATGCATCAATCAGTCATCTAAAAATATATGGCGGTGTAATTTACGATTCTGACGGCACAATACAGTGCTTGACACCGACAAAAACGGACTCATTCAAGGCACGTTCTGTTGATTTGCGCGCTTTTTTGTCTCGTCGAAACTTACTAGACAAAAGCGTTACCCTGAAAAGCGTATGATCCGTCCGAACAAAAGTAAACAAGATTCTGAGACAAAACTGACGAATGCATGTTTGATCATCGGCAGTTTTACACGACCCTGCTTATAACAGCTCTTTTAAACTGCATCGTAAACCAAGAATAAAACTGGTCGGACAGCTGAACAGGTAAATCTAACCCAAGAACCTTTTTTTCTTCAGCCTTGTTTATGGTTCAGTACTTCTTATTTCCGCAGTATTTCTAATGGTACACTGCGGGGAGTAATTCCTCTTATTCGCCATCCGTTTCTGTTTACTCACTCAAGAAAGCTATCATATAAAAGCTACCGATGTACTAAAGTTTATTTTATGCACAAACGTTAACATTATTTTTATTGTTTTTTTCCTTACATTTACATGGAACCGGCTCGAATAAGAAAATTTTGGAGTTAACTGAAATGCTGAAGTTATGTCAAGCAACAAAACGTCACCTAATTTAATGCACACCATACTCTCAAATTCCTGCAGGTGCTGTTTGAAGTAGTCATACTCATGTTTTCACCATTGTAGATTATGAATGTGTAAAGCCACCTGTATCCGTTGCTTTTAAAAGTGATTTGGCAATTTGCAAACTGAATTTTTTAAAAAAACTATTTAGCTTTTCAAATTTTATTTCTACTTTGCAAAAGGTGAGGAACGTGACACTCTTATCGAATTGAAATCAATATGGTAGTATCTCCCTCAATTTTGGCCGCCGATACTCTGACCAAGAACAGATAAATAACGATTTAAACTAGCACTGCTGTTTTTTAGTCACATTTTCCGATTTTTTTAGTCGTTCTTTAAACGTATGGAATACAAATTATTCAGCGATGCCATTTTTGCGGATGTCATTGGATTGGAGTGGTGACGTGTTTATCGGGAGTTAAGATGCAAACTCATCAATCCACAAAACTCGACTTTATGTGATATAGTATAAAACTAAGAGGCTGATTACGTAATATAATTGAAGTTGCCAGAATTATTTGCTCTAGTTTGCTGCCCGGGGATCGGCTACTCCCTTATGTAAGCCATGTAGGTATGTGTCGCCCTAAAGGGTATGGTTTTTGCGCCGTTTTGGTGTGAAAAGTGGTCCGGAATCGGGCATGGTTTTCGAAGGAACTACGAGAATGAATGAACCAGGGGCGGATCTAGGGGGAGGGTGCAGGTGTTGAAGTAGAGCTAGAGACGAGTGCACCCCCTCCTAAAGAAAATCCTGGATCCGCCCCTGTGAACGTATTTGTCTTTTCAAATCCACATGAATTAGCCAAGGAAGGGTAGTATGTGAATTCGAAATAGACTTTTAGAAATCTTGTTGTTGGCGTTCTAATCTAAATAATGATGACCGAAAATTTCTGCTTGTGCCAGGTCTGAAAACGGGTGTGGAAAATGACGTTTTGTGGTCTGAAATAGGGTCAGAATTCGGAGAGCCGGACCGCCCCACCAAGAATGTACTGGAGGGGCTTACTGTTAAGAAGATGACTGCAACACAAAACAAGTCATTTAAAGTTTCCAAACTAAGTGTTTCAGGCTTTCAAGTGCTTTAACACTCTTACCTAAAGCAATGTATTCTAAGCAGCGCTATTACGGTTAGTTCCCTGTAAAACGTGAGATTTTCTGATGCCTCTTTCCGTTCTACTCCTTTCCGTTCCAGATTATAGCCAAATCTGTGAAATACAAGCGTCCAAAAAATCGAAGGAAAGTTTCCAGAACGATTAAAAAAATCCGAACAATGGAAATTACATCGAAAAATGTTTAGTCGTTATAAAGCAATCCAAATTTCTGGGGAACATTGACTTCTCAGCAGATACTTTACCCCCTGATGCTCGAAGCCGGTCAGGGTGATTGAACCGCACTTGAACTGTTACTATCTTTGAGCTCAAGAAATGACTAGATTAATTCCGCGCTATACTTTTGGCAACTGTTAGTTACTAAGCCACATTTCGTACATGTTTTAAATAATGAAAACCTGGCAATTAAAAGCTCGAAATATAAGTGGAGCTTGCTTATAATTTGATAACACCTTCTTGCGCACGGCCTCTAGCTATTTCATTACCGAGCGACTTTCATTGCCAGTTTCCCGGGTGGAGGGGAGGGGACAGTACTCCCTAGAATGGCCTATATCTGCGGGAGGCCCCGTCGGCGAAAGGGGCTCCTTTTTTAGGCTTCAAGAATATGACGAAATTAAAGGGTAGGGATTTCACTAGTTGAAGTTTATGAAAGGGTCGGGAAATCTGTCATTTCGGTCTGCAAAAGGGCCCAAAATGGCTGACAGAAGGATAGTTTATGGCTGTGAAAAAGTCGAGAAAATTTCCTGGTTTTGTGATTCTTTCGTATTCAAGAGAGTGAATATACCCAAAATTCTGAACTGGGTATTGTGAAAGGGACACCGTCTGTCAATAGAAGGTACAGTTGAAAAGGGTACCTTGTCTGCCGAAAATGGTATATAAAAGGGTAAGGGGTTGGATCTCGGGGCGGTGCCTCCCCGTATAAAACTTTGTCGAGTAACTAACCCTAACCCCCCCCCCCCCCCCCCCAATTTTGCGGCGGTTTTTGGTAACATGTTCTTGATAACATGGGGGAAGTTTCCTTGTCATGAGATTTGGCTTGCGACTCCATCAATAACACATTTTAAATCCGTTGTAAGTGTTTCGTTTAGGATACTATGCGATTGAAAAGTAACATGGCTTTTAAAAAATGTCGTAGATTGTCCCAGACTACTATCTTCTAAATTACATGGGAAGTTCTTTTGCAGGTGTTTACGTTTTTACATCTGTACGTTGATTGGTGAGTCCTTGCGTGAAAAAAAAAAAAGTTTTCAAAGACGTTTCACGATCACGTTTATCTACTATGCCGATTCATCAGAGTTATTCTTGTCGTATAAGCTTTCACGAGCGTTTATCGTTCCGTTCTTGGCATCCTTTACTACGTCACTTATTAACGATTTCAGCTAAGAGGTTTTAATTACGGCTGAGCCGAAATGAGTGCTTTGACAACGCAGTCAATATGATGTAAAAATGCTTTGGAAGCAAGTCCATCCCTGTGATTTAAACACCTTTAGTTAGGGCCCATAGTGAAAATTCTAGAACGTCGTAACCAAAACAAAGAAGAATTGGTCTGGAAGAGGAAAAACATTTACGTCTTTCGCGTTTTATGGTTTTAATAATTCATTCAAAGGGGCAGGGGGAGGAGAAATGTTCGAAACTTTGGTAACTGACAAAATCGATTTCCTTAGAATTCTGCAATTTCTATAAATGTCAATATTTTGTCTCAGACAAATGAAATAAAAGGTGTCTTCTATTCAATAAGCTTTTGTAAGTGTAAGTAAGTATATTTTGCTCCAATAGACCCATTCATCCAGCCGGGCCGGGTGATTTTGGTTATTAAACTGAATTCGTTTTTTTTGTTTTGTTTTGTTTTTTGACGTTCGTGGTCTCACTGGTTTTAAAATGTATTTGATCCTTCGACCGCCAAAAACTACCGTCGAACGCGCTAGTAAGGAAAAGAGGAATTCCTTGGTACCATTATTCTGTTGATCTCATTTTGAAATCCTGAGACTTAAGCTTGGTTTTTTGGACGTAACGGTTTTCAAACCGAATATAGGCCCTCTGTTTTCGTATAGTCACGAACATTTTATTTGGAAAAGTGCAAAGAAGTAAGCGAGAAGCGTTATCGAAGCAATCTTGTTAATAAAACTCTGTGGTTTTACGGCGAAAGGGTCAAGTTTTGTTTTTTATGGTTGAGCTTTCCAACATAATTTTATTCCTAGTATATTTGTTATTTCGTAATATCTCAAACCTTTACGTTCCAACTAAGTTGGCAGGAATTGAATACCCAATCACCTCTCTTCAATTCTTTGCCTTCATAAAACATTTATTGGATGTAACACATTATTTGCCTTCATCGAGTACAGGTGTATTCGATCGAGAAAGGCACACAAATTTCGTACCTTTTCCTGGATTTTCCCCTTTATCGGTGAGTTTAGAATGTGTTTTCCCATCTTGGCACTCTAAGGGCCTTTTTGATTGTTATTCAGTCTCTTAATCCAATATTCTGTATTACATAAGCATTGCCGTGTCCTGTGTCGTCTTTTCCCAACCAATCGAAGTGGCATTGTAAAAAAGTAGTGATTGTAACAGTAACAGAAGAAATTGGAAAATTTTACAACCATCATAAACACCAATTTGAGTAGATAGAGACATCTTCATTAGGAAATTTTACAGACTGCGGTACTTTAATTTTTAAAAGAATTCATTTTCAATGTTTTGACAATATTCCACAACTTTGTAACTATAGAAACTTTAATTAAGCGCCTATCTGATTGGCATATTTCATTTCAACTTGCGTATGCACGAAATGACATGAATAATTTATCTTATCTGCGAACATTCGAAAACTCACATAGACCGATCTACATTTACAGCAACACGGGGTCATATACGCCGTCGGCAAATTTATCCTTGTTGAAATAACAGCGTTTACGGAACTAAAACTTTTTCTTTTATTCAAAAAAGGTCCTAACTCGCCGTAAACATGAGTGGCTCGGCAAAGCGCCGAAATCGCAGTGGTTTGGGCTCTCAAGCTAGCCTCGGTACGAACCTGAACGATGAGCTTGAAATGCATGAGAAAAGTCGACCGCCTTCTTCGCACTCACGAAACGCTTGGTCTGATGATTTGCTTGGAGGAGGACACGATGAAATCGATTTCTCGCCTCGAGCACCAGCTTCAGCTGCTGTCGATCTTCCATCGGCGATGGAGCAAGAACCGGTGAACCATCAAAATCGTGTCCCCACAGACGTTCGAGCTCCGGGAACGAAAAATGTTCCTGTTGGCTGCTGGACTCGTTTTAAAAGGATTATTCGAGGTAAGGTTTCCTTTATTAAGTACCCAAATGTAGTAGAATACGTATAAATGTCTTATGTATCATTATTTTAACTGTTCCGCAACTCTCTCCTTAGACTTTGTTTCTCCTAAAAATGTCACGAAATTCGGAAGTTAATTCGCTAAGCATCGTTTGTTCCAATTTCCTTTTCTCTACTGGGAGTAGCTATTGTCTGTTCTCTACGCTAGGATGATTTCGTTAATTCTAACCTTAAAAATTGGCAAAGGAAGGACAATTTTAAGCGAAAGAGCTGTAATTTAGCCCTTGCACCGGAGTGAACTCAGCGCGCTCTAATTGATAGTGGTAAATTTCATGGCGAGACATAATGTTTTTGCAAGTTTCATGTGATAGTTGATGATGATGATGTTATATACCACATTTTGGTCGATTTTCGGTTAGTCTCCAGAGCAAATTTGAGAGGATCTAACTTATTTCACCACACATTCGGTTTGCAGGGATGTAAAAAATTAATGAGTTTGTGGCAGGTGTTTTATCTCTGTATTTGGGGATTAACGTAAAATTTCGCATACTATAGAGGCGAACAACATTCGTTTTATCCACACGATGATGGTATTTTAACGTCGAAAAACATTCAAGACGGACGTATGAATAAACCGCCAAACGCGAGTGTCAAAAAACTCCGATTTAAAAACTTTTTACTGCTTGAGACCTTCTAGTTGTGAATCGAGCGTTTCGTCAGATACTCTTGTGATGTTTGTTTCCTTTACCGCCAACTTCCATTCTCGATAAATTATTTATGCTACTAGTTTCCAAGGGAAATTGTGGAAAGCTCGCTTTTAGATAAATTTTCGGGATGTTTAAAAATTCTGAATAATTTTATCCTTTGCAAAGGATATTGTGTGTCGATAAGGCTAAAGTAACTCGTTACACACAATTTCCGTATTGGAACCGTTCGATGATGATCGAGCCATAGAATTGAAGGATATTGAACATGGCCCTCCTTTTCCGCTCTAATAACAGTTAATTGAAATTTTTATGAAACTTTTTTTTAGCGGATCTTAATTTGTTTGGCGATAGCTTAAATGCGGGTGATGTTTCCAAATGAGAGCCAGCTTCTGCTATTATTATATGCATTTCCATATTTTATTTAAGTAATTTAAGCAAGCAGTTGGAGGAGTATTTTCTACTGAATTCCTTTTTCTTAACGCAAAGATATTTTTTGTACAAATCCAGTTTTTTGGTTGGTCAAATTTTTATGGGGGGATGTTTATTTCTGCCAAGTTTAAAGTTCTTTGGTTATTCCCTGTTTGTTTGGAAAAATAGTAAACATAAGTATAAAGGATATCAAGAAGAATGGAAACAGTTAATCATGTGAATTTATTGTGGTCCATTTGAAAAAGGTAAAAAAGGAACTCTTATCACAATGAAGGAAAGATTTCCACCTTATTTATTTAAGTATCTTCTTGCTTTTTGCATAATTTGTTTGTACCATCTGTTTCAAGTTTTGCAATCTAACAATAGCTACCTTGTTTCCTAATTATAATGTCCAATATTCAAACAATTGTTCCAGGGGTTTTTTCATTTTCAATTTTTCTTATGTAAAATTTAAGGTATTTTTTTAGCGATAATTTATTGTCTATTCTAAAATGCTTATTAATTCATGTTCTGACCGTACTTTGTTTTCCACCTGTTTTACTTAGTTTCCTGTTATAATATTTAGAAATAGGTAGTTGCTAATTAATATTCGAAGATGCGTAATATCCCATCAATTATTTGTCTTTTACACTTTTGCTCTCACGATACTAGTATTCCGCATTCCAAAATAATCTCTATTTTCATGAGGGAATTTCTGTATATTTGTTTGAAACAGTAGACAAGTATGTTTTATCCATGAGTTAAGTGTTGAATGAATATTGTATACATGGCATTCATTAAAAATAGGATTCTTGTCAATTAAAACAAAAAAGTAACCTTTGCCAGCCATATCCAACTGTGTCACCATTGATTTGTTGATGTAGCCAGTGTTCTCCTTATCAGGAGGTAACCAGTAAAATTTACCTCCTGAAGCAACACTTCTTACCGCTTGCAACCACTTGAAGGTTTACTAAAATTAAATACGTAGTTTTAAAAATATGCAAGTTTTGATCCGATCTGATTCTCTCAAGGAAATGAATGAATATATGGAAAAGTACTAAAGCATACCAGCTTTTCCTTTTCTGGCCATGCATTTTGGAAAGAGAACATTGAAGACAGGGTAAAATTATTGGAAGTAAACATTTTAAATTGTTGTCTAAAGATGACAAGGGCCTATTTGCGTAAAGTAGGTCTTAAAATGACGGAATGACATTTCAGAGAACTTAGCTCCTAAATTCCCAGTGAGAGTGAGGCCATGTCCTTCACTCCGCTACCCTATCTCGTCCCCCTTGGAAATTGCATCTCTGGCACATATTTTTTGCCTTAGCACCCATGAATGGTCCCTCACCTGCTGCGCTAAAATTTAGGGAGAATACTGTGTAGGGGACAGATTTAGTTAGAACTGTGGTCACCTCCTCTTGTCCTAGAGTTCAAATTTTTCAAGATTAATGGTTATCCCACCTATGAGGCAAGGTTATTGTCTTGACCCTCTGCTTGCAAGTTTTGTTCTTCTTCCCCTGGCTTTCATGATAGTTTACTTTATAATTATTGCTGGACTTGTGTAAGCAAGCTTACTAAAAAATTCAATTTCTTGACACTAACAACTTGAACTTTTCCAGTCAAAGCATGAACATCACCCTTAGACTGAAAAGAAAGAAAAAAAAACTTAAAAGGGAAAAGAAAGGAGGGGATAGTTTTGGAAACTTATGAGCCAATCTCAAAAACCCTTGGGAGCACATCTTATGAGAAACATAAAATCTCATTTTTGTGTGTTTATTTTTGCAGGCTTTTTTGCTTTTTTGATATTAGAATTTTTAAAGTTAATTATGTTGTGGGTAACAAGTGCACTGGTGCTTTTTGACACAGAAGAAAAATGTTTCATATTATAATGCTTTTCCTTACTGACTGGTAGGTCTGTGGCGTACACGTCAGACTGAAGACCCCGATACAGACCCTGAGACACATGTGAAGACCACTTTGCGGGAACTGATAATCTATCTTGTTTTCATTACCATCCTGTGCATCTGTAAGTAGTAGAAGCAATACTTTGGGGTAGTAATAATTGTCAGCCCTTTTTTTGTTTGGTGGAGGTTAATTGATAACATGAAAAAAGTGATTTTGAATTCAGTGGGAACATAACGGAACTACAGGCTGCATAAATGACAAATTGATAGCTATGACCACCCCCAGTGTCAAAAAGACATTCTCCTTTGGTTGGGGGGGGGGGGGGGGGGGGGGAGAGGTGAGATCAACATAAAACCAGCAACAGCAAACTATACAGTTCAACTGTTGGCTATAATTATTTATTTCAAGTCTTCAACTATCCCTCCCTTATTCCTTAAGGCTTTCCTTTATCTATCCATTCATTCTTCTGCTCTTTCATTCTTTTTTTTTTCTTTTTTTTTTCTTTCAGTGACCTTTGGAATGACTAATTCAACCATGTACTACTACACCAAAGTTATGAGAGGTTTGTTTTGTCAGATAATTTTGTTATGTAGATGTTGTGGTTCAATATTATCCTTGGTTTAGATTTTTTTTTTCCTTTGTTTTAAACCTCATTATCATACATTACCATACCCCAAAACAAAGGAAAATAATACTGGGGCAGATCCAGGATTTTTTAATGGCGGGAGGATGATAACTATCGACCATCAAACTATACGTTAATTTATTTTAAGTTGTCCTACGTTTGTCCCAAAACATGGTGATTTAGGAAGGACGAAGGCTGGTTAGCTTCACAAGGTTTTTGCAACCCACGTATTTCTATATTTTTTTGGGTTCCACATATTTTTCCGTTTCTTTTTCCATGTATTATATTGTTTTGGTGGACTGCTCTAAAGGGGGGTGGCTAGCCACCCAATCCACCCCCCTGGATCTGCCCCTGTAATATTAGAACCAAGGATAAACTTGAAACACAACATATACATCTAGCTCTATATTCCCATTGTTGTAAATGTGTACATGTAGTTGCCAGAAATGTCTGTACTCCCTAACTCAAATATTTTGGGAATATTCCAAGGATGAGAGTGTCAAAAGAAAAGGCTTTAAAGACATTAACAGCTTAGGGGGGTCAGATTTAAAACCAAAGTCACTTCCATCGGAACACAAGCATACACTGATTTGTAACTATGCTGGAATTACAAAAAAACTGCATTTAATCTTGGGATTTGAGTTAGTGAACAAAGTTACATCAGCAGTTCAAATTGTAGTATTCCAGACAGCTTGCAATTTAATTAGAGTGTGTGATATGATGATGGATTCTTGACTGCAAGATACATGACTGTAATATTTTCATATCACACTTTGCCCAGATTTGTTTGTGGAGACAACAATGGAGAACAGAAACACTTTTAAGGATATCACCACCATGAAGGAATTCTGGATGGTAAGTTAATATGATGGCAATAGTGACCCAGTTTATTTTCAGTTCATGCAGATAGGTAATTTCTCAAAAACAAAAAAACAGAGAGAGAGAATTAATTTTAATATCCTATTGATATTTTAACTATGAGAAAACGGCTATTTCACCCATGGCCCTTCCTTTTGTTTAGACTTGTCTAAAGGTCATAATTCACAATTCTATAACAACAACAACAACAGCAACATCTTTATTTCTTACATTAAATATACAAATATCACACCACCTGCAAATAGCAAGGCTAATCGAGGCAGGTGGTGTGTAGACGGCTTAAGATTTCTTACGAAAAGTTGAAGTGAAAAAGAACCATATTTATAATAAAAAAGGTCAGTCACGAGAGAAATTGAGATAAGAAAATCAAGGCAGCTATTTAGATAAGCGGGGGCTAATATTTTTTAAGATCGGAGATTATCGTGTTTAGGTCAGCATATCTATCCTGAACTTCAAATATTTTCAACAGAATTGTATGAACTTTTTCCTTAAAGAGAGATTTTGAAGAATTTCGTAAATTTTCAGGTATACTATTCCAAATTTTGGCTCCCATAATAGAAAACGAATCATTTTTCTGATTTAGTCTAGAGTGGCTAATGTAATAATTTCCAGAAGAGGAGGAGCGAGTGCTGTAAGAGTGGATTTGTTGAGTTGGAATTATTGCCATTTTCACATCAAAATCAAGTCCAACAAATGGGGCATCTTAGTGCAGGGCTGTCATTAAGGTCTAGGGGCTGGCGTAACCTCACCCCCTCCCCACACTACTAAGAAGATGACCCCCGGCTACTTTCACAAGGAAATAGAAGGAAATTAGAAACAAGAGTAATTCCTGGCTGTTTGGTTCCCCGCCAACTTGACTTGTTGTATTTACCCGGAAACTTAAAATGTTATAGACACTGCCCTGTCTGTGATCACACAGACAGTTTCTGATCATGTTGTGGGCTGTCACAGTGCCAACATGTGATTTACATTGATATACAAAGCCCGATGAGTTTAGCTCAGCAACTCAGTTTTTTCACAGCTGCACAGCCTGTTGAAACAATCATAGCAAAATGCTTTTTTTCTGTTTATTGTAGTACTCCAATGGTCCATTGTCTGATGGCTTATACTGGGAACAATACTACAACGGCAAGAATGTATCAGATGATGACCTTGGCTTCATCTATTTTGAGAACAAAATCCTTGGACGGCCACGCATTAGACAACTGAGAGTTAAGAATGACTCCTGTGTGTAAGTAACCATTTCACTCTTGAAAAACCTCACAAAAATTTAAATTTTGTCTTTAAATCCAAAAAAATTAAATATCTAGTACATGAGCTATGCAAAAGTTGTGCTATTCAGGGTTCATCTAAATGGTAACATCATCGGATTTTTTTCACGCAAAATTAATGTAAAAGTTGGATAATATTTGAGGAATTAGTAATCCTAACATAGTGTGATCTAGGAGTGAAGGTGTCTTTAATGATAATTTGAAGTTGTCATGATGAAGGGTTGTCAAAAGTAGCCATCTGCTGGCGAGAATTGCCACCTACTTGGTTAGTATCGGCCAGCTACTCTGCTCAGCATTTCTTTACAGATGTTGCTTTTTTAAATAAAATATCCCTGGACTGGCCGCTTACCTTGACAACTCAGCCATCTACTTCAAAACTTTCTGACAACCCTGATGATGTGACTATTAATTTATTTGTGTTAAAAGTGGTGGTAGCCCTCTGGCTCACTGTTAGATATTTTTCCCTTGCAGTGTGCATGCTGACTTTCAGAGTGTGATCAAGGAGTGTTATGCACCTTACTCACCTGGTGCTGAGGATAAAGCACCATTTGGCTTAATGAATGGATCTGCGTGAGTGTTCAAACACTTTTAATCTCTTGAAAGACTATAAGGTAGCACTCCTTTCCCCCCTCTCTTTGGGAGAAATAATTTGACCTCTGAATGTCTTCTTGGCGGCAGGTGTTGTAGTTTCTCTTCCAAGAACTGTTAAGTTAAGTAACATGAAAAGTATTACTTTGGAATATTTGTTTTGAGCAAAAATTGCTCAAAGTTTGCCTAACCAAGGCTGTTGCATGATTGTCTAAGTTTGCAATTTAGTCAGAGGGCTCATGACTTTTCTGGCCCATGACATCTATCAGGCAAGTGACCATGAAAAGTTAACTGCCCAGCCTACTGACAATGCAGACAACCCACCATGCCTTTTTGTGGTCCTGAAATTGATGTGAAGTATACTGTTTTGTAACAGATGGACGTACCAAACTGAAAAGGAGCTTGATGGTCGGTCTCACTGGGGAAGAATTACCACATACAGTGGAGGAGGGTTTACTATGCTGCTGGAAGCCAGAAGGGAAAAAACCAAAGCATTAATTGACAAATTGAAGGTAAGTTGTAAAAAAATGTTGTGTATGCTAGTAAATGTGCTGTGAACAACAAAGCATAGACTAGAAGTCACAAAGTGGCAAACAAGATCAATAAGTTTATCTTTTATCGTTTATCGTTTATCCCCTACAGATAAGGGGCCTGGATTTAAAAAAAAAAATTTTTCGGCCTCACCTGGAGCCCAAAATAAGGTGGGGGGGTTGGGGGGGGCTGGATCCACCTCTGGAACCAATCCCTGCAATGCCACATTACCCTTTGTCCATCTTTGAAATAGCACCGAAATCCTTGTTCTGGCCCCCCACCTGTGTACCAGTATTTGAGTATATGTTATGATAGGACTGTTGAGAAAAGCCATTGTCAATTTCCTAATCAGGATGAAAGGAAATTTGAAACTCACTTGCAGTAATTCGTTGAGTCCTGAGGGGGGGGGAGTACAGAACAAGGATCTTGGTGCTGCTTTGCAGACATTACTAACTGGTGTTAGATTACATCTGCGATGCAGGCTACATTAACTAACCTCCAACAGAATTGGATTCAAACATCACTTTACTTCAGTGTTTTTAGAACTTACTGTTCATGTGTATTATACCAGGCCTAGTTAACTCACGTTCACATTACCCTACTTACCATTATTATTCTGTGACTGAGTCTTGTGAAATGTGATTAATTCATTTATCTCTCTGTGAAGGCACTTAATTACTTAACAACTCATAGTTTTGGATTAACAGTAATTATAGCCTGTTAGTTGGTTATTTTAGTTTTTAACAGGGAAGTGAATTTAAGAGTGTTTGTTTTTTCTCTCAGGATAATCTTTGGTTGGACCGTGGTACCAGGGTGGTGTTTATTGACTTCACAGTCTACAATGCCAACATCAACTTGTTTTGCATAGTCAGGTATGTACCCCACTTTCACCCACTGAACTCATCATCTGAGCCAGTGTAGCAATGATTTCATTGGTTTATGTAACAGTAAGGACTGTTTAAATAGGCTTGGAGGGAGTTAATAGGCAAGTCCAAAAAACTGGCTTTGGGATTTGTTGTCGTTTCATTTGAGTTAAGGAGGTTGGAAAGAAATGGCTTGGGAAGGTATGATTGCAAATCACTCCTGCACAGGCAGCCCAAGCCCATCATTACCGCTCAGTAATGCAAAAAGGGAAAGAAACATTGTTAAATGAAGGAATGGCTTTCTCCTGATTACGTGCAATGTATTCTCGCAAGAGGTGATTTGCCATCAATTCCATGCATTTATATGCCTGCTGGGTCCCTTTAAACTGTTTCTGAGAAAACTTAACAGACAAGAATAATAATAATAGTTTTTAAAAACTATGTTTTAGTTTAAACACAAACTGGAACTCATTTTTCTCTTGTTTTTGTTAGGCTCATCTTTGAATACCCAGCCACTGGTGGCTGCATCCCATCATTCAACTTCCGGACAGTGAAACTAATCCGCTACGTCACAACTTTGGACCACTTTGTGATGGCATGTGAGGGAATCTTTATCGTCTTCATCATCTACTACAGCATTGAAGAGATCTTGGAGATCAAAAAGCACAAGCTGAAGTACTTCAAGAGCTTCTGGAATGTGCTTGATATCATTGTCATCTTCCTTGGCTATGTCGCCATCGTGTTTAATGTGTATCGCACCTTGACTGTGAATGACTTGTTACAAGGGCTCTTGAAGAACAACAAGCAGTATGCCAATTTTGATTCCCTGGGATTTTGGCAAACACAGTTCAACAATATGGTGGCAGTGGCTGTGTTCTTTGCCTGGATCAAGGTAAAATATGAATAGAAATGTTACCATGCATGTTAAGGTGATGGTGTCCAATCTATTCACATTGAGTGAATGAGTGAAACATTTTCTTTATTCTCATTACCTACCGTTTGTTTGTTTGATTGATTTAACAGTGATTTTATTGGAATACAGTAGATTCTATTCAGTATCTAGGTATTAGGAGGTGAAGAGTCAGTATTAATTATTGATATTGTTTTTCAGGTCTTCAAGTATATCAGCTTCAACAAGACCATGACTCAGCTCTCTGCCACTCTCAACAATGTAACCTATCACTTTTCTTTAATTTAGGGGTTTCATTGCATTTTGATCTTCTCTCATCCTTATTAGCCTGTTTTATTTATTCCTCCCTCCCCTCCCCCCTCCCCGCTTTTGTGGCCAGTAGCTCATGTTGTACTGCATACAAAACCAAAGTAGCGACCTACCAGAAACCAGTCCCGGGGGAACTGATATAGTTCGTGACCCTTTTGACCCTTGTAGATTTTGACTTTCTGGGTCTGAAATAGAGCTAAATTTTCTGTTTTGTCAAAGGACTGTTATAGGGTAGGGAAAATCACATCTGCAAACTCCCCACCCAAATTTTTGAGGTGTACCCTCCCCTAACAAACGATTAAGTGCTTTAAAACCGAAGTTATTTCCACGGAGTGATCGCATACAACGTATACTTGTTGTTTGTTATTTAATAAAATAATGGAAGGTTCAATAAAACCTCGCCTCTCAAAAGCGTCTGAACAGCAATGAAGGGTGAAAGTTTGGACCCCCCTCAATTAAGATTCATGGATCTGCCCTTACACGGAGATATTCAAGGCGAACGAAGCCATTTGCTGTGTGATGCGTCGTGTACACTGTTGTAAAAGCCTTCCACGTTATAACTGTACATAATTTTTTTTCTAGTGCGCAAAAGATGTGGGTGGCTTTGCTGTGATGTTCTTCATCATCTTCCTTGCCTATGCTCAGTTAGGTTACCTTGTGTTTGGTACTCAGGTCCGTGACTTCAGCACATTTGAGGACTCCATGTAAGTTCCGCACTTTTATCATCACTTCTTGTTATAACGTTTAATCTCACAAGCAAATGCGCACTTGTCAGCCTGAGAGAATGATAAGAAAGCAAGAGAAAGAGGCTTTCTGTACCTCGCCAGCTTACCCCTTATTTCTTGGAAATGTAGGGGTGCAGGACAAAGGGAACGCTAGAAAAGGACGAGTAGATGGGGAGGGGAGAGGGGAAGGCGTTCCTTACCACACTCCGCCAAGTGTTGGTTCATAGTGGAAATGCTTTCGTCTGCAGTGCTTACTGTTCGCACACAGAAAACACGACGCGCAAATTTGCGAACACTCGCGCGCGTATATCTCTACGTCAGCATTTCAACAGGATCCTTATTTGTTGGACTTTTAAGAAGTAGCCTGTTCCAGACATTGCTGCTTCCTAAGTACCTGCATACTCCTTCCAGGAACCTATACGTTGTCCACGAACTTACCAGACTTGCTCCACGCGCGAACACGCAAACCCTCGCGCGCGTACATCTCCACGTTAGCATTTCAACAGGATCCTCATTTTTTGGACTTTTAAGAAGTGGCTTGTTCCGGGCGTTGCTACTTCCAAGTACCTACATACTCCTCCCAGAAACCCATTCATAGTCCACGAACTTACCAGCCTTTGCTCCACGCGGGAACACGCAAACCTTTCACACGTTGTTTGCGGGCTTGGCTTTAATCAAGCTCCTCGGACATAAAAGAGTGTTGCTTACATGTACTTTTGTTGTTGTGTATCTGCGAACGAGAAATTGATTTACTGCCATTCATTTTGCTAGCTTTACACTGTTCCGTATCATCCTGGGTGATTTCGACTTCCACGCCCTGGAGCAAGCCAACAGAGTTCTCGGTCCAATCTTCTTCATCACCTATGTGTTCTTCGTGTTCTTTGTGCTGCTCAATATGTTCTTGGCCATCATCAACGACACTTACGCTGAGGTCAAGTCCAACATCGCTAATCAGAAGAGCGAGTTTGAGATTGGAGACTATTTCAAGAAGGTAAGCCCGGTTTCAAACACAAAAAAGGCGGAGGGGAAGTGAACCCTCTGTTTCACATGTCACTGTTTGTTTGTCAATTATGAAGACGGGCAATATAGTTCTAACGGAGACTCAGGACGCGTGAGACGCGACACAGAGCTTTTTCGCGATGGTGAATCAGTGGCAACTGTTGGCAAGTGTTCCTTCCACAAAAGGCGGGCATCGCTTCTGTGTTGAAATCATTAAGTGTTTTTGCTTCTGCCATCTCTTCTTGCCTCTTTCTACATTAGTATTCTTATGCTCAAGTTTTCCCTCACATTAGGAGAAATCAGTGGAATGCTGTTTTTGCTCAGTGTTAAGGCGTTCATTGAAAGACCGAGGAAAACGCGTTAGGCGCGAGATAAAGTAATTTTTCACTTTCACTTCCATCATTTCTAGCTTTATACCGTTACCGTTGTAAAGTGCTCTACCGACTGAACTATAAAGAATTGACAATTACGTAATCAGTGTTTATAGAAAATGTTGAAAACCTTCACAATAAGAGACTAGTCGTAGTTCTCTTCAAGTATGTTCGCCAATGTAGTTTTGTAAAATTATGAGCGTTGTTGCATTGAAGACGGATGAAATTTCTGGAAACACACCTTCTTTCTGTGCTACAAGTGATTTATGAGCAGCCCGGAATTACCAACGAGCGTTTTCAGACAACTTTTTAAATAAAATATAATTTTGTCGCGTTCTTAAAAAAGACAATGGATTTGCACTCTGCTTTTTGCTCTAGGTGGTGTTTTACTGCACGCCGCGGGGAATTGAAATCGCAAATAGTATAACGACAAACTTTCAACTAAATAATGAATAACACAGTAGATTTCCGATAACATTTATATTTGTTAATTGTAAGTGACGGTTCTCTTAGGTTTTAAGCTAGTGAAACATGAGTAATTCAAAGTTCCAAATCCAGTAAATTAATGGAACGTTAGGCAGCGATAATTTGAAAGTACAAGCAGGTGTTTGAAAAAACAACATTCACAACTTACACAAACTATATTGGTTTTTCAATTTCCTGTCCTGTCCTCGTATTCTAATTCTAATTGATTGAACTCACTCACTGGTTGCTCGGCAACCGCAAAATGGACGACTTTTGATTGGTTTCTTTCGATTGCGTGGGCCTTTTAATTGGATGTTACAATAAGCCCACCCAGCGCAGTAGGTTTTCTCCTATAAAGAGCTTTTTATCAGACAACTGCTGGAGTCAATGGAGTGAGTGTCTGAAATGATGTAACTGTGAAATCGAAAATTGCTTGGCGAGCAAAACCTTGATCAGTTACCTCGAAACAAGTTTTACGTAGACAAATGTTGTTGTAGAAGTAGGTTATGTGAGCGAGTTGATTTTGCTCCACAGGGCTACCAGAAGATGTTGGATCGACTCTCATTCAAGCGCGAAAAAATCGTCGACATCCAGAAAGCACTCAAGAGCGCAGATGTAAACCAGGATAACAAGTTGGACTTTGAAGAATGGAGAGCTAACTTGAAATCGTAAGTATCGCTGATTTTTTGTCGTTGAAATGCTGGCGTCGCGCTGGACAATTTTACCGAATCAGCGTTTGTTTGTCGCTTGTTTAAGCGAGGTTCTTTCACTGAACTGTGAATAAATATCGCTTGCACTCTGTAAAACCAAACATGGTTAATGGTATTATGTAATAGACCCTTTTAAACACGCATGAGGCCTTAAAAATTGTCCGCTTCTGATATTTGCAGATGATTATGTTCAGTAAGAAGAAATGTCCGCTGCTTGTACATCACAGTAGCACGTTATCTTTTTCAAGTCTTTTGATCAGGCTGTTTCGACCAGAGGACTAAGCGTTAAAATATTCTCCCGCCAAAACACTGTAACTAGCTTTTTTTTTATTATCGGAATTTACATTTTAGCTAACTAGAGTTTCAACACCGCAGGTTGATGTAATCTAAACTAATGTACATTTAAATAGATTATTTATACTTGAAAAATTGAACCGTGAAATGATTCAAAATTCAGGTTAAAATCACTTTTTTACGGTTCCGTTTAATCGGGAAAATCGTAACAATTGTCAGCTCTGTTCTCTGTCCTTTTTTTCTCCAAAAAAGTGCTAAAATCAGCATTCATGATAAAAACACCTAAATCAAATGTTATTTTGCAATCTTTCTAAAACAGTTGTTAAAACAATGACACATGTTTTTTAGCTAAAATAGAAATTTTTGGCTTTTTCATTGCCGTGGTTTTCTTGGGCGTATCCAGACATGCTGTCTATTTGCAAGGTGCTGTTCGATATGTTGCCTTACAGAAAGTTTAGAGATTTAGTAAACTTAAGATGCAGTAGCTTCACTGTAACAAAACGGTGGACATAAATCTTGTGTGTCTGGTCTTGTAGGCGTGGCCACGCGGATGCTGAAATTGAAGCGGTATTTGCCAAGTACGACTTGGATGGTGACAGAATTTTGGATGAAGAGGAACAGAGGAAGATGCAAGAAGACCTTGAAGGACAGAAGGTGAGGTTTAAAATTCGCTAAATTGCCGGCCCAAGTCAATATTTGACACATTTCCAACTTTTATAATTCGGACTTTTGATGTAAGGAACGGCAGCAAGTTGGACCACATCTCAGCAGGAGCTGATTACCCTGATTTTGATCAGCTCCTGGTTAGAAGCGGCCGTCGCTTCAGTGGTCAGTCAGTTCAGACCGCGTGCTATACCACACTTCTTAATTTTCGGATCAGTCTTAAGTTTCATTCATATTGAAGCTATAACTTTCAGAAATTTACATGAAAGAACCTATGCACTACAAAAATCCACTTAAATCAGCACAAGCTCAGTGAAATTTGTTAAAAGGCGTGTACACAAGAATCTGTGGCGTGTTTTTAAACAGAACTTTTCTCTCTTGGCTCGGCTTCTTATTTGTAATCGTGTCCGTATAGGCTGAACTGAACGATGAAATTCAGGAAATGGAACGAGCCAAGGAAGCAAAGAGCGCACGGCCGAAGAGTGCCAACAGTTTCGCTGGCAGCGATGATAGTGATGACGAGGGATCTACTGGAGGACTTAGTGCTCGCGCGGGCTCGGCTATGGGTCGTCCCAGTGCCGGCGGAGGAGGAGTCTCGTATGAAGAGTTTAATGTGTAAGTTGACCTTGTTTGAGCCCTATCTTTGCCCCTCACAGGCCAAGCCTGAGTTGTGTTAGATAACGGTTAGAAGCTAACGCAGTAATCGCACCAATCAAAGTCGCTTTTTGATCTCATTGTATAGTATTGTAAATTGTGATAGTTGTGAAGGTGGACTTGTATTTTGTTAACTCTGTTGTTTAGTCCACACATGACACTGACTTGTCACCTTAGAATCCATAAGTTACCCCGTCCAACCCTTGCCGTGTTTATGTGAATGCAACTCTTTAAACCAGCAAACTTCGAATTTTTTCCAGCTTCCTATGCAGTCTTTTTGTGGATAGTCACTCAACGGTCTTTAATGGGCAAAAGCGCTTTGCGAGAAAACTGCGTAGGAGACGTAACTTAGTCGACCGGTTTTCTGTACTTTTCTGTGACGCAATTCAGCGACTTTCGGTTACCATTTTTTTAAAATGGATTTTACACTCAAATAGAATAAAAGTTTAACACATTTCGTTTACTTTTCAGCCTCAGTCGCCGCGTAGACCGAATGGAACACTCCATCGGAAGCATCGTTTCCAAGATCGATGCTGTGCTTGTCAAACTGGAAGCCATGGAGAAGGCCAAACTGAAGCGACGAGAGACCATGGCTAAACTACTCGACTCTATTGCTGATGTGAGTTAGCACATGCAGAAATTTTAGACAAAAAAAACAATTGTGTTTTCATATTCATGCAGATAAACCTTTTTTCTTCAAATCCTAACTTGAAACCAAATTAAATATAGAGAGAGCGTGGTCTCTGAAAGGAAAGGAAAATATTTTCTAAGAACTGTTCTTTCACGCCTGAGGGGACGCGTCTGTTTTCTTCAACAGAACGGCCGTGGTGAACACGGGGAGAGAGACTTGAAACGAGACCAGATGGAGAAACTTGTCCGAGAGGAGCTGGAACGCTGGGATAGTGAGGCGTCTATGAACCGAGGCGATGCGAGCCCTGCTGTTTCCCGAGCTCCCACCGCCAAATCGAGCCGCGGATCCCCGTCGCGAGCGTCCCAAGCCTCTGCAGCTTCTGTCAGGACGGTGAGTTTTAACGATCATAAAATGCGAATCATAACATGCCTTGTAAGATTTAGCACTTGTAATTTTTTTTTTTCAGTTTTGGATAATAACGATTATTTTAAGTCTATCCTTAAAATTAAGCAGCTGTGTCACGAAATATATCAAAATTCTAACAGTCGTGGGTGGGAACTGCCAGCAAACTAGGAAAAACACACACAAAAAAATAGCTGCTCAGAACATGGAAAGAAAGCATGAATAACACAGCAAATACAAGAGAGGAACGGATGGACAAAACTTGACGAAGATTGAAACGGTTTTTCATTATGCCTTTTGAAAACTTGTTAGCTTAACAGTTTTTCAAAGTTCATTATTGTTTGCAACGTTTGATATACTACTTGGAAGGCATGTTTGTTTTTGTTTTCATTTTTTTATTATTTTGCCATTTACAGGAAATTTCTCAAGTTCCATAGCGAATGGGCGAATCTTTGTTTACACTTTTTGCCTCATTAACATATGCTTCTCACTTTCTTATGACGCTAATAAAATAAAAACTCTGAATATTTAAAGGGCATAACAGTTTCAGTTATCTCTGAAAATTTGAGCCCAATACACCGAATGGTTTCGGAGAAATTCTCTTTTAAAAACTCAAAATTTTACAGAGAATGTATGGCTCATTAACTTTTTTGCCACACAGCAATTTCGCAGTTTTTGATGGCTGATATTTCCTTCAATATTGCTCGCAAAGAGCTGAAAATTGCGCAAATTGCCCAAATTTATGAGCTCTTTCGACTTTTGCATTTAATTCATACATACGGCCACGGCGTCTATGAGTTGAGTTGTATGCTAATGAGGTAAAGGCGTCTATGAGTTGAGTTGTATGCTAATGAGGTAAAATGTAAAATTGCATTTAATTCATACATACGGCCACGGCATCTATGAGTTGAGTTGTATGCTAATGAGGTAAAATGTAAACAATGACGTCAGCAAAGATTCGCCTATAAGGGCGCATGATTGGCACTGTAAACAAAATGAACCAGACAACCGTGGCACACAACCTCTTTAACCCTGAAAGCCCCAAGAGTGATCAGTATCAAAATTCTGCTTGTGATATCAATACTTTTTAGAACAGATTCAGATTGGTAATGAGATATAAGGAGATGATTATACAGTGAGTTGATACTTCAACTACTTGGTCGTTACTACTTTTAAAGGAAACCTGTAGGGACAGCAAATGGGAATTTGAATTTTGATTTTAGGGCTTAAAGGGTTACGGCAGGCAAATCCCTTTCATTCTAAAGGGTTCAATTAAAAGAAACTTATTTCAACACTCTCCATAATATTATGCTTTTCTGTTTTTCTTATAGGAGGGAGTTCCCCCCGTCTTCAACGAACACACAAACGTTTAATTCACGAGTCATTGGCCCAGAAGGAAGATTTTAGTGCTAGATAAATAAAGAATACGATTTAGAGTTAATTTATTCACACTCATATATCACTGCCAAAGCAAAGATTATTTACTAGAGACTATGAGCAGTGCTTTTACACGAAAGTAAGAACTATTTGCGCTGAAATTCAAGGAGTTTTTGCGATTCCACACGTCGTCTTCCTCTCAGGTACACCGTTGTTTTGGTCTTTTCCTGTTCAGGAAGCCCTGCTCAAAGTCTAAGTTTGCGTCCACATTGGATAACCACAGGTTGATTCATTGTTTTAAATTTGGTCGTATTTATGGATATCCTTAGGTTCCGTCATTTTTTCACACGATTTGCTAGTATAAGGTACTCATAGATCTGATTTTTTCTCCTGGAAGTCTTCTTATCATTCCTCGAAGGAATAAAAAAACTTGTGAAATTATGACTTAAATATACAAAAAAACATTTCAGAGGGTAATATATTGCAGTAGATTTGTAAATAGTTAGAAAAAACGTCACGTGCTTTTACTGTGTCACGATTTTTTAGTAGTGCATGACACTTCTTCGTCACGTGCATATCACGTTGTTTGCACATGCCCAGATCTTCCGTAGACAATCTTCTCCGTAGAAGTGATTTAACAACGTAACTGTTAATAACAAAAATTTGATTATAAAATCTACCTTTTCACGTAGCTTCAGTTTACATCGTATGTAACAAAAAAAGAGCGGGGGGTTATGACGAAAGACATTGTAAGAAGAGGGTTTCGACCAAGCTTTAGCGTGTATTTGTTAGAAAGCAAGACGAAGTGTGTTTTTTAGACAAGCTGTTTCGTAAATTTGAGACTAGGATAAACACACGATTCTGGGAGGAAAAGGTGGGCAGGGAAATGCCCTTGAGAGAGCAGTAGAAATGGAGCCTAATTTGGTGGGCAGTTTCCCAGAATCGTATGCTGATTTTTGAAGCTATTGTGAGATAGATTCATTAACCTCTTATAATCGAATGATAATCATTGTAGAATTATGTCTTTATTGCACTCGACTGCTGGCGGTTTAGGGGCAGCTTGGGGTGAATTGGTAGTCGTAGTGCTGTGGTCCATTACTCTTTGTTACTACAATTTATGCATGTTACACTCATTGCTCAATAAAAGACACGTAAATGCCTTTGCCTCTTTCATTGTGTTTTTTATGAAAATGATAAGGTTTTGCTCTTAGCCTCGTTTTGAAAGTGAGAATTTTTGGAACTCTGAAATGGGCTAATACGTCAGACATGCGTTAGCTTTTCTGCAACTGATCCCAGGGTCAACGAAGCCAGACTTTTGGAGTAGGAGCGAGAGAGAAGATTGTGGTAGGCCTCCTTCGATTTCCCCACCTTAAAAAGATGCCCTCTCATTTGGATAGCCCCCTCTCTACCACTCGTCGAAAATAAGTTAAGGATATTAATATCCCTGTGAATTCTGTCTGCCAGTGAAAGCTTCATGAACACAAAATATTTTAGTCTCACATTGAATAAACAAGCAGAACATTTGTGTCCATCAGCCCTCATAGTTGTTAGTGACTTGTAAAGCCTGTCCATCTCACTCGCCGAGTCTACTTCCCCATGTACATTCACGAGTAGATGAAAGCCTTAAACGCTTAGTTTACTTCCTATGTTTTGAAGGGCCTCGGGTCAGTGGACGTAACTCTTTATTTGTAAGAATACTAGCAGTACCTCTGACTCGTACCCAGTCGCTATTTATGTGTTTTGGGGGTGAGAGAAGATTGGGGGTGGGGGTTAGGTTGAGGCGCGCGCGGGGTCTCATTGAAAGGGACGAAGGAAAAATAGCGACGCTATTTTTCCTAACCCCCAATCTTCTCTCACCCCCAAAACACATAAATAGCGACTGGGTACGAGTCTGGCAGTACCTCAATTATTTTCCATAGGGATTGAAAAGCGAGCGAAATATGCTAGCGCACGTGGTCTTCAACATCTTTATTTACAGCCGGCATCTAAATACCTTTACGTTACTTTTCCTATGAGAAAAAGAGCTAAAATAATATTAATACATAATCAACTTCAACTACATCGGTTCTACGCTACTTTTCTCTTCTCTTACATTTCATTAGAAACGTTCTTCTTCGGTGTGTCAAATACACCGTATAGTTAATATTTACAATTTGACAAAAATATTACCTGTTTTTAAAAATACCTCTTCTCGTTCAAATAAACCTAAAATACTCATGCGGAACCTCTATTTAGGCATGTAACGGGTTTAGGCTTTTCATACCACTTTAAGTACGCTACTTTTTTTTACTAATGATTACTCGAAGCCGACGTAGTTATCAAAGACTTTTGAAAGGAAAGCTACTGAAGTCTTCGCATTAAATCCTTTTTCAAAGGCACTTGTAAATTATTTGCTAAATGTTGATTACAACGTCCTTCATTAATCAATGTGATAACAATTTCATTGTTTGATTGAACAGTTTTAAACCTAAGAAAAGAAAAGTATCTTTATTGTGTTTTTTGATGGTTTTCGTTCACTTCGTAGGCGAAGATTCTTCGCTAACACACGCGAAGTGCTTTGGATTTTTAAATTTAAAACCAGTCAGATACTGGTGATAGTGTGAGGCCAGCTTGTCGCTATGGATGGACCGAGTTTATACCAAGCAACAGTTGTTTGAGAACCGAGGGCTTGGAACTCAAATGTGATCATTCGTCCGACCGCCAATCAGCCTCAGCGTCATACGCGCCAAATAAGGAGATGGTTTGTGCTGTCATCTCGTCCAGCAGATTCACTGGCGGAGCTTGACCTAAAGTCTTCGTAACCATCTCCACCACTGATGATCAACACATCTCGGGCGCTGTTAGTGCCAGGTGCAAGGGGTGCAGTCGTAGTGGATGGAGCAGTACCGGAGCCTTTCTCGTTGGTGCCGTCTTGTGTTCCTTCTTTTGGAACCTCAACAGCAGTAAGAAAGCGCACATGCCCAGTATGTCCATGAAAGGAGGCTGTAGCAGACGGACAATTTCGCAGAGAAGCCGTGCTAGCGGTAATTGTTGGCAGCGGTAAAGTTAACACCACGCCTGCGCTGGTGCCGATCCAAAGAAGATCTTTACAAGCAAGCAGAGCAGTGACACGTAGACAAGCCGCCTTGTGTTGACGGATGATGGCATCAGAACCTAACGAAAACAACGAGTGTCGCTTAGTAATCGTATTTCAAACATAAGTAATACGTATTTGTTTCGTCGCAACCGGAAACTAAAGGAAAGGATTGTATTTTTTTAAAAAAATCTTTGTTGCCAACAGGCCAATTTTTACCTGCATTTTTTACAAGAGTTACTTTACCCCTTGCAACTTACCCTCTAAAAACGGAACGGGCATAAATCCTTACCTTACTTTGTTAAAATTTTGTGCGGTTCTATAGTACCGGTTATACACCTTGGAGTCAAAAAGGTACATACAGTTCTTGCTCCAAGTACAAAAAAACTAAAGAAATATCAATGATGTTTGAAACTAAATTTGAGCCGTGACCGTTAGTAAAACATGGTTCTTATATAATTGTAATGACTTAATCTTAAAGGCCAATCAAGTGCAACGGTACGAAGGTTGGTTAGACACCTCGTACCCAGGTTTGTTCGGTCAGAACTGAAATGGTTATTCGACTTACTTGCGAGCATTTTATGGACTGGCGGGGCGACATCGACATCCGCTAAACACTCGTATCGCGTGGCGTGAAACAACCTCACAGCAGCAGAACTTTGAAGGGATATCCACACCCCCATGCCGGAACTGGCCATGCGGTAAACGGATCTGTCCTTGTCCAAGCTGCAGTTAAAGGATGTCTAGGAAAGAAAATTCAGGGTTGTCAGAGTAGCATTCTTACGAATGAAGAGAGGTTTTGACAAGGACCACTGGAGAGTGACTTGATTCTTACCTCGACTTCTAAAGTAGTTGTGTTGACGATGACCGCATTACAACCCAGGCCACACCACAGACGACCGTGTATAGCGGTCATACAGGAGACTGTTGCCGACTCACCGATGTGAAGCATCACGGGATTGCCAACTTCCCACGCGCAACCTAGGTACAAAAAATTGACATTTTGAGTCGACGTTCGATATATTAAAATTCTAACATGACTCCGAGGCTTTAGGGACAAAACTGCAAATTTTTAATGACTCCATTGTCTCGCCATTCCCAGAAGAGACTTGAGCACAAAGAAAACCAAACCAAATAATTATAGAAAAATGACTTGAAATTAAAGCCTCAGAGTCATGTTAGAATTTTAATATGTCGAACGTGGGCTATTACACAGGTTTAAGTTTGGTTCCAACCGACTTCCAGACATGGATTAGAATTTTGTCCATTTTAAACCACTTCAAAAAATGTTGAGTTGGTTTCAACCCATCAGAATGTTGTACACATTCTCTCGGCAGCATACTAAAAGCCGGCTAGCCTGCGTAGCAGGTGCTTGGAAGTAATGAGCACAGGAAAGAACAGGGCGCGCGAGGGTCTGTTCTTTCTTGGGCCTAATACTTCAAAAGTGCCTGCTAGGCAGGCTAAAAGCCACTAAAACTCCACTTCTAAGAAAGAACAGGTCAACAAAAGTTAAGCTAAACAGGCTCTTTTATAATGGAGGTAGAAAGACCTAAGGTTTAGCCTGCTTTATCTACTTGGTTCTTCTTATACAGTAATACTATTATCCATGGTAATACTTAAAGCCGTTTCAAACGTCATGCCACCGGTTTGGCCGATAAAATTCATGAATTAGATTCGGCGCGACAGCAGCACGACGTATGAAATGGGCTTTTAAATGAAAGTAGTTCAAGCTCACCTGGTTGCCTTCTGTAAACATACAAGTCACCAGTGGACAAAGAAATAAATACTTGGTTATCGACATACCTGAAAAAAGAGTACCAAAATTCAGCATCAAAGGTAAGAAAACAAATTATCACTCGGTATTCATGAAAGAGCACCAGCTATTGAGAGGGAGAAGGAGTGGTACTTGTGGAACGCATGGGAAACATTACTTTCAATGAAATGTAAAATGCTGACAAATGAGAGATAAGCTTGTATTGTAATCTGCTCTTAACTGGCACAATTTTCCCTGCCACTCACAGCAACACAGTTTTATTCGATATTTTTGGAATGCGATACTTTCAATTGCTCTGGTTTACTGCCAGATTTGTCTGGGTATTTAGTTCAAAATAGCCTCGGGAATACATAGTGAATTAGGCGCGAAATTATGCCTTCAATTTAAGGTCAAATCATTCGAAAATATATAAACAAATACAACAGATACTTACAAGATGCATTGAATCGATCCAGAATGTTGAATCTTTAACTTTGATTTCTTAGTTTGGGCTTCATTAGCAGGGTACATGTAAACACTAAAACAGTGAGCAAAATCTCATTAGATTTCACAAGCTAGTTTCACAAGGCAAAGAAGTAATAAAAAATTTATATATATCATGGAAGGAACATGTGTTTAATAGAAACCAAAGACTTACTATCCGTCCTCTGTACCCAGCCACACGGCACAAGCTTCATCCGTTTCAAAATTCACCAGATCTAAACTGTCTTTGCTCTGAGCACGAGACGAACATATTCTACGCTTGGAATGCTTCCGAGACCCTTTTCCCTTCATCTCGTCACAGCTCGAGTCATTCTCCTCATATTCAAACACATTCTCTTCCCCACTGCTGTCTAAGCCGTCCACACTTCCGGTGGTGCCGAGACTGCTGCCTTCGGGGCTCAGTCGGCCGTCGACGTGAAACGGCGAACTTTCGTCGAATTTCCCGCCAAGAAAACTCTCTTGACCCAGTCCCTCCTCGTCTTCGGAGCTACTATCAAACGCCATGATGCTTTGAGCTCCTGTCACATCCTCATCGCTGGTGTAACCGGAGCGAGAAATTTTGGCGCTTGTGTGTGTTTTGCTGCTCTTTTCGCTTCCCAGGGAGATGGACTGAGTTTCAGATTTGGTTTCACTTTCAGACTGAAGAGCTTCTAAGCCGACGAATTTGGTTCCGGGAACGGGAGAGATGCAGAGAATCCTTGACATGCAAACTGTTATGGAGCCACATGGCTGAAAAAATACGGATAAGTTCAAGGTTGGTGAAATTTAACTTTTACTGTTGCTAAGAAAGTGAAAGTTTCGTTCATATGAACTTTAACGTTCTAAAAGGATGGGAAAAACGAATTTAAAAGGATAGAAAACGACCTGGGTAGTCGCAAAACACCCAGAGAAACTGTAAGTTAACTTATGTATGTTACAGGTCAAATTTGTTCTCAAGTTAAAAATTTGAACCCAGGATGATTCTTGATTTCCTTTGCCTTAAAGGACAAAGGAATTTGAGAATGAACCTAGTTTAAATCAAAATTAATTTGAGATTAAATTTGACCTGTAGCATATACACCGATATCAGACACGGGAGAAGACGGAAAATTCCCCGTATTTGAAAAAATGAGTGAAAGCTACTGAGTACTGAGAAGTACTCTCTGCGGTATTTTTTTTATGTATTTTCCAAAAAAAATTTGGAATTTTCATTGACTTCAAGACAATATTTAATTTGGAGTTATAAGCTCAAGTTTCCAATATATTAAGTTTAAGTGATTACACCTCTAACCTGAATTTGAGTTCCCATTCTGAGGATGCACACTTGTCCTACATAACCATCGCTATTACAAACCCACACATCTCCTGAACCACAGTGGTTCCCTCTATCCAGCATGTGTGGCACTTGGCAAGGTGAAGCACAAGTGAACTAAAAGTAAAATGGAAAATTCATGTCTTAGTTAAGGTAAATGGCTAAAAGTTCTGAACTCAGTTCAGAACACTCTAACTTTGGGATTTCTTATTTTACATAAAACTTAGAAACAAATCATAGGATAAGATTTTTTAAATTCTTATAGATCAAAACTTCCTATTTGAATTACAGAAAAAAAAATTCTTAACTTATCATTTGTTTTTAATTTTCCTTGTGAAATAAGTGAACGGTTTCTAAAATTGAGAGACGAGAAGAAATCTTGAATTTAGAGTGCGACTCGTTGTTCACAGAAAAAGGGGCTATGAGGAGCCCATACGGCATGCAAAGAAAGTGGTGTCCGATAGCCTGGGGCTCGTGGACTTTGCTATCAGGCTAGTGAATTCTGTTCTTAACTTGCCCGATCGGCAAGTGATTCTTTTTGGGGGGGGCTTCAAATAATTACAGAAGAACTGTAATCAATCCTGCTCATCAAGTTTATTTCAGGCTAGTTGAAATGACTTTTGGGCTGGTACATGCTAGGTACAGCTTTCCAAGAGCTGTAAAACTGACTTTCTTTGCACCCTGCCATACTGGTGCTGTTTAAATATTGGAGACTCCTGATAAGGTTACAAAATATGGCCTGTGCCTTTCATAACCCACGGTCATTTTAAGCACAACAATTACTACATTTTTTTACACATTATCATTAGCAGAAGTTTGACCAGCAAAATCCTACCTGCATTCCACTTCTAGTCTTGTTGATAGGAATACAATATTGAAACTCAGGAGGAAAAGTGTCTTTGGCATATGCTAAAGATAAAAAGCAAATTTGAGTAAACACAGGAAAAGGACTGTCTTAAGAATTCTTTGAAGAAGACCCTTACCAAGCTTCTGTTTAGCGTCTTCAAAATAAGCTTCCCAGGAATTCTTTATTTCTGTTTCCAAGAACAAGAATTGAAAAAGCTCCTCTCCTTCCCTGTGTGACAGGAATACAACAACAAGAATAGTAACTTTATTTACCATGCTTTTCATAAACACATGAATTCTGAAGTTCAAAAGCCAACTGACATTTGCATTTTTCGCTGCCGCCAATCATCTTAGCAGACCTCTTAGGAAACAGAAGCCTATTTCAGCTGGTTCAAAAGGTGATGATTTGTGATTGGTCATTTTTTTTGTCTGATGTGTGTGTTTTTGCGTTTCAAGGTTGGTTGCTTGCGATCATAATTATGATTGATGGTAGCAAAAAACATAATTGTGAAGGTGGCTTTTGAACTTCAGAGTTTGGGTGTTTTTGAAAAGCGCAGTAAAAAAGTGAAGAAACATCATCAGTGGTCACCAAGAAGTTTTTACGGTCATCCTCCTGAAGTTGGAAAATTGCTAATCACAGAATTTATTTGTGAGATATTCCCTCATGTATTACTATAAGTAAAATTCAATAACCTAAAGAATACTGGTAGTTAACAAAGCTAACAATGTCACACAATTTTGATATAAAATAAATTATGGACAATTTAAATGACTACTTGAGTTTGAAAAGACATCAGGAAGCTTGGAGAGCTGGGTGTTTCATTCATTTGGTTAGAGCACATTTCCCCCAATGTACCTACATGTAGAACATGATCTAAAATTCTGCTAGACAACAATTATACCTCTTGAATTCACTTTATTACTTACTCTGTTTGTGCATGCAGTTCAAGTTTTGTGGATGTGGGAGGCTGTAGAGGAATTTGTTTCTCAGAAATTTGTCGGTTCACGTCATTCATCAACTCCCGGATAGCTCCATCTAAGGTCTAAAGGATTATAAAATAACATTATTATGCAAAAATAGCATTAAAATTTAACTATACAAAGGCTTGTGCAAAGTTTTAAGGTGTAGCCTTTTACATGTATAACCAAGGGAATGGCAATTTCATTTTGTATTTTGCAGGGTTCATACTATTTTGAGCTCTTCAATTTCCATGACTTTTAAATGACCTTTTCAAGTTTTCGGTGACCTTCCTTGCTTTGGGCTATTTTTTTATCCAACTCAGTTCATAACAGACACAAACTCTGGTGTTTACCAAAATGAATGCTGTCTGAATGCTTTTAAATTTTTAGCCGCAATCAAGACAGTGTCCTTGCATCAGGGCTGTCAAAAAGTTCTTAAGTAGCAGGCTGATAATGAATAGTTGGCGGAACTCACACCAAAGGCATAATTTCTTGAGGGCTGAGGCGTCTAGGGACATTTTGAAATTTAGAGTCTCAGAAATGCAATTTCCAGGGGTTTTCAAAAGGTATTTTCCACCGCGGTTGCCACCATCGTTTCATCAGAATACACACAAGACTGGGAACAATGCCATCGAAATGTCCCAGCTGTTCCATGACATCGCATGGTTTGAACATTTCACAGATCCAAGCCTGTTTAAATATGCGTTCAATGTCATTCAAAACTGGGAAAGGGGTGGTTTATAATTTTAGTCGATGGTGCTCAATTTTTGTTAGCAGTTATGGTACATGTAGAAGGAGATAAAAGTAGCTGGCTAAGGATGGCTAACTAGCCGGCAGTTTTGGCCAGCTACCGCCCCTTATTGACAGCCCTGTGCATTGACATCTGTAGTAACTTACCACACATAATTCAGGCCTGGAAAAAGAATTTTTGTAAATTAATTTTCATGACTTTCCAGGTTTTTCCATGACCTGTGCATTGAGGCAATGACAATGAAAAATCATTTGTCTTTTTTGTTTTGAACATAATCGAGACTGAAAAGGTACATCAACAGTATATATTTACCACATGTCCTATCGTAAGAGTGTCAGCCAAGGCACTGATCTTGCTGAGTGATGACATATCGTTATCAAGCTTCTCCAACTGTTTTTCTAAACTATTCCGCCTCTGAGCTTCAGGAGATGCTGCATACAACAAAATCATCAAGACATAACAATGAGTTATAGGTATGCGGTCAGTTTGTTTGTTGGCATTATAATTTCAGGCAAACCCCCGTAAGCAACCACCCAAAATGCAAAGATTTAATGGTCCCTTACACGGGAATAGGGGTGTAACGATTCATTTTCATTGCGATTCGATTCGATTCGATTTCGATTATTTCAATTCGATTATGTAAAAGTTTCTCAATTCTTACAACATAACGCGTAATGTAAACAACATACAACCCTAAACCCTCAATATGAGAATAATAACAGGCACAGGAGGATTCACAGTTGCTTGGTTCGTCGCCATGTTTGAGATCCTGACAAAGATGGTTTGCCTTATTTGGAAATTCTCAAGGGGAGGTTGAAGGACAGCATTTTTACCAGGCAACACAAAATTGCACACCAACTGCTATTGTCTTTGCTCATCGATAAAAAACACACATTAAAGAGTTCTGGATTCTTATTTTAGAATATAATAACTCACTGAGGGCACCCTGGAAAATGTGTGCAAAAATCGAACCAAAATCAAAAACGTGGAGGCAAAGAATCGTGAATCGAACCGAACGGTCATAATCACGATTAATTGAGAATTCGATTAATTGTTACACCACTACACGGGAAGTGGTCACTTCCATGAATCAAACCACAAAGGGTCCCCTCCTAGAAGGGAACCGCGCATATCTACATCTTAGAAAAGAATTCATTGCATGCAATTTCTAATATTGACAATATGCCTAGTTTCATGTTGTCGCAAAAGTTTCTTGCACACTCTGATAAGTGAAGTACATACAACAAACAAAGCTCCAGTGGCCACTTACAAGAGGATAAAAACAATGGAAAATTTTAAAACCATCATCCAAAAGGTGGTTGCCGTCACTTACAAGAGGTGGTCATTTAGGGAAGGTCTCAAAATTAATGCAGTGATTTGACCGGGCAAATTTTAGGGTTTTTGAATAGGTGATTGCTCACAAGGGGTGGTCGTGTATAGAGGTTTAACTGTATATTATTTTGTTCACTTTTTTTTGTAGAGAATGAGCATGTATTTCTAAGGTAGCATAAGCAGAAAGGATAAAAGAGTATAAAGTTAGTCCATGTGTTACACACACATGTCTGGAAGCTTGCAAAAGAGAGCACTACTTACATTTGTAAATTTCCACATATTCAAGGTGAAGTCTCCAAAGTAGTTTATATTTGTTAAACTCTGTTCCTGAACCAGAAAATCTAGGAAAGAAACCAAAGAAAATGATTTTTGTAATGGGAATCAAGAGAACACTTAGTTAGTGCTCTGTGGATAGTGTATGGACTTACATGCTTAATGAGCCTCTTCGTAGAGCATTAGCTTTTCTCTTGACAGTTGCACAAGCCAGCATGTCATTGAACAGGAATAGGCAGCGATCTTTCTTAGTCATATTTCCTTTCTGTTGAAATAAACAAAGAAGATCAACAAAGTGCCCTTTGTGGATCTATTCCTTATATAATGTGGAGAAATCCAACACCTCTCTCTTATAATGTATTAAAGAAGTAAAAAAGCAGTTGCAGACAAAGTATTAATGGTATTAAGCACTGCAATATGGCCAAGAAGTAATGGCAGAACTGCAATAACTTGAGTTTTATAGAATATTTTCTTTTTCTCTTTTCTTTTCTTTTCTCTGTTTTTTTTGTCTTGTTCTTGGGCCTTTGATCAATGTACGTATATAGTTAAGGGTACCAACAGACCCAGTAAGGTGTACTAGAAACAGAATGGACTTATATACAAGTTGAAGTTTTACAATAAATTGTTGCTCGTATCCCAACTGTTACTGCTCTGATTTGAGGAAAAAATTTTATTTATCTCACTCATGTATCGGCTCTTTTTTCAACATTGGTAGATGTGTTAACAAGTACTTACAACTTCAGCCACCAAGTCTTGCCGTATCAACCGCCGCGTAGGAGTAACAAGCTGCCAATGAAACAACTTTTATTTAATACTCAGGTACTTACATACAACTACAATTTATTGTGAGAAAGGTTGTCAGAAAAAATGCACACGAGTTAATCCCAAAAGGTAATATGGGATATGATCAATACACTGTTCCTGACACTGTAGCTGTTGAATCTTCTATTGTTGCTTTCCTTTAGCATTTGCAAACATACGTCCATGGCCTCTCGTGCCATTCCTTCAAATTTCAAAACCACCCACAATACGTTTCGGGATTGTCATGTGCACTTTTTCCAATAACCTTTCTCGAAATGGTCGTATATGTTGTTCAGCAGTGTGCATGGGTTTTTATTATAAACACCAATGACATACCAGGTGTACCTTTCCGCAAAACATGATATCTCAACACATAAAAATAATATGTTGTCTTCACATGTGAAAAGGACACTGTTGCTATGGTTACATGTGGTCCTGCCTTTAGCTTTAAAAAAATGGTGAAATGGTTTGGTATTGCACAGGGTCCGCACAGTCTTGAAAAACCCTTGAATTTTAGGAGTAGTCCTTAAAAAGTCCTTGAATTCCATTTTTCCTTGAAAAGTCCTTAAATTTCTGTGCAAGTCTTGAATTTTCTTCAACTTTGAATGTAGTGGCATGGAAAGTGGTTTTAAATGCTTTTTGGTTGTCCAAGACGGAATATAAATCATAAATGTGTGGTTCCAGAAAATATCCATATCCCACCACAGAGAGATTTTCACCTAGGACCCCCCCCACCTCCATGGATTTTCCATATTTGTAAGGAACTGATGAACCCCCCACCACCCACCCCTCCAGAATTTCCACAAAGTAGGTGGTCCTAGAAACTCAAATGTGGCCCTTGAAAAGTCCTTGGAAGGTCCTTAAAAATGGTTGCAGTTTTTTGTATGAACCCTGTAGCACATAGAATGTTACAGAGAACATAACATGGCCACTAGAAGATAAGAAATTTCGATCTTCTTGTGTTGAAAAATTTTTCACAACCCCTCAGCCCTGAAATATTCCAACTTGAAAGTGCTTGGGGCTCATCATTTATTGTTGATGATTTTCAAGAGATATTTTCTCCATCAAATGTATACCACAACTGTGATGAATGAACCAGGGTAGTAACACATACATTCAGTATTTAAATTGTAGTCAGGGTAGGAACAGCTACAAAAATAACTGACAATACCTCAGTCATGCCTTCAATTGTTGCTTCAAGATCACGGAGTCTCTCAGCTTCCCTCTCAGCCTGGTCCACCTCCTTTTCTCCTCTGTTCATTCTGTCTGCTAATGTCTTGATCTCTCCCAGAGCAAGCTGCAGGCTGCCATGATCAGGGTGATCATGTGGGGTGTGTTTTATCATGTCCTAGAATTAATGGCATAAGAATTAAATAAACTTCAATTTTTGAGAGTCTACCTTGACCTTAATTCAGTCAAATTACTGCAGCCCCAGAAGGTGAAGTCTTGCCCAGTAAGGTTGTGAAGGTGAAGGTTGTCAAGTCAGTGTCATATAACCGACGTGGATGAAGCTTAACTGGTCTATTGATGAAAAGTCATATTTCATTGTACACACTGTGCGATACTATGCAGAAATAAACAATACCCTAGTGGCAACTTGCATGCATAGATTGCTTACCTTCAGTATAAGTTCATATCGAGGGATTCTTTGTACTGGCATGATCATCAAGTCTTGGAGAGTTAACTTTTCTTTATGATCACGAGAACATTGCTAAAAGATACAACCAAACACACACACTATAGGAGGCCAAGTTTTTACCAAAAGTGTAAGTTGAGTTTAGATTTTAAGTAAAGGTCCCTTATTAAACTAACTAGTTCTAACCGTTTTTACTGAGGCACTGGGCAGTAAGTTTCAGTTCATTAAAATGTTAGGTTTTCATAAAAAGATAAAAAGCCTAATGGAGAATCACCAGGGGTCGATTATGGCTGATTGCCAAGTTAATATCAACATGAGAGGGCTACTATAAATTTCACAATAAATTTTAGGAGTCACTTGGTTTATTAGGAAATCGCTGTTGAGTGTGAGACAAACGAAGTGAAATTCTCATCAGACAGGAATAAAACCCATGACCTTCCTTGAACTGGTCATTTGGGATAGTCTATTTGAGCTGTACATGGACTCATCTCAACATAAGCAGGTGATTACAGCTATAGTGATAATTAAGGCCTTGATCTCCTTGCAGAGAAAAGAAAGGCATGATGACAGTGATGACAGAAAGAAAAAAATTCTGATGTACCTCCATATAACGCACAAAAGCTGGTCTGGACATTGTGGCCACTCTAACTGCTGCTCTGGCTTGTAGGAAGTGGTTAATGAAGGCACTGTATGCATCCACCAAGAAACACTTGGTAAACTAGTAAAACAAATAATGAGGCTAGTAAGTTACAGTGCGACTACTGTAACTAGGGCCACTTAGACAAAGTTGACCAATCAGATTACAATAAATTAACAATACATTCCAAGAAAGTTGGTTGTGTGTCAATCAGTAGCTTGTAATAAAACAGTAAATCAATTCTTAAAGACAGTTTACCCAGTAAGTCAACAGTAAATCAATTCTTAAAGACAGTTTACCCAGTACGCTAACAACAATTACCCACATTGTGAATAACTCCTTTGTTACCAACACATTTGCACGTGCATGGAAAACAGCAGAGGTTACACCTATTCTCAAATGCGGTAATCCAGATGTCCCTAACAACTATCGCCCCATCTCATTATTACCAATAGTCTCAAAAGTCACTGAAAGGTTGGTACATGGACAACTTATGGAGCATCTAATTAGAAATAATAAACTGGCAGCACATCAGAGCGGAAATAGAAAGCTTCACTCGACAGAAACAGCTCTGTTGTACGTTACAGATCAGTTGCTCCAGGCTATGGATAACAAGAAAGTTTCCATCATGGTCTTATTAGATATGTCTAAAGCATTTGATAGTATCGACCGACATCTTATTATCCAAGCTACAAAATCTCGATTTTTCCCAGGGTGCGTTGGATTGGTTTCAGAGTTACCTTTCTAACCGACAACAGTGCGTTCGAATTGGTGGCGCAGTTTCTAAAGTACTCCCACTTGAGTTCGGAGTTCCGCAAGGCTCTATTTTAGGTCCGGTTTTGTTTACAATCTATGTTAACGACCTCCTTTCTGTTCCTAAACGTTGTCTATCTGCCTCCTATGTTGATGATTGTAAATTGTATTTGTCCTTTTCACCTGCCGAATTACCCACGTCCATCCTCGCCTTAAACGAAGATCTTACGAGAATATCTCAGTGGTGCTGTAAAAACTCTCTTTTGATTAATCCGGACAAAACTAAGGTTCTAGCTGTTGGATTACCACAACTTTTAAAGAAACTGTCATCATTCAGTATAACACTTTTTGACAAGGAAATAACACCTGTGCCTGTCGTTAAGGACTTGGGTGTTCTTCTCGACACACGCCTCAGTTATAACCAACATATCACTGAGATTGCCTCTAAATGCCTTTTTAAATTGTACCAAATTAACAGAATCAAGCACCTCCTGGATAGGAAAACACTTCTGTTAGTAATAAATTCATTTGTCTTTAGTAAACTCCAATATTGTTCAACTGTCTGGAGTAATACCAGCAGCAGCAATATTGACAAGTTACAAAAAGTCCAAAACTTTGCTGGGCGAATTATTCTGGGACTAAGAAAGTATGACCATATTTCGGATGGGTTGCGATCGTTGAAATGGCTTCCTATTAGAGAGAAACTCATTCTAAATGACGCTACTATGATGCACAAATGTATTAACAAGCTTGTTCCAGACTATCTTGCTGATATGTTTAAATCACGTTCTCATGTCCATAATAGACAAACTCGATCATCTGGTGCTTTGGATATACCTTTATGTCGCCTGTCAACAGGGCAGCGCTCCTTTGCTTTCAGAGGAGCCAAACTCTGGAACTCCTTGAATGATAACATTAAGTCCTTAAAATGCCCCAGGAATTTTAGACGTCATCTTGCAAATGTTTTATTAAGTTGATATATTATATTATATTATTGATATATATTTTGTAATTATAATATTGGGCGATTCCAGAAAATATCCATACCATACCACGGACGGCTTCCATGTTTTAAACCCCCCTTGCCTTCGGAAATTCCAAAATGCGTTACCCCCCCATGCCCTCAGAATTCCATAATCGTGAACCCCCCCTCCCCTTCAGAATTTCCGTTTTTTTTGGGAAGTACATTTTCGACTTAGCAACGCCTATATGAACAAACGAACATGAATCTATGCCTCCTCAGGGCTGTGATCTAGCGGCGCTAGGCGACAAGCTTTACTCTTCACGACAAGAAAAACCTACCGCTAGTGACCAGGCTGTAAAAACTTCTTTTTAAGTCCGAATTTGGCTATAATAATAAACACCATTTACGGCAGTTTTACTCCTCTTTATTTTCTTGTGCTGTTTTGACGTTTACAAAGCAGAATAGCTCAAATTCAGACAGTTAAAATCTTTCAGCGGTCAAATATACCGTCGAGTCTTGTTGCGTCCTTTTATACGTCATGTAGTGTTCACGAAAAGTGTTCTCAACCCATATGTCTCATGTAGTGTACATGAAATGTATCATGATAAAAGATTAGGTCGAGTATAAGGAAAATCATGAGACTTGTTTATTTTGGGGGCAATTAAGGGATTTCTTACATTTTCCGAGGACATTCCCTTCTCTAAACCCTTCAAATTATTCCTTCACAATGTTTAGCCCACAAACAACAGACCTCGTTCTCCCGAGTCTTCCTCCGATTGCCCTCCGACGGTCCAAGAAATTTGCAAGCGGTAAGATTTATTCATGTGACAAGAAATTCATCAAGGTAAATGTGAAACCCACGTTTTACTGTTCACTTGTATAAGTTATGAGCGTAAACACGTGTCTGATCTATCGATCCTTGTCTTCTGCTTCCGCGGTCATACGTTCGTGGATTATTTACGAACTACAAAAGTCCACAACAATACCGTTTTCAAGGAACTCACTCTACACTTTCTACTCCAGAAATCCCACCTGTGGAATTCACCAGTACCTTCGGATATCCAATCGTAAATACCACCCCCCCATGCCCTCAGAATTCCATAATCGTGAACCCCCCCTCCCCTTCGGAAATCCTAGAAGCCGTCCGTGGTATGGTATGGATATTTTCTGGAATCGCCCATTATTGTATTTACATTCTCAATTAATTTATATATTTGTATTTTTTTTTATTCTATTGAGCTGAAAAGCCCACTTAGGGAGCATCAATAAAGTGTATGTATGTATGTATGTATGTAAGTTACTCAAAGCACAAAATTCAAACATTGATAGCAAACAGTTTTCAATAAAGCAAATGTTTCACCAGACAATGTGTTTCTGTTTGAGACTTTACGTACAACACCCAGGAAACATATTTGTTTGAGAGAAGCTGTACCATTGCAGCACATTTCAAAAACATAATGACCTCATGTAAAAAATTTAACAGTCTTACAGTTTTTGCCTGCGTCATTCGTTCTAACGGACCTCTCAGGAAACATGGACTTTTTTCAGTGGGTTTAAAAGGTCAGGTCTGTAGGTTGCAATTGGTTGATTTTGATCCATGTTGTTTATTTCGATTATGATTGACAACTAACTTTCTTAGAATGTACTGTTCTTTTCCTGTGATCCAATTGGTCAACTTTGTCTAGTATAGTAACACTGTAAATGGTGTTTTGCAATTTGGGCCAGTTTTCAGAAAATGCCTTGATTCAACTACGATAGCTGGAGGCATAGACAGGCATAGGAGACGAAGAGATGACACTCCTCCATGCACTTTTTACCAATCCCATGCAGGGTAGTCTTGATAAAGCATTATAGACAATTTTTTTTCTGCAACAATCACTGCTTGATATTTCGTTAACAGAAATTTAACAGTGAGGGTTAAAATTTGAAGAGAAAACAAGTTGTATCAATTAATATTTAGAATAGTTACCGTGGAAACAAAGATGTCGCCAATCTTTTGCTTGTCATGCCATTCATTAACCCTGGCTTGAAGTTGCTGGAGGAAAAACTCATGGCAGAGAAGAATTTCAGGAATTTGATAAAACATTTCGTCTACTTGTGCAGTATCCACAATCCCTGCATTTTCCTGTTTCTTCAGTGCTTTGTAGTAGCTCTAGTAAGTGAAAATTATACAGATCTAATCAGAGTTTAATTCAATTCAATTTATTCTCCTCTAAGTGATTAACTAGTATTATTATTCATTCAAAATATTTCCCCAATTCTGATTGGCTAAAAACACACGCATAATTCACCATAACCAGTTACTGATGACCAAATTTGGAAGAAATTTTTGTTTAACGAGGAAATAACGTCCAAAATGCAGCCTTCTACGGGTTAATGCACCGTTAACCAAGAAGACCTGGGGATGACATTGAGTTGTTTTCATTGTAAAAACTAAAATGGCAGACACTTCACTCGTTTCATTTAAGAACTACACTGTATTAGTGCAGCTGAAACTAGGCGAAATAATGACTAAAAACATAGCGAAAACAGCATAAAGACAACTCGGAAGGCGACATCTGCTATTTGGAGAATATTTGCGCAGCTGGACAAACCTAAACGTAAACTATCGAAGATAAACTTAATATCGATGTAGGTAAACTTCTTTTAGCTATGTTTTTAAACTAGGAATTATTTTGAATGAATAATAAAACAATTATTGAATTCAGCTTTTGTATCTTATGAAGAATTATGGAGATCTCGGAGGGTGTTATCCGCCTCGGCCTAGGACCTCGACAGATAACACCCTCCTCGATCTCCGTAATTCTTCATAAGATGCTCAGCCTCATTCATTAATTGTTAAGTAAATTTCTGACCTTTATTTGTTTATAGTGATAAACATTTCTATTTGATATTAATTTTCAAATTCGAATATGGTGCCGTGGCCAATTAAACCATTTTGGTTTTCTAGTTAGCCCCTATAATACGAATAAGGTTTTGTTTGATATAAAACCAAGAAACCAGAAAGAGGGGGAAAAAGAACAAATTAAAAACAGTTACAGTAAACACCCGCTAATAAGAACCTGTCAATTAAGAACCTTCTGGCAGAAATTTGCCACTTTAATACCCAAAAATACAAGAAATTGTTTAGCCAAGCAAGGTCAAGCAGATTCTTACATGTGGGTTACAGTTAAATTCTGATAAACAATTTAACCACGGAGTGTAACTTTGAGATCATAAATTTAAGTACAACAAGAGCATACTAAACTAAGTATTAACTTGGTAATCAGTTTTGCTAGGGTTATAATGATACAATAATATTGTTAATAAGTAAAAAGTTTATTTTTTCTTGTAATCAACAATCTATTATCTCCTTCATAAAAAATTAAGAACCTGCTTAGCCTAAATTGCCACTAAGTAACCCAAAATACAAGAACCTATTTTGCCAGACTTTAAAATAGTAGGTTCTTTTTAGCAATTGTTTACTGTACAGCAAAATAAGAAAGATGTGAAAAAAGTAAGATACAACTGTCAGCAAGTTTTAGGAAGAAGTGAGTTTAGACAGATCTAAAGGTAATGTTCCGTAACAACAGTAATGCTCGCACAGAAGATACTCAAGGATCGGTCTAGAGATCCTTGGTAAATTTTTTGAAGCAGTTTTTAACAAAACTTTCTGCATAAGCAAGACTAAAACCACTTGCTTAAACTTGCTTGGTCTCTTCTACTCATTATCTTGTTTAACACAGCTTCATGTACTTAGCACATAAGTCTGCTGTGATGCTATTTCCTTGTTTGTTTTATCTTTCACTCCTTGTTCAAAGTTCAAGAAAAGGCACATAACCAACTGGCTCCGTGTTTCACTTAAATAGCCACAAAACAGGATTACAACCACAAATTCATTGAAGTTAATTAAAATTGCATAACATTTCCTCCTCTTAAAGACAGTTTCCAAAACTAGAAAGCAAAAGGAAGAGGAAATTTGCCCTGATTAACAAAAAAATAATACAGAAGGAATTTAGAAGCAGACAGCAAAGTAAACAGGAAATTAAAACATGTCGGAGACAATCAAACAAAAAGTCTTCTTTCTGCTAAGGGAAACAAAATTACCAACTGTGTGTGTGCTGAAAGGACATGTTTATTTTACTTGGGCATGGAAACCAAGCAGGGCTAATTAATTAAAAAAGGATCCGAACAATACATAGTAGGAGTTAAAAGAGTATTATGGTTGCTGATCCATGTTGTGTAGGAAGTGGCTTTTTTAAAGGGAAGCCAAAGCATGACAAGTTACCCTAAAGAGAGCCTTATTTATTTGTTTTAAATCTTATTGTGTTTTTCTTTTGTCACCTATTTGCAACACAATACTTCTCTATTTCAAGCTCTTAAGTGTTCCCAATTTACTGAATTCTTAACATTTTAGTAGGCTCTAATCCTGCAATCAGTGTCATACATGTTTTGATGATTGAGTCATAATTCACATGTGCATGAAAACACAAATTTCTCTCTGAAATAATACTTCATTCCACCAATTTTTAACAATGCTTAATCCTACACATGTATTCATAACCACATTTACTTCATAGGTCTTCAGGCAATGGCAAGCAAAATTTACAATTCTAACCATTATTTTATATTCAGTTGTTTGAGTATTCAGAAATTGCAAGAATTAGAGATCTATTACCCACACATAAAAGCAATTAATAAATGTATATAAACTACCTCATTTTAGATGAAACCAGCGTAGACAATAAAGAATAGTGCCATTGTTAATACATGCCCTCTAAAATTGTCCACCATGCAAAAAAGTATAATATTGAAGATACAATGTAGCCACCGATAGAACAATGCAAAAAAAGTCCCATTCTACCGTATTATTGATTTCATTTTATGGAATGTTTCCAACATTTTCTATATAAATTTCTCAAGCAAGGGCTGCATCACATATCTCCAAGTTTCAAATAACAGTACACAATGTTCATTAACAGAAATCTGACACTTTCAGACAATGGATCATGCCAAAGATGCAGCTTTCTTTCCACTTGACACCTTCAAAACTGTAATTGTGTACTTATGTTTGAGGTGTGATTAAAAAGCTAGTAGATGTTTAGAAAATCATTTTACTTGATAATATCCATTTCAAAAGTAATACTTTATATCTTATAATCCCATAATCTTAAGTACTGATCTACTCATGCACTCAATTGATCCTCTACTTTAAATTCAAAACCTCATGGTCACTGTATCTTATAACTTGAGTCATTTACTTAACTCTCCTTTCAACCTCCTGTAAAACATACACATGAACAGTAGCAAAGACATGGAGAACTGTTTAATAACTGTTGCTTTCATTTCTTAGAAATGTGTCATGGAATATTTGGTTTCCAAGACCCGAAGGCACTTTATAATGAATTATGATAATTATGTCAATGCAGCATCATTACTATTCACACCCATAAATTATGAATTATTCATTATCATAGATACATATTACAGGAGCGCAAAACAACATAAAACCTACCGATACAAGAAACTGAAGATTCTGCACATAAGACGATTCTGTATCCAGCAAATTTTTCAACACATGAGCCCTGAGATCCTAAGGAAACACAAAGCAATAGCAGTTGTATCAGATTATCTACCATTCTGTACTCATTTATTCATAACCAACAAGACTTCTGATATACATATAATAATCAAGTAACAGGAACAGTTAACAGATACAGTGTAGATAACAATATGCAACAAAAAAATGTCCCAAATCCTATAAGATCATTAACTTCAAGACGGTTTGAGAACAAAAAAATATGAATTTATTAATAAAATATGCGTGCCATCGGTCCATTTCATTTGCAGAATGCTCTAATAATTTTTTTTATTATTATTTGAATCCCTGGGGCATCCCTTGTTGAGGACATCCTTGGGGTAACTTAGCCCGGGTATTCTTACACTGTAAGTGGTCTACATGTATATGGAACATTAACTTACACCACCTGTTTGTAAAAGACTTAATGCCAAGCTTATCAGAGTGGCTAAGTTATGTAAATAAATATAACCCACAAAGAATTATATTTTCAGTTCTAAACAGACTATTTTTCTGCAGGAAGTGCTGGTTTCATGGCAAAATATGTTTGTTTTTTGAACAGCCTTGTTGATTATTAAGAGTAATCAGCTTGACCTTGGAACGTGGCTTCAATAAATTCTAACCACAAATTGGCTCTTAACACTTTTGCTACTTGCTGGTCTAATGAACTTAAATAAACAAATATACAATTTCCTGTTTATAAAATAATGTACTTTTGCTAGGCTTCTGTTGGAGTGTTTATAAGGTGTTTATGAAAAGTCCAGTGAAACTTCACACTTGACATTCTGATCAAAGCGAATCTTGAAAGAACAGCATCTAAAAACTTGAAACATTTATGCTCCATTGCACCAATAATTCAGATGTTATACGTTTATGATGAAATTGCAGTAATATTTTCAAGCGTGTGATTGATAATCCTTATGCACAGTTTCAGTGTACAGTTTGGAGCATTTCATCATATCATTCTTTAAAGCACTGTTCATAAGCTGCATCAGTCAATAAGAGTCAACTTGACTTTGAAGCACATCACAATATAAAATTTTTATAATGTTAACAGTATTGTTTACTGAGAACAAAGACTCTAACCACAGACAGGAAACACCATCAATCAAAACTTAAGCCGTGTGCAATGTCCTAGTGACTCCGAAGGGTGGACTTCATTGTAGCATACAAACATAATCAAGCCACAACAAACAGAGACAGCCATCAACTCCAACCAAAATCCTAGACTAAGACCCCATCATTTTCATCTCTGTTTAACTCAGTCTTCTTTAATGGCTGGTGATATTTTAATTTGCCCTATTAACTGGTTAATTGAGGTGTGCAAAGTAAATGGTATTTCTAATTACAGGTAATCTGTGTTTTTGAGGACTGATTTCCCTATTCAGTCTTCTTTGAACTGTTATATTACATGCTTGAGTGCCTATTGTTGATCTTTACCCCCTGGCTTGCATTGTAAAGAGCTGTGCAAAAAATATAATATAAATATTTTTAAAAAGCAAGCTTAAGACATGAAAGGAAGGACATTTTGAAAGTCAATAAACTTCAACTACTCCTTTTTGTTTTGTATATGGTGTTCATTGTTAAAGTTTTCCATAAAAATCCCGCTGATTGGGAGGAGGTACAGACTGAAATTACCTGTACTTTTATAACATACGTAATTCCACAGAAGTTAAGCTATTTTGCATTGGATTGAATGTCACCCACAAATTATTCCAATATTACAATCATGAGAATGCAACCAAATTAATTAATCAGGCATCATGTCTTGTACAAAGAGTGACAATGTCATGTTTTCAACCCTTGCAAGATTAGGGGTTTCAATCTCTAAAAAGCTTTTGTTATCAATTAATCTTGTTTCATAACAAAGGAGTAAAACGTACATTTAAATAGACAATGATATAATTGTTTGGAATACCTTAACATACAAAAGGGCCTTTAGTTAGTTTATGGAAAGATTTCATTGAGCTGTGGTTATACAAGAACATGCGTGGATCCCTGAAAAAAGTAGCTGCATTTGTTTGAAAAGTACTGCTTTGATTTCTTCAGAATAACTGGCATTCGTAGTATTCGAGTCACCCAGTTGACATGGCAACAACTAAATTGACCACAACATATACAAACAAGCAATTCTAACTATTTCAAAATCAGAATAAATTGAATCACCAAGCATGTTTCAATTTGCTGAAAGTACAAGAGAAAGTTACTGTAAATTATTAAGCCAACAAAGAGCTGACCAAATTTAAACTGCAGGTGCCCCTATACTGTTTCTGGAGTTTTCAACTACCTTATTTTGTCCTGCATGAGTCAAAGACCTTCTACAAACCAGGTTATTTTTAGATTGATTTTGCTGCGAGTGTAGTCCACAATACACTTAGCAAAATATGTAGAGCAGAAAATAATACAGTCTCTAAAACTGGGATAGCTCTGCACTTATGCAATGCAGAGCTTCCAGTTCACAGGGAGAGGTATTAAAACACAACAAAAAATACACTGTTTTGTAAAAATGCTGTGACCTGCAGGGCTGTCATTAAAATTTCAAGTTGCCAGGCTAATGATACAAGTAGACGCGGAATCCAACAACTAGGGATTTTGTTTGGTTCTATTTTTCGTCTATTTTCCTACAAAAGTACGTGGAGGTCACATTCATAAAAGCTGGGAAAATCCCTTGCCCCTGGCCCTTAATGACAGCCTTGGATGTGGGTGTGGTATAGACGCTGCAGGTTTCAATAAAGTACTTACATGTTTTGACTTTTGACTCTTTCCAGGCTCCTTGGATATAGAAAGCCTCCTCTTGTCTTCTTTAGCACATGTACCCTCACTTGGTGTTGGTGAAGTGATACCCCCTTCCACTGACGAGCTTCGCTTTGCCTTCTCAACTTTGGGTTTTTCTGGGATCTGAACTGAGGGTTCTGCATTTGGCAGTTCCATTATTGTTTCCATTGCTGCAAGTTTGTTGAGTTTAGCTTGAGCTTTTTCCACAGCAAAAGAATTGGCTATTCTCTGAGTTCTGGGTGATGACAGCGTGGTTGGTGTAGGGGCAGATTTTGCCCTATGCAAAGGCTTCCTCTTAATGTCAGGTTTGTCCAGTTCATAGCATCCATCATCTGGACTCAAGTCAGCTAGCGAGTTGTCTTTGTCATCATCATTTTCATCAACATCGTCTTCATGCTCATCCTCCTTTATCCCATGGGTTTTTCTATTGGGTGCCACTTGATTCCCACCATTTACTCTCTTGGCCAACTGTTCAGATTCCTCCTTCAATTTTTCTCCATTCAAGTTTGGTTCACTGTTGCTATTGCGATGAGCCTGTAACTCAGCCATTGTGTTCTCCAACTGAATACCATGACTAGGGTCACTCTGAGACCTCCATGCATCATCAACAGATTTATTGTTAACAGTGGAGTCCATTTGTAAAAGATCATATCCAACATTAAGATCCCCAGTACTCACTTCCTCAGAATGAGTTTCACTAAAACCACTTGTTGTTAACGAGAGCGCATCAAAATTCATTTGACTCGGACTGGGTGATGGTGTTGCCCCTGGTGGAGGGCTACAGCTCTCTAAACTCTTATCATCCAGAAATAAAAAGTCTTTGCCAGGCTCAGTATCAATTCCCTGCAATGAATCAACCTTCAGGTGGTGTGCAACCTGGTCTAAGGAAAGATCATTGATGGTTTCTGCCTTTCGTAATGATGGTGACTTAGGAATTTCCTCTAATGATGGTGCCTCGTCATTATCCTTAACCTCCTCTTGGTAAAATTCTGTTCTAATCACAGGCAAAGAGGCTCTTTTCTGAAGTTTTTTCCTGGGTTTTGGTCTTTGATTGATGTCTTCCACGCTGTCGCCTTGAACATCAAACAACGAATCAGTTTGCTTTTTGTTGACGTCACTGTCATTAAAATGTGATTCCGCAGTTTGATTGTCCTCGGCATCCGAAGCTGCTCTTGGGGTGCTTTCCTCTTCACTATCATGTGCAATAATGGTGTCTCTGTTTGGTCCATCAAACATTCCTGAGATGTCTATTTAGCAATCACAAAAATAGTGAGCATAAGATGAGTAAAAACACATTGACATCTAATACTAAGTTTAAAGCTCAAAATGTACTTTTTTTGGATTGTGTAGTTTGAAAAAGCATTTCATATGCACCTCTTACAACAAGTGTTTAGTGCACATATTCCACCTAAAGCCATTAAGATCATGACAGCCTTTGTTCAAGCTAGCACAAAGTGAGGATCAATTTCCCCAAAATTCTATTCTTGCAAGAATTTAACCCCACTGTGGACATTAAAAAATATCTGCAGTTCCATTCAGCTAAATTAAGTTATAAACACAGCGAGCCTGTATAAAATAAAGGGAAAGGTTGGACTTTTGAGCAAACTGAACCCAAGGCATAGGAAAGACAAGAAAAACCTCATTAAATAACTAAATCATCAGTGAAGTAAAAAACGTACTAGATAAATGAAAATAATGACTTTTTCAGTAAATTGTTTGTATTAGTTTATCAGAGGCTTACAGAAGTTAAGAACCATTCTGAAAAACACTAACTTGAAAGCGGCACTTTGTCTGAAGACACCATTTAAATGCAATTTATTTCAACCAACAAGACATCAACACTTGATGTTTAATGCAAATCAATTTATGTCGTTAGTCTATGCTTATCTATTAGCACAATAAGCAAATCGAATTCAAACATAAGTTAAATGCTTCACTTGCTATATGCACGTCTGTTAAAAATGAATTAAAAATGTGTTTTTGGCTAAAATGCAATTGAGAGGGTGTCAAACAGTTTACAATGCATATCCAACTCTTTGCATAGAAAGAGTTATGACTTAAGAATGTAGATCAAGAAAATTTAAATTTGCTAAGATGTTTGTAGGGAAATCAGAGAAGCTGCTGAAACAAAAGGCAATTAATAGAAAAAAACAGAGTTCATTGTTTGGAATGGTACAAAACGTCAACTGAAATTCGGTGAAATGGGTACAGCACTTAGACAGCTATTTAGATAGGCCTAGTTTGTTTGCATACTCGGTATATTTCACATGAACGACTTCCTCTTTAGCTAAAAAAACATCTGTTTTTATTTACATAAAAGGGAAACTATTTATATTGAATTAGAATTACAGTGTCTCTTCTTAGTTTTCACCATGCATACACATGTTGTTGCTTAAATTTGTCTGGGTTTGAACAGTAATGAAAAAGAAATCATAAGGTTGTTTTTGGCATTCACTTATTAACAGAATCAAAATGGAATACAAATTCTAACAACATAGGGTAGATAGGGAGCCAGAGGGAGGGTTCAAATGTTAAAGCCGTGAAGAAAAAAATGTGAATTGAAAACAGTTTCCACTGTAAATTTTTTTCTCAAGAGTTTTATATGCTGCTGTATTGGGTTGTCTATGATGACGGGACTTATGCCTTACCACAATGGCACCACAATTTCCAAATGGGAACACTCTTCTTATTGAAGAGTGGTAGCGCAAGGAATAAGACCATTAGTGACTCCTGATCTAATAATGACATAAACATACAATAGGAAAAATAACTGGGCAATTTCTCGCATGCTGATTGATCGAGAGCTATAGTCATTCAGAGAACCGACCATGAAAATGGTGTGATGATGGCACAATTTGATTTTCTCTTCCTTGTGTGTACCATTTTCGAGAAACTTCAATGGAAATGAAGGTCAAAAACTGGCAACGTTATCATAAGAAACAAATTGAAAACAATTTGCCGTGGTTTATACTCAATCACAGAAATGAGATCAAAGTGTTCAAAACTTTGCAGTGAAACCACTTGCCTGCAGCTTGTGGTTCACTTGAGTTTTGAATATTTTGATGTCATTTCTAACGTCGAGTTTGAGAGTACAGACCATGGAAAATTGTTTTTGATTTGTTAAGGATAATTTACATGAAGCTTTCACACAGAAGTCATTTGGGGCTTTCATATTTATTCAGGAAAGTGAATGGCCTTGGGGTTGTACACTGTAGGTATCATTCAAAACTCCAAGATAAAATTGTTCCTTAAAGGACATGTCACCAACTCTGAGTAAAAGAGTTCTTTTACTGTAGTGCCAGGGTTGTAATAATATATTGGTTTATCCTTAATTCCCTATAGGCCAAAATTACCTAGCTCCCAGGTGTTCTGTTTCAGCAGACCAATTTTTAAGGTTCCTTTCAACTGCACGGCAATTTTGTGGGTAGCAAAATATTGCTAATGATGGAGCACCTCTTAGGTATTCATTTTACATTAAATTCACTTCACTTAATCTTATTTAAAACTGAGATTCCACAGGTTACCCAGTCATTGGTTTAGCCAAAGAAAAGCACAAAACTTTCCATACTTAAGCCACCCATTCTGTCATGAAAAACAGCATGGAGGTTTATTTTGCTGATCCTTGGCTTGGGAAGAAACAACTAAAAAACATTACTGTTCAGCTTACCTTTACTGAGAGAAACATTACTTGCCCCAGGAACACCAGTGGACGCTTCAAAACTTTCCATGTCTATTGAACTGTGAGCATCTTCGCCACCAAGAATTGTTGGTATTTTAGGACGAGTAATCCGCTTTGTTCGCTTTTTAACTGGTTCTTTAACATCTCCGTTCTCGTCATCAAAGCTAATCAAATCCCCCTCAGTTACTGTTCTTAGTATTTCATTTGAGGTCAGTGGATCAAACTCTTTTAGTACTTTTTTGGTCTCATTAGCAGCTTCTGAAATGTACCTGCTTGACTGAAGATCCTGAGCAAACAAAGGTGAAAATGATGTAGGTGAATCAGAACTGGAATTAAGGCCTAGCATCTGAACCGGTGATAAATCAGACAAGTGGACTGGAAGATCTGCTGAGTTTGTCTGCGCTCTCACATATGACAGTCTCCGAAGGGTTGAAAGCGAGGTGTTCTCGTCCATACAGGGCGGTGTGCCCCTGAGCTCTTGTGAACTCCTAACTACTAGACCTTCATTTTTATAGGTAACATCTTGTTGTACAATCTCAGAAAACTCATCTGTTTCCTGCACAATAGACAATGGACGATTTCCAATCCTTGCAACAGGCCGTAATAAAGTATCCTCTCCTGCTGTTGAAGCTACTTTGCCAAGCCTGGAATCGGCAGCGGCAAATGAAACAGGATCTATGATGGACGGGTTAGGTTCAAGATCATTAGCTCTTTTTGTGGGTTTTACTGGAACAAATGCACTCCGTGAAGTGAGTAGCATGCTGTTGTCAGATAGAAGGCTCTGATGCAGCCTGGGTTCCCTGCTCTCTGAAGGTAATGGATCAGGTGGGGCAGAGTTGCACCGTGCAACCTGTTCCTTTTCAACTGTAGTGTCCAAACTTCTCTTCTCATTCCCTTTATCAGGACTAAGATTACATTCACTATCACTGAACTGTGATTCTCTACTTGTCTTCCGAACAAGGGCTTTTGATTTGAGACTAAAAGGGCTTCTTGATAGAGACGGTGACTCTGAGCCTTGCCTTGGTAATGAGGCTCTTGGAATGTCTCTTGGAGCCGTCTCAGCTCTGCCCCTAATTTTAAGAGGCTCCCTTTCTTCCGAAGACCTCCTTCTCTGCGGAAGATTTTCTTTATTGTTCAATTGACTATCGGCAAACGATGTAAACGATCGTATTTGGATTTTTTTCACTTTTGCTATGCGAGAGCCAGTGGGAGAGATCAATGAAGATTCATTTCTAGAAGCAGCAGCATCTGTGGATATCCCTGCCCCTTCCAAAGAACTCACAGAAGTCAAACTACTTGACCTAAGCCTGTTAGTGGTATTTCGATGATCCTTGTATGTTACAAGAGGCCCCAGACTGGCCAGTTCTTCAGGCGCAAATTTACTCTTGCGTTTATTATGAGAATACATATTATCAGAAGCGGAGGGTTCACTAACGCTCTGATTTTCCGATTCACTGGTGTTATCCTCCCCATAAATACTTGAACCAATCGACTTATTTGACGGCTTTCGCTTGATACGCCGCCTGCGCTTGTGTGAGGAATCAGAGGAGCTAAAACTTTCCGACTCCGTTGACGAGCCTTGACTGTCCGTCGGCGACTCCGAGTAGGACGAAGTAGATGTCGATCGCCGTGAAACATTTTGCCGATTCGGCCCAGAAAATTTGACGTCGTTGTAAACAACGTTGACGCCATCTTTACTGCGCCTTCCCCGCGTTCGCGAGTAATGGTAGTCACTAGACGCGGACCTGTTACGTTGTTCGTCTCGAAGACGAAAATTATTTTCTTGGGTCACATTCCATTGCATTTCTGTTTCTGCGTGGCCTTTCAACCGCAATCCTTTAGTGTGTCTGTTTGCTGATGATTTGTGGAAAACCAATTCCGTGGTGTTATTCGAGTCTCGGGGTAGAGACTTCAAGTCAGATGGAAGACTCGTAGAATAAGCAACATTTTGTCCGTACTTTGAAACCGAAGGGGGCGGAAATGCAGACCAACCGGGCCGGTCACCTCGCTGAGTAGCCAACTGCTCATTTACTGGTATCCCCGGAATGTTATCCATAAACTTCTTTCTTTCCGAATCTGCCATATGCATGCTAGCGTAAAGATTCGAAGAGGCTTTAGGAGAATAATCTTGAGTGTTTCTGGAGAGCGGTTGTTGCGGTGACGAGACATAATCTAGCGAGTGAGGTGAGCTCTCGCTGCCGATCGCAGAAGCAGCATGAGCGCGAGCTTTGGAGATTTTTAATGACTGAGCCTTTTCACTAATCTTCCCGTGCGCTTTTTTGTGCGAAATACTCACTTCCGTTGGTTCCACATCATTAGCCCCACTTCGAGATCTGTGAGCTCCTCGAGCTTCTCTGCTGCCGTCGTATCTTCCTTCGCTGCGCGAACGCGGCTGTGGCGCGTTTCGTGCAAGCGATCTCACTGTTTCGGTGTCAAAATGAGTTGTACGCGCGGACATAGTCGTACAGAGTTTATAGCAATGTTAGTCCTAGCCTCAAAACTTCCTGACTGTCCGTAGATTTGAAATAACCGCATTCAAATCCGAACGAGTTAGAATTGAACGGATCCACTCTTGCCGACTGCACAAGCAATGCTCCAGATTCCAGGACATCACACTTCCCTTTGTGTCATATTTACCTTAAATCTACGACTTGGGTGACTTTTAACTTTGAGGCTTAACTCGGGCTTGTGTCACGGATATCAGTCTCTCAAATGTCAGGAACCTTCGAAGAAAAAACAACAAGGGCATCCGTGAGAGTGTTTTATGGCAAAATGCACTCATGCATACACAAGTTTACCCTTCATAGCGAAGTTATCTTCCCTAAAATTAGCCACAGGGTAGAAATTTGACACTCGCTCCTGGCGAGATTTGATTGACAAGTAAGGACACTGAGATCCGATCACTGAAGATTCTCTGAAGGAGCCTATTAAACTTTCCAGCTCGTGTGAGCTAACGCTGCAAACGTAACTGCGCTCAGTCAAATCGCGAGAGCAAAAATTATCGACCGGAAATGCACACCTAAAAGGCTTGACAACTTTTCAGCGTGCTAAGCTGGCGATCGGCGCCCGTTGGCAAACAAGTGGAAAGAATATTTCAACCGACTAAACAATGTTTTGACTGCAGTGTTTTAGCAGGTCACTTGTTGCAAAAGAGAAGTGTCAAAGTTATTCTTCTAGTGAAACAAAAGCATTTTGCTCTTATTGGATCTCTATCGAAAGGTACATTATTGCTTTGAGCAAGCCAATCATGGCTAAGCCAAGTTTGAAAATAAGCGATAAGTGGCACAAAAAAAAGGGAATGAAATTTTCATTACACAATAATTAACTTATACTTTGTATTAGAGGCTAATTAATGAACTATTTTTTTTACCTTGATTGGTTCCTTGTATCAAAGCTGAGCTCATTACTTGATTGTTATTTTAGAATAAAAAAAACTAATGTTACTCACTGAAAGTTTTTAAGGGGCCGGAAATTCTTCGCGATTCTCTTCGCTGGCTCTTAACAAACTAAGTGGCTTTGACTTGTCTTGGAAGAAAAAATGGGACAAATGCAAAATAAATCCAGAAGTCAACGTCCTCTCTTTAGAAGTCTAGAAAATTGAAAGCTTTGAAACTTCGAAAAAAAAAAAAAAATTAACACTATGGAAAAAATCCCAGTAAACGTAGATATCTGGTTAATTCAATTATTTTTTTTCACGAGTATGTGTTTAACAAAAATATTGGTCAAGAAAAAGGTAGTTATTGGCCAAGTGCGCGCTTCCGAGACCCTTAGTGGCCATCAGACCAAAAGAAATAATATAATGCATTGTAGAAATACGTTTTTCATGGTTTTTTCATTCGTTCTGTTCTGTTCGTTCTGGCAAAATAGAAACGAAAAGCTGTATAAATGAGACATCAGTTTGAAATCTTGCTACGTTTTGGACACAGTCTAAGTTTATGAACTTTTCTTGTTGTCTGAGGTGTCGGAAGTCAAGCGAAACTTGTGGTTAAATATTGATTGTGTGTAATGGTTCTGAGATCAGGTTTTGCTGTTGATGTACGAAATAATAGTGGTATATATATGAATACGTCAAGCAAGACAATTAAGCCAGCTCGGGTATTTTCGAGTGGCAGTCCTTTCACTAAATCGCCTGATATTTTACACTCGGTTTGATGGCAAGTATTTGTTTTGCAGTGTTTGTTTTCGTTTTTTAAACTTCCACCCCGTGGTTTTACTTTGTTAATTTATTAACAAGAGCTCGAATAATTAAACGCAGTTTGACGTGCTACATTGGGGTAAGCCGTGACTTGAGCGCGCGAGCCTTCACCAACGCAACAGAGACCTATTGAAAAAGGAAACATTTGAAAAACACCAACAGGGCATAACTGAAATGCCTCTAATCTCTCGCGCGGACCACGCGTGTGCGCGTGGATCGCGCTTGATATTTCGCGAACTCGAAATGTCGACGGCATGGTTTGCCTTTTTCAACAGGGGATTGATTAACGTGTAATTTTAAGTTTTGTTTTGTAATGAGGTGATTATCACATTTTTCATAGATGCTATTATGGCAGAATTCCTAATTCCTTTGCTATTGGCTTGTCCGTATTTATGATCGTCCATAAAAATTTTGTCCTCTATAGACCCGAAAGTTAGAGCTGTCTCGTACAGCGGAAGAACAGTGCCAAAAAAGTTTTGTTATTCTCAGCGGTCATTATCACAACACTAAAATAAATAAAAACTGCATTTCAAACCCGCTGAAACCCAAAACGCTCTTTTCCAAAGAGGAATTACGTGATAACAACCAGCATATAAGAGTTACAGTCGAATCTCTAAACAACCTATAATCAAAGCAAATAGTAGAACATTGTGGGAAACTGTCTCGTTCCCAGGAAAATAAAACCTTTGTAATGCGGTTATAGCGAAGATACGGAAATCACGGTATATCGGTATGACTAGTAGGAAGTTTTGTCTGTAATCTCTTCTGTAATATGTCAAGGGATCTCTGTGAAAATGCAAAGGTGCCAATGTGATGTAAAAATGGTATTAATGGTGTCTGCGAAGTTTCTAGTTCTTTTTGCCGACAAGGCGCGCGCGAATTCGTAACATATCTCGATCAGCGGATAATCGCGTCTGAGGTTGCTTCAGTTCGCGAGGCTTTACATTATTCCGACCGACGACGTAATGAAGATTGGCTGAACTGGAAACCTCAGTCCCGTGATCAAGACTTGTTGCACTGGTACCTAAAATAGCCTTACCCTAACTGATAATTAGAATTAACGAAGAATTTGCAGTTACCTATCATTTAAGAATATCACTGATATTCTCTCGTGGAATTGAAGCTTGATGAGTCCATCCGGCGTGAATGTTCCCCTTGCTTGCTAATGCGCTGTCGTATGCGAGTAAATACAACGATTGATATCACAGCGACCCAAATAGCGGTCAGGAAACGGAGTAAAATGTGATTAGTTTCGAGCGCGTTTCGCTCATTGTACGGTATTGGAAGCAAACTTAACGCAGCGCGCAACTTGGCGAATGAAGCCGTACACGCGAGCATTGAATGACTTCGGCTGTTGATTGAAACAAGATCAAACTGTTGATAGCCCGGAAAAGAGTATAGGTACTAAAATAGTAACAGATTATTACAAACTTACGTTTGTTCTGACGAATGGAAGATAATCAACAAATAATAGGAAACTCTTGAGGTATTCATGAGAAGTCATGAAAGAGTTGATCCGGAAGTTACGGAACCAAAAACGTTGGTTTTCCTAACTTGCATTTTTATGCACGTAAGATAAACGTGTCTAGATATCCTTCATAGTTATCTTTGTTCAGGATTTAACCTTTACACTTAACCAATGGTCAAGTTCAAGTCCGTACGTCTTCCTAGTATTTATCGAAAAACAAATCGCTGTTACAGGGAAGTACAGTCACCTCTCGCCTTGCGGACACCCGATAATACGGACAGCAGCTGAATCCCGGGCAAAAATAAGTTACAGACGTTTGACTGATCAACTCCCGTTACAGTCAACTCTCGCCTTGCGGACAAGCCGCTATAACGGACACCCCGATAATACGGACAGAAGCTGAATCCCGGGCAAAAATAAATAACAGACGTTTGACTGAAATAAACTCCCGCTATTACGCGGACTCTGGCTCATGAGGACACTAACTCGAGGTCCCTACAGTGTCCTCAGGGAGTTGACTGTAACTTTGGTGAAATACAAATAACCGTACCAAGGGCTAGACTGGGCAATTCCAATCTGTCTCGTTATTCCCTCTCCACAAATGGTACTCAGTGTTTGGTTCAGTTTTTGTCACGGTCCGAAGTAACTGAATGCAAGAAAATAGTAAAATCCGGGACACAAAAATCTTGCTTGAAAAATCGCGACTATGTCTCAAAAAGTTCACATCTGAGACTCAAGAAAGATTTGGAGACTCGTCACAAGCGGTTTTGATATTTGGAGATAGGATAAAAAGTTTCCGATACTCACAATTTTATTCGTCGTTGACTGCTTGGTGACAGAAAAGTTACTTGCTGCTAATAATTATTTCAACGTAATGATAAAGCGCCTTCCTGATTTCATTTCACAAAAAAAGACAGAGATTCGCTGTGCATTATTGCACTCTTTTTTTCTATAAGGATATATTTTAGAAGAATAGCGAGGTTGAAATTTGCAAAATTTTAAGAATATTTTTAGAATAAACCCGAGGCTGAGATTTCGAAAAGGATGATTATTTTGAGTGATGAAAATCTAAAAAATATGTTTATAACTTAACCGTACCAAGTCATTGGTTCCTCCCACTGCAAAACGAAGAAACCTGCATTGGTTATAGCCAAATGTTCAGTGCTAATGACCGTTCGATGAACGGTACACAGGGGCGGATCTAGGGGGAGGGTGCAGGGGTGCGCCCCCCCCCCCCCGAGATGACCTGCGGTTTTCTAATACAACTGGTATTCTGCAAAAAAAAAATATGTGGTTTATTGGTGTTGAAGTAGAGCAAGAGACGAGTGCACCCCCTCCTGAAAAAAATCCTGGATCCGCCCCTGGTACATGATTGAAATACATATCTATAGTATACAGCAAAAAAATAAATGAACAAACCGCAATAAGATATGATAAATTCTTTCTTTTTCAATTATAATCCAAGAAAAATACAAGAATATTTTGAGGCTAAAATAGGCAGAAAAATAAGAATATTCAGCCTGGCCAGGAAAAACAAGATTTCATAGTAAAAAAAGAGTGTAACAAGTTCGCCCATGAGTTCAGATCCAGCAAGTGTCCTGAGCGGGATTTCAACCTGCAGTGCGCGGCCGTTCGACCAAGTTGAAATTGCTGAAGAGAATCTTTGGCTGCCATAGCATTAAGGGCCCATAAGCAGTCACTATATTCCTAAACCAGAACGCCATCTGATCTGGTCGGCTCTAAGTCATGTAATGTCACTTCTTAATTTTACAGGGAAATAGAGAGTGTAGACAAA